TGGGTTCATGGGTTCATGGGTTCATGGGTTCATGGGTTTGGGGTTTGGGGTTTGTTTGTTTTTGTGTCGGAGGTTTTGGGTTCGGGTGTTGGAGGTTTTGGGTTCGGGTGTTGGAGGTTTTGGGTTTGGGTGTTGGAGGTTGAGGTTTCCGAAGGGATGTGTTTGCAAAGTTTTATTGCTCTTAATATTATCACAGCCACGACATCATTTTGGCAGTTCTATCGTCGGCTATTTTAGAAGTCGACGCATCAACAAATTGAAATTAGATAAATAGTCACCTTCTCTACGTCTTCATAAATTTTTAATTTTCCGATCAATCATGAAAAAGCAAGATGGGAGTTGCTACTCTGACGCGAGGACGAGTCGTCAGTTCCTGTCCTGGTGTTCCCCCCGATGCTGCAAAGTACACTGCGAAGGCGGCTGCTTCACAGACGTCCATATTCGTGGCAAGGCAGGGGAGTTGATATGACACAGACGCGGCTAGAAGTGACCTCGTTCCCAGCGGCCGCGGGAAGGATGCCAGCCAGAGAGATGCCAGCTGATGTGACACCTGGTGGAATGATTAGCAGGAAAGATGGAGATGCTAATGCTTCCAGCTTGCAGTCCTCCTTCCCTCCCTTTGTGCAGCCCTGATGGTGCTTCTACGCTTGAAGAGGCGAATGCGTTCGCAACACAAGTCAAAGGCGCCGAAATTATTCAGGTTCATGCTTCAAGAATGGTGCCATCGATCTATCATCTTCACTCTCGGGGTCGGGAGGAGGTCACGATCAAGCACCTTCAGGGTCGTCACAAGAACGATTGGCGTTGGGTCATCAAGCAGGGTCGTCACAACTGGAGGCGTCACAGCCGGCTCAGACAAGCAACAGAACGACACATGATCCGGTCAGCGTCAGGACGGATGATCAAATAAAAATGCTCTCGTCAGGAGTTGTCTCACGAGAGGGCGAGGAGAGCAGTGGACATCACAGTTGTCAACCCGCGGCGTCGCTTCATCCTAGACAGGAGATGTCTGAGACGAGTCCTGCTCCTCTTCTAATCGATACATTTTTTTTGACAATGAGAAGTTGCAATCTAAAGGCTTTGGCAATCGTACGTCGAACAACTTTTTCTCTTGATGGACGTGAGACAAAGGGTCAACTACAGCGATGATTCGACGTTACACAAGGGCTAACTACAGCAAACATTGCTGCTCTTTCCAGGACCTCCACAAATCTTCATCAATGATTGCTCTTACTTTTACCGATCAATAATTAGAGAGTTCTTGTCTTCTTCCTGCAAAACATATGCTTACGTGGTCACATCGTCACTAAATTTCAATGACAGGTGTATACTAATACTTGGCGATAGCTACTCTTTTCTATCTTCCTCTGGTCTTTTTTTTTCTAGTTAGAAGGTCTCTCTGCTCATACAGAGATCATAGAAGAAGAGACGGTAGAAGAAGAGGAAGAGCTAAGTACGTGTTGGACAAAACGAAGCCTCGTATGCTTAATGCTTGGGAGTTGACATCGCTATGCGCGTCTCTATGTCTTCATCTTCAAGTAGGAAAGCCAAGGTTTCGCTTCTCGTTATATAAAGACAGGCAACAATAACAAGGAAGGGGGAACGAAAGTAGGGCGAAATCGGTTGGCGTTCCTCTACAGCGCATCTTTCGGTTTCTCGAGCCAAACTAATACATAGGGGTGTTATAGATTGCAGACATGATAAGTGTAGCATGTGTAGTCCCTCTACGGCTACGTAAATCCGCCCGAGAAGGCAGGTAAAACTGTGGACGGCGGACTTTATCCTATCATATCCTATGCGCGTCTCTATGTCTTCATCTTCACGTAGGAAAGCCACAGATATGCGAGCTAGAGACGCCGACTCTCAGCCCCTAATATGCTAGAGCATGGCGGGAAGGCTAGTCACATGGAGGAAGCTCCGATCTTCTGTAATAGGAGCACAGAAGACAGAGCAACAATGTGCGAGCACAGGAGAACAACACTGTGCGAGCACAGAAGAGCAACACTGTGCGAGTTTGCCGTTCCTGCGGTACTCTACTCAACATACACACATCAGTATAAAAAGTATATGCTGCTGTAACCGCATCTGATCAAGTGTCCATCCGATCCAGTGTTGAAGATCATTTATCCATGTAAAAAAGTATTAGCTAACTCAAACAGAATAGTACAAGTAAAAGTTTACTCAACACCTATATTAGAGAATGTACTCAGTAACCATAGAGATAAAAGTGTACTTAGAGAGTGGACTACTATTCTGAGATAAGAGTGGACTCAGATGAGACTGTACTACAGCAACTCATTACAGGACAACAATGTACTGCAGCAACTCACTAGAGATAAAAGTGGACTACAGCAGGTAAAAGTGCAGAGATCAAAAATAGCAAACATAATGAGGAGTCACGAAAATAGACGCAACAAGGGAGTCCACTCTCTCAACACTAACACAATAGTACTAGCCACTCGGCCTGATCTGACTAAGGTGTCTACCCTCCTCCGGCTTGAAGATCTGACTAAGTCTATGAACGCTAGCGCACCTTGCACTTAAACTCGGTAGTAATGATTCCCTGCTTCGATCACTAATGATCAAAATCAATCCCTAAGCAAAAAGATCACTCCCCCTGTTGAAGATCATTTTAGGAGAGTGCTATCTTTTTATATATAATCCATGTAAAAAAGTTAAAGTACGAGGGCAGCAGCAGCACGCGGTCGCTTCTTCTTCGTGCGGTCGCTCCTCGTTCTCCCATTTCTGTAGTTCAAACGTCTTTCAAATATTAAATGCGCTTTTATCTGTACTCGATCCCAGTTTGCTATCTTCCAGATCAAGCTAATAATTTCCCCAATCATGAGATCCTAGAAGATCTACTTTGACGAGAGAGAAGGTCTTCATCCCTGTGTATTAAATACGAAGATCATGATCTAGTACCCGCGGCCTAAGGAAGAATATCTCTTACCGGCCTGAAGAAAGAGATCTACACCTTCAAGTGCAAGTAGGTGGAACACGAAGATCTAGGAAAAGTAACTCGAGTGCGACACTTGAAGGACGAGTTCGGTCCACACTCTCGAAAAAATTATTAGTAGAATATTTATTGCAAATTTTTACTACGGGTACGGCTACCGCTGCAGCAAATTGTCGATATGAAATTAGAAACTATATCATTCATCATCATCCACTTCCACTCATCATCTCCTTTCTCCAGAATTTTCTTATTAATTGCATTGGCTCATAGGCTCATAGGGATAAGTTTCCAAGGTGGAGCACGTGAGTGAATGAATTGCATTTACTAATATTGTTTTGGCATCAATTATTTTCAACTAAAATAAGAAGTATCTATAATTACCAGTAAAAAGCTGTAGAGTAAGAGTAACATTGAGTAGTAAGTTGCTTTATCAGGAAGACGAAGACATTACTTACAACGTATAATCTTCAATAGCGATACTGTGAATCACTGTATTAGACTACCGCCTTAGTACTGGTAGTTTCAAACATAAACAGCGTATCATTTTGATATTCACTCCACTGACTCTGACTCTACTAGGTTGATTTTCTTCTAGTTCTAGGTCAACCAGAAAAAATGTCAAGAACCATGTTTCGTGGTGCGCGTCTGGTGCTGGCTGCGTTTGCCGTCAGCCACGCGTCCAAAGCACCTGGCGCACTTTTCGTGAGTGCTGCTACACCGTTCCCGGCGAGCGGAGCAGGTTCTCAAAGCAGCGGAAGTCAGGATCCTCAACGTACTTGGTCCGCCTTTATTCCATCGTGCCTCGAGTTCCTCTGTGGTCGTGAAAAACTTTGTATTCGGCCTCGGGAAATCTTCGCGAAAGAGGGTGCAAATGGTGCTGCCTCCATGAAAGCTGTTGGTGCTTCTTCTAGCCACGACCAGCCCAAGAACAGGAGCTTTTTTCTATTCGTGGTTGATGGCAAGAAGAATGGTTCCGGAAAACAGACTCAATATCTGACACGCGAGAAGAATCTTGTCTCTTTTACGAATGAAACGACTCTGGCTGAGGATTTGAAGAACTCAGGCATTGTGAAGGGGAGCAGCGTGGCAGTATTCGTTGCCAATGACAATATCGAAGCCGATGCTAGAAACTTTGAAATCAAGTTCGAGACACTCGGAGAAGCAAAGCGTGTCGGAGAGGAGACGCTCCGCAATCGACTTGGGTCTGCCGTTCTTTATGAACTGGAAGATGACGACACCAAGCACTACAAAGTCTTTCATCAGATCGAGGAGGCTTTTCGAGTCTTTTATCTGGGGCCGGATGAAGATGCATCCTCCTTACTACCAGAAATTTTGCGTATGTTGGGACAGCCTGGTCCCGGTGAACCAAATGGAGAAACAGCCGTACTATTTCGAATTCACGGGCAGCTTGGTGACCACGTCGGTAAAGGTAAAAGCAAAGCACAGATGACGAAACTACAAGAACGATATTTGACAGGTGGATGGCTCCCGAGTAGTTCCGAAAGCTTAAGCAAGAAGTGCCTCAGCGACGTTGGGAGCGGGACAAACAAGCCCACACTTGTGGCAATGTTCATTCCCAATGTTGGCGATGGCTTGACTGGTACAGCTTGTTCTGATTGGGAGCTGTCTATGGAAATGAGCGTGATGCCAATGCCAGAGCAAATACATGATGACGCCCGGTCTGACGAACTCTCCCAAATTCTGGGTGCTAAGCTTATGAGGAACAGAGAGAACGAAATCGTGACTGCCACAAAAGTACAACAAGGAGCGGGTCTTCTTAAGGGGTTTTGTCGATCCGAAAGCGAAAGCGATATCATCCCCACCACGATTGCAACGGGAACGATTCTTGTGTTCGCCCTCGAAGTGGAGCATCATCAAGATGACACTGATACAATTGATAAAGCTCCTCCTCGTGCCACATCATCGTTCCCGCACGGAAAGACGTCAGGAATTAGCCTGGATGATTGTGGAGGCAGTGGGCACCTACATGAGTTTTGCTCTAGTAGCAGTAGCGCCCTGTGCTTTCGCTTCCCTCAAGGTTTGTCCAGAGCTGCCGGTATCACAGAAATACTGTCAGACCACGTCTCTACGGTCACCATGAACGGTGATAACAGGGACAATAGCATGCATAGTGCGGCCGAAGGCCTCCACGGTCGTCCAGATGAGGACCGTCATGGTGCACCTGTCGCTCTTGTGGATGCTGCTAAACAAGAAGTTCCTCCTGCAGAGGCAGCTCCGATCAGTTTCTGTCTTGAAGGATGTCCCGATGGAGCCCGGCAACGGATACTGGCCTTTCTGGGTAAAGACTTTGCACAAAATCATCATGAAGAGGGACAAGACGCCACTATGCGACTCGACACTATTCCTCGCGTTGTTTCAGATTCGTCAAGGAGCTCAAGGTGCGAGCTTCAGCTTGCCTTGCCTTCAAGAATGCCTCATTTTCATTTTGGTACTCCGTTTATTTTTTTTATTGAGAGTCGCCTTCAATAGTAGTCCCGACTGTTCCGAATCTTGTTATTAAGTAGGCTTCATCATGCTGTGTTTAAGTAGCAAGTTTAGGCGCTATCATACCGCTCCGAGCTGTATCGAGAAAGAGCACAATGTGACCATTCTAGCGTATAACAATCAGACTCAGTCTCGTACTTTCTCGGCTCTTCTCTCACGCTTACAACCAGATACTTCCGAGCGGCAAAATATGCAGAGTCTGATTCCGTGGCTTATTTACCCTGCTTCCATCTGTCCCGCTCTCGGAGGCGACCATAGAGCGTCTATTCGTGATGGACAGCTTGCTCTCATAGAAAGACCAAATGGTCCAAATTTTTTAAGTCGCCTTGGCGATGTAGTTGACGGAGCTACAACTTTTGATCCTCGTTTGTTTTCGACTTGGACTTGGAGCATCTCTCATGGACTCATGCGAGCACGCAACCAACCGCTGTCTCAGCACCAGCAGGCGCAGCAAGCTCTTGGAAGAAGAGAACTGGTGCTGGAATTGTGTGATGAGGATGATGGTGCGCCAGCTGTATCATCCGGAAATCCCAGTAATACTGCACGCACAGCAATAGATTGTGATGATCATTCAGACACCACTAGCGTGTCATCTTCTGAATCAGGTTCAGGAGAAGAAGGACAACAAGGAGGCAACCGCAACGGAAAAAAAGGAGACCCTGAAGAAGAAGAAAAAAAACCACCTAAAAACGAAGGAGAATCTGAACAAAAAAAGCCACATCAAAGAGGAAAAAATGACGAAAAGCCAGACGAAGAACAGGGAGAAGAAGATGAAGCCCGAGAAGAAGAACCAGGAGAAGAAGGCAGCGGTGAAGAAAATGAATCCGAGAGCCCTTCCACAGAGTCTGAGAATGGAGACACAGAGGATCCAGATGCCGCTAGTTCTGCAGCGCCTTCAGAAGATACAACAGGTACTAGCGCTCCTGGGAGTGACACAGAACAAGAACAAGAAGAAGATGAATCTGCTGATGAGGATGAAGCTAGCACAGGTCGCAGAAGCCGTCGCTCCCGTCGCGCTGGCGGGTTTTTACAGAAGTTTCACGTTGAAAGAGATGGAGCTGTGCAGAAAGACCACCTGCTAGCGAAGGGGTTGCACAATGCTGAAGTTGAAGACATCGAGAAGGATCTAAAGAACGAAGGTTTTGTAAAGACTGTAGAAGTTAAGATTAAAGATGAAGATGAGGGTGTTGAAGCTGAACAGGATAAGGACCATCAGCCTGCATCAACACAAAACGCATCAGCAAAAGACAAGCAGCCTTTCTGGAGTGCGCAGCGAATCACTGTTGTTGTTCTCGCAAGTGCACTCGGCGTCGTGGGCGCAGGGGTTGCTATCGTCTTCTTTTTCTTGTAAGTCAGATGTCTAAGTAAAAGTAATCCTAATCATCATCTTGGTAGTATGAAAAGTAAGTGTTAAAGTACAACTTCATCTCCAAGTCCAACTACAACTTCATCAATCATGATTAGGAGCGTAATAAACTGTCCCCTGCTTAGGCTTTGCGCATCCTTCGGGATCACGTCAGGAACTGTTTTGTCTTGCCGATCTTGATGATGACGATTGTTTTTTTTCAGTCATGCTGCAAGATAGAAATGAGACGAGTAAAAGTAATGATAATGAAGTAGATCTAGAGGTAGATGATGTGATTTTTTTATATCTACTATTTTTTTACTAGTCATGGTCATCCTGGCTGGTTTAATGTATGAGCAATGTTGAATTGCGATAAGTATAGGTGAAAGGTGAATTTTTTCACCATGATCACGTGAAGGATACTTTTTTTTTCCAAACCTTGCAACTACCGCCCATTAAGAAGTATACGACTGCAAGTATAAGTAAGAGTACGTTCTTAGTACAAGTGCAAGTAGGGCGAGCAGTTTTTAGAAGTAATAGATACTGATAGATATCTAAAAGTTAAAGTTGTACCTCCTAGAACGGAAGTATAATCATGTTCATGTTGTTGATGTTGTTGTACTACTGGAGTTGTACTGCAACTGGGGAGAAGCAGACTCGCTCTACTGGAAGTGGAGGACTGCATTCGTAGAGGGCTCCAAGCAGCAGATCTTCAGATCGACGAGATAACTATGATTTGATTCCAGATAAGTAGAAGTTAAGTACTACAGCACCGAGGAGTGTATCTTCAACATTTTGTGGAGTAAGCTGTATTTGCAAAAGCAGAGGAGGAAAGCAAGAATAAATAATAATTGATTAAGGGTAGGTTGAAGGTGTTCTTGTTACCGTTAGTTTTGCCTTCTTGAAGGGGGAAGGCATAACGAACGGGGTAAACGAACACCAAAAACCTACCTCGAAATAAAGCATTGACTCGAGGACTGCGACTGGGTTTGTTCTTCAACTACAAGTCATGTAGTAGAAGTATTACAACTTACTAGTGGTAGTGATGTAGAAGTAACTAGTTGAAGAGCAAAAAGTGGACTCTGGACTACAATGAAGACATGACGCTCATGGCGCGCGCAAAAAGAGGGGAAATCATGCGATCCCATGAAGCAAGATGTAGATTGAAGTAGTTGCTAGTTGTCTCTTCTTAACCCCTGGAGTGGGTACATTTATTCATTCATTCAAGAATGCTCAGATGAATATAGAAGAAGGTTTTCTTGCGTAAGGACTATATATGAGTTGGAGATGGAGCCACTTTTTTTGGAACTCTCTCAGGGTCCACCTTTGAGTGTTGCTCTTTAAAATGTTAGATGAAGAGATTTTTCGTTCTGGTGTGCTCGATTCTTGTTCTACGTCTTTCCGCACAGCAACGATGCCGATCCTGGCTGCACAGCAACGATCTGAACGAGCAGCAGGCAGAGGTAACGCAGGATGGGCACCATTCAGACGTGCAAGATCTGTCATCAATAAACTCTGGACATTCTTTCATCATGATCGCTAACCTAGTACATCATTTAGAAGTCCTGAAGCTGAAGACCTGAGAGAAGAGTGCGAGTGAGGTATCATCTACTCATCTACAGTATCATGACCCGTCTGAGGACGAGATGGATGAACGAGAAAAAGAACTACAATGCTCTTGCGAATGCTCTTGCGAAGCGACTCCTTCGGTTGTGGAGGCTGTAATATTTCGGTTCTGCTGGTAGTTGCAGGACCTCTGGTTGTGGAAGAACCGGAACCACGACTGTTCTGTTTTTCATCTGTTTGTGAGAAGACGATCTTGATCTTTTTTTGATGCTTTTTTTACCAAGGACCGATGAAGACGGTCGATTTTTTCTATGTATTGGTTTCACAAGAAGAAGAAGAAGGTGACTACGTTGTATGAATAACACCAGTGAGTGTGAGAGAGGACGAAAAACTCACAAGTCCTGCATTCTACATCACCTTTTCAGAATGAGCCATTGCTTTGACGTAAGTAGAAGAACCGCATCAAGGACAGGTATTGGTATTCGCATGTTTTATTCTTGTAGTCGTACAGAAACAGGACGAGGAGGAAGAGGTGAAATACTCTTTTTGTCCAACACGACATCCTCTTCCTCTACCATCAAATACGCTACTCGCTCTCGCACTCAGATGAAAGTACAAAGACGTCAAGCAGCACGACCTCTAGCACAACGCGCCACGACTACCACGGGCGGAGGTCCCATTCATCTGGTCAAGGATATGAAGGAGTACCCCTACCCGATGAAGCTCGAATGAAGAAAAAGCTCAACCCGGCCATCATGTTCAAGATTATAAAGCTGCAGGAGACGTTCTGATGAAGAAAATCATCTTCGACGAATGATCAGCCTGAGCGCAGCATGAAACTCCTTCTTCTAAATGACCAGCGACCACGAGCACGAATCGAATGAAGACGGTCGACATCTAGTAGTTGTATCACCTCGTCACTTCAACGTCGACGTCGTCTGCTCATGAAGCTACAAACAGTTACATGGCATCCATCCAATGAAGCTTCCGAGTCATCTGCCAGCCTCGTCTCCAGGTCCTGTCATGGGGCTTCCTTCTAAATGAAAATAATCCAATTTGATGAACTAACTTGGAATGACCTTCCAGTACGATGCCTTTGTTCCAAGGTGTTGAATGACGTCAGGATCACCCTAACTTCAACCTGAACGACGTCATGAACACCCTTCTCTACGTGAAGCACCACGTCCTCGAATGAAGAAGACGAAACCATGGAGCAACATGCTCCCTTACAACATCCGAAATTGGATAGCCGCAAATCACAGGCCTCTTTGGACCATCCAAAGCTGGACAGCCGCAAATCGCAAGCGTCTCTGGACCTTCTCTTCGGCACTATCCCTCAAGTCCAAGTTCTACCACAAGCGGATCATGTTGAGCTTGTTGGAGGTGCAGAACAAGGAGGGTTATGATGAATTATACTTCTTCTCTGTGACAACTCCTGTCTCTAGTATTGAAAAATGTGAACAATGAATTTCAATTTCTCTCAGGAGGGTTATGATGAATTTCAATTTCTCTCAGGAGGGTTATGATGAATTTCAATTTCTCTCAGGAGGGTTATGATGAATTATACTTCTTCTCTGTGACTGTGTCTATTTCTAGTCATCCTTCTGCTTAATATTTTTGACACACACAACATCAATAGAAGTGCTGCTGCTGGGAGGTGGCAATACAATTGTGTGATGCGCTGTCATTTAACGTGAACGAAGCTCTCGCAGGAGGAAAAGATCCAGGGACATATCGACATATATTTGTTGTAAGTATTTGATATTAAAAGTCGTGGTCAAATTGATACAATACTTCTTATACCAACGCGGCCACGAACATAACAAGCTTGATGTAGAAGTTCTAATCCCCTCCCCTCTCCGCGGTAGCAGCCATGCCGATGCTGCGCAGCAGGCGGAAGGGAAACGGTCGTCGGTCGCATCGAATATGTCCCATACCCATGTCGCTGCTCATGCACACAGTCCAGCGCGCAAATTCTTGCCAGAAAATCCAGCCCACGCGCTTGTCCGGAGACAAAGTGCCATGTCCCTGGGGACAGGCTTGCCGGAAAAAGGCACGAATTCGCTTGAGGTAAAACTTGAGAACTACTTCTAAGTATTCGAAGTTGTAGTATAATCTACAGTTAAGCCGTAGTGCTGGTTATGATTATGTGTGTACATCATTGTCATCGCTCTCACGTGCAGATGGACCTGCTCCTACAACTAAGACTAATATTATACTTACTTGAAGTTCCTTATTCGCTATAGTGTAGAACAGCCTCCATCACAACTGAAAATAGTGCGAGCATTGCTAGGGTGGGTTGGGGAGGCTTTCGGTCCAAGGTGAGTCCACAGCCTTGCGCCTGACGTCCATCTCTCATGGGCGAACGTTGGTTGCTGCTCGCGCTTGGCGTCAGTAGTACTTCAACTTCGGCGGCGGCCCAGTTCGCCTGGGTCTTGGAATGGGGAGGACTTACGTGCAAATGGGCCTGCTCCTACAACTAAGACTAATAGTTGTAATACCGTAGAGTAAGGTAAAAATTACGGGTTTCGGGTTACTCGAGTTTCCACGAGTTGCTCGAGTTGCTGGGGTGAAGGGTTTCCAACTCTGGAACGAGTTGCAATTACCTCCGCGCCCGCCTCCGAATCCTCGCCCACTTCGTCGAGCTTCTACTTCGCAATGACCTACCACTACCACGTCCACTTCGTCGAACTTCTACTTCACAATGACCTACCACTACCTCCAACAACTTCTTTCGTCAGCTCTCACGAGAAGGGCAGCCAACGTATCGCCGTGGACAGAGTTTGATGCAGCCACCATCCAACTTAGCTATGGTCGTCGAATCACCGCAGAGGAAAAGCTTCATAAAGTCAGTCACTTAAGGCTTCTCCTATTCCTCCATCTTCAACATGATCAATCTGAAGCATCTATGTCTATCTTGGAGCCAGCTGTGTCACAACCATTGAACAAGAGAAAGACGGCTCCAAGAAGGTTCGGACCCCAAGATGAGTTGGATGTCGTGAGCTCTAAGATACAGCTTTGTTCACCAGTAACGAAAGGCGATCGCAGGATGATCTTGGTGCGGTCGTGATGAACGCAGCGTCAACAAATGCTCCAGCTGTCGCAGGAGGAGGTGGTGTAGATCGTTATGCATAAGATTCATGAACGAGAACAGATACAGATACGGAAACCATTAAATTGAAGTTCCTCTTTTCGACCCGTTTCTTTTTGCATGCAGCCTACAAACTCGTGACTGAATATTTCGATGGAGGCATTTTCTAAATTCAGACTTTCACATGAATTGCAAGAATTTTTTCATTTCAGGAAGAAAGTTGAAGTTCCATGTTCAGATTCGCTCTCATACTCCCAGTTACCCTGTAGCTGGTGGGACCGCAGCATCTGGGAATGGAGGAAATAGTGGAACAGAGGGTTCAGAAGGGCCTCTCGGTGAGCAGAGCAGCGCACTATCAGGAGCTGACGATAGAGATTCACAGCTTGCTTCTGCTGTACTATTGATACAACTTCTTCTCCGATGAGTAGTTGTCGTGTAGTCTAGTATTGGATCCAGATCATTATCAACGCTGGTATTGGATCCAATCAGAACCGATATTGGATCCAGATCATATCAAGACTATATACTAGACTTGGATCCAGATCATATACTAGATTATCACTTGGATCCAGATCATATACTAGATGTATATGATCACTACTTGGATCCAGATCATATACTATATGATCACTAGTATTGGATCCAAGACTATACATCACTAGTATTGGATCCAATTAATATAGATCTAGTGTTGATAATGATCTGGATCATTATCAACACTAGACCACAACGTGGCCAGAGAGCGCTGGCGGGTCTAGAATTCACGGCGCAGAGAGCGCCGAACGAGATCCAGCTGGCTAACCTACGGCGACCGCATGGCCATGCTGGCCCTGCATCACTCAGCTGGGTGCGCATGGCCAAGGTGGCCACTTGGCTAAGCAAGCGTGCCGCCGGGTTCTTTAAGGGACAAAGCTGGGCGAAAGTTGATAATGATCTGGATTGGATCCACATCATTGTCAACATGCAGCTTCTTGAAAATTTCAAAAATACAGGTATCTATCGTGGGGCCGTTAGCTGCACCGAGCTTGACAAGCAGTTTCGCAGGTGGTCTTTCTCCGCCAGGCAGACCGACACTTTTGAAACGGTACTGCCGCTAGAACTACGATGACAGGTCATGCTCATGGTCAGCATACGGAGTTTGATTTAGATCGCCATCCTTGTATGCACACGTCTATCATAATTGCTTTACACTAGTGTACGTACCTCCCCATTCTCGCAGAGTTGGTTCTACTTCATCCAGATAGAAGTTCTGACTCCTCAGGTCGTCAACCCAGTTTTCGCAGAGTTCTGCTTGGGGTGGAGAAGTCGGCCCTCTGCTCAACGACGTAGCGAATAAGAGGAAATCCTTTCTCGGTGGACCGCCTGGCGGCTTAGTCGTGCCTGGAGACGTGGAACATCTACATTAAGGCTACAACAATTATTGTAATTGTTGTCAATAAAGAAATAAATGCATCTTCCATTTTTACAGAGAATTAACGCACACTTAATGTCAATATATTTATATGCTAGTTCTACATTATGAAGCGAAAAAGTGCACTCACACTCAAGAAATTGGCTAGGATTTAAGCAGGAAAATAGCCACTTTTTCTGAGTGTGAGAGCACTTTTTTCTTTCATATACATCTACTTCTAAGTACAGAGAATCGGCAGCCATATGCATTTGGGCGAAAAAGAAGCTGATACGATAGCACGAGCGATGACCAACTACTTCGATAATGAGGAAGACGATGCTTCCTTTGACTGGCATAGTTGGCTGTGGACGCAGAAAGTTTTTTTATGGTACTCTCTGCTTCTAATTCTAAAGGATAACGATGATTTTTGAGGATTGGTTGCATTTTGGTGCGTGTGCTGTGGGAGGATACACTTCTTGATGTTGAGAGAGAAACTAGAAAGAGATTGAAGTAAGAAAGATCCTGTCTTCCACCTTCGATAATATCAGGTTATTTCTCGAAGAGCCTTTCCTGTCTCGTCGCACGACAATTTATTCGACCTTTATCCTCGGTTGTATCATGACCGCACTCTGTTTGTCCATAGAGACTTTGCGCTACACCTACGTCCCAGAGGCGGATGAGTACATCTTCCGCGAAGTCGACGTCGCAAAGGGACTAGCCGATGGGGATCCTGCTACTATCCTGAAAGTCACAACGGTGAGTATCATCTCCCTCGAAACCTTAGTCCGGTTTCTAGTTGTCCCAGTGAAAACGGTCTATTTGCTCCAACCCTATGGGATTTGCGACGTCGTAGCGATCTTACCGTTTTGGATGAACGACGTACTGGAACTGTCTTCAAAAGCACGGTTTTTCCACATCTTCTCCCTCTTTGGGTCTTTATTTTGGCTGTTGAAACTGTGTCGATACTTCAGCGGATGGCACTTACTGCACAAATCCCTGTCCGATTCGATGCGAGCACTGCAGATTCCAGCTTTCTTCCTGCTGATCATAGTGTTCATCGGCTCATGCTCGATCTTCTGGTCGGAACAGAGTGTGCCCAACGACTGCCCGAACGACCTATCATTTTAAGGGGTACTGTAATTCATCTTAAGAAGCATCTTTAAGCATCTTTCTTTTGCCCCTTGCTTTGTTTCTTCAGGGCGAAGGAAACACGCCTCAAAGTAAGATGCTACGTACTCAAGATGAATCCTAGGCAAGGCCTAATCCTTGGAGCATTTAATAGATTCGTCGTCACTGGAGTGCGGAAGAAAAGTGAACACGTTGACGGATGCGATGATGTTCTGTACCATATATTTTTGAGTTTGTAGGTTTTGAAGATTATGTTTTTGCTTAGTTCGTGAATTATGATTCATTGAAGTGCGAAGATTAAGTTGTACTTGTTGTAGAAGATTCTCCGTATAAATTTTTAGTGTGGAAGATGCTACACAAAATCAAAACGGACGAAAAGTGGGCATAATCAGCCACCGCTCAAACATGCTTTTTCCTCATTTCCTCCTCACGCACCAGCACTCCTCACTCTCAGGCATTGTCTGCGTGATCAGTATCGACGTCAGTCCTGCATTCGGCATTGAGGTGAAATCAGAGGTTGGGAGGCTAATAGCAATCACGATGATGGTTGCGGGTGTCATCTTCATGGCGATGCCCATCGCGATTGTCGGCACTTCCTTCAGCGAGATCTGGTTCAATCGGGACCAGTACGTCTTGTTAAGGCTTCCAGTCAATCACCATCCTGGTGAACAAAATTGCTCCTGAACAACAGTGCTGAGTGAAAGAATGCTGGATTGCTTGCTTGCAAGACGAAACTAAGGAAGATAGTCAGTTGGCTAGCTGCACTCGTCCACCATGGATAGTTATTGACTGGCGTTAATCTTGATACAGAAGGTCCGGAACCGCATGACACAGCAGGGCTATACAAAAGCGGACTTGAGAGAGGTGTTTGACGAGGTGGATGAAGACTGCAGTGGAGAAATCGAATTTGGAGAATTTAGGACGATGTATCTAGACTTCTTTTCATGCTACTAGCCGTGTCTACGCTCACTTGTACTTCTACACTCACTTCTACATGGAACTAGCCGTGTCTACGCTCACTTCTTGTACTTCTACATTATTTACCTCCACGTACATGTTCCACTTTCTTAATACCACAAGAACCATCATTACTATTACTTGGCAATTCCATAAGCTTACTTTTGCAACAAGAGTGCTATAATTTCGAATTTTCCCTCTACAACGATCACCATCAGCACCACCACCACCTCAAAAAAAACAGGTTGGAAGCTTTCCACTTCACCTCTCTGAAGACCGCGCACAAGGTCTTCAACTACTTCGACACTACCGGAACGGGTTCTATTACGTTTCAAGAGTTCTGTTGTGGCATTTTCCCAGACATCGCGGAGCACGAATTGGAGCAATTGATGTCTCTGGCGGATGAAAAGGATAGTTAAGGGCCGTTGCAAGTTGACCTCCCTGAGAGCATATCCTTCGTGACCTCTTAAAGGGACGAGAAGAAAATGCTAGAAGATAATCATAGAGGTAGGTGTAGGTTGTAGGATGTTGTAGGGCAACTTGAAACCCCCTAAGATAGAGACCTAGCAATGATGCCTTGGGGGCAGGGGAACATGCTTTACGGCGAAGGCTCCTGGGATGAAGACCCCTCGAGCTCAGACAACAGCGCATCAAATTCATCATCGAGCAGCTCGGCCGGGGACAACAATTCCAAGTTAAGCTCAGGAGTCATAGTGCCAGTGATCATTCATCTTACTTGCAGGAGGAGAGGATAACTCATTCTCGTCAGGCTTCATCCTAGGATCAGGAGAAAATGAACCCAATAGATATGGACAAGAGGAAGTGAAGTATAATTTGGACCTCATCTTCTAGTTCTACAACAAACTTGTTTTTTTTCGAAATTTTTCCGAAGAAGAAGAGGTTGCAGCCTTCGCGGGTGGCGGCGTTCAATTTTACATACCAGGGTCGACTACTTGCGCGACAACTGTAGTCAGTAGTACAGCTACAAATATCATGAATACGCGGCCAAACCACTTGCAGAAGCAGATGAGCCAAGGAAACCTGATGGATCTACGCAGCGGAGGTGGGCGTACTGGAATAGAGAACTCGCAGCAGATATTAAGGCTCGAGTACTACAACTACCACTATCTAACAGCCGCTAAGAAATGAAATTCCTTAGAGATTTTTGACGTTGTGCTTTGGTTCTTTCATGTCTTTCTCTAACCTCTGGCGATCAGCGGATAAGCCGCAGTGGTTCTCAAGCAGGAGCAGGTCCAAATGCTCCTAGCAACTTGGGTAGTGTCGATTTCCACAAGTTGTTGGCACAGCAATACGTAGAACAATCGGCGCAGATGATGCAGAATGGTGCGCCGTCTGCGTCTCAGATGCTGATGGACCATGCTAGCCGATTAACGCAAATCAACGCTTCAGGTGAGACAATGACGCCTGTTTTTTCAACGGCTCTTGCGCCGACACTTCTTTATTCGGCAGAGGAAAGAAACGGTGGAGCTGCTGGACAGACGCCGACCAAGGAACTACCAGGCCTAGCCGAAGGCGATCCACCTTGGAACAGAAACAAGTCTACCTCTGGCGAAAACAAATCAGAGGAAATAGACAAGGAAAGTTCGTTAGATACGCCCGATAGTATGGCAAATAACTGCTCTCCTGGTGGTGTGTTGCTGTCTTCACCCGCCAATACTAGAGCAGGTGACACAGCAGCAGATCCTAGTAGTACTATGGAACGCATCGTACGTGGTGGGTCCGGAAACGCAGCTGATGACGGCCTCCAAGGCAGTGGAGAAGAAGGCCAACAAGATGATGGAGGTGGAGACCCAGCTTCTAGTAATAGTGCACGCCCTAGCTCCTCAGAGTCTGCGGCGATGTCTTTGGTTGACAAGCAAGTGTCTGATGGAGAGCTTCCGGGTGAGCGCGAAGAACAGGAGAAGCCAGAAATAGTTGTAAATTAAGGCTTCCCTTAACCCATCTTCAGAAGCATCTCGTCAAACCTGTCGCGCCCGTAACTAAGGGAAAAACAGATGAGATCCGAGATGGGCCCCAAGATGGATTGGGGTGATCTCTAAGCAAAACAACACTCTACGATGAGCAATGAACCGCAAATCCCATTGTCAAATTACTCCAACTTCAGGGGGTCCACAGGTTACATCGGCGGGGGGCCACTCAGAGAAAGCAAACAGCCACCACATCAGCAGCAACAATTAGCAAATCAACCTTCTGCTACATCTAGCAAGCAACCACCACATCAGCAGCAACAATTAGCAGACCCTACTTTGAAAGGAGGGCGAAATAGTGCTGGTGCCACTGTACAGGGTAGCAGTAGTGGCACTTCTGATGCAGGTCCCTTTCGCGGTGGCCGGAATAGTGCCGGTGCACCACAGACCAGTGGAAGCGGAGGGGCGTTGGGTCTACACGCAGTCCGGTCTGACGGTACTGGTATCGGAGACAATGAAGGTCGCTCGGCATCGTCTCCGCGTAGAGGCAAAACTTGGGCACGAGTGATGGGCCGTGCACGGGACAAAATCATGACCCTGGGTCGGGCGAATAGCGTTCATCCAAATCATAGCTCTGGAGGTGCTGCACCTTTTATGGTTACAGTATTAAATACGCAATCTCATTTTCATAGCGAAGATCCGCATCATACCAGCACTGCAGGTGCAGAACCAGATTCCAAGTACTGTTGAAGCTGGGCTGAGAAGATCCTCCCTCAGAAAGATGAAGAACATGACGATGCATTTCCATTTCCTACTAGAGACTCTTTTTCTCTAAATTCCCAAGCGGTGCCCCCGCCGGACCATCTATTGGCGTGGTAGTTACTCCGAGCGGCAATTTCAACAAAGTGGATGGCCCTTCCAATAGTCCTTCGTATTTGCACAACAAAATGATGATGGAGCAAGCACGTGCGGCGATGGACGCTGCCGGTGCACAGCAGGCAAACGCAATTTTCCGAGAAAGCTTAGCCAGTCATGCGAGCCATGCGGTGGGAGGCCAGGCTATGGTGACGCATCCTGCACCGACTCCCGGTGCCAGTGTCAGCGTTATGAGTGCACACGGAGGAATCATGGCAGGTCATGGGGGAGGTCCTCATGCCGCGCAACATGGCGGGTTAATGCACTACAACGCAACAAGAGGAGGAGGACAACACGGAGCTCCAGGTCAGCCTGGCGCAGCGCCTTTACCTCCGGGACAACAACATCCACCACCCGGCGGTGTAGGGCATCCACCTGGAGGACATCACCTGGGAGGACCACAACATCATCAAATCGGTGGCCGTTCTAGTGGCGGCGGCGGTTTTCCGGGTACTAGAGGCCAGATGGCTGTAGAGCCTCAGTTGAGTGCTGGCGCAGGCAGCACGATGTATCATCCGCCAAGACAGGACCGACATTCTCGTTAAGGCAATGCAGGGTTCATCCTCAATAGAATCTTTGGCTTCATCCTTTTGTTCAAGTAGGATAAGAGGCCAAGGATGCTACCAGGGATGCAACAACGATCGCCCTAATTGGGAGGTCTCTACGCCGCCGCAGCGCGAGAGCAAGGCCGAGGGCCGCCTGGAGGTCATCACTTCCTAGGCGCACAGATGGCTAAAACTCAGAACAATGATATGGTGCAGAAATTGGCGGCTAGGATCACGGCTTTAGAGGTCAAGATGGAAGAAAGCCAAAGAAGACTCCAGTTTATGCTGACATGTATCTGTGACAATTTTAGCATAGAGATCGATTGGACACAGATGCCAACAGCTAGGGAGAACAAAAAGCTTCTTGCAGCGAATCCCAAACGTACCTCGGAGAAGAGAGCGAGTGGGAGAGCAGTAATTTATATTACAGTTTTTTTGTCGTAAAGGTTGCCTCGAAGATGGATCTTCATCTTGAAATGAATTCATCATCAACAAGAATCTATTAACAACAACTGACATAGGACGGCGTCGGCGGTGACGATTCCGAAAATCGGGACGTTCTGAGAACGAGTACAACTAGAAACATGGTTATCCGCGAAAGCAGTACAGGAACGACAAACGCAGCGCAAGTAAGCGGTAGCAAAATGCTTCATCAATCGATTGGTGCAAGCCATGGTATCCAGAGTTCCGACCGCTTGTCCAGCTACAGAGGTTTCTCCTCAACTGCAGCTCGCATGCGTGGAGCCGGTGGTCGCCGGTTGAGTCATGCTTCAATTCTCACAGGAATGAAAACCAAGCCCAGACGAGGATCAAACCAAGAATTGAGCCTAGTGGTACCGAGTTCTCCGAAACAGAACGCAGGGATTACGTCGCAGCTATCATCGGGTGGAGCAGCAGCGGCGTCCCCTAGTACAGACGGGGAAACGAATACGACTAATCGCAATCTGAACAATTTTTTAAGGATCACGCTATTTGAATTCAATTTTCCTTTCCACAGAATAGTTTTCTTTGTTTTCGCATGGGGATTCGGAAAAAAATTACCCATCAAGAAAGGAAATATTTAGAGCTCTAAACCTAATTTCCTCGCCAGGAGCCGGTGGGTCAAATAGTGCGGGTTCGCCTGGAGGTCTAGGAACCTTGGAGGAAGCATCCATAGGCCTCGGAGGCAGTCGAGCGATTGGTAGTAGTAGCAGTAGCAGAAATCTCTTTGGGGCTGTTGCATCGTCTTCTTTGGGAACGTTTCTGCGCGGGAGCAAGAACACTTCAAGGTCACCCTGAAGATGAGGATTTTAGGATAGAAAAATTCGAGATTGCGCTTAAGATTCACTTGCTGTGTTACGATTGAATGTTACAACCTTACGAAAAAGAAACTAAATCGATGACAATGAAGAACAGGACGCAGGAGTATGAATGTGATGAATGTAGGAACAGGACGCAAAATATGAATTTGAATGGTATTTGATTGACTTTATCAAACTACAATTTAGATTGAATTTTTTCAGATTCATTAATACAGCTTGCTATTCTTTCTCGTCAGTGATGAAGAGCGTCAACGTATATTAGAATAAAATTTGAGAAAAGCAAAAGGACTAGTAGTCACAAAGTTATCGTGCGGGCTTACGCTTCTGCTTCAAAGTTTGCTTGTTTTTTACGCGCTGACATCGACACTACGATGATAGAGTTATGAGTTCTGCATCAACGTAAATACCAGTACCTACTCAAGGAAAACGATTTTTAGTAGAACATGGGTCTAGTCAGACCCCAGGAGATGAAATGAAGAACTTCAGAAAATTGATGAGTTTCTCCTCATAATTTTTTTTGAAAAAAACTGCACCTAATTGATGTTGAGTTTATTACATATAGCGACCATGATGATTTACAGTTTTCGCGTGAGTACCGGAATTCCAGGCCTTTGCTTATTCTAGTTGGTGCTGCAGTGTCCCACGCTTTCGTCCTTTCCATCTCTACACTACTGCTTCGACTTCGTGAATATGTGATATTATTTTTACCCCTACAGAAATCTTGTCAAACAGTGCTTATCCTCTGATGCAAAAATCGAAGCGTAGTCTACGCAGCCGTCATTGGTTTGCGTTGCGTGGAAACCTTCCAATGTTACTTGGGCGGCGGCCTGGCTGCTGCAGTCAATCTAGTACTATCTTGAGAAAGTCGTGGCGTGAGAGAAAATGGCAGAATGCTTTGAGAGATGAAGCAGAGTGTCTGGTGGAGAATTGTAGTGACTGGCCCCGGTTTGCGGTTGCGCTGCATCTGCACGAGAGTGCAAAATTAGCCACGCTTCTAGGCCCGTTTCTGGACTGACAACTGGTGATGGCTGTTATTGCTAGCTTTTCAACGAACGCACGACATGCTTAAAAATATCCGAGCAGTCGATTGAGCACCACGCTTCACGTAGTCGTATCTCTCTCATAGATGTAGTGCTCGTTCTCTAGCTCTATCCAAAACAAAAGATGTTGTTGTCGCATCCGTCGCAGGCGCTTGCCACAGGCGAGAAAGAGGCTAAGCCGAAAACACCGTCACCGAGAAGAACGCAGCACTTTGCTGCTGCTTTTGTTAAGGCATAGACCTTTTTTTTTCCTTGTTTTTTTTTCCTATCCTATCCTTGTTAAGGCATAGACGCTAATGATCTATCCTCTGAAGCATCTTCCGTCTTGTAGCTGCTCTCACTCCCTTGAGAGTAAAAGAACAGCTCCAAGATGACTTTCAAAATTGGAGATTTGGGTCACGAACTCTAACTCTACCAGCAGAGCAGCGAAGCGGGAGGTCGTCCATCTGAACCAAATATCACCAGAACGATTAGCCGATGTTATGCGAGGGTCAAAATCCATGATTGGCCATGAGGAGACGGTCAAGAATTTAGCTCTGGGTGAAGATGATGTTGTAGGAGCTTTCCCGGCACCGCCGGGTCTTGAGGGTGCTGTTAGAGGCACGACTAGTGCTGGTAAAAATGTAGCAGCTTCAAATGCAAAAGATCAGGATGATATTAAGAGTAGACGACCTCTTGATGGCGAACATGCACACGGTGTAGTTAGAAAAGCTAGTAGTAATGGTAGCATCTTCGGAGGTGGAGAACGTGGTGGAACAAGTAAACTGAATATGAGCAAGTTACAAGGAGGAAAACACCACGGGTCGAAATCGATCCTGACCAACAAAGGAAGTGATGGCATGCGTCCTGCCGGCTCGAAGAACATAGGTTTATGGCTCTAGGATAGTTGATATTGATTTGACTCTTAAGATTGTCTTCATCGTGTTCAACAGTTCGTTGATAAGGAGCATGTCTGTGTTTGCCTCGATGATGAATCCTTCTACCTAAACGATCCAACTAAGAGCGCTCCACCTCTAATTAAAACAAGACAAGGCAGCAAAGCAACGATAGTGATGTCAAGGCAAAGCAGCAAGAGGATGATGATGGGTAGTCGGAACGGACAGCTAGTGCGATACGTCAAAGCACCAAGACCGAGAAAACCATGGGAAGCGGTAGGTCAACATTTAATTTGCCGACTACTTTTGACGATGACGTATAGGTATACTAAGCAGACCAAGTAGACAGGTTCGTTGGTATAGCGTTGTTGCTCAACATCCTTGTTAATCTACGTGTACTTATCAGTCTCACAATTTTCTCGTTTATCTTCTACCCATGAACCAAAAACATACTAGGACAAGGAAGCCCGCAAGTCATCGAAGCGCTCCTCGCATCATCGACACCATTCACGTTGGCACCATTTTTTGGCAACGTTTCACGTAGTAGATGAATCTGAGAGCGACTGGTCGGATTCTCAGGAGGAACAATGGGAGTTGCCGCCACACCCTAGGAAGAACTGGCTCTGCCGATTTGCAGTGCCGTTTTCGGCGTTTTTGAGTGGTATTCAGGTTAAGCACTACTTCATGATATTGCAGCTGCTGTTTTAGAAGATTTAAACGATTTACTTGTTGCTTGTAGTGCTAATTGTGCTGGTATGTGGTCTGAAGCATAATATCTTCACAGGGACGATTTGCCTCATCGTTTTCTTGGCTGGTCTGGCAAATATGATGCCTCGCAAGGAGTCAACCTGCGAAGTGACCGGATTCAAAAGGGGACTGCCTTGCGAAAGTTGTCAATTTGAAGTCGCAGTTGCGGGAGTGACCACGCCAGCTACATTTCAAGTGCAGTTTGGCTCAGATGGCTTTCCCCTATCGGATGCTTTCGAAAATTGCTCAATCTCAAACGGAGACTGTTGCCTCTTTCAGACCAGATCCGAGCGGGGGATCTCTGAGTTCTGCGACGATGCTCCGTGGCCGTGCACTTATACGGTACAGTCTTTGAAGATGTCCTCAGTGGTCCTCTTTCATGTGCGTTGCAGGAAGTAGAGTAGTGTAGTCCTCTAAACCCCTGGAGTGGGTACATACATACATACATACATACATACATACATACATACATACATACATACATACATACATACATACATACATACATACATACATACATACATACATACATACATACATACATACATACATACATACATACATACATACATACATACACCAATGTGGAGGATGTATTGTTCTGGTATTCGGTAACCTGATTTTGATTATAAGGGAAAACAAGAAGACATGTGGAACAGTGTACTAGGTGAGGGCTCGGATTAGCAACTAGAGGGTTCGTTAACCCTGATTTTCTACTTGGCTTCAACTTCAAGATCGTTGTCGTAGTCGTTCGACACAACTGTATTATGAAGTATATATGACCTTGGTTCCGCATCCGCCTTCTTTTTCACTCCGTCCAGCTTTCCAACGGCAAGACACCTGAAAACGTGGAGAGCGGTAGTATGATTACGATGTACTACATGTTGCTCGCGTCTGGGTTGATCCTGATCTTCGTCCTTTTGCCCTGCAGTATGTATCACTCACAGACCCAAGAACAGGACTACGATGAGCAGTTGGCAAAAGCCAAGGAGGTGACACAGTCCAATGTCGAACGAGATTTGGAAATGAACAGATTGGAAGAGATATGGATTGGGAACGTCTAGTACGTTGTAGAAGTCTTTGAAGCTTTTGTTCTTACACTTACTATGAATATATACCTCCCTACACCTACTACTTATATATAAGTATATACCGCCCTACACCTACTTTTCTCTTTCTGATACAAGTAGATGACTCGTCTTGACCTTCCCTCTACTAACTTGAAGTAGCTGGTAAATTACCAGAAAAACTCTTCTAAGACCCGAAGAGCACGAAATAGCGCGTGCAGCTCAGGCGGCGAAGAGAGGAGCAGTAGTGGTGCAGATGGCCCAATCGTCGCAGACCAGCAGCTTCGGTTCGAGGGCCTGAGTTCGTGGGCAACTCGAACCCAGGCTGCAAATGCACAAACCCACAATTCACAAAGAAAATTATACGTACCAATACAAAATGTACCTAGTTCCACATTCATCCACTGAAATCTTGTGGTCATCTCGCAGTCGCAACATGAAATCGTTCCATTTAAATTCTGATTCTTGTAGATTATAGTTTTTTGGGAGGATAACATCAAATCGTTCTATTTCTTGGTCTTACTTGCATAATTTGCATTTAATTGATGTAAAAACAGTTTACTAGCGATTTTGGTTGAAAAGATGAGTAATGCATGTGTAGAGTTTTAACCGAAAAGGAAAAAGGTGGTGCTAGTAGCACCAGTGATATAGAAGATATACATGAAGATAGTCAACTTAATAGGTTTCCGCTACCACGAGGTTCACCAGTCGTCAAGCAATTGAAGTCGAGGTTGATATCAGAATCTATCTTCTAAATGCTTCTTTAGTACATAGACAAGCAAAATATCTAATGGTTGTACAGCTACGGAGATACACCAGGAGGTGCCGCTAACTAGTCATTTTGTTGAATAGACATTGAAAAATTTGGAACAATTTGTTACAACAATTTTCAAGTTGATAATGTTAATGAAGAACAAGATGAATAGGAATACATGCTTCACGAAGATTTACAAATGTGCGCCAGAGCCAGAGTTGCGCAAGCTTGCGAAACTCATTATTTAGCTCTGGATCTCACTTGTTGGGCCGAGGCTTGTTCCCTCGGGAACAGATCAATCTGCATGATCTTCTGATCGTAGCGCCTAAATTCCGATCACGTCCTCACACTTTCTTTGTTTCGGCTCTTCAGTAGCCACTGAAGTCTGCTGGTTTATCTAGTGGACCCACACCTAACCTAACCTATCCTTGAGAGCCATTGCTTTGTCACCGCCACAGTTACTGCCACCCAAAATGAAGAAATTTCAATTTGATACACCCTTGTCCTGCTTCGTCAGCTGTGCGCAACGGCGCACTCGCACAACACGAGACACACGCTTCGCTGCCCTTATTTTACCTGAATAACATCCACAACGAGGAGGCACCTCCACTTCGGCGTCAAGGTGGTCAGGCACAAGGAAGGTTATCCGGTACATCAGAATTCTGCAAGGTCGTGCACTCAGGAGACGTGCGGCGACTCGATCCATTTCAACTCCACTCAGCTGCTGCGAGCATGGGCGCCTTAGTAAGAAGAACAGACCTTGATCTGGTCTGCATATCATTCTTCGTTGTCTACATATCAGCTATAACAGGCTACAAGCTGTACCTCATGGTTTTCCGCGAGGGCGAAATACCTACTGACTGGGCCTCAAACCTCATGCGAAAATATGCATTCTACGCCGTTGGAGGAATCTTCTTGCTGATAATACTTATGAACGCATTTTTCGTATACGTATACAACACGTAATTATACGGAAGATATTAGAGTTTGTTTTTCAACTCCCTTTCCGTTTCAGCTCTCCATCCTTTGTTTCACGACGTGCACATAAATCAACGTCAAACGTGCAACTCCTATAGCATCAACGGCACTAGTATCTCTAGCTTCATCTCTTTCATCCTCTTCAATCTCTAATCCCCTTGTCGTCATCTACGACCTTATCGGCTTCATAAGAGGTGAAGATCCATGGCAAGGCATGCAGGAGTACACTTGTGGACTTGCGGTCATATCTGGAGCATTCTCCTACTTCATATACCAAGTCCTTTCGTTGGATGCAGCCTTTCTGTTTGCGTACTGTTTATTTTGATGCATGAAAGAATAATTTGAATGTTGTCCACCTTGGCTAGAAGTCGCAAAATGTTTGTACCATGCACCTTCATGACGAGCCAAGAAGCTCTTCTACATAGCCCAATCCTGCTAGAACTGCCTCATCCACCCGTCATTAATTATAACCAACCTCGCTCCCAAGCGAATATCCTACTTCGCAGCAAGCTTAGAATCTACTTGAAAATACACTAAATAAATAACAGCATAGCAGTATTTGGGGCCGGCATGGTTTTCGGATTGAGCAAGATCATTTTGTCGACGTTCTCGCTCTGGCACGACCAGTGGAACATAGGCCTCATCCTGTTGCTGCTTTATCTTTGCGCTTTGTCTTCCTACTCAGTCCGATATCAAAAGCGAAGACGGCAAAACGAGCAGAAGGGAGACGCCATAAAGGACCAGGCATTTGACGAGTACCTCAAGATAATATCGCACGTTTTGAGATATCCGCAAACGCTCTATTTTATGGCAAGGAAGTTGGAAGTTGTGTCTCTCTTCATTGACATTGAGGTGTGACAACGAACAAGGAGCTTTTTTGGGTTTTACAGATCGATGAGTTTAGTTCTAGTAGAGTCCTTGGCATCATTTTTATGTTTATCCTTATTTGAAATAGTTGTGTACCCCAACGATAAATGGAAATGGTACAACACTCGCCCCTGTCTTCTCTTTACTACAAGAACTGACTCCCCGTCTCCTACAAGAACTTACTCGTCCCCTGCGCTCTTTCATAATCTACTACGCCATGGTGTATTGGGTGTTTCAGATCGAGGAGTACTTGGAGACACACGAGGTCGGCTGGGCTGCCGTTATTTTCTACTACGTCATTGCTGCGCATTTTGTGTTCGGTTGTTGCAGAGAATTCAGAGAAAATGATTTTTGACCACAAGTTTGTTATATTATACGCTTTCTTCTTCAACATCAACCACATATATCATACGCTTTCTTCCACAGGAGCTCCTTTTTTTTATCCGCTCGCTCCATCACTTATATTATACGCTTACTTCAAGAAGAACAGGGTTACTAAAACTAATGTTGTTCTGAAATTCATATTATACGCTTTGAAAGCGTCGCTAGCATCATTCAATCAACATCTCCAGTCATTGGGAGTTGTCTACGTTGCAACTCCAGCGAATGATGTTCACGCAGTCGCGGTCCTTGGCTTGCCACACTAGTATGCTCTTTGGGGGGCGCCACAATCTTTCCTACTATATTGATTTCGATGGTCAACATTATCTTCGTGAGCCTGATCATACTAGTAAAAGATCTATCTACGCCTGTTCATCCTCCGGTAGTTCCCTCTAGGCTAGCAGTTCCCTCAATGATGATCCAAGAAGCTCCAAGAAACACTTCATAATCCACAGAAAGAAACTCAGAGGAGATCGATCAGAAATACGAGCAGTATCGCACCATCGAAATAGAACGACTCATCTACATCTTGATCTTCAAAAGTTCTTGTAACTCAGATGAAGGACGGGAAGATCTAGTTCGAGGGGATCCAAGGAGCAAAAAGTTTCTTCAAAATCAAACAACACTTCAAATAATTTGGAGAGGCGAGAACGTTTTTAAAAATTGCGAGAAAGACCCATTGTAGTAAGTTGGTGATCTCTTTATTTGACGACCATCTTGACCTTGTCTTGTTTGAATGTTTTAACAGGGCAAGTTTGGAAGCTTTATTTCATGGTGAGGTATGCGTATGTTAACGATAAGGACATGGTGGCTCGTTGTAGTTGAAGTTGTAGGCCATCTAAAAACTACGCAAATGCAAGGCTTGTCTTGTCCATCTTAGAGCTCTAGAGCTGGTAAAGACGTAGAGTGCTAGTCCTAGTTTTTTTCTGAACCGCGATCATGGGAGGTTTTAAAAAACGCTCTCACCCTGCCAGAGGGTTTGTGGCTGAGCATGGTGGCCTCTACACCCCAGTCCTGCGGGACCTTTTGCATAGGTCAGAAGAAAGGCAGAAACTAGACGGGGAGCATGCTGCGGGAACTGGCTCCAAAGGCAAGAGCAGAAAAGGCGCCCACGGCAGCAGGAGCGGCCACGGCAAGGATCACGGGAGAGGAGCCTCGGCCCCGTCTAGTGTCGCAGACCTTCAGCTAGCTGACGCCGAGGCTTCAAAGGACGAGACCAGTAAGACCATACCAACAGGATTCCGCTCCGTGGTCGAATATTCAGCCGCCTTTTCGAAGTATATCCGGTCAGAATGCACGGCCTACATAGAAACAGAATGGGCGAAAAGGGCTGGACGAGCGGAGTCGTCGAGTGCAAGGAGTTTAGGCCGTACATCTTCAAGTGCCGCAGTGCCTTCAACACCGGGCGCAGTATCGGCTTGCTCCGCTGTCGTCTATCCAGTACGCGTTGCCAGTGCTCAAACGACGTGGCAGGGCCAGCATTTTTTGGATCTTGCCTTAGAGCGTGCACCCGATGAGCAGCTGAGAAACTTCCAGCGGCACTGCATTGTCTTAGTGCGGCGCGCAGGAACCACAGGCTCAGCAAGTTCGTGGCTTCCGTTCGTTATTGCGCATTCCAATATAGGCGAACTGAGAGCAAAACAAGCACAGGCTTCAGCTGCGGGGGCTAATTTTGGGGGCAGCGGATCTAAAGGTGGAAAGCCGGTAGGTGGACAAAACTACGACGCTCCAGGTCTAGCCAGCAGTAGCAAAGCTTTGAAGTTGAGTCTTTATGCTGGAGACTTCGCACCAGGTTCAGGCACAGCAGGTTCTGCCTCGGCAAGTAGTTCTAGTGCAGGTAGTTCGCAGTCCACCAAATGGCGTGGAACCTCATCGACAACGAAAGAGCTTCTACGCGGTTACTTCTATACTGCATTTGGTTTTTTACCTTTCGACTCCGATGCCTATTACAAGGAACATAAGACCACCAATTCCAATTATTCTGGTGCGAATATCTCTTGGAACAGTGGCCATGGTGCCCCAGCAGGACAAAAGCGGAATCTTGCTGGCAGTGCGGCTTTAGAGTCTGTCAGATCGTCGCCGGCTTCGGAGGCAGACGACCGCGACTGGAGAGTCTGGCTTGCTAGAGCGGAGAGAGAGCACTATGCCAGTTGGGGCAGTCTCGAGCTCTGTACTCTCGGAGATTGCTGCCTGTATGCAAGGATGCACCTGGCAAGCAAAATCATAGAGGGCATTCCTAGACAGAAGATCGCTGGCGACAGTTCCTTCTGGGCAAGGTTATTGGGTTCGACTGGAGGAAAGCACTGCGTGTTTTCGGACTCAGACGACGAAGATGACAATGGGGGAGCGGGATATAGAATCCAGTCTATGGGCGAGCTTCTGGGTTTGCCATCTAGATCGTCGCCTCCTGTAGTTGCGGTTGAGCCTCCTGCGTTGAAGGATGTTGTAGTTGACCTTGGCGAAGAGATGGGCATGGGAGTGGTTGAGAATATTGCCATCAGCAATTCCTGCACCTCGAAGCCTTTCCAGCAAGGATCCGCAGCTGCTTTCTCATCAAATAGTTCTTCATCTTCTTTCCCAGGAGAACTACCTTGCAGGGTTTCTTCCTCGAACGCGACGCTGTTGAACGCATCACAGCAGCGCGCACTCTATCTCTCCTCTTTGCCGGGTGTTACATGCGTGCAAGGACCGCCGGGGACAGGAAAGACACGGACGATAGCGGAAATCGCAACGCAGTCTCGCGCTCGACTCTTGATCTGTGCGGCGTCCTCGAATAAAGCGGTGGGTAATATGCTTGAAAAATATCTGGAGAAGAGAAGAAAGATAGATGTTCTTGACCAGGAGCGCACCAAAGCTTCTTCTTCGTTTTCCTCTGTCGCGTCAACATCTTCCTCATCAACCTCGTCCACCTCCTCATCTACGAAGTTCTTCCTACCAGACCGCGTCGCTTACATAGGTGTTGACGAGAAGGTAAGCCACCACTTGCGTCCCTTCTTCGTGCACACACGCGCGGAAACGGTCGCCACGCCTTGGCTGTTTGATCGGTTGAAACGCGAAGCACCTTACTGGATGCGCAAGTTCGACTCTTTCGAGGAGTTCCGGCAAGAGCGGCCCCCTACTGACGAACATCTTGAAACTGAGCTTCTGTGTAATGCTACGGTGATTTTTTCAACACTTGCATGTCTGGGTCGACACCGGGTGATGGACCTGTTGGTGCCGAGTAGCAGAAAGCAGAGTGAGGCGAAGAACAACGGTAGTCAACCTCAAGGATACGGTATAGGAGGTGAGGAAGATGGAAGTTTTCGACCTAGTAGTACAGCTCAGGAAGATGATGGCATGGCCCGTAAAATTTTTAGATACAGTGCTGCATGGGAAGACTATTACAATGAAGGCGGCGATGGCGAACACGAGGAAGATAAGGAGGTAGACGCCATAGAGGATGAAGAGAATGGAGATTTTTTACCAGACCACGTTGATCCAAGTTCTAAGCGTAGAAAACTTCAAGACACAACGCAATTCGCTTGCCTTGTCAACTCAGTCCAGAGAATGGATAGTGATATGAAGTACACGATGGACGGCGAAGTATCGGATTTCGACGTTCGACAGTCTGTCGGAAAATTCCTTGCTAAAAACGGTACGAGGACTTTACCTTTAGCTTCATCCAATTCCAAAGCTGAAGCTGCTTCTCCTCCAGTTCAAAGTCCAGTTGTGAGTAAGAACGACGTCATGGTTATAGTAGACGAAGCAGCACAGGCAGTCGAAGCGGAGACTTTGATCTGCGTCGCTTTGCAGCCAGAGCGATTGATTCTTGTGGGCGATCCTATGCAACTGTCTGCTACGGTGATACACTCTGAAGAATGTCGTCAAGGAGAGTACCAGAGGAGCATGCTAGAAAGGTTGATGGCTTTGAGCAAGGATGACGATGCAGAGCCAGAGGATCTACTTGGAAGTAGCGGCACTTCTTCGTCAATGGCCCTGAACGTGATCAAAGCAGGCACAAAGAACCAAAAGCCATCAGTCAAAACGCCTGTTCAACTTCTTGACGTCCAATACCGGATGAACTCGGAAATTGTCTCCTTCGTGAACCGGCGTTACTACCAAAATCGTCTTCGAACCGGTTACAAGTTCAATCCGGGTGGAGGTGATAATAATCACAGTCGACTGATAGCTAGTTTGACTCCTGCAGGGCGCAAATTGATGCACAATCGGCCTTATCTCGTCATTTCGCATTCATTTCGGGAGTCCAGCGGGAATCATGGTGGTGCAGCTGCAGGTGCAAACAGTTGGTCTATCCGCAACAATGAGGAAGCCAGTCTGATTTTTCGTGTCTATCGGAGTCTTCTGCGAAGTGGAAAAGACCCCTCTTCTTCCTTGTCATCAGGAGCTCAACAGTCAGGAGGCTCTACAACTGCATGGGCTTGTAAACGGACCAACCCTTTCGTTCGAATATTGACCTTCTACAACGGCCAGCGAGATGCACTTGTGAGGTTGTCGAATGGAGCTACTGGTCCTACGACAGGTGCATCACGATTCGAGCCTGAACTTCTAGATGAAGGCGACCCTTCCACCGCGGAGACAATTCTGAGTACCAGTTACGGCTTCCCCTAATCCATCTTCCGAAGCATCTTAGAGACGTTTTCAAGGGGAAAGCAGTCTCGGGATGGACTTGGAGATGGATTAGGGTGAGCTCTAAACCAGCGCATTTTCCTCGTCAGCTGCTATGGGGGGCAAATATCATGGGAAAACCAAGCACCAGCAATACGGGATGAAAGGCAAGAAAAACTTCAAGGGCGGCAAAGGCTTCATCTCTAAAAAAGGAGGCGCTCATCTTCCGCCTTTGGTCTTTGGTGAAGCTAGACAAAAACCTGCAGGAAATGGGGCCGCGAGTGCCTCTATGACGACTAGAATGAACAATGCTGTTGAACCAGACCTCGTTCATACAGTGGACTCTTTTCAAGGATCAGAGGCTGCCATCGTTTTGCTGTCCTTCGTTCGCTCTAGTCAATACCACGGCTTTCTGAACGAGTTTCGACGACTCAACGTCGCTTTGAGCAGAGCACAACACCAGCTGATCATATTCGCGAATGTTGGTGGATTGCTATCTTCGCGCCATAGTTCAAGCTCAACGAACCAGCAACACAAACAGGACAATGAAGTTTCTGCTTTACTGCGAGATGCTAAAGAGCGAGGATGTGTGGTCGATTCACAGCAAGTTTTGGACTTTTTGGAAGGAAGGAGTGGGGGTGAGGACTTGCTGATAAATCCACGTGCTGCTACTTTTTCTTCGAGTTCTGTTGACATTAGTGAGGCCCCCGAGCAAGGTAAGATGAAAGCAACAGTATCTTTGCCACTGGCGGCGAAGACTGATAAAGTTCTCGCACCACCACCACCTCCGAAAAAGCAGAATATAGCAGTGCCGCCACTTGCTGCATCGGGGAGCAAATCAAGCACTTCTTCTGCTTCTTGGAGACTCGAAGACACTGCGACATCAAAGGCTGCTGGCATGCTGGTGACGGCAGATCAGATGGCTAGATTGACCAAGGCAAGCAGTAAAGTCGGGTTGAAAAATGTAAGGAAGTTACCAAAAGGAACCCAAAATGATGCAGCTGATGGCAACATTGATTCCGATGCTAAAGTCCCTTTACGACCGCCGGTTGAGGTTGTTGCGGCTCCATCATCGTCCAACCGTAAAAATACTGTTGTTCTTGTGAATGATCATTCTGTTTCTGCACGCGTTCGTCCGAAGCACAAAGAAGGAGGTGACTGGAACGATATTGACATCGGCGAAGGAGAGCACGAGGAACAGGAACATCAGATCTCAGGATCCGTCACATCTCGTAGTTCCCGTAGCTCCTCTTTGGTATCGTCCCTAAGAAGTGGCACCAATAGGACTCGCATGACCCAACGTGCGCGAAGACAGCAAAGACGGAAAGACTTATTTGAAAGAAGTCGGCAGAACCGGAAGGAGCGAGAGCAGCAGGCGATATTGAAGAGGACAACATCTAGTCGTGTACCTGCTGAGGAACCTCCTAGTGCAAGTAGCAGCTCTAATGGTTCTTCCTCGAATAAACTTCCACGAGCTGCAAGGGAGAAACGAGCACGTCAAAAACGTAAACTGCGTCAACGTGATGAGCGTGCGAAGGAAGCAAAAAGCTTGGAAAGCCGGGTGATTCAATTAGGGGGAGTCACTACAAAAAAGGCTAAAAGCTAGAGATGAGTGAGTGTGTATCAGATTGTCGTTTGTCATGTGGATCCACTATAAGTTCTTTATGTTCAACATCTAGTTGTTCTTGATTTAGTTGATGTTAAATGTCTTCACACTTGAAGTTTTGGACGATTTACTCGGAATTATGTTGCACGGCCCTGCTCTTCTCAGACGTATTCCCTCGCTTACGACCTATCACGAAGCGCAGAACGCGAGCACCCGCTTTATCCCCATACTCACAAAAATTGCGATATCGATTACCCTTGTGCCAAGCAATCGCAATGTTAAAATCTTTTCACCGTTTCGATCCCCGAATGACCGATCACGACTAGTCAAAATCCAAGAAACGGCTTCCAAAAGCTTGCTAGAGTCACGTACCGACTCGCAGCAGGAACCGTACCAACCGTGTTTTTTCCTGATAAAAGTTTCTCGAGAAGAATATGATCTCAGCATTCCTCATCCTCTAAAACAAGATCAGCACCACAATCGATTTCACTGTGGTGATGACCCATGCTCGTGCCACAGTCATTGATCCAGAAGATGAAAAAAATACGATCTACCTCTTGTTCAATGCACGACATGCTGTTGAAAAAGATCCACAGTAGTTGAACTCGAAGACCGACAAAGCACTGATCCGTTTAGTTTTTGTCTAACACACTTAACGTTAACCATTATAATTTTTACAACCCTTCAATAACTCTGACAGGCCTGGTTGATGGAGACGGCTGGAAGCACTTATTTGTTCGCTAGTATCATTAGACTTGGAAGTAGATTTTTTGAATTTGTTGGCACTGGCATCAAGCATTCTACGGAATAATTGGCTCATGAAACTTTGACTTTCCTGTTCTACATTGAGCCACGACAGCTAATATCGTTCTCCTAAAATTTTAGTTTACCACCACTTTGAGTTCCTCGTCCACGACAACTTCACCACACATTTTTCAAAGCATCAAAATGGGCGAACAAAAGCAGGACAAGAGCGCTTTTTCAGGCGATGGCCGCACGCCATCCCAGTCCTCTTCCAACTTCAACGTCGAGGAATACAAAAACCTGATCACCCTCGATGCCCACAGGGCTCACAACGTGAACTGCTACGAAGGTGGCAGTTCCTTCACCGCTCTCGGCTACGACAATACCTTTTCCCTCGAAAAGTTCCAGAAGAATTGTCGTATCGAGATCACCAAAGTTGAGGAGGACGCAGTAGAATTCGACCTCCTTGGGGTAGATCCCCCACTAGCAAACGCCATACGACGAATCTTGTTGGCGGAAGTGCCGACTGTTGCCATCGAAAGCGTCTGCGTGTACCAGAATACAGCCGTCTTGCATGACGAGTATTTGTCGCACAGATTGGGTCTCGTGCCACTGGCTGTGGATGCGGAGGATATGGAGTAATTCTTGACTTTTTTTAACATGGTTATTTGTTCCTGTTCGCTGCACGACCAGTTGAATTTTTGAGCCATAGACTAGAAGTGTTCCGGGTCAATGCTATACTTTTTTGTTATAAAAGATGTAAAGACTTGGTCTTCTTCGGTTCAAACACCATTCAATTTCTCATCTCAATTTCCAACACCTCTTCTTTCTAGTTCTGATTTCCATTGTTCAATGATTCAGATTATCTTCCGTAAAATCACTCTCAATTATCACAGTTGGGTCCGCGAAGGTGAGGAAAAAGGCGATGGCTGCGCCAGACCAGAAAAAGTTCGCTTCATGCTTCATGCACACTGCAAAGGTGAAGATTTGACGGTCTATTCTGGAGATTTGGTGTGGCAACCAGAGACGGATCGAGAAAGGGAGTACTTCGCAGACAACCCGCCAAGACCTATCCACGACGACATCATTCTTGCGAGATTGGCAAAGAATCAAGAGATCTTGTTGGAGTGCTGGGCACAGAAGGGACAGGGAAAGGATCACGCAAAATGGTCACCGGTTGGAACGGCATGGTACTAGGATACGTCAGTTGCCATCTACTTCATGGGGTCCTCATTCTCCACTATTTGTGAAGACCAGAAGTAAATTCAAAATTTTTTATGCCAACAATTTTCTCAACGACTGTCATAATTCAATCAAATCTTCTGCTTCTCCACTAACTGATCGTTGTCGTTCTTTCTCCACAAATAAACAACTCTCCTCTCAGGTACCGTCTCATGCCCAAGATCACACTCCTCGAGCCGATCTACGATGAGGAAGCTGAGAAGCTTGAGAAATGCTGTGCCTCAGGTACCTTTGGCATCATCGAGGAAAACGGTCGTAAGCGAGCTATCGTGAAGGACGTCAGGTCGTGTACCACGGACAGAGAATGCATCGATCCGGAGAGAGGTTTGCCAGGAAAGGTGCTATTGCAGAAGGTGAAGGACCACTTTCTGTGGAGAATCGAAAGCATTGGGCAAATTCCACCAATGGAGTTGTTTGAGCGCGCATTGCAGGAACTTTCGAAGAAGTGTGGAACAGCTGCGAACATGCTGAAGGAAGAAGAATACTACGGCTAGAGAAAGTGAACGATGTTGATTGCCCATGGGGATATTACTATTAGAGTATGAAGACATTTGACGCAACGAGATCAGATTTTTTGGAAGTACCCGGGAACATCCATATAACGCAAACAACAATGCACCTAACGCCAAGAATAGCTTTCAACCCACTCGCAAACATGCAATGAGTTATCATTTACTAACTACTACTACATCATCCTAGTAGAAAAGCCGGGACTCAGAGGCTTGAGTCCTCTTCTATCGGGATTCCGCCACTAACAAATTTTGGTGTTCTTCATGCCTGAGCACGTTGGTGGCGCCAAAACGGCACTAAGCGCTTGTTCATTTTTTAGAGGTAGATCAAATCTGTCACATCAGGAGTCTCCTTCTCCGAGAAGGTCATCTGTTTGTTACGAGTTCAAACTATCCTACGTGCACATAGTTTCTTGACACGTCAAAAGACAGCAAAAATGGCATTTGTGGCTTCAAAGGACGAAGTCCGTAAAAAGGAAGGTTGAGGTGTTATGGGATGACGGTGGTCAACATGATCATCATCAACATCATGATGTAAGTATGTGTCTATAAATATTCTGCGTAAAAAATCGATGGTGGAGGAAAGGTATAGTAGATTTTTCTTAAACGTGCTGTTTACATCTACTTCATAACACAATCGCGACCTGCCACTTAATATCTAAGAGGAGGCTACTAGTACTAGATGACTTGACAAAATGCCGTCCCAGTCCGACGAGCCCGCAGTGGCTCGCAAGTCTTCCCTCCGTAGCAGAGTTAGCGTCCAGGCTGCAGCTAACGTAGCGAAAGCGAAGCAGCAGGAAGAAGAATCTCAAAAAGGAAAGGAGAAGCCCAAAGAGGAGAAATGCGATCTCTTCTCTGATCCTGATGATGGTGGAGGGAACGACGATGCAGCTCAGCCAAAGACTTCCAAAAGCTCTTCTGGTACCTCAGCGTCGTCTGTCATTGGCACATTGGGTCGAGTACGGAAGAAGCCTCGCAAGGATGCTCTCTCTGACGATGACGACAAAGAGAATCTTGACGACGAGGAGGAAAGCAGATTCAAGCCTAAGCGACTGAAGAAAGGTGGCGCTTCGAGTTCCAGTAGTGCCGTAAAGAGGAAGTCTGATGGTGGACAGCTTGACGATTTCTTCGCAGCACCAGAAGATGACAACGCTTTTGCCGACAGCTATCACTTTGGCCTTAGCCTAGACAACAACATCCTCAAAAATGGCAATAAACAGGACGCCGAGGACAGTGGCGAAGAAGAAGGCGAAGAAGACAGCGATGACGAGGAATATGAGCCAGATTCTGACGAAGTAGATGAAGGTTTTTTCTCAAAAATGAGCGGTCGAAGCAAGAAAAGAGGAAAGAAGGCCCAACCGACGAAGGCGATGAAGAAAGCGAAAGCCGCACCGAAGAAGAAAGGTGCAAAAAAGAAGAAGAAACGCGATAGCTTCGTAGTCGACGGATTGTCGGACGAACAACAAAGTGACTCTGATGCCGTACCCTCGTCCTACCATTAAGCGGCGTCCATTATTTTCAAATCGATAGCGTTTGCTTTCCATTGTTTTTTCGACATAAGATGAAGATCGAAAATCATTTCACATTTTTGAACAAACATGTCCACTTCAGAATATCCGCTCAGACAGCGATGATGAATACCGTAAGGCGAAAACGAAAGAGGATAAAGAATGGATGGCGAAAAGACGACACCTTGTCCGCCAAAAGAAGAAAGAAGCCGAGGATATTGAGCAGCTGTGGGGTTATACGAAAAGTAAGCGTTTTGAGTCAGTTACAAAATACCTTATTATTTTTGGCGTAGAGTCTATATTACTAGTACTGTACATGTTGCAGTTCGAAGATAGTAGTCCTCTTTCTTGCATGTTTGATATCTTTCTCTTAAGCTTAACATTAAATTTAACATCCTCTTCATCTACATCTTCATTTTCATGATCACCATAGGAAATAGATGTTCAACTCCTACTCCCCGTAATCCTTGTCATAGGTTATCTCGGTGTGACCTTGTACCAGACGGCCTATGGCGAACCAGAGGACTCGGAAGAGGAAGAGAGGGAGGAGCCGATGACCGTACACGAAATCGTAAACCTGCTCAAAACGAAATTGAAGACTTTTCCGACGAAGAAATACCTCGACCCAACGCAGCGTCCGGATCTGGACGATGACGCAGAGCAGGAAGGGGGTGCTTCCTCTTAAGACTGGCGTTGTCTGAGTTCTTCGAGTTTGAATGTCATCCTGTGCTTTTGTCGTGTCGACTCAATGACTACATTGAGACTTTGTCGAAAGGGTGGCAGCATATAGTCCTAACGCAAAAAAAAAAAAAGATACGGGTCGTGTTAGGAACGACACTATCAGGGGCATACACTTACACATGGCGTCGATTTTCAAAGACAGTTTTTGTGATGTAGAAGTCCCTCCACCTTCCAAGGCTCTCATGTGTTCTAGTTGACCACCCTCTAATTCCTGGAAGACGAGGAGGATAGCGACGAAGACTCCTCACCTAAAAAAAAGAAGAAGAAAAAGAGTCGTGCACTAAAGCGGACCGACCCAGCGGACCATGTGGATCTCTGGTACCGTGAGGCCGATGAGGACGTCAACGAGGTTCAATACCCTGCTGCCTTCAAGCAAATACCAGACGACTCACGCGATGCCCACGTTATCTACTTGCGAAGAGTAGTAGGCTTATGGACAAGTACAGTCATTTACAACTCCTCACACTCGATCAAGATCAAGATGAACATCAAGAATCAGTGTAGTCACTTTTAGTTTCTTGCTATACTTTTCTCGTCCTCTAATTCTCCACAACGAAGACGGCTCAGAGAGAAAGGAGCAAGCGAACATGACAGAAGCACAAGTTCGCGAGTTGCGCAAGCTTCTGATACAGGAAATCCCGGGTGTACGAAAAGACCATACTGCACCTTGTAGCATCATGGAGACCAAGCGCGTGATGGGGAAGAAGACGTTCAAAGCCAAAACAGATTTTCGGCCAATTGTCAAACTCATTGTAGATCGGAAGGTATCCACTTCTTATTTATCTTCTGTGGTCCGAGCAGATAGGAGGTACAGGTAGAGGTTGCGTTCTAGGCCAATTTCTGTGGACTTGGACGAGATTTTGATAGTATTCAGTTTTGCTCTAGATTAAGATTCTTGCATTTCAAAATAAGCATAAACCGCCACCACCACGACAGGTCCAGAACAAGTTTGAAAACGTGTTTTATAGTGGAGAGCACAAGGCCCTCGGGCATCGTATCTACGTTGCTGTGCCACCAACTGGAGGCGTCCGCGACTTACCTGATGAGTGTTTCCTAGACCCTGGACGCAAGTATCCTGTTTTCATTGTAGCAGCAAATCAGAAGGATAAAGACACAATGCCGCTGGAGAAGAACAATGTACCAGGAGACGATGAAAAAACATCGACGTCGGGTAGTAGTAGTACTAGTACAGTTTTGCGTGGTAAGATTTCCATTCCGCTTTTGCTTGCAGCACACAAATCGCTCATAACGAATGCGGAGCGCACTTTCAAAGGCAAGTGGAAGCTTTTGCTACAGAAACCGGTTGTGATGGGAGACCTGGACCTTTATGATTATAGAGGATTTACGCTTTCTGAGTCTGACGGTGACCATTCTACATACTTTTTGAATTGTGCTTCTATTTCTGCGACAACAGCTTCAACTTCTTCTACGCGTCGTCTTCTTTACATCTCTAACCTAATCCAAACGAATCTGGCGTCGCACCAGCTGCAACTATCGACCAAGAAATGCGCCAGAGACTGGAAGGAGATGATAACATGACATCGTCGAAGCTGGCAGGAGGTGATGCTGCTGCTTCTGCTCCTCCTGATGCTTCTAAAGACGTGAAAAAAGAAGGGGCTAATCCTAATGGAACACAGACACAGAGCAGCTTTGCCTTTCCAGGTTACCGACACGAGAACATGGACGAGCTCCCACCCGAAGGCTTGAGGCATTATTCGCAAATCACGAACGATTTCGATGTCGTGTGGCTTCAGAGAGCCGCTCTGCTCCTCAACCACGCGATGAAACAAAACTTGGTAACTGCCGATAACATTTCCAGAGGCACGCTTACCGACGCACAGGTGAAGCAGGCTAAGGAGTTCCATCGAAAAGGCCTCACCTGGTACGATGGCAAGAACGCCGAGAAGTTCAAAATGGCGATCCAACCAACTCTCTCTGGTGGTATCGGAGGGTCATCCCACATACTTTCCCATGTGCAGACGATGCAGTCGGAGATTGAGCGACAGTGTGAGGACGCTGAAGCGAAACATGCGATGAACCTCGAAGCGAAAAGGATGCAACTTGAAGCTGGAGGTGGCTTCGGAAAGCGCAAAAGACCTTTGGCTGCGGCTACGTCAACGTATTCCCTCTTTGGTGCGCCAACACAATCCGGCCTCACCAATCTCCAGTCCACTACCTCTTTAGGAGCTGCACAACCTGCCGGTAATCAAGGGAACACAAACACAGTAGTGACCGGCAAGAGCTTTGACAGCTTGCTAGGACCGGCAACAGACGCGGCTGCGCTACAGCTGAAGCAAGCAGATGTCGAAGAGGAGATGCTGTTTGGATCATTAGGCACAGAACGTCTTGTAGAAGGCGGCTCTTCCTCTTCAACAATGTTGAAACCTGTGACAGAACACCAGCGTGGGAGTTCCGCTGGTGGAGTTGAAGCTTCTGGTGCATCAAGCACTGCTCCAGTTCCTCCTGCACAAGGTGGCAAGAAGCTTACCAAGCTGGAGCTTTTGAAGTTGAAGCGTGAGGAAAGACTCGCAGCACAGCGAGCGAAAACAGGAGGCAACGCAGGAGCGGGAGCTGCAATCTTAGGGAACAAGACTGCATCGAAAGATGCTGGAAATGCCGAACCAGACGACGATCGTAGTCGTCGTTCCGCAAAAGCACCCACTACTTCGTTTATATCCTCCGCTCACGCCGATCTGTTCAAACCTACCCTCAGCGCAGATCACCTAGCTGACGTGAAGCTTGCTGGTAGTGACGAACTCTGTATCATCGATGAGTCTCAGACCAGTGCAGGTGGAGAGGACGGAAACAACAGCTACGCGTATTTGCAAGAGGGTGCCAAGCGACAAAAACAGCTCGAAAGCAAGGTTCGCATTCTGGAACAGAACATTCAGAATTTGATGACGCTAGATGCCAGAGGAGACCAGTGGAAAGGCGCCGTTGGGGAAGTACAAAACGCCATAATCACGGTCCCGCCAGATCGTCGAGGGCAGTTGGACGACATGCTGAAAAGAGTTTTGGAGCGGAAAAAGAAATATCCAAAACCTAGCAAGGATTTGGTATTTTTTCTATTTTTGATGTCACATTGTTCTTGTTCTTGATTTATTGTCATATTTATTTTTAGAGAAGTCCTATAAATATCTAGATGAACTTCGAGTAACGTGACTAGAGAGAAATCCAGATCCAGTGACTAGATGAACCTCGAGTAACGTAATCCAATATGAGTGGGTGTGCCCTCACTGGGCTGGTGAATTAGAGTGTTACTGTTGGATACATTCGAACACAGACTGTTAAGTCGCGTCTAGTTTCTCGGTAGGAGACACTTGAGAGTGATACTGTTTTCACAATTTGCACTCACAGCCTGAGACAAATGATCTCTGGCTGCTTTGATCCCTGTGGATGTTCATTGGGGTTACATGGAGGAAGTCTCAGCTTCATCATTGGGATATCATGTTGCATGGGGAAACTTTCATATGGAAACGCTTATGCTATCATCATTGATTCATACGATCATCCTATGTTGATTCTCATCATTGATCAGAACTGACAGTACGTTATGAACCTGATTACAGCTATGAAACATTCATCATTTCTTCTATCTGAATACGTTGAAGGTCCTTTGCCTGATGATCACTGTTTTTGGAACTATATGCATTTAGGTCTGTAGGTTATCTTTGAGATCATTCCGGTGCTGTTTTGTCCTTGACTGTATTGGGAGGCTTGAGCCACAAACGAGAGAGAGAGGAGAAGCCAGAGACACCCGCGCGACGGTAAACCCGTCGGGCGTTTGGATGGTGCTCCGGTAACCTTTTGCCTGGCGATCTTGGTCATTTTGCTGATCTTCATCCTTGTGATCTTTGTGACATTTCGAGGATTATGACCTTGACCAACACCCCTCCTCAATCGTTGCGTGTCGAAGTCCCTAGTCTCTGGACTACCACGGAAGTCATATCTCCTAGCTGCTCTTCTATGGCTACGGTATACTCGGCTAGAAACCAAAATAAACCGAATATACTACACTATAGTAAGCTAAATCATCCCCATTCGTTTCATCGTCTGAGGAATCACAATCATCATACTCAACTTTAGTTGTCGGGTTATCTATATGGTGAAGTAGTAGTCTACGTTGAGACGAACTACATTCTAACTTAGTTAAGCCATCAGCCTTCATTAAGTTAGTTGGACAGAAAACTATCTTACTGGCCGCATCACGTACACGCAAGTAGCGCAGTGCGTAATGGCGACTCTTCGGGCGTGTGTCAGTTGCTTTGGCTGTTGTGATCGCGGATTGGTTGTCGATCCAGAGCACAGCATTGTCTAAAGAGGGAGACAAGCCGTTCTGTGTGTGTACCAACTGGGTTGGTAGAGGCCTATAGAAGTCTGTAAAGTCATGCAGTTCACTAAGCACAATAGTGTCAGAAGCTGCAATATATTCACTTTCAGCCGTAGAGTAGGCACGGACAGTTTGTCGGTTACTTCTCCAAGCAATTGGAACGCCTTTGAAATACATGATCGATCCACTTGTACTTCTCATAGTCTTTGCGCAGTTGGCGAAACCTGCATCACTAAAGATATTCACCTCTGGCATATCTCTGCCTTCAGGTAGTAACTTTGAATAGATTCTATTGAATTCTTCTTCTTGTTCTGGTGAGTATTCCAGTCCTTGGTCTCTCGTTGTCACCAGATACTTTAGCACTTTTCTGGCTGCTTTAACCATTCTTGTTGACGCGGGTTTGCTGACATGTCTAGCCAGTGCTGCCACCGGAACAGAAATGTCCGGGCGCGCGGTTACAGCTACCCATAGCAAGGCGCCAACGACCTCACGAAAGGGATACCCTTCGACTATCTTGATCCCCTCCTCAAGAAAAGCCGACTCGTCAAAATTGGGCGAGTAAACCGGTTTTCCGACATCAATTTCGAATTTCTTTGCGATTTTATCAATGTACTCCTCCATATTGAGCCGAAATGTTCGAGCTTCACGGCAGTAATACACGATGGCACCTAAGAAGTCGAACCTGAGCCACGTTTGACCCCAAGGGGTTGGAACGGACTCCACATCAATCGCACGGCCAGGGGCACGCGAGAAGATGAGATCTAGTTCGGTCTTGAGCTCATCAAGATCAGGACCCGTTGCAAGATTGTCATCAACATAGACTGACATCTTGAGGAACTTCCCAGGTACCTTCGCACTCGGCTTTCTCCATAAGCCTGGCGCAGAATCACACGGCTCCCAGCCAATGGTGGCTAGTATGTCGTGATATTTCTTGAACCATGCTCGTGGTGCGTCCTTCAAGCCGTATAAGGCCTTCTTGAGCTTCACGATCTCGCGTCCATGCTTCTCTGCCCAGATGGGTGGGAGACGGCAGAAGACATCGCGATCGAGTTCAGCATTGAGGAACGCAGAATCTAAATCGAACGGGATCACATAGTCCTGTTCTGACGCAGCAGATGTCAGGAGCAGCCTATTAGCGGCGTGTGAAACTACGGGAGCAAAGGTGTTTAGCTCTCCTGAACGATCTAGATTACCGAGGACACAAGCGCGAGCCTTGTATCTTCCACATCTTTTAATAGTTAGAATTATGGCAATTGGTAGAGCCTGTCGCGCGGTCGCAAGCTCCTCGTCAGAAGCTTCTTTCCACGTTTCAAAGGCTAGTAGTCTCGCATGCTCTTTGTCAATAACCTCCCGCCATTTGTCGGCATCAGGAGACTTGAGTGCTTGAGCAACGGACAAAATCACATATGATTCGACGAATTCCTCATCTTCGTCTAATTCACACGTGCCACCTACTGCACTAGCGAACAGCGCCACATTCTTTCTCAGTTCTTCTAACTGTTTCTTTGTTCTTCGAACCCTGCTGCCTGCTTTGTCCTTCGCTCCTTTTGGTCGGCCACGCTTCTTGACGTGTGTACGGCGTTCGCCTGCCACAACACGTGCTGGAGAAGGCGCTTTCGACTTAGACGGACTTAGCGGAGCAGATGTCTCGCGATCCTTCGCTTCAGCATTCCCCTCCTCAAGTGAAACACCTTTTGGAGAGTCAGCTGCGTTGGATTCCTCTACTTTATCCAGTGTCTCAATAAATAATTCGTCGGAAATCGCGGTCGGTCCACCTGGAATGTGCTCCGTGCCAGAGAACCCCGATTGATGATCCAGCCTTTGCACTGACTGTCCAAGCAAGGGGGAGCCCAGCGACGACGCGCCACTCTGCAGATTTTCCAGTTCGTCATACTCAATGTAGATGCCCTTCTGATCTGGCAAAAGCCAATCGATATTTTTAATTAGATAGTCCTCTCTGAACTTTACATCTAGGGTAGAGTATTCCGCCCATCGATGTCCAAGCTTGCAACGATCGTCATGAGCGAAAGTTCCAACCAACCAACCAGACGACTTCGGACAGAGTCCAAGGAAGACGCCACGGCGGTACTTGGCCGAGAGCTTGGGTTCAGGAGTGTTGGCTTGAATTTGTTCACGAAAGTAAACTAGACAACCAAATCGGCGGAGCATGCCGATTGAACTCTTCGATGAGTTTCTACCAGTCCTTTCTTCTAAGATTTCAATTGGACTCTTTCCATCATGTTGAGGCATTTTTGCATAGTTATGCGGTAAACGATCCCAGCAGTCACCAGCGTACTCGACGCAGTAACACCAGAGGCGTTTATCAACTTTAGTCAGCATTGTGCGTACACTGCCGAACAAAGTCCGCATAAAACGTTCGCAGGTCCCATTCATCTCCGGATTATAAGGAACAGCCGGACTGTCTGAGACTCGCAGCGATTGCATAACTTTGGTCATGTCATCACTGCTCAGGACAGGTTCTCCATCCCTCCGGAGGAACCACACTACCTTGTCATCAAGTGATAAGGAGTAGTCCTGGCGAATGCCTTTGATAACTTCTTCTATTTCCTCCACACAGTCACTTTTCAGCTTAAGCGGTCGACAGAACACCTTCTTAATTACATCACAGATGATCACTAATACACATCTCTTTGACCTGACTGATACGGGTTTGATTCCAACAGCAAAGTCGATTGCTAGTAACTTCAATGGTTCAGGTTTGTAGTTCGAAGTATCTCTAGCTTTTGCATGTGGTGCGCGTTGGCCTTTATGTAGATCACACTCAGGGCAATTTACCTGGAGGCCATCTATATGAAAGTGCCCACATCTTCTATGAAGTTCGAGTCTTGTAAGGTAACAACTACTGACTCCTTCTTCTACTGTTGAACAAATATAACCACTATCAGTCTCTTCTTTAAATAAGTTGCATGCAAGTATGGGAAGCTGCAAGCGTGGATGACTTCTTATGGGTATGGCCTGGCCGGTGTCCGTATGTACGAGACAACCACCTGCGCCTTTGAAGTTGAATTCCCATCCTAATTGCGAGCAGTTCCCTTCACCTAACCAAGGTATAATACGATCTAAGTCCTTTGGTAGTGAATCATAATAAACACCATACTGGAGCCCTAAGATGTTTGACTTTAGTTTTCCTACTCTTCCGTCTTTACTTCCAGCGCTACCAGTAATCCTACAAGTTCTCATAGTTATTTCACTAAAATCGTCTTTGTGTCTTGAAAGATATTTGTTTGCACAACTATCGACTAGACTAACTTCTTCTCTTGTAGTAATGGAACTAGTTGAAAGACTATGTCCCACAAGTTTTACCTCCCCTGTATTATTTACGTTTATTTCTTCACCCTCATCTTCATCCAAGTTCAGCGAGCAAAATCCGCTTTCCACCGGTTCCGCAACTCAGCTCTGCTTTCCGCCGTTGAGAGCTTGCCACAGCTCCGCAACTTGGGACATGTGAACCATGCCATTACCCTTTCCACCTTTACCCATAGCACTACTAGATTGGGAATTGGTGTTCCAGTTCCAGTTTGCCTGGTTCTGTGGATTCTTCCAACAAGACGCGGATTTGTGACCCGGTTTGTTGCAGATCCAACAGACTGGACGGGTGTCTTGTTTTCCAGAACCTTTATTATTTTTGTTCTGCGGCTTTCCTTTGCCGTTCGAATTGGAGGCATAGACCTCGGCGGCGATCTTCTTCTTTGTGTTTGCCTTGAAGCGCTTGAGAGCACTTTTAGACAGAAAGATCTTACCACCTTCATTGGCCTTTTCCTCGTCATCCTCCTCTTCACGAGAACGTTTATTCGAGGTCTCCTGAACATTGACCGGGAACGCCTTCCCGAAGGAATCGTTCTCAACTTTGTAGGTTCCCTCCTCGATCAACGTCGCAAGACGCTTTTCAAGTCGGTCACCAATCTGGTCAAATGTCAGACCATCTTCTTCCTGCATGCGTTCGATCGTTGCCTTGAAGTTCTTGCAGAACAGCTCGGGCAACTTCTGTAGCAGTGCACCATTTTGTTGGTCACTTTCTGGCACTCCTGCTTCCGGCGGGTACACGGTGGGCGACTGGTTCATGATGTCTCGGACTTTCGACAAGAATCCTGTGACATCTGCAGGTTGATCCGCGTTGTGGAACTTCAACACGCCATCCGTAAGCGGTTTTACTTTCATCCGTTGTTCCTGACGGTTGTTTTGATCGAAGTGTCCTACATCACGAAGGAGCACAACAACCTCACCTGCATCCATCGCATCCACCTGCCCATTATCGTTCTGGTTGTTGATGAACGACGCAGCGGCACCTTTCAGACTACGAATAATCGCATCTTTCAGGTTGCGCCACTTCTGCCGAATTGTTTCCTCCCGATTGGTAACTCCGTTAGGAATACCATGAGGAGCTGCCGGAATGCCGACTACATTCGTGTAGTTTTGAAGCAGGCCGAGACGGCTAGCTTCCTGACGTATGGCAAGTTGCCATGCTCGCCAGTCGGACTTCTGTCCGAGTTTCTTCGAAATTTCTTTCGCATCGCAGGACATTTTGAAAAGTTGTTTCTAGATGGATTTCTACTCTATACTTAGCTCAAGGGTCAAAGTAGTGTTGGATACATTCGAACACAGACTGTTAAGTCGCGTCTAGTTTCTCGGTGAGAAACACTTGAGAGTGATACTGTTTGCACAATTTGCACTCACAGCCTGAGACTAATGATCTCTGGCTGCTTTGATCCCTGTGGATGTTCATTGGGGTTACATGGAGGAAGTCTCAGCTTCATCATTGGGATATCATGTTGCATGGGGAAACTTTCATATGGAAACGCTTATGCTATCATCATTGATTCATACGATCATCCTATGTTGATTCTCATCATTGATCAGAACTGACAGTACGTTATGAACCTGATTACAGCTATGAAACATTCATCATTTCTTCTATCTGAATACGTTGAAGGTCCTTTGCCTGATGATCACTGTTTTTGGAACTATATGCATTTAGGTCTGTAGGTTATCTTTGAGATCATTCCGGTGCTGTTTTGTCCTTGACTGTATTGGGAGGCTTGAGCCACAAACGAGAGAGAGAGGAGAAGCCAGAGACACCCGCGCGACGGTAAACCCGTCGGGCGTTTGGATGGTGCTCCGGTAACCTTTTGCCTGGCGATCTTGGTCATTTTGCTGATCTTCATCCTTGTGATCTTTGTGACATTTCGAGGATTATGACCTTGACCAACAGTTACACTCTTGATTTGTCATATCAGAGAAATCCAAATATCAGAGAAAACCATACAACTAGCGTCTAATGATCTGAAAACAACTGATGATCTATCTAAGTACCCTGTTGCTGTAGTGTGTCGACCTCCTTCTCCGCCAAAACAATTCAGATATCCATGCGTGCCAAAGCAGTTGGCTTTGGGAAGACGTTGCGAAAAAGCGACAGCAATCCAGACGCAATGGATGATAGATCGCGTGGTCCTCCGAAAAGTAAACCTGCTAAAGAGCGTGGAGGTGGAGTGAAAGAAGTGAAAGAAACACTACTTCCTCCAGATGATCGAAAAACTAAGACAAGACCTGGCCCTGGTGCTAAGAAACCTCTGTCGAGACACGATAGTGCTAGTGTATTTGAGGAGAATAGTCAGATGAAGTTGGTGACGAATAAGGAACCAACACCGACTAGTAGCAACATGATAGGAGGTGGACCTGGCAGCTTGTTCTTTCCGAAGCGCGATGGTGCCAGTGCTGATAAGTCAACAACAGATAAAGTAAAGAAAGTCCCGTCAATAGATGGGGGTGGAGTGGACTTGAAAAAAAGTCGATCGCGCAGCGGCTCCGATGATAAAGTTCCAGGTAGTAGTCCTGTTTTGGGCACGACTGACATCAACAAAGGCGATACGTCCAAAGCTCCTGCTGATGCCGATGTAGCATCTTCTAACATCAAGGACACGGGTCCTAATGCTCTTCCGGCAAATCTTGATTCAATACAGTTGCCACCCGAGGTTCGAAGTGACTACGAATGCACACCCACCGGAGCTCCTCCTGCTGCTCACATGGATGAATGTCTTCAATCTGCTGACATGGACGTGGCCAATTCATTGTCCCAATACATGGGTCAAGGAGGTCATTTGGAAAACGATGTCAAGAACTGCACTTACTCCGGTGCTGAGATGCATGGACAAATGGACATCAACTCACTCAGCCTAAATGAAGTAGGGGGAAATATAATTACAAATAACAACAGCAACAGCAAGAACCACGTACAACACGCAGGAAGACGAGGAAGTTGCAGATTGGACGATAGCTTAGAGCACGATGAAGATGGACGTGATTCGACGGCATCTTCGCAACTGCTGTTGAACAGAGAACGATCAGCTTCGTCGTCCTTGCAGCATTTGAATAGCTTTTGCTCTATCGACCAAGAGGGTGCGGAAATGCAGGCAGAGAAGAACAGAGGCGCCCAAGGAGCGAATAACTCTTTATTGAATTTGTGTGGAGGAGGAGGAGGAGGAGCGAAGATGGAATCCCCTGTAGAACACGTGGTGAATCCGGCATGTACTTTTAGCTTCTAATTCGAGAGTTTCAAATCGCTTTTTGTTTGGCAACTTCTTGTTCTTCCCATTGATAATTGATCATCTCCATCAACATCATCTTCTAGGCTAAGTATAATATACTTCCACGACAGTGAGCGCCGGTTTCGGAGGACGACTGCTTGCCGCTACCAAGCCTCAGGAGTATGGAGACCAAGAGCAACAGCGCAAATTTCTGGCTGAGATGAACATGTTGACCCTAGAGGATGAGGAAGAGTCCGAGATCATATCAAAGGAGCTTGATCATGATGATAGTGCAAAGCTTGGCGACAGTCTCAATAGCGAAGACGCAGTAGGAAAAGCGTCTTCTTCCTCCTCATCCAGTGCTGGGCCTGGTGCGCCATCGAGGCTCAAAAATCTCGCGGCGCGAGAAGCAGAGGAGCTAGAACGCCAAAGGCAAGAAAGGGTTGAGCGGAAAGTTGCATTATGTTCATTTAAATTTGTCGTTCTTGTAGGTGTATTCGAAAACTCAAAATAAGCGAGTTGCTGACTGAAATAAGAGGGTCTTGACTACTTAGTACACTCCTCTTCTTTCAGTATCTCCCTTATTTTCAATAGTTACTCGGTTATTTCAGTTTATCGATTACTATAGCTCTAGTTCCAGTCATGTTGTTTACAATAAATGGCGTTTTTTCGCGTACCCACATCGTGAGGCTAGATCTGGATGCTACCTTCTTCTAATCCTCAAGCAGCTATTGAAAAAGAAACGTGCAGAACGACTGGCGAAGTTCGTGGAGATAGAGGCTGACGAATCTGACGCGTCAGAGTCTGAAGGTGGAGGAGAGGTGAAAAGCGACATGGACGACGATGATGAGGAAAACGCCAAGCGGAAAAAGAAAAAGACAAAGAAAATTACGGCTCGGGCTTACTATTTGTAAATTTTTGAGAGTAAAGTTGTTCACGCGAAATCTTTGATGTGGGTAATGCCTCGCTGGTATCTAAGCTGCTGTAGCACGGCAGTTATTATTCGGCATTGACGTATAAGGACCTATAAAAATGTAGTAGAAGTATAAAAGACACATCACCACCAGATGAACAGCCAACACCACTCCTATATCTCTAAGGCCGAAGCCAAGGCCAAGGAAAAAGACGAAGATGCGGATGACGAGGAGGGCAGCGATGTCGATGATGAACTCGCTTCGTTATTAGCAGACGACGAGGAGGAGTCCGATGAAGAAGACGACGTCGAATTTCGAAGGAAGATGTACGATATCACTTCTTGCTTACATTTCGTTTAGACATATTGATATTCGAAGGAAGACGTACTATGAAAATTTTTCTCGCGGCTTTTATTTCGGATACATAGTCTACCTTGTGGACTTCTGTTACCGTGTTTGTTTGTCCTTCTTTTGTTCCAAGTTGAAGTTTAGGCTCAGCGAGTAGGACATGTACACTCAGCAGTGCTCGCTCTTTTCTTCTATTGTCTTGCTTGTCTCTCCTTATTTTGTGCTTGCGTTCGGGGAAGCCGTACGTCCACGCAATAACATGAACATCATACGTAGTTCATGATCCAATACACATACAGGTTTCTGATTAACATAGAAGCGGAGAAAAACACGGAATCCTGGTTAGACAAATATGTGGTCGACAGAAAGGAGCGCAAACGACAGCGACAGATTGAACGAGAACGGATGGGTACTCTCTTTGTCTGATAGCGTCCTTCTTGATGTGTTTTGCTGTGCATACTGTTTTCTAAAAAGTTACGTTACTCTTATTTCCGAAAAAACTCAAAAAGACACTTTTACTTTCTACTGCTATCATCTACAGGTGAAACCGCCCGTTGGGAGGAGGATCTGCGACAGCGGGAGAAGGAAGAGCGTCGTCAGAGAAAACTCCTAGATGAGGAGATGCAGGAAGATGAAATTTTGAGTGACGACGTCAAAGCCAATGAAGCGGAGCGCGAGAAGGCTAGAGAGCGCAAACGAAAAGCAGCAGAACGCGATGCGAAATTGTTGGAAATTCAAGCAAAGAACGCGGCAGAGAGGGAAAAGAAGGTATGGGTATGTGCTATCAATAGAGGTAGATGAAACACAAACGATAACGAAGATCATTGATATCAGAATCATACTAGCGCCTCGGCGGCCTGATGTGGATCATCCAAGCATTGACAATATCAATTTCTCATCCTACTATCCAGTATCCACCTCCACTACTCGTCACAGGAAAAAGAGCGTATTGCCAAACTCCTTGCTGAAGACGTGTCCGGTGATCGCGACAAAATCATGGAGCGACTGTGCAAGGATCAATACGAAGCTGCTGGTCTCGAATGGAATTATCTCGAAAAAGTCAAGACCTCCGCTGCCCGTATCAACTTCGAAAAAGCGAAGGAGAAGAAAAAAGCGGTTAGGTTGAAGTTATGGAAGAACAAGAAGTTGTTGTTGAAAGAAGTTTTTACTGTCTGTTAGTATTAGCTGAACAAAAATAAAAACATTTTGTCCGTTTCGTCTTGAGTTCTGTTTCTGCGACACTCAGACTCGGAGGACCCTGAAAAAGAATAAGAATTAACAAATGGAGGATTATGATTTGAGAGACATTGTTCTTGTTGCCATTGGCATTGGTTCTTCTTCTTTTGCTCTCCCTCTTCTAAACCACAACCGAAAGCGTGCTGCGGGAATCGAGGTGAGCTCCGACGATAGCGAAGAAGACCGCAAGACCTTCGGCACAAACCGGCAGTTGGGATTGCTTGGCCGTATTAAAATGCGAGGTCCTATCGATATGCAAGGTGCCGAAAAAGGCGGTCGATGAAAGAAACGGAGAGGCTGCGGTGGCAGCTGGTCATGATAACCGTCGAAGTTTTTAGAACTACGTTTTATTCCAATAGTTGTCCTTGATCTTCTTGTAATTCTAAATCTAGTTCTAGAAAAACGTGTAGATGTAAAATTTGATGCATTTATTTCTGCTCCTTCTTATATATAATATATCCTCATGATAAATTCTTCAACCTTGTTAAGACACGCTGAACCCGCTTGTCGGACACTCTGCCACAACGAAACAAAAAGCGGCTTTCTTGTTTGCTTTTTTTTTGCTCTAGAATGAATGGAGGAAGGTGAAGTCGATGATTACCTTTTTTTGAACAGGATATAATTATAATTTAATGATGCTGATCCTGATAAGTAGCACTGCCTGAAAGGAATGGTGTGCTGCTGCTTGATGTGATGGACATATCGGACCTCTTTTGTTGAGCACAATGATTTTTTTGCACGTTGAAGAGTCGAAAAAAATACTTGAGCTACGTCTTCTCGATTAGGTTGGGGAGAACAAAAGCATGAAGATGGATCATGCGACGAATCCTTTTTTTTTCCCAGACAGCCTGGAAGTGTTCGAAAGATAGTCAGAGCAACAATCATTAGAAAAACTACAGAATGAGACTCATAGGAGCAAACCACCGAGCGACCGCCAGTATTCATCACGTCTTTTGAAAGTTTTTTTGGTCCAAGCGCAAGCAAGATAGAGGATAGAAGTTGAAAAGGCAGAAGATAGAAGGTGAAAAGTGAGTAGGTTTTACAGGCGTACCCAGCTATGATGTCTGGACGCGGAGAAGACGAAGCGAACTTTGTTTGGCAAAGGCTTTCGGCTTCTTGAAAAATAAACACTGAGAAAATCAACGCTTCATAGATGTACATGTACTAGATCGACTTAAATGATTATTTGACAACCCACGACGATCTAAAGTCTGTCCCGCTGCATATTGATGCGCTTATAATTCTGATGTAGAGAACTAGCACAACTACAGCCTAACCTAACCTGCAAGATCCATAACCTAACCTAATCTACAACCTGAGGATGAAGTGAGTTATTTCTCTGGACGATACTATTACCAAGCGATTTCGTCTGCGGCTGCGGTGTGAGCCGCGTTTTCTCGCGACTCGTGGAGTCGCTTTGCATCACATCAGCATCAGGTACCTTAATATTTTCATTTTGTGTCTCCTTGGTCATGATCTACATAAGATAGAAAGTAGAGATGATCGTTTCCTGCTCCATTTCTTCACCTCCTAGAGGTTGGCATCCAACTACGACAGGATTCCTTCACACCACCAGTCAACAGCATGGATACGAGAGGGTCTTTCGGACGCGGGTCGTCGCGCGGCCTTTTTGCACCATCTCCCTTCGGCAACGATGACTGGATGAGGGAAGGAAACCATCAAGCATACCATGAAGGGAGCGTGGAAGTGGATGATTATTATGCTTGGAGTTTTTAGTCTTAGGGCTTAGGGTTGTCACTGTCACAGTCACTCGCACTTGTTGTAGAAGTGCAGTTGGCCCTTAATTCTCCTCCAAATATCTAGTCTGCAGTTTTACTTCCCATTCAAGCCACTTCAGTGAAGTCTAGTTGGGGTTAGCCACTAGCTGAACGCTTGACTATAAGTTGCTTAGGAGCTTCTAGTTTTCTAGAGCATTACTTCTACGTATAATACAGTCACTCGCACTTGTTGTAGAAGTGCAGTTGGCCCTTGACGTTGATCGTCGCTCGCCTAGATGGCAATTGAAATATGGCTTGGTACGTACTACTCCTAACCTAACCATTACTGATGATGATGATGATGAAATTGTTCATGTTGTTGGCCTTCATGTTCATTGAGCAGAATGTAGAGCACCTTCTAACCCTTCGGCCAAGGTTCTTCACCCTTGGTAATACCAGACGAACGACCAGCCGGTCAGGAGGCAGAGGTGATAGCCCTTGGCGGTGACTCGCCTGGCGGCTTTAGAACTGATTTGGAGCAAGACCAGGCCCACGGTCAACACCCAGAGGACGGTGGTTCTGGGATTTTATCGAGCGTGAGTAAGTTATGGCAGATGTTGACTCAGATTGAGTGAAGATGGAGAGTATTTTTCTGATACAACGGCGTTTCGTCGTGTACAATAATCTTCAGATCTCTGGGGCGGTCGTACTCATTAGGGTTTGGGGTTTGGGTTTGGGCATCCTGAAATGGCAGCAGTATGCGACTGTTGTCTCACCTCTTCGGTTAGGGGTGATTGGCAGAAGAAAAGGCACTGATAGTGATGGAGATTCTAATACTCAGATAGTGATGGAGAGTATTTTTCTGATACAACTACGGTAGAAATATTCTTCACCCTCTGCAATCCCGATCATTAGCATGTCTAGAGCTCCTTAGCTTTTGCTGTTGTGTTCCTCCTGATACTTCACTTTCACACCACCCAATACCCCGCTTGAAGCCGGTACAGCTACCAGGTCTCGGACTTGGCAATAATGGAGGGTTGATCACCAGCAATAATGCTGGCTTGACGACGCCAGCGTTTCCTTCAGCTGGCTCAAGCCAAGGGCAACGGCCCGGGATGTTCACATTTGGTGGTGGCATGACACAGCCAAAAGGATTACAGTTCCCTAGCTTAGGAGGAAGGTCACAACAAGGGAGCAAAGCGGCACAGGAACATCAAGCGCAACAAGAAGAGGGAGAAACTACAGGACAAGGTCCACCAGCAGATCCCTCCTCACACCAACAACAGCAACAGCCACCTAATAGAGGTGGTTTTCAATCCCTTTTTGGCGGTGCTCCTGCGATGCAATTTCCACCTCTTTTCGGAGGACAGCCACGAGGACCGCAACTCCCGCAACCGCAACTTTTAGGTGGCTTAGGTTTAGGACCGGGTCCGGCCAGCGGACCATTTGGGGGAGCTGGAGGACGTCAACAGGAGCAGCAAGGAGAAAATAATCTTCAGGGTGCAGAAGTCGGTGTCGGGACAGGAGATGGCGCACCACAAGCGTCAACATGTCCAGGTAGTTCCTCTTCTAGGCAGATGAATCTCATAGCGAGAGTGATAATTTCTGACGACTTTGAACCAGATCTAGCACTCGAAGACTCATCAGAACAAGAGGAGGGGGAAGATATAATTCCTCAATGTGTATTGTCGTGTCCAGAATCTTCTGTAGATGTAGATCTTCTCGATGCACAGACCGGAGACCTAGTGCAGAACACAATATCGTTGCCTTTGCGGTTCCTGAACCTCCATCTGAACAACTGTGAGTACGAAAATGGGACCCGAAGAGAGGTCAACGAAAAAGCATTGATCATTATGATTGACGGAGATGGTGGCCCTCAGACATGATAGTGTTGTTGTCCTGCTAGTGGCGCTAGTCATTGTAGTCCTACTAGTCTTTGTAGTCCTACCTAGTTTTCCTTGCAGGACTACTAATCGCCGCAGTACAAGTACTACTAGTTCTCGTAGTTGCACTAATCCTTGATCGAGCACCTTTCCCACTGAGAAGTAAGTCCGAAGCTACTTTTTAATGTTGCAAACACAGACAATGACAATGTATCTCCTGCTCTAATCGCAAGTGCCCTCTCGGAAGATATTCACGCTCAGACCTACCAGCACTGCGGATCCAATTGTGTGGTAGCAGCGGTAAAGTGGGCTTTGTAGACCGAGGCCCGACCCAGGAAGAGGAGGCACCAAAGCCAAACTCGCTGTTGAAGATGCCTCAGCTTGTACCCGTAAAGCCGCCGAAAAAGGGTGAGGGAATCTTCCATTACTCCTTGCAATTTGAGGCGGACGCCGTAGCAGAGGGTGTGCCTGGGAGTGAAGATCGGGAACTCTTCTTGGATGTGAAATGTCTCCTGAGTGGGACTATTCAGGTGTCGAAAGTTGTTGGATGAAGTCGTGGAAGGCACATAAGATGCTTAAGATAGAGAACCATCATGGCCGCGTACCAGAACTAACACTGATTAATTACATAAAAATACGACTTGACAGAGATAGTAATCCTGTTTCTTGTTAATAATCTTGAGTACCCGGAAAGCCAAAGGTCTCATCTTCACTGTATTTTTACCAGTTTGGATATTGATGCGGCGGACGTCCTCAGCCGCGTAGAGTATTCTTAGTCCGACTTCGGTTGTTCTCTTCTATGACTTGTGGCGGGTTCTTTGGTTTCCATGGTTGTTGATGAAATTAAGAGCATCTTCTGTAGGTCGTCTCTGCGTGAGTAGAGGGTCATCGGTTAGACGTCGATTCTATAGCTGATTTACCTGAGATGGATAAAGAACATTTCATAAACGGTGACGAGAATATGCTTTATGTTCAAAAGTGTGTGCATTTACTGACCACTGCAAGCACGACCACGTGCATTTTCTCTAAACTGGATAACAACGCACACATGAAGACGAAGAGACAGTGTTTCAACAGACTTCGGCTAGGAGGCAGCTCAGCCAACAGGACTCTTTTCCAACTTTTCAGCTTCCGTTGTATGAATACCAACAAGTTAGTAGGTAGAAAAATTCACAGTCTAGAAGTCCTTCCGAAGGCACTAGTTCAGAAAATGGCCTTTCCTTCAGCGATTTTCAGGTTCTTCAGCGGTCCTTTGCTCATCTACCGACTGCAGCTTGGGCAGTTGGGTGTTATTGCTTCGCGGCTGGATTTTGAAAGCTGCAACGAGCCAACATCAAGTAGGAGGAGGACACCTCCTCGAGAAGCGACTTCATCTCCAGGACCAAGAGATCAACATGAAGCAGGAAAAGGTTCATCTCGTGGGCGATCACCATCGTGGAAAAGATGGCTTCTTTCCTCGACTACATCCGAAGCTCCTCCTTCCGCGTCTCCCACTCCGGATGTTGTTAGGAACTCGTCCACTCTCCTTGCTCTTGATGGTGTTCTCCCAAGAACTCCTACTACGTCTGCCGCGACGGCCAGCACCTCTTCTTCTTCTGTCCTCTCGCCCACTTCTTCTTCTGTCCTCGGAAGGTTAGTCCGCTCGTCCTCGCCGATCGCTACAAGAGTTTCCAGCAGTATGCGACTGTTGTCTCCAAGTGTCCTCCGGGGGCGGCTCCGCGTACGCAGTTCCAGTGCCAGGTTGACGCCGCCGCCCGTGCCGGCTGGAGCGACGCTGACGCCAGTTCCTACGACACATGCCGACGCCGGAACAGCAGGCGACAATACAAGAACTCGTGCGAGGACCGCAAGTAGTCCAAGCACAACTTCGAGTCGTGGAGAAGTTGGAGGAACCACGACGAGCGCGAGCAGCGAATTCTCATCCCTATTTGATTCCAAAAACAGCAAGAGGAACAACCAAACGCCTTCCGGGATCACTCCACAGTCAAAGGTCGCGGCCGCGTTTTTTTCCGACCGCGAAGGTGCAAATGCATCACCTTCCCCATTTGAAAGACGCAGGCGCGGCGACGGATCGCCTGCACTCGCATTATCATCAGAGGAAAAATATGGTGACGCAAAGGTCTCATCGCAGACTGCATCTTCTATTGCTGGAGATCATGAACAACAGGACACATGCAAAGACAAGAAAACCAAATTTCCCGAAACTCTTGCGTCACTTAGGCCAGTGGTAACGCAAGAAATGAAACGCATGTCCTGGTGCCAGCCAGAAACGTCGTCAGCAACTGCCGCATCATTTGCTTCGTCGAGCTCTTCTACTTCTTCATATCTTTGCTCAACATCTTCTTCTGCATCTGGCGTTCGAGCACCGAGATCAGCAAAGCAATTGTCTCCAACTCAAACTCCTATGTCTACTTCATCTTCATCAAAATGCTCGACGTCTACTGCGGCTGCTCCTTTAACATCTTCTTCTGAAAGTTCCAGGGAACGTCGGCGACTTCTGCTAGATGAAATGCAGCGCGAGACACGGAAGTCAGGGCAAGGTGAAGCCAGTTTCCGGACCTTCGCTTGGGAGCTCCAAGCACTGAAACAGTCAGAAAATGTATGGAGCCAAAATCTCTTATCATTCTCAAGGTACACGTACACTAACACTTCCTCAAGTAAGAGAGACGAAAGATTCAATTTTCTCAACCTCAACAACTTTCTTGAGCAGAATAAATTTAGACTGAAGACATTAATGATAACGGATTTTGGTTTCAGAAAAAACAGCAGGAATAAACACTACTTCTGACGAGGCCTACTGCGCTTCTCCTGGTCCACGTGATGCGCGTGCTATGAGGCCTCTGCAACTTAGCGCACAAGATGCAAAAAGGTTGGACTCCCTGCGCGCAGGTGACGGCACTGTTGTGGTCAAGAAGTCGAAACCGATCATGCTCGCACAGGGACATCAACAACTCTTGCCGCCGTTGTCGAGTTCGGCACTGCATGGTCTCGAAATGCCGGAAACGGTCCTCAGATCAGTACTCCCTATGATTAAAAAAGATAAGACGCCACGTCCTCGTGGTCGCAGGTCGCGGCCCACGAGCGATGTTGCAGTCGAAGAACCTGAGAACCACGATGGAGACGAGCCTGCTCCTGCTACTGCTGCTACCGCCGTCAATGGATTCACAATGGACCATCACGAGAAAGACGGAGAAAATGTGATTGAGACTGATCATGTTGAAGCTGACTGTGAGGACCACGTGGACGTTGTCACGCAGCAGTTGGCGCAACTTCCGTTGCTACAGCAAGGGCTGCTCGCCGCTCAGTTGTCCGTTGCCCTGGGAACCGTGGAGAGTAATGCACCAGCCAGAGCTGCAGGAGACACACAACAAGCAGAAGCACCGGTAGAAGAAGGAGAACTACTGCAAAAGGAGCAGGACAATATCAATAAGGCTAGTACTGCGGGTAAACATAATATGACCTCGTCACGTCGTGGTTTGGTCGTGCTTGGTGATGGTTTGGACGCTACGAGCCGTGTAGGCCTTGCAGCGCGTCTACTTTCGTCTGTCGTACAATTAAGGCTACCTCCCGTAATCAATCCCTGTAGGGATCGATGATCCCGCAAGAACCGCAACCATCTATCCAAATACTACCAGGGACGAGAGATGCTTCTGCTGGGGCAGCTAATTTTTGCGGGATCTCCACAGGGAAGATGAGTTTTATTTTATATGATAGGGAGACTTCATCTATTACTATTTCTAACGCAAACCGATCGTGGTGACGTAGTCGGTGGAGGAGATCACTTTTCGCTTGAGACGCCGCACTCGATTTCGGAAACTGGTCTGCTCTACGCGAAGATCAGCAAAGGGGCTCTAACGACTAAGACGAGTAATTTTTCTGCGACATCAGCTGCACCTGCACCTGCTCCAAATTTTTTGTCCTATCAAGAAGCTAGTACTTCTTGTTCTTCTACTACCCCGACATATAAAAATAGTCTTCAGCCTGGTTCTGCTAGTACCACAGCAGATTGCACAGTAGATGCAGCTGCCCTTGTAGAACAAGGAGCACGACGAGGACGACCCCAGGCTCTCCGCTTGGAGGCTGAGTCTCAGAAGACCCAACAAGCAGCGCTGCTGGCGAAGCTGCTTCAGGAACAGCTCGAAGCGCTCTCTCTAGAAGACCGCAACTGCTGCGCAAGAAGACAGATAGCTGCCGAGTCTTACGATAGCACGTCGTCGTCGCTCTGCCTATCTCCTCGTTCTACCTGGGGCGGCGACGGCGCAGAAGCAGAGCCTACTAGTCCTTTATTACAGGAGCGATTGTCGGGAGCAGCTTCGCAGCATTCTGATCCGCGCGGTAGCTCGCGACCTCTTTCCGGTTCCGTTTCTGTCTTCAACTCTGAGGAAAGCAGGAAAGCTGCGACCACGTTGTTCTCCACCAACCACATCCAACCAATGTCCGCCTCATCAGCTGAACCGATCCAAAACCAGCTGGACCATCCACCTGGTCCGGTTGTACAAGTTAAGGCCTACCATAATTCATCTGTCGAAGCATCGATCTTTGGCCCCTTCTTTTTAAGGGAAAAGTTAGTACGCCAAAGATGCTTTTCAAGGTGAATAAAAGTAAGGTCTAAAAACCTTGGTATTGCGCAGCAAGAACTCGTGGCCTCGTCTCATGCAGCCTGGACACTCCTACGAAAAGTGGTGCGCGGCGCTCAACTACGACAGCGTCCTCCTCCTGACGTCGCGGCCGCTGCATCATCTACAGTAGCAGAAAGATTATGGCTTCCACTAGTCGATCTCGATCCATCTCCGGAAGAAGCATCTTTGGAATAGGGTCTAAGGAATATTAAACAACGTCAACGGATCTGAACGTTGACACTGACGTTGCTTTTTCCATCTAAGCAACCATCTTCATCTTTGGAACCTTGTTGCATAACTGAGGGGAAAACGGCTTCACCACATTCCAAAGCTTGAGTCTCGAGATGGACTGGGGTCCTGAGCTCTAAAGAGAGAAGAACAGGAAGAGGACTCGTGTCATGTGGATGCGCCAGATGATGACGAAAAGAAAAAAGAAGCCACTACTTCAAAGTAGTTGTAGCCGCGAAGGAGAGCCCGGTAGGGCCCAGTAGTGGCGGATAGGAGCCTAAGTAGAATCCCTCCTGCGGTAGTCCATGAGTCGACGAGGAGAAAATTTTTGATATTTATATATAATTTTCTTGAACTCTCTCATGTAATTCTAAGTTTGTCGTGATGAAGATGGCAAACGGAAAATAGTGAGGATCAAAATGATCGAGGTGGCCGTGGCGTAGGACTACTTAGAAGACAATCAAACAAAAAAAATATTTTTCCTACTGCTCACACATACCATCCAGGCTCGTGCCTTTGTTTTTCTCGCACTCATGCAGGTTCATATCGTTGTCTGCTAACTAATGTCTACGTTTCTCTATCTGTCTAACCGGTGTTTACTTAACTGATTAACATAGTACGATCTAAGAGTCCCTGCAACAGTAGGCTGCCTATTTTTGATCGAAATCTAGTCTCTGCAACTTTTTTTTGTGAGAATTAATTTTTTTGCCGAATTGCAATTTTTGGGTGAAAGTCGTCCCGACGTGATCATATCGGATAATATTTCCAAAACCAAGGTAGTGCGAGTGCATCACAAGAAGCACTAGGCTGTTGTCTCCGAAGACCTATTTTCCATATAGTCCTCGAAGCCTTTCACTTTGGCATCTCTGAAGATGAAGGAATCCAAAGCCCGCGGCTATCTCTTCTTCATCCAAAAACTGCAACAATAAACTTCTGAGGAAAGGACGTTATACCCCTAGAATGGGTACATGTACATGAATCAATCAAATCAAGTAAGTAGCTGTGCAGCAGGCTGAACAATCATGAATAAATATAGCACTAGACCACGCAAGTAGATGCGCTTGTTCTCTTCTTGGCGCTTAATATCATCCCACTCCTTGTAGATTGGAGATGTAGGGTGTGCGTGTGGCCTTCAGCTGTTCTTCTTGATTTAAGTTCTCAGTGTTTATTGACTACTAACTTGTCCTTGGCCAGTAATTCTGACGCCTCGTCTGTCAACGAAGACTTTGTGTCACCTCTTGCATTTATTATCATTTTTTGTATCTATTCAAACATATTAGTGAATGTATGTTCCAGGGCTCAGGGCTGAAGGCCCTCCCCCCCGATCTAGGGAGGCGAGGGGGGCCTTCAGCCCCGAACCCTTTTCCTGGAGGACTGCCGGGCGGGAAGGCCTCCAAGAGCCCCTGTTCGGTCCGGTGCGGCTTCCTGCCTGTACCCTACAGGGCCCCTGGCTGTGGTTGCGTGTACGGTGCGGCTTCCTGCCTGTACCCTACAGGGCCCCTGGCTGTGGTTGCGTGTACGGTGCGGCTTCCTGCCTGTACCCTACAGGGCCCCTGGCTGTGGTTGCGTGTACGGTGCGGCTTCCTGCCTGTACCCTACAGGGCCCCTGGTGATCTGCTGCTGAATGAATGAATGAATGAGTTGTACTAAGTGTTGTCATTCTTGTATCTACTTCTCCCTGTAGCATACATACTAGCCAGGCACACGACGTCTAAACCTGGCGGCCCTTTGCAGGCAAAGCCGGCGGGAGGTGGACGAACCCCTCTGACAGACTGTAGCCGGGCGGCGGATCGCTAAAGCACCCCTCTAAGAAAGCCTTAATAGCGGAGACAGCGTAGGTGTATGAATGACTGAAAAGTGAAACTCGTGCTTTTTCAGCGCCCAAACAAGCTGCTGCGCTGACGTTTGTGTCCAAGATACGTGGTGACCAGATTAGTGGACACGAAACGTCTGGTCACCACGTATCGTGGACACAATAAAGAATATTACTGAAAAATGAAGTCCACCTCCCATCATGTTCCTCTCGAATCACGTCATAGTCGTTGATTGAAGATTATAGCAGCTGATGTAAGTTAGAGTTACTTACGTCTGTTGCACAAGAACTACTACATAGAAGGTTCTTTCTAATATAAGTTCTTCTAAGTACATGATACATAGAACTACATAGAAGGTTCTTTCTATAAGTTCTTCTAAGTACATGGTACATAGAAGGTCTATTGACAAACGATGGACTGGGAGAATCTTCTGTGCATAGAATCTCTCGACTGCGTTGACCGCGAAAGCAGACGAAATGGCGGCAACACGGGAATTTGCGTGTGCGGTATCTTGGTGCAAGCTGCTGCCGCTAGTCTGGCTGTGGTAAGTTTCTTGTCGATGGATCCAGTGGTGTGGTATACTCCTTGGGTCCGTGTTGGAGGGTTGGGTGATGTTGCCCAAGAAGACGGGGCTACAGCTAGATCTTCAGCCGGTCGTGCGGGTACAACGAGCACGACAAATGGCGATCATTTGGTTGGAGCGTCTACTCAGCAGCAAGTTCAAACGACAAAAACCACCAATGGTAAGCTCCCGAACTTGCACCCGTTGACACTTTGCATTTCGAGTGCAGCTGTAAACGCTTGTGTCGTGTATCTACATGTTCTACGGAACGTGCGGATCAAGAAAGAGCGAGGTGTCAGACAAAAAGCAGAGAGATTTGTACGGAAGCACGAAGCCGAGACTGAACATGCGTCTGGGACTGGGTACCACATTGGCAAACAGGAAGATCAAAACCACTTTTATCACGTGGTAGCCCAAGAAAGTATGAATGAGCAGCCTGAGCACGGTCAAGGGGCGACTGCAAAAAAGACTACTCCTGCAGATCCTGATGCTGAGGATCACGATGATTTCAGAAAAAGCACTTCGTGGCGAACATTCTTACGTATATTCAGTGGGAGTCTCGTAGGAGCTTTTGTTTTTTGTTTCCTACTAGATCCGAACGTGCCTTTCGGATACGTGGCTTTAAGTTTTGTGACCGCGGGTTGTGGCTGTTTTGGCTACCTACAGGCGGTTCCTGGAGCGGCCAATGCACTGTCTGAAGGAGTAAGTAGTAGCATGAACGAACTTGAAGCGGCGCATCAAGATGGAATGCGTGGGGATCGCGAACGGCGCATGGAGGTTGAGATGATATAGTAAGAGTTTCTTGACTTCTGTCTGAGACTGCGTAATTCTATACCCGCCAGTGTTGTCAAGGAGCGCATGTGTAAATCATGTTGATACCTCCATTCTTCCTCTTCGCTGAGTTTGATTTTGTGACTACTCATACATAGCCGTGATAGTTAGTAGCGGTGGACAATGATCTATCCATTACACTAAAGCGAAGCGACGAGAGTAGAGAAAAGAGACACTGTTCGAGCAATGGCATTCGCAGCAGTCTCATTGTGTGGTATGGATTCGTGAGCCTGAGTGCGACAGAACGAAAGTGAGAGAACGGCGAGAACCTTTATCTTATGCAGGAACCTTTTTATGCTAGTCTTGGCGCTTGTGCTTTTGGTCGTAAAGAAATCCTTGAGAAATAACCTATAAAACAAGGCAGGACTATGGCTGAAGAACAGAAAAATGTAGTCAATCTTGCCGATCTTTCTATAATGATGTCTAGCCCCTATACCTTAGACGGCAGGCGCGGATACCAATATTGTGATTCTCATCAGGAAAAGTGAATGAAAAAAATGGCACTTCTTCTACGCTGTGTTTCGCGCCTTCTGGTTCTCACAGCTGTCGTGAGCACCTCAGCAACTGGCCAAGCACCCTCATCTACTCCATCTGCTGCAGAGACGGATGCAGCTTCTACCTCCTTGTGGTCCTCCTGCCTGAAAAGTCACTATCCAGACTCCAGAGAAGACTTCGCGTATTTGTTGAACTGTCTAGGATTAACAGGAGAGGCCGCTGAGATTGGGGTACAACGAGGCTTACATGCCAAACAATTCCTCGAGAAATGGAAGGGCAAAAAGCTTTTTCTAGTGGACCGTTGGACCCACGTGCCATCGGATACGTATTTACGAAATGCTAATACGAATGGTTGTAAAAATGGTAATGCATAGTTTAATAGGTTCCTATCTAATCTGCGTCGACATCGCCAACATAATAACTAATTAGTTAGATAACGATTGGAATTAGGTGCCTATGTATAATGATCATAATGTTTAATAATGAGGAGCATATTTTAATTAGGTGAATAACCATCGTCGATGGTCCTATCTATATCTATAATGTCGAACAAGACAAGGCCCGCTTCTAATCTGCATCGACATCGCCAACATTCCATCGGATGGTATGCAGCAATTGAAATCCGAGATGGAGCGGAACCTAGAGGTTTTTTCTTCGCGTTATGCAGTCCTAGAGGCCTGGTCCGAGGATGCGGCGAAGAAAGTCCCAGACGGAAGCTTAGATTTTGTTTACTTGGTTATGGATGGGGATCGATATGGAAGTGGAGCTCATATTACATTTAGAGTGCTTGATTATTTCTTCGACCTCAACTTCCTCAACTTGCACGAATATGAGGCTTATTGGTCGGATTTAGCAGAGGCACTGAAATATATACTCTTGCTTTGAGTAGTTTGAAGAGTCACAACGGAACTAGACAGTTGCTTGTAGCTGCTACGTGGTTCGAATGAGTGATTGAATGAATTGCCCTAGTTGCTTCTCATGTTCAACAAGGTCGAGAAACCTCGCATCAATCATGTCAAGCGTAATTTTCATCAAGGTAGTATCCATTATGCCGATGAACGTTCTGCAGCGCTTCTCTAATCCCTATGCCCGCCACGACTTCCAAGGCGTCTATGCGGATCTTAGTTCTTGGTGGCCGAAACTGAAGATTGGTGGTCTGATAGCTGGTCACGACTTCTGTGATGGCGAACTTCCAGAAGGCGATTTCTTCGTAGAAACAGCTGTAAGGAGTTTTCTAGCCTTGAATCAGGAGGAAGCGGAAGGAGAAGAAAAAAGTGTAGTGGTTGGGGAGACGCAGCATTATGAAACGAGGAAAAAGTGCACTCACACTCAAGAAATTGGCTAGGATTTAAGTAGGAAAATAGCCACTTTTTATTTAAGTAGGAAGTGCACTTTTTTCTTTCATAAGCATGAATCAACTACTAGTAGTGGCACGACAGGGACAGCAGAAGTAGAAGTAGATGACAAACTCAACAAACAGTTTCCGGTCGTCCACGTAACTCGTGAGCAGACCAAGTACTTGTCCTTTTTCGTGTTGAAAACAGCTGAGTTGGATACGCGCGTGAGAGCATCGGCTTTCCGTTCGATCGCGTTTCATCACGTGTATCCTCGCTTTTCGTGGTACTTTGCGCTCTTTCACCGGGACCAGGAGCATTTTCTGCCCAAGTGCAAGACACTGTGTACCTTCGATTGCGATCGACGGCTGAGGCGCATATTTCCGGAAGAATATAATACTAGTTCTAGTGACGACCGCCTTGCTAGCATTTTTACAGCAGGAAATGGTGAAACGGCAAAGGTCGAAGAGAAGTCAACTGCCGCGACCTCAACATCACCTTCATCGCAGTTATCCCAGGGTTACGGAACCGAATGTGAGAGACGATGTTCTGTCACCTGTGGGCAGCGCCAGAGCCTCTTTACGAAAATCCAAGCAACAAGAAGAAAAGGAGCTATTGCTACCCTAGGTGGGAAAGAAGAAGCTCATGTAGAAGTAGACGAATTCGCGCACGTAGATGAGGAGCAATTCAAGGTTGACGCTGCTCTCTTGGACGACTGGAGCGACCCAGTACCTCATGAGAAGGAATTCGTGCTCAATCTAGACAACTTCCCACAGGTAGGAACGTCGACCGCTCCAGGTAGAAGCGCTAGCACATCATCGAAAGACGACTCAGCAATATCAAAGTCGGGAACAAGCAGAACAGCAACGTCAGATATCATACCAGCTGCTGCAGGAGCAGCGGGGAGACCGTCTTCACATACTACGTCTTCAGTTAGAAGACGAGAAGAAGATACGTCAAAGTTACATCATGTCATTTGTGGCTCAGTGCATGGTGCAAAGCACCACGCATTCAATTTTTTCAAATGGGGAGTACCATCTGAGAAAAGTGCTTCATTATTACCTGACGAGTCAACCTCAACAGATACAACACGTAAGACGCCGTATATTGATAGAGAATTGTGATGGAAATATCGCCTCTACCACTTTACTCCCTTGTGAATATAATCGACCAAGTTCTTGAACATCTCCACGCAAAAACCGTTTGCGGGCGGTGGCAGCCTCTGCGCACGCCTTTGATAAATACACATTCTTGTGCAGTGAAAAAGGTTTCCGCTTCGTCGTGCCTAACACTCATACTATAAAGTCGAGCGTGAAAGCCTTGAAGCTGAGCGACACTGAGTGCGAGACGAATGTCGGTAAGCTCTCTACGATCATCTGTTACAAACACGAGAAATTGTAACTCTTACGTTGTACTTCCGACTTTCATCATCTTAAAAGCGGCATCATCCAATCCCCAACTATGACTGCAAAAAAGATGAATGAAAAAATGGTGTTCTACTTTCCCACCACAAGATGCAATGCCGCGGCTTGAGGACAGTGAGAAACTACTAGGAAAAATAAAGAAGCTGAATATACCATAGGCATAGCATAACACACACAGAGCACAAAGAAATCCGGCGGGATCGTACGCGTTGGCCGGAGCGCATCGATACAAACAAACAAAGAAGCGGGAATATCAAAGGAAAAACTTAGACATCACACTATTGCTATTCGTTTGAATTGCGATCTCAACAAAGTCAAAGGCAACTCCTACTCCTGTACTCAGGAAAAGCTACCATGTCTCACCACGCCTCGTCCTCCTCCACTGGAGGACCCAACAAGGGCCCATTGAATGGTGCTATGGGAGTCGAAAAAAGTATGTCTTTCGTCGATAACGACGATTTCAAAGAACTCTTTTTGATGTTTGACAAAGACGCTGGCGGTTCAATCGATGAACAGGAATTCAATCAAATGTTGCGAGTCTTGGGTTTATGGTGATGGAAAGTTGTGGGGGAAATACGTACAACATGGATGTAAGTACAACCACAACGCTGTAAGTACAAGAACCAGAACGCTGTAAGTACAACGATAGTGGACTCTGATGTTATGATATTCGACTTACTTCTGCAGGAGCTGTCAGCATTCATCATGATATTCTGACTGTTTGAACTTGTGATTTGGTGGCTTGTATGGGCCTCGGGGCGAAATACTTACAACATTGATGTAAGAAGTACAATGATGAGACCCAGACCTTGACGAATATGAAGTCCGACTTGTGGTCTTCTCCTGAAAGGGTACATCCACAAACCGAAATCTTTTCAAAGAGAAATCACCGTCACCTCAAATACAAATGCTTTCCTTCATTCAAAATCAACGTAAAATTTCCGAAGGATCCTGGTGAAGCAATTACTTTTCCGGAGCTGTGCGCTCTTCTGACGCATTTGAGCCGGCCGCTGACTAGGGACGAAGAAATTGTTGAGGCCTTCAAGTTCTTTGCTCCCACTGGAAGTACTGAAACTGACCAGAGACCACTGTAGAAGTAGATCTAGATATACAGAAAATGACATATATAACGACCAACACCTGGACAGTGTGCATCGGAGGAGACGAGCAAAGCTACAGGACAACAATAATCAAAAATATACGATACTGATTCTGTGCACACCCGCCACACGGCTGGGCATATCTTCTTCATCATCATCATCATCATCATCATCATCATCATCATCACCAAGATCCAAAGCTGCGGTTCCATCCTTGTCTCCAAATATTCAGCTCACATAACACCCGCGTCCTTGGTCGACGCATATCGAATATTGGGCGATGAGACGCTATCCGCGAGAGACGCAGCGGCTTTATTGGGGGTGAGACCAGACATCGAGCTAATGACCCAAGAGGAGATAGAGGCTGCTAAGGAACACGGTACTACATCTTGAGGAGCACAACATGAATGAGAGCATAGACTTGATTTTTATGGTAGTTGGTAGCTCTTTTTAGTTTGTGGCAACACAAAGAATTAACTTGTGCCGCTCAACGCTACTTCTACCACGAGGAAGACCACTACCTGTATTGGTGGAGAAGCACTTAAACTTATTTTCCGTGCCATCAGTTTCATGCATGATTTGCCTGAGCCGTCTCCTGACTCTCGTTCACACTAGTTACATGCGAAGATGCCCGCACCCCATCTTCATCTCTTGTCCCACTTTGTCCCGTTGTTGTATGAGGACCAACAACAACTACTACTACATCCATAAACATATCAAATCAGCAATTTCCCAAAAGCAAACATTATCCTCTACAAGGTTCCGGTTTCGGCGAGGTTTCCACTGGTATGGCTTTTAACGAGTTTGAGTACAGGATTATGAGCACGATGACGGCAGAGGAAGAAGAAGGATTGGTCAAATCTCCGAAACGTGACAAGAAATCAGGAAGTCCTAGTAATCCTAGGAAAGCTAGTATTGGAGGATGACGATGAAGTGTTGAGTAGATCAGACGAAAATACTACATGTCCAGCGCGGCGAATTGTCGTTGCGCTGACCAAACATTCACGTGAAAGCGAAATGCACTTTGTCACAGTCACAAAACCGTCGAAGACCTCAATTACTGCACAAACTTGCAAGAAAAACTCGAAGGCTGTAAAAAAGTCATCTGCGGTGCTAGCGTAAAGAAAGTAATATTCTGGAGGTGCGCTTTGCTTCAACATGTCGAACATGTCGAATCGTGGCCAAATCGAAAATCAAGAGATCCAACGTATTTCTTGCTCTTTCCCCAACTTCATCTGTCACAACTACAATTCTTGCTGACTATCTCCGAACCAGGACAAGAACTTCTACTTCTAGAACTTGTGATATATAAATACGAAATGTGCTAGTGGTAAAAGTAAATATCGCCATATCTTCGACGAGTAACAGCATCGATACCCTTTCTTGGAGGCTGCAATCAAAGATTTTCATTTTCATTTTGATTTTCTCGTTGGAAGACAAAAAAGAGCATCTTTTCTCCTTGTGCTTGTCAAGAACGACACTCAACGCGTTAGTCTACCGTATTCTTGGTGAAATATTCCTAAGCAAGAAAATGAAGGTTTTTTCTGGAGGTTGTGGTCTTCGTCGCACGTTGGCTGCAAGTGCAGTCCTCGTGGCGTGTCTTGATGGTGTGGCAGCAAAAAAAATGTTTCTTTTGAACAAGCTTCCTTTCTTTGGCGGAGGAAGTAGCTCCTCATCCTCTGCACCAGTAGCCGCCGTTCCAAGGGCCCCTGTTTCTGCTTCATCTTCAGGAACATCTTCTGGTTCTGCATCAGCCGCTGTCGCGACTCGTCGAGGTCATCCTGCTTCATCTACTGCACGAACTCCTGATTGGTATCCTGACTGGTACCTTCTTTGGACGAAGGAGCAAATGGATTTGGCAAAGGAGTATGCGGTCTTCTATACGGATTTCAAGAACATGATCATACACGACAGTGGTCTTTCTAAAAATGCGGCTCCTTCTCCTGACTGGAGTTTTCTTCAGGAGGACGCTGAGGATAAAAAACTATTCGAAGCCCTGAAAATTGTAGCCAAAAGCGCACATGCAGAAGTGGTAAAACTGCACGATATTTTTTTTAAGATTCATGTTGAACTCATGTACATGTCGAATTAGATCCGCAACGAAATGAGACGTGGGCAGCTAGTACACAGAGTAATCATGCATGGACATGGTATCGAGATGAAGATCTACTATTTTCATAATCAATCAGTGTGAAGCCATGATGTAGTTTAGCGTGATCATACTGCTACTTACTACAATCCGGTCTTGTTCTAATGTGTTTGGTGGAAAAATTGGAGCAGCTGTCGAGGACGCTGAGTTTGAGGACGCGTTGAATGCTTACGTAGAGACGAGCAGGAGTGAGGAGCAGGCAAGCGTCGTGCGAAAGCAGTATCGGAAGCAGTTGGAATTGGCTGACAAGTGCATGTCGAAGTTGTTTTTCAGACACGAAGCTTTTCTTGACAAGCCCACTCCCAAGGTTGACCGTCTCTTTGTTAAGGCCCACTCCGAATGTTGAGCCTTGTGAAAAAGTATAATTTCACTTGATGAATTTGAATAGTAAGGTGTACTCAGCACCGTGTGCTTGTTCTGCTTTACATTAGCTGAGACGGACAGCACTGTCAGACACGCACACGTGACCACGACATTGCTCTGCTTCTAATTTCAGTGGAGTAGAGATGTTGAAGTTTTCAAGCGAACGAAAGAATAAGCTTCATCGTCGTTTCTGGAGTGAGACTGTGGCTGTCGGCTTCCACAAAATCCGCAAGCAGGGCGAGCAGCGTAGGGAGTTACTAAGAAGATTGTTGGGCGACAATGACGGCAAACGCTCATCGGACGCAGTCGAGAAACGTAAAAACTTGTATCAGGAACTCATGTGGCAACTCACCAGCGTGGCTTCGGAACTGCGTACTGACCTAGAAAAGAACATATTTAGCGAAGAGGACCAAGATGCTACCGATGACGATGAAGGGGAACAAGATGCTAGCGATGAAGATGAACAGATGTCTCACGATTCAGCTGAAGACTCGGACGATTCAGGAACCACTGACGAAGAGTTACAAGCGGTATTATGGCGCGATTACAAAATGCTCGATAATATGGTACTTAGAAATGTTGTACAACTACAAGAACAATAATATTTAATAGCAAGAGTGATAGCATGTTTTTTAGGCTATCGATGTTATCGCTGAATATGTACAATAAGAATTACAATAAGTGACAAATGTGATCAAGTAGTACTCAGACGCGTATTGGTCGAGAAGATGATCTTGGACTGAGAAAAGCATCAAATTGAATCATACAACTCGTAAGCAGCTCTAAGACCAGGGGATGAAGATGATGCTTTTCCTCTGCGATGGGGTACACTACTACTACCTCCTGGTGCTAACGGTACGGCTAACAGAGGAAATGTGGCTCTAGGTTCAGAATTACCTCAGGAATTTCTTGCTCCCGTTGCGCGCAATGATGACAGCCGTCAGGAAGCATCCGCGGCCGATGAATTCTTGTATTTTTCTACATCACAGATTCAGACGCACCATCGATGATGTATAATTTTGTCTGTGTCCCCTGGTGAGGTTTTTCTCCTTCACGTTGAGTAGAGTACTAAAGATTTTTCAGAAGAGCACTAATATGTCTATGATCTTTCTCCCGTGGGAATCTGTTGCGTGCGAGGTCGTTTTCTGTCATCTCGTTATTATCGGAAATCGTTCTTTCTGGAGGTAGCAAAGATCATTGTCCCTGCTGGTACAACAAAACCACTACAACTTCTACTGCTACAGTCGTAAAATATAAATAGCACCATGCAGGAGTACTACTAGTCCTCGCAAGTGCATCTTTTTGCTAGGTCAGATCGGAGACATATGACATGACAAGTTCATCTTCTCTCATTCTCTAACCTTCAGGTCTGCCGACGAGGGCGATGGCCCGGGCGCTGCCACGCAAACAGCTGCAGCGAAGAGCAACAAAGAGAGGAAGAAGGAGAAGAGGAAGCAATTAAAGAGGCAGAAGAAACAGCACCAACAACAAGTTGGACAAAAATCGAACTTTCCAAGCAAAGCTACGAGCCATCAGCCGCAAAACCTATCGAAGGTCAATCCCAAGATCGGAAAGACGAAGCAACCATCGAAGGCACAGCAAAAGGCCGCCAAACAAGCTGCACGACGACAAGCGCGGAATCAGAAGGGGAACAGGAGGAAATAGATAGGCGTAACTAAAGCGAAAAGGTGATGACAAACAATAACGAGCAGCAAGTCTAAGAAACATATTCTAGCAAAGTGATGAAAATACGTTTTGCGCAAGAACCATGTGAGATGGTCTAAGGACTTTATAAAAGTATCACGATTATCTTGGAGGCGAAAACCATTGACGCACGTTATGGGGCTAGCATATGCTACCCCTGTAACCGAACAAAATCTAGCAGCTTTTCGTATAAAAGCTACTATTCTTTCGAAATATAGCATAAACACAAAAATAAGTACGTAAATCTAGAACTACCAAGTAGAAGTATCCAAGGTCTAGTTAGTAGTAAATACCTGACGAGGACTCGTGAAAAATTTATTCAATTACAGCCGAATTGTAACTCAGGACGCAGTGAAGCACTGTGACTCTCCTGGCTTCCCTCACTTTATTCTCTTTCAGGAAGTCTTGAGATCATGTGAAGCTCCTGGGACTCTTTCTTTATTTTTTCTGATATCCATGATATTGATAGGCAAAGACGCGACGGACTAGTGCTGCTCATTTTCAGACAGTCAAGGGTGAATTTAGCTATCGTTATTTTGTGCTTTTTACTTCCCTTGTCGTGAGCAGGACTGCCGAGCGCCTTCGAGCAAAGCACTCCTCTGAATATCAACATCCAAACCATTGAATTACAAAAATACTACAAACAGTAACAGGATTTATTTTCAGCTGACGAACAAGCATCATGACATGAGGATGAGTAACGGATTCTCTCACATTCACCGTCAAGATGAATGATAGTCCACCGCCAAGAAACCCAAGATGCATGATTCAAGTGTTCGTTGAAGTTGTTGAATTGAGCTCAACATGTGCATCAGCATTAAGAACACGTCCATCGCGGCGAATCGTTGTTGTGCTGACCAAATATTCACGTGAAAGCGAATGCACTTCTGTCACAGTCACAACACCGTCGAACGCCTCACTTACTGCACAAACTTGCCAGAAAAAGTTGAAGTCTGTAAAAAAGTCATCTGCGGTACGCGCGTCGCGCGCTTGGGTCTTGGCCGAAAGCTGTTCGCTCAGTTTGCTGGAGTTTCATGAGCACTAACCTCTTGAGCAAGCCTCGTTATACCTCTCGAACTCCTCCTCGAGGAAATACATGGTTCCAAAGCGGCATCGCGCTCGAGAAGATCGCGCTGGTGGACCTCTGTCAGTCGCTCAAATGCTGCTCCAAGTGCTTCCAATGTCATCTTGTGCAGGACTGACTTGAATGCTCCGGAACGATCGCCGTTACTCAAGGGCAGAATCCGAACACGGTTCGCTTGAAGAACTAACTAAGGCTATATTAATAATGTCTTCGCACCACTTAGTAAGGCCTCCTCCTATTAACTCTGATAACTATGATTTCTCGCTCGTGCTTGAGGTTATTTCTCGCTCGGGTAATATATTGTAACTATAGCGAGAATTGTAGACGTAGACCCAGGTAACAAAAAAAGTAAAAAAGCGATCTTGGCATCCAAAAAAATATCCACGCGGAGGCCTCCTGAATGAACGAAAGGAAGCGATAAGAGGAAACCTCCCTTGAAAGCTGCTGAGTGACTGAGAGATACATATGTCCACTCATGCAAGCTTATTGTCCAGGAGGTGTCATTTTGAGTTGTCTGTGCAAAGGTTGTCGATGAGAGCAGTATTACAATGAGATGACGAAAACCAAAACTATGTCGGTCCCGATGGCTTACTAGGTTCTTTGAGTTCTACCTAGTAGTAGTTTCTGGTCGAGTTCGTACTAGAGTAGGCACGGTTCTCGCCGACTCCGATTCAGTGCTTATTTCTGATTTGGTCTCATACTTATTAGGCTACTCCTACTAGTAGTACTTCTACTTACACTTACACTTACACTTAGACGTGCTTCCTTGTACCTACTGAAGAGATCATAAGTGGAAGATGAAGAGCGGAATCTGTAAAAAAAAAGGAGGACATCTTCAACAATGGGAAGCGCTGAAGGTTCAGGTGCTCGCGAAAGTTGTAGTATAAGTATAACTACAAGAATGAAATTTCCACGATCATAGCTGGCCATACTAGGATCCCGCAAAAAAATAGAGATCTGACAGGTGATGAATGCGAATTCTATGGGACTAGTATCATAGTCGTCTGTACGATCTGAGCGTACTGTGCAAAAACAATAAAAAGCAGGAGATGACATCCTTACCAAGTACAACAACCAGTGATCGAGAGCACGATCTCGGCAGAGGTCGTGGTGCTGAAGGTTCCGGAGGAGATGCTGCTTCAACGACGAGCGGCAGCAGTGGTACCGCTACGAGCCTGCCGGTCCCGCTTCATCGCCCTACACGATTTCGTACGGATGGAGCTTTGGAGATGGCAATAAACGAACTGAAAGAAAACCGGTATATCCGACAGCTTGGAGTGGTGATGGGGGCAAATGCGATTGGTACTCAATCATGACTGGTGGCCATAGTAGAGAGAGAGAGAGAGTTGTTGTTTGTCTTGTGGTTGTACACTGTACCTCGCTCTCGTCGTGATAGTGTCATCCTAGAGCAGGCACTTCTTTATTGGCTTGGAAACGGAAACGGAAGAATAAAGCATCGTGTCGACTACATTTCATCGAGGAATATCTGATGCACAAACCGGAAGTTGCACTCACGACTCCCACAGTCACACTACCCAATTGACCTTTTTCAACTACTACTACAGATATCCTCATAAACTATCCGACGTGGATCATGAGTAAGCGTCTTGGTGCGGGCCTGGGCTTTCCTAGAGGCATAGGAGAGCTCTATCGAGGTGGCGCGAGCTTTTGGTGCGCAGGTGTGGGCACGCTCTACGTAGAGGACTTTGTCCATAACAGTCTAGCGAATTTGAAAGCAGATTCGAGTTAAGGTCTAGGCTTTGAGAGTCTGATGATCAGATCAGTGTTGCACTATTATAATTTGAGTGTCACAACCTCAACCACAGAAGTTCTCCTCATCCGGTCAACTAGGAATAAAGTGAACAACCTGAACCTTAATAAGATCTGCTTTAATTTTCTAGCTCGAATGGTGGTACATCCACTGGTGCCACACAAGACGCCGCAGTTTCACCACCTGTTATGGTTTTTGAGGAGGCTCCGGAGGTTGTGAATCGTGGAAAACTCGCTGGCACCTATTTTCCAGATCCCGCTGCACCAGCTTCGGTAGGAGGGAGTCAAAGTAGTGCTGGATCTTCTGCGACTGCATCGGTGTCAGCTTCAAAGTCAAGTACCTCCACGTCTTCAAGCCCACCGTCCTCTGGTGACACCACAGCTACAGAAGCATTTGGAGCATTTGGAGCATTGAGTAGGACGAGTCCATCTACCACCATGATAGACGTGAACCAGGTGTCTCCACCATCGGCGCATGAGGACCTCACAGAAGAGGAATTTGAGCAGACGATTGCTTTGGCTCGCAAACTCGTCGTAGGTCCAAGGTACAGCTACCACATAGCTCGTGGTGGTTACGCCCGATTGAAGGAGAATGAAGCAGAACAGGAAGTGGAGCGAAAAATGCGGTTACAACGAGAGGACTTTATTCGAAGAAAGAGTACTAGAGTTCCTGCTACGACGTCCACACCTCCGTCCACGTCAGACGTGGAGGGAGCTGGAGTTGCTTCGGGAGATGGGGTTGCTACATCTTCGTCTTCTTCAGCTGGGTCAGGGTCGTCATCTTCGTCTCCAACAATGAGTCCCGGCTTACCAGGATCAGCAGGTCCACCAAAAGGGACCACTTCGTTTGCACCGGATAATGCTGGGAGTTCTTTTTTAGGATTTGCTAAGTCTGGCCGCCTCACCTGTCCCCTATAGTTTTCGTTGGTAGAAGCGATCTGTCGCTAGGAGGCCACTACACTTCAAGAACTACCACGAGCAAGTCTATCTAATATCAGAGTAGTTTATAGCACGCGTGGCGCATGGAGTGCATGGAGCGCAGAGCTTTAAGGGGCGCGAGAAGCTCCCCCCTTAGCTCCATGCGACTCCATGTGATCCAGGCACTCCATGCCATGCGAGCTGTGAAACCTTACAAAATGCTCTGTACTTATACAGTTGATTTCTCGACGTACACGTAGTCGTAGCTTCCACCTCCTCTAAACCAATCCCTCTCCAATACCTTGTGGTTGTCCACTGTGAGCATATCCGCAGTGCAGTCCCACGCAGTTCGCGTGCTATCGGATCCTTCTGTCTGCGCCTTTGCTTCTGGAATGGCAGGGGGTCTCGTAGTGGGAACGTGGGCCGAAACTTTCATCACGAAACTGCACATGGAGTCGCGGAAGGTCAACGTCAAGAAGGAGAATTTTCGTCGGGTAGAACAGCTGGGTGTGAAACTGAGTACAAGGGATGAACGGTTGCTGGGATTGCCAGTGGACGAAGCGAAGCTGCAAGCCGAGAAGGCTGGAAAAGGGAGCGCAGCTGCTGCAAACGGAAATGGAAGTGGGAATGGCGGACCAACTAGTACAGTAGCTAGTTGTAGTACAGAAGTAGGAAGATCTTCCAAGAAGAAGGAACCTTCTGAGGTTGTTGCAGCTGGATCTTCCAAGAAGAAAACGGGAAGTTCAGCTGCTGCTCACGAACAGGCGCAATCCTCCTCTACTACCCGACGCACCAACGTCGCTCCATCGTCGGCTACGACTTCAGCCTCATCATCGTGGTCTACAGCTGGTGTTCCTCCAACAACTACTGCATCTACGGCGTTGGCCAAAACAGAAGCCGACGCACTGCAGAAATTGCTAGGCGACGATGTTTCCGCAGAATATCGGAGAAATCGCATGCTGGTCGTGAGGAAGGAAACTATGACTGCAAAAAACGAACTGCGCAAGAAGCTCCAAGACAAACTATCGCATGAGCTGAAAATGCAGAAGAACAAGAGCGTCCAGGATATCTTGCATGAGCGGGAACGCGCCATGGTGGCGAAACAACGCAAGCGCACTGCGGTCAGTACGGGTTTTATCAACACAACTTCTGTGTCTGGACACGAATTGAAAGACATCGTTGATTCCAAGAGGGGAGGATCGACCTCGAGAATCAAGAGGTTGAAGGAATGGTACCAAAGACAAAAGCTTAGAGAAGGGAAGAATCCTGCTGGGAACAAGAACAAAGCCCCGGTTGTGAAGTCATCAGTCTTGACAGAAGTTTCGGCTTCGTTTCTGTCAAAAGCCGCTAGCGAGGAAATGTCGCAAGCGGTGACAAATACAACTTTTGCACGTCAGGTGAGGGACGACTTTCGACAAAAACTCTTGGAAGCTGCAGAAGCCGGACACACGCAAACACGATTGGCAAGAGAAGTTCAATTATGATGGCTCTTTCCCATGTCAGTGTAAATGTTTGAACTCATCTCACTCTTCATCTAATGATCCCAGTCTACACCAAAGCGATGCGTGCAACGTTTACCGAGAAGCTCCCACCCTACGGCACTAGCATGATCATGATGCGGGAAGCCAGCTACACGGTGTCTCTCTTCTTCATGATCTCGCATTTTGAAAACCTTTTCTTCGATTGGTATCCAAAACCCGGGAAATATCTACCTGCAACGCAGATGCTTCGAGAGAGGATGTGGGGTGTTCCAGACAAAGGGGATAGCGAGATGTTGAGTCCATCTGATCGTTCGTCAAGAACCTCAAATAGTTCATCTGCGTCAGACGATCCGTCTGCATCTACTACCGCTACGACCTCTCCCTCCACCGCTACTTTTCTCAACTTGAAAGAGGAATTACAGACCGGTTTAAGAGGTGGGAGTGGTGACTTGCAAGTTGCTCTTGGGACGTCGCCAGCGGCTCAAGACGCGGCTACAGTGTGGCCGACTGCGGTGAGGGGGCCATTAGGAGGCTTTGGCTCCGTGGGACAGATACCTGCTGGGAGATGGGAGACCACGAGTTCATCACCTGGTTCACCATCAGATACATCAACACCTCCTGTATCTTCAACCCCCGCAGGAGTATCATCTTCGTCCTCGTTATGAAGCGAAAATCTGTATCTGTTATCCTAATCAAGTTTCTCTTTCTTCAGTGGAAAAGTACGATAATGATAACAGATTTTGGTTTCATACTCGTCTTCTTCACAGGGTACTTCAACTTCTTCACAAGATCATCCGGCTACTTCTTCGCAAGATCATCCGGCTACTTCTTCACAGGCAAGTGCTGATCAGACATCTGGTCGCTACGACGGAATCCTGGACGTCGGAAGGGGAAATCCTGCACTATCAAGCACTTCGAATCCCGAAGTAGTCGACAAAAGGAATGACGATGAAGACACCCCACCTTTGCTTAAGGCTGCACCTGATACATCTTTGGGCGTATCCTTGAAACGTATGGAGGAGTATCCCCCTAAGGGAGTAATGCTCTCCCATAGTACTTTTCAAGGATGCACTTGAAAGATGAATTGCGGACAGCTCGTCTAATTTGCTACAGCGGCGTGCATCGTCACTACGGGAACGATCTCTGAAGCTCATTTACGAAGTGGAAGCGGTAAACCTAAACACCTTGGATCTGTCGACAGCTGAATACTGGACGCTGGTTCGATACAACCTCAAAAAGGAAGCCTTCGTGATACTTTCGTCAAGTGCTATATTTTATGGGCGAACGACTACTAACTACTAACTTACAGTTCTACTTCTTGAATGGTTCCGGTGTTTGGTAACCTGAATTTGATCACAAGGGTTCTCTCTTTGTTTTCCCTTATGATGTACAAGCTGTCAACTCGTCACGTTTTAGTTTGTAGTTAGCACGAGGAACGTAAACAAGATCCTCTTTCATATCCCCACGACCTTGAGCACTGGCCCTATGGTTATCGCATCGCAGCAACAAGCCTACTCCACGCCTTTCTGGGAGACGGCTAGGAAAATATGGCGCTACGAAGGCTTCCGCGGATTTTTTAAGGGTATCGTACCACGATGGATCACTCTGACTGGGAGCATTTTCGTCGTCTCAAACGTGATCAATCTTTGCGAAGAACAAGACGAAGGTCAACACGGACTTGGGTAAAATCTTCATGTTGTTCTTTTCGTGTACAGTTAGATTTTTTTTAAGACTTTGTTTTACAGAGAGTTGTCGTTAAATTCTCACACTCTGTTCTGCATCTGTTTGCTTTGTAGAGCAAGACAAGCCCCAACCTCGCCCAGGTTGTAAATATGATTCCTTAATAATAGTAAGGGATGTAGGTATTAAAATAACAGTTGTACTAGATAGTAGATGATACCTCATGTTCACATTTCAATTCATCCACAATTAACGTTAAGAACTAGAACTGCCAAAATTTGTAAAGTGCTTTTCTGATGATTCCTAGCACTACAGTGAATGTGAACAGCATGCTGAACATGAATAGACGTAATCCTTCCACGCCCTGTATGATATTCATTCCGCTTTGGCTTTCGCTTGAGGATTCTATGACGCAAAAACATCCATGAATATGACGCTGCCGCATGATCGCTTGTTCGATGAGCATCCAGAGATCAAGAACAAGATGCACTGCGCTGGCAGATGTGTGGAGCGGCTCTCAGTTTTTGTGTTCGTCTTATCGTAGCTTGGAACCGCGGCAGTACCGAGTAAGGGTGAAATTCTAGAAGTGTCATTTAGCTGCTGAGATCCCACAAAGTTGAGTCTGTTGATGCAAGGAAATCTAGAAAAATGGAGGTATTGAAGTCAACACTTGCTGAAGAGATAATACTATCGTCCATTCTGTACTTGTGACAGACATCGAGTCGAAAATGAAAGGCAAACACCGTGGTTCTTTTCGTCATTGCGTGCTCGCCGGAAAAGGCTCTAGAGGCGGAGTTGCTAGTTGTACATGTACATCTCAGCGTTTTATACAAATCGGAGCAACAGGAATACGGCGGGCTTTCTCCACTGATGTCGAAGCTCCATCCTCGATTTCTTTTTTTGCTTCCGCAGGCCCGATTGCCACAGAGAGTGGTGTAAAGCTAGGACATGCTGGAGAACAATCCATTGAGGCTGAGCAATCTCGTTCAAGCGCGTCATCAACATCTACGACATTGTCCCCGACGCCTCAAAATGACAGCTCAATCGATGTTGAGTCATCTTCTACAACGTGCACAAGTACAACCTCTACAACATCTTCGACCGTAGCAGCATCTATTCCTGAGAACAACATTCCACCAGAGAAGCTCGGACATTGGTACTGTCGTGACTTCCCCGCTTTTCTGAAACGCGGAGTTGCAGTGTCTGAATGGGTTAAACTTCGACGTGCTGGAGGTAGGCTAGACGCTGGTGGAAAACGTTTTTTGCTGGAGAAAGTAAGGGAGAGCTTGGAGGACCACCGACGACCTAGTAGTGCTAATAATGGAAGTTCCAGTATTGAACCTGGTCCTCCTGCTCCTGCTGGATCTGGTTTGGCCGACAACAAGAAACCATCAATTATTCCGATCCCTCATGCGGCTGCCGCAGCAACTACTATAGGGACCCCCACTAGAACAAACTCTCTAATCACCATAAAAACCAATCCACGTTCATCCGATCTCGCCTTATATCCAATATTTCTTCGCCAACTGCAGATCGACGATGAAAAAACGATTGAACAGATGTTGGATCGAGCAGTGGAGCAGCTTGCAAGTGGTGAGATGGGCTTGGTACATCAATGGACACATCGTGGTGCTGCGGGACCTTATGGGCATGGGAGGCGTAGTTTTTCGAGTAGCGGCGGACCAGGGATTCTTCCTACTTCTGGTAGTGCCCATGGTCTAAAAACGTCTTCTAAAAAAAGTAGTAATGGAACTCTATCGGCAGTGAAGCTTCCACCTGTACCACGGGATCCAAAGGGTGCCATCCGCCTTCCATCAGAAATCGAGGTATTCGTGCGCGGTTTAATGGAGCTTCCGGTCGAATTTAGAGGTATGTTTCATGCTGCGAGGAAATTTGTTCAGAAGCTGGCCAATAGTGAGCAACAAGGAGAGGGATTAGAAAAATGGCCAGTAAGCAACTTGTGCCTCCTCTTCTCTACGCTTTCCCAAGCGATGGTGCCGTTTGATCGGATGAAGATTTTCTACACCTTGTTGCATCAGAAGTTGATAGTAGAGGATGGCAGTGGTGGGGGTGCCGCTGCTGGTGCTGCTTCGACTCGACCTGGTAGAAATGGCTTCGCATCTTCTGTTACTGCTCCAACAGTAGCAGCTCGCCTTTTCTTGCGACTATCACCCGACGACCGAAGAGTTGTTCTAGAAGTACTCACACCTCTAGTTTTCGATGATCATGGGAGTGCCAGAATGCTGAACAAGTACCCTTTCAATGTGGCGAAGCAGATGGAGTTGTTGCGGGATTTTAAGTTCTTTCTCGGCCAGGAATTCCGGAAGGAAGTCGAAGAGTGCACATCAGTGCGTGACCTTGAGATACGATGTTGCACTCTGTTGCGGTATTTCACAGATCCGAGCTATCAGAGTTTGTTTACTTCTGACACTGCCTCCGATGTTGAGCCAGCTGATGGAGGTAGTGGTAATGCGCTGGAAATAAAGTCAACATCAGAACAAGAGAAGCAAGACGCGTCTTCTGACGCGCCAGAACCCATTTTCTCGTCTTCCGTGCGAAAACAAGAACAACACGTCGACCCATGTTCTTCCGAAAGCCTTTTACACCTCTTCGTCGACAAAGCAAAAACACTGGCTCACGATGGCAAGAAAGCTCTACCCGAAGTCCACTACTCCCAGCTTCTGTGGCATACTAGAGGCCTGCCTGCTTGGGCTCGAGCTGCCATTGCACACAAATGGTTAATCGAGGAAAAAGCGTGTTCCACATTACTCCTCGACGGCAAACAGGTTTCCGCACCCAGCACCACTACAGGTTTGTACCTCTATGCGAAGTGGTTGGAAATGCTCTCTGGCTTGGACGACTCTGACCTTTCTGGCGTCACCAAGATTCGAGAGCAGTTGAAAGTGCGTGTTACAGCAAGAAAAACAACGCTCTTGACACCAAACATTGCTGTTTCGTTGCTGTTGTCGACACAAGATATGAGGTTCTTAGACCACATTGAACAATGGCAAGATCTATCACCGGGAGACCTGAAAAAGCTGTGTCGACTGGAGCAACTGAGCTTGAGGAGAGAAATTGTACGGAGAGTCCGACAATGTGCAATCAATTCGCATCTTCTAGGAGGTGACTCTTTTCCTACACGACTAACAGGAGCTACATCTACATCTACTGAGCAGAGGAGCGATTCCACATCTGCTTTTGCCTCTACCTCCTCTCCTCACAAGAACATCGATGGAGTCAAAACAACTAGCGATATTACAGAACAAGCAAACAGCAGCACAAGTCGCGAGACGACGATCGACGCACTAGAGGCCTTGTATTCGATCGAGCAGCTAATGCTATTCTCAAATCTGCTTCCAGCAAGCTCATCTATCGAAGATGGAGATGAACAACTACAAGCAGCAAGAAACAATTATCCGAGTTCTGAACATCAAGACCTGTCCTGGCAACAGGGCTGGAGTGTCTTCGACTTGGCTTTGCAACGCAAATTGCACGCCTGCAACGACTTGGCGAAGTTGAACGAGGTCATCGCCACGATGAGTAAGAGCGGGAAGTACGAATCGAGCCTGCTTTCGGGCGCAAGAAATAAGTATGTTTGTCGCGTCTTGAAAGCTGGAAAGGATGTGGAATATCTCTGAACGCGCTGTGATCCTGAAGTAGAGCGAGCACTCGGTAGGATAACTACTCGTGACATTTACATTTTTACAAATCTAATGAAAATACAGACAGCTCTTGAAGATGTTGATGATAGTGTGGAACTCGAACTTAGTACTTCAAAAAAAATAGTGATCCTCAATCATTGCTAGAAAATTGAAATTTTTCATGATGATCTTGAGAAAGTGCTGCGACGCATAAACGACTTTGTGAATCAAACAAGTCGAAATGACAACGAACAACGAAAATGCTCTGTAAGTACATGTTCTTGTTCTGTAAGAACAGTTCTTGATACGAAATTGAAGTCAACATTGTTCATTTTGGAAATCGAAATTCTCAATCTGAATCCTTGTTGGAATTGCCTGTTCTGCTACTCCTTTTGGTTCATACCTCCAAAAAACCGTTCCACTCATCACCACATGTGGGCCTGCCGCTCTGACGACATCATTGGTTCATTCATTGTCTATCTAATTGTGTTTTAATCTTTCTGTCCCTGTTTCTCCGATGCCGATCTCATTGTTCTCACTCTGCTTGCCGAAATAAATTCAAATACGCCTGCTCCCAAGAACCTGCTCTGAAGATGTGACGATCTGATACGACAACAATCGAAGGCCACGAAACGATTCCCCATCCTGCATATAGGTTTGTCGTTAATATGCACTGCTTTGGTTTGTGATCCGATACAACCAATCACTCAACTATCTACTTCTATCATTACTAGGCAGGACTTGGCTGATACCAATTCCACTGCTTCTTGAAAGTTCTGAAAATAGAAGTACTCATTTGCATATCATTCTACACCCGTAAATTTCCCTATTAGCCACATTATCTCAATCTCCATGTTTTTCTACATAAAAACAACAAGAACTACATACCACTCATACGCAAGATACAACTCCTGCTCCTAAAACCCAACATAACAAAAAACCATGGCGCCTGCTACTAAATCACAATTTCCTTATCCACAAGACTGGATTGAGGAAGCTGAAGATTTCCTCTCCGAGACGGAGGAGATCGAGGGAAAATTCGAGAAGCCAAAATTCCCCGATACCCTTATGGTCTGCAACTTGCCGAGGGTAATCATCTTTCTATTAGAGTTTGATGAAGAAGATGATGCTCATTATGAGATCATTTTCCTCTGTAGTTGCCTTCATTTCGAACATCAAGGACCTGTCCATCTTTGTTTCTACCATCATTAATTGAAGATCGCAGCTTTTACACTTGCAAATTTATCTCAATCTCTTGTTCACCTTGTCGTCCGTGTACTATACGTATATTAGGTATCGCAAGAAGGCGAGAAAGGCGATGAATTCGCCAAGCTTAAGAAGGCGATTAACAAAAAGCTTGGAAAGACTGAGGAGGAACCAGGCTTCGAAGTCGAAATGTGGATCAACAAAGAGACTGGAACTACAGACGGCGTCGCTTTTTTGAAGTTTCCGAACAAGAACGAACTGGAGAAGGCGAGGAAAAGAATCGATGGATTCAAGATGGGAAAGGTATACAAGATTCTTGATCATTGTAGTGGTGATTTGTTGTTCAAAATTCATTCGGAAGGCGAAAAATATAGCTTTCAGATGAACTTTATTAAGTGTAAGATTGAGAACAAGTGCTCTACGTTGGCTAAAGAGTTGAACTTTCTCTGAAGAATTTGCTATCTGCATCCTCTCCAAATCTCGAACCACAACAGAAACTCGCTGCCATTCCTATGGATGACTTTGACTCCCTGATGGAGTTGCCGGGAACATTCCAGCAAGCTCAGAAGAAGTCAGCCGCAGCACCCAAGCTCGCTTTCCTAAACGACTGCAACAGCTGGCTTTTGGACGACAAGGGTCGTGAACAGTTGTGCCTTCGTTATCAACAAGACACAGAAATCTATTGGCTGGATCCTTTGGAGACATTGGCGCCATACTACACCGGTCAGAGGGAGAAAGCGAGCGGACGAGTGTGGTGCGACTGGAAGGTAAGAACGAGTTTCATTTCATCCGACATCTGCCCCAATCGACGTTTGTAACTTTCGATTAATTATGAAGCGAACGATTAACTATGAAGCGTATTTTCAGCTTCTCCGTTACGTCATTCTTTCGACTTAAACTAGTACTTCCTGTTTCTGTTTCACGAGGACACCATGATCACTTTGATGAATGGTTCCGGTATTTGGTAACCTGAATTTGATCATAAGGGAAAACAACAAGAGAACCCTCGTGATCTAATTCAGGTTACCAAATAAAACCAGAACCATATTAGATATGACGTTCAACATATTACGATCCGCACTACAACAGGTATCCTGGTCTCCCCACGGTTCTTTCCTCGTGACCATGCACAAACCTGGTCTCGCCCTTTGGGGTGGGGACGAAATGGTCCAGAAGAGAAAATTGATGCACCCAGGCGTGCAAGAGCTCATGTTCTCTCCATCTGAGCAGTACCTCATCACGTGGAACGGTGCTAATCCCGACGAAGATAAAGCAGCGTATCGTATTTGGGATGTGAAGACTGGAGCCGTCTTGAAGGAGATCGGCACTCCGAAGTTTAGCCCAAGTGGAGTTCATGGTATGCATGTTACTATAAGTATAAGGGTTTTTTAGATTAAGATTTATTAGTGCTATTTTTTACTTTTAGATTCGTGTTCATGATCTTGTCCTCGTTGACGTTCTCCTGCTAAATGAAATAGAAATACGATTATCTACTCTAGCTCAGCGTTTTCACTTGCGGTTGAAACACCTTGAAGAACTACAAATATTGACTCATCCTCGTCCCAACATCGTCTACCCCAGAACACCATCAACACACAACCAACAACAACAACAACTACGGAACCCTTGTCATCAATCCATTGACAGACGCCTTCCCGCATCTTTTGTTTTCGCCGGATAGCAAGCTCTTTGCGCGATGCACTGAGCGAGAGATTCACATCCACGGACTTCCGTCATGTGCGCCATGGAAGCGACCAGGCATGAACGAGCATGTGCCATTTCGATTCGAAAACGGCATCTCAAGCTTTCAGTGGTCCCCGAAGGACAACGTCATCGCAGTCTTCTCCCCACAAGTCAACGACTCACCAAGTTGTTTGACAGTTGTGAACGCGGAAACGGGAGAAATGTACTTCTTACGTGAATTTGAAGTCTGAAGATACTGATGTCGATAGAGCTGCATCGTTTGAAGTTGTTCGAGTCGTGTGTATTCGAGTCCAAAATAGTGATTTTTATGGTGATATTTTCTAAAACTCGAACAAGAACTAGATCTTTCTCAAAACTAGACACGATCACAATCCCATCTGCGAACCACCACCACAACGACAACAGCTTGAATAACAAATCCCGGTTGAACTTCAACGCGACTATGCACTGGCAAAGTGAGGGGGACTTCCTCTGTGTCGTCCTCACGAAGAAGGGCAAGGTCAAGGACGGAAAGGAAACCGCTGGCGGAAAAGCGAAGAATCTCGATATTCTTCGACTCAGAGAAAAGAATATCCCAGTCGAGACATTGGACGTCGAAGAAGGAATTAAGGGTACGACTGAACTAGCTCATTGTTATATATTTGTAGCAGGGTAACGATGTCTTTGCTTATGGTTCTGAAGTAGACCAGTGACGAATTATTTTTCTGAAGTAGACCAGTGACGAATTACAATTACCAGAACATAGTCTCACAACAACACCAACACGATTTCCCCTCGATCAATCTCAAAACTCTGATTCAACAAAGCCCCAGCCCAACCATCAACAACCATCAATCAACATTACACCTACAGGCTTCTTCTGGGAGCCAAAGAGCAACCGATTTGCTATGCTCTCTGAGGCTGGTGCCGGAAAGACTATGCTTTCGTTCTACAGTCTAGCAAACAGCAAGTGTGAACAGGTAGCGACATTTGAGTTGACCAGTCAGGCGTACAACAAGGTCTACTGGTGCCCAGAGGGCCAGTACTTTGTCGTCGCAGCTATCGGCAGCGGAGAACTTATGTGGGGAAGGTATAGATACACATTGTTGCACACACGATAAAAGAACATTGTTGTACTTGACAGGGATTGAAATCTCAAGAAGAAAACAAGAACTCTCCCACAACTACTTCTAGACAAGACTCCTCACGACAACTACTTCCAGACAACTCGTTTCTTTTACAACTACAAATAAACAGACTCCTTCCAGACAAGACTGAAAACGCTATGGAATTGCTGTACAAAGACGAGCAAGTGAATCTCACACACGTCGAGTGGGATGCGAGGGGGCGATATGTGCTCACTTCCGTCGCTCAACCAATCGACCCAGCAGCAAGAGACTTCAGCATGAGCCAGGACGCTGGATTCTCATTGTGGACTTTTCAGGTATATTCTAACTTTAAGACTTGTTCTTACCACTTTGCTATGCTGATACAACTTCCCCCTGTTCGAATGATCTTTGAGGACGATAATTGAATAGATTGCTTATCCCCTTATCAGGCTTTCCACTTCCACGGCCGTTTCCAATCTTGGAGGCACACTGCTGGAATTGTTTTGTCCCCTCATTAGGCTCGGAGTACTAAATGGGACACCATGAATGAACAATGCCAATCTCTTTATCCACACTCAACACAGGGCCGTCCTCTCCACCAAGAGTCTCTTGAGAAGCTGTATTCCGTCCACTTCCGACCCACTCCTCCTAAGCTCCTAGAAGAGTCCGAAGAAGCCGAAGTCCGCCGAACGCTGAAGCAACACTCTAGGCGGTTTGAGCAGTTGGATGATGAAGCTAGGACACGTGCCAGACGTGAAGAACGCGAGAAGAAGGAGAAGCACATTTCAGAGTTTAAGACTATCTGCAACTTGTTGAACACGAACTACATGAAGCATGCGACGGCGATTGGATGGGAAGCGGCGCAGGCCGACTACAAGGAGCGCCACCGATGGCGTGATGTGACGGAACTGCAAGAAGAAATAGTATCCACGAAGGAAGAACAGATTGAATTCTCCTAAGAAGGAGTTGTTGTGGGGGGAAGAGGAATTCCATCTTGTTGTTGTTCCGAAGAAATAAGGAGCATGACTAGTACTAGCAAAAGTAGATTTCGTCGATGCGTGTGAGGCGGCGAGATCATCGTGCTGTCATCTGGAGCTAGCAGCTACCGTGCTGGGCGAGTTGTACGGTGTCATGGTTAGCCTCCATCTGTGTCATACGGATGTACTACTAGCATCCTCTTCGTATACAACCGGTTGTAAATACTAAACTTCACTTTGCAGAACTTCTAGTTTCATACCATGTTTAGCGTCTTCGTGGCGCGAGGAGATCCTGTGTTTCATTTACATTGCAAAAAATCTGTCACTCTGTAAGTAATCAAGGAAATCGAAATGTGAATGTGTTGTTTTTACTCAATGTCATTGCGTCCTTCGTGTAACAGGAAGGATGAGCAACGCTGACAAGGTGCTCATCTTGGTTATGGTTTTCATCATAGACATAATCATAAGAAACGCAGTAGAATAGAGCAATGGTCGGCTTCTCGGTGGCTGTTAAGCAGATATAAATGATTTCTTGATGTATCTAACGTATCTCACTTACTATGCATGTTTTATCAGACGCAGATCAATCACCTACTCCGCCATGAGATCCACCTAAGTTTCAGATGCAGGAGCAACAAGGCGAAGCAGGGTATAAGCGAAAAAGTACATACAAGATTTTTATCACTTTTACAACCAAATCATAACCAATGAATTTCAGCATCATCCGTCAAACTCATCACGAAAACCTTTCACCAATTCGCAAAATAAAGCAAATCAGACATCATTGAAATTGTAACCTAGTCCAACGAAAAGTAGCCCTTAGTCGACGGTGGGAGTACGTCGAATTGGGCCGCCGATAACGACGAGATTTATTAAATTATCAGTTGCATTATGATTATGAGCATCAGCATTTCGAAGAATCTGCAGGGCGGAGGGAACTAAGATCGAAGATGCAAACGGCTGTTCTCTCGAAGGCTGATGCTTACATAGATAGAGGCAGAATCTATCACGCCGTTGTAGTGTTGAGCTTCGAATAATTTCAAGAAAATCTGTCACGAATCATGTCGGTCGATAGAAGTGCTCTTATCGGTTCGTTGATTCTCATGGTCATGGTCGGTACCTAAGATAGAATGATGATGATCTGTGGTGTCGGTTATCAAGCATAGTGACCGTGTCCACCTTGATGTCCTCACCTCTGCACACCCCAGAATCCTCTCAAGATGCACTGATAACCTCACCAGCCGCCCTGCGAAAAATATTCAATCCGTCCATCAGCACCTGTGGGCTGCACCTATGTGACATTATTCAGCTTCACCAAGCAACTTTCAATAGAGCTCATGTTCATGTTTTTTCAACATTTTTTTAGCAGTATTTATTAAAGGTCCAGAAGATTTAACAGGTTTGAAATTGAATTCACTAAAATTAAAAATCGAACTCGTAATCTCTTCTGGAGCACGTTGTGGTCCTGCTCCTCTCCAGGAGAAAGATGTTGTTAAATCCTCCCCAACAATCAACCTCGGCCACGTCTGGGCACTTGACCAGTCAGATGGGTAGCTCTACGATGCTGTCGGCTTCTGAATCCTCTGGAGGCCTAGACCGAAAAGCCGTGAACCCAAGCAGATGGGCACCAACAAGGAAAAACGATCAGAAACCAGGACCCGGAGCTCACGACTTGCCAAGTCTCAATGTGTGCCGTACTACGAAGAGTATGGCTTTTCGGTGGAATCGGGATGACAGGTCACGCTACATGGGTCGTGGCGGGATGAAGCCAGCGTCCGTGGTCAAGAAGAAGTTTGACCAACAAGAACGAGAATTCGAAAGAGCTGAACTACAAGAAGGCGGACCTCCAAGGAGTCGACAGAAGCATACGACAACGGCGAACAAGACGGTCAAGATTAGGTGATCGGATTTTGAAAAACACCAAGTATTTTTAGAAACAAATTCTGTCGAAGTAGTGGTCCCTTTTTTTCACTTCACCACCACCTCGTCAAACTACTCTAACGGAAGAAAAAGCACCCGTGGTCACGGATCGCCTTCTGCAGCTGTGCATCACGAAGTGCCGCCGCCTAGTGGCGAATATGGTGAAGAGGAGGACGCCCCACCACCTGGAACTTACGCTCCACGAAACCGCTTGTTCGATCAACAGTCTCTGAGTAACGAGTTCGTCTTCGGAAAGCAAGGTGTTGGAGGTCTTTTCCCCGGTGTAGCTCGCGATCTCTACGGTGTAGGTCTGAATGCGAGTCGAGGTCTCGTTCCTGCGAAAATGGTAAATCGACAGACACAGTACGCGGAAAGCACGACGAATCTGTTGAGACAAACGAGTACGAGGATTGTCATACAAGGGGAGAATGTTATGGCTCTTGCAGAAAGACACAGATCAACCAAGAATCTACCAATGATCTTGACCTTCTAGTACTGGTACTGATCAAGTTGTATCTGCTTCCTTGTACTTCATCAAGAAGCTCTTCCTACATTATATCTTGATCTACTTCAACAGGTATTTCAACTACATCTGCAACTCTTCTACTCCTACTCCTTTTTAATCTCCGAGCTGATTTTAGCGGACTGAATATCCAACCTCAAGATCCTGGCTTGCTTATCCGACAAGGCGTCAATGAAGCAGCGTCGCCTAGTACAGTCGTCCGAGTGCTGCCACCTAATGAGGTAGAGATCGCGAGGACACCTGGTAAAAAAGAGGACATCAAGAAGGAAGTCGATATTGGTGGAGGTGCTACTTCTAGTACAGCAATAAGACCTGGTGTTGCTACAACTGGTCCAACAGAGCAGGCAGGAGCAGCATCCTCTGGCGGTCCTGCTGCAGCTGCTCGTGCTCGCACTCATTCACCTGAATCAAGGACAAGACTGCTTACATCTGAGGAACAAGTCGAAGCAGTGACTACTAGCAGAGTTCCAAGTAGATCCGCAAGTAGAGCAGGTGCTAGTCGCGGAGCAAATGCCAGCAGGCCATCATCAGTGGGAGACCAGAGTGCCAAGTTTTCGGGTGTATGCAGCGTCCGCAGGTTGCGACACGTATCATGGTCACCGAGAAGACGGGAAGCAGAGGAAAAAGAATCAAGTTTCAGATCTGGAGCTGCTGTGCCTGTCTACGTACTACTACTCTTTTTCCTTCACAACTTTGTTCTCACCTTGTCCACTGATTTAATATCGTTGAGACCTCCACTTCTCAAATGGAAAACTAGAATGTCCAAGTTAAGTACCTTTTTGCACTACAACTCATATACATGATATTTTACCGACGTTGTTTTTGTTCCATCGATCTTCATCACCAGGGCTTCTCACCTCCGCGAGAACGACAGCCGCATATACTCGAATTCGTGAAAACGCTTCCCTGGTATGAGCAAGTTCTCTGGTTCGAGGCTGAGATCAAAAAGGGACCCCTACCTCTGGACCTCCATCGCTATTTGGTCTTTTTGCAGTCAAATCCGACATTCAAGGGCCATCGCGCAGTTGCGCAGAAAGAGCAAGTACAGAGAATCGCAGAAAGGAAAGCAGGGAAGGTGAGTAATCAAAGGGAGAGTTTGGGGAGCTATCAACACAATTGGCCGTCGTTTTCGCCAACTAGGTCGTAAAGAGCTTACAACATTGTATGTAATTGTCATAATCGTTCTTGATGTGTGTTGTACTAACATCTTCTAGTACGATTTAGTTGTGGGAGGGCTAGTTATCGTCAGCATGAGATAAAAAAAGATCAACACTGTTCATATGATCTCTTCACTCGGAGAGCCGTAGAAAAATCAATGCTGGGGCGGGCATTCTGCTTTTAAGTATTCCTAAGTCGTAAGAGTAAGTCGTAAGTTTCGTTTTCAACGTAAAAGCCCAAGTCGCTTGCAGATGTATTTTTCGCGAGGGTAATGTATCGCTTTTCTTCCAGCATTCGCTTTTCTCATTCACAAGACTTGAATGTCTTCAGCAACGAAAGAAAGTCACGAATGCGAACTGTGCATAACTTGCAGATGTTGAGAAAACCACCGCAAGACACGAAACCGAATGAAGCATATGGAATCTCACACGTTAGAAGTCGTCGTCGTTGTGAGTGCTGTACTTAATTTTGAATTCCTTGGTTTTTTCATGCTACAACCTGTACAAGTACATGATCTTTTTAAGTAGTTGGTTACAACTAGTAATTTTTTTTGCGGCTTACGCGGCTCCTGCGCGTCATCTGCACATTTGATGCGTGTTGGTTACTGGCAGCGGAAGTAACGATACAGACACGATAGCATGCTATCCGCCTGCAGATCTCCTCGATACAGACCCAGCGTGCTAGCTAGTATGTTAAGGCTTCCCCTAATCCATCCCTGTAGACATCCCTCAGATATATGCGCCCCAATGCAAGGGAGAGACTGACGCATATGTTTGAGGGATTTCCACAGGGATGAACAGGGGAGAGCTCTAAGGATGCTATCCCCCCGAACAAGATCTCCTGGAGGTCTAGCACGCTGGGTCTGTATCGATCCAGTTTTTTGAGATGGTCCTGTGCGGCTCCTTCAGGCAGAGGCTTCTTGTCGGTCCTCTGAGTAATGCCACGCCGAGTCAGGCTCTTCGGTTTCGTCCAAGATTAGAGATAGAGCTTCGGTCTCTCCAGAGGAGCAATGACTGTATAGCCCAGAAGAAGAAGATCGGTAAAACACGATTCTGGAGGTCGAAGTCATTTCCTGCAATTGCATCGGTAATTTATATAGATCTTCTCGGCTCCAAACACTTCTACTACACATACAAGCTGCCACGACCTTTCCACCCGTGACTTCTACCGACCCTATTAAGACTTCAGTAGAAGTTGCATTTCAATAGAAGTACAACAACAACTACAAGGAGGAGTATGGCCGCTATTATGAAAGACCAACATGAACACGATGTTTCAGCTTCTCGCCAACTTTGTCTTTGTAACAACTGGTGGAACTACTGCAACTCCTACAACACTTCCTGCTGACTACTTCAAGACTTTTGTCATGTCGTTTTTACTTTCAGGAGTGTTTTAGGGTCTTGAAGATTTTTTCTCGGTTGGTCAAAATGAATCCTCTTGAGCAGGAGCGATGCGTGACTCAGTCACTACAGGACTCCAGGTTCGCGTCTGCGGTCGATCGTGCTGGGTTCATCTCGACGTCGTCAAGCAATAGTTCTAAGGAGACCGATCCCTCTGGCGGCGCGTTGCAGAACAACAACATGAGCAACAAGCAATTACAACTACAAGCAGATGATGATGATCCGCCTGTGCCTCGTCCGTCACGACTACCTGGTGCTTCTGCTCCCATGCAATTTCAATCGGCATTGGGAACAAGAGCGTCAATGGCAGGCTCTTCTCCTGGAGGAATGAGAGTGAGTAGTATAGGCCTAGGAGCAGGTGGACAGAGAGCTTTCAAGTCCACCATAAAAATTGTTGACGGTGTAGCACAGCTAGTGCATGACTACGGATCGACAGACGCGTCTGATCAAGGAACTGCTCCTAAACGAGGGGGTAGCATTTACGGTGGTGGCACTGGTACCACTTCTCCGGGTAATATTATTGCAGGAACTAGGCCAGGTGCTAAGAGTGTCATGATTCCGCCAATTACTGCATCAAGAAATAGTGGAGATGGTGGTCAGCCTCAACTTGGCGGAGGTAGGTCGCCGCCCGGTACCGCAGCGCAGAAGAGGGTGACAATAGCAGGAATAGGTGGAGTACCGGGTGAAACTACAAGTACCTTTCACATACCACTACCAGTGAACAAGAAAAGTCTATTGACGTTAAGGTCTCACACTCAACAGCTAATCCACCTTTTAGTAGATCTGTAAGCCTAACCTGTTTTCAAAGCAATACAAATAGAAATTAATTGGAAAATGGCCACAGATATGCGAAAAGAAGGATAGTAGTGTTAGTGAGGTCTAATGATGACAGCAGGTTTGGGAGGAGGAGGAGGACAGACAGCGCAGACTTTCTCATCTACTTCAGGCGGAGGTAGTGCAGGTTCATCAACCTCGTACAAGGGTGGGCCGTCAACAGGGGAAGCGTCGTCCGGCAATCAGCCTCTGAGCATCGCGACATTTGGTCGCGCACCGACGACTGGCACTGATGAAGATAAGGATGATGTTGATATTAATGGACCAGGAGGTGGTCGTGCAAGTAGTAGTAGAAGAGGCACTAAAGCAGGTTCCGCTGGCGCATCATCAACAAGGGAGATGGGAGGTGGTCGTGGCGCACTTGGAGCTGGAGTTGGAGCGCCAAACTCAACAATAAGAAACAGTTATAGAAGAAGTGGTGCAAGTACAACAACAGAACAACTAGAGTACAACAGAACAAGTGGGAGTCGTGATACCGATAGAAACAGTAATGGGAGACCGACATCTACTACTAGTATAGCTACATTAGGAGAATATTACCAATACCCTGCTCATTCATCCGCATATAGTAGTTGGCTTCTAGGACAAGCTGCCCCAAGACATGTGTCACTACCTAGCTCAGAGATGCGAAGTGGGTGGCCGGAGGCTCCTCCGCTGTCTGTGTCAACGGGAGGAGAGCTGCAAGGACCTAGTACTACAGGGAATGAGGTTCTTGAGAACGCGTCATCATCGTCAACATCATCAACAACAGTCCAGCCACCAGGTGGAACAAGAGCAGGAAGTGCTGCTCTACTAGTAAGTGGGGCGGGCACTTCGACTTCTACAACAAATAGTCGAGGCTTCACACGAACCGGAACTAACACTCAACTAGACGTGCGAGAGGAGCTCTACCAAAGTACACTGCATCTCCACAAACGAACGACGGCAGTGCGGCCACCTGAGATTCTGGTAAATGGAGGCGCCGGAGCCCTGCAGCGAGTATCCGATGTGTCTTTGAATCCTGAAAGCGTGATGTGTGCTGACGTTTCTAGCAATTCTGGCAATAGTAAGAGCCAGTCGTCAGGAGGCACAAGCTGTGCCAATACGAAGAAAAAGCAGTTGCTGAGGGGTGCAACATCAGAAAGATTGTTCATGCTTCATTATGCCTACCAGAAATGATCCTGCTTCTTCAATTTGTTCATCATCCTGAAAAATTCAATTTCAAATAAAATTACATCCCTTTACATAATTTTTTACTAGGTAGTTCAACGAACTAGAGGTCGGTCAAATGAGGATGATGTTGATGCAAGAACATAAACTACAACTACTTCTACCACTATCTTCATCTTTTCTCTTTTTCTATCTCTAACTTGAGCAAAGACAGGAGTCCGAGGAGGAGCAGCTGTGGACGTTGATGAGGGCTTTAGAGACCAGCAATATGGCCCTGTCTCACGTATTGACGGATCATAATGTTCATCAGATGCAAGAAAATGTAAGATTCAGCAGTGTCTCTACTATCCGAAGCACAGGCGGTCTTCGTGGAAGTCAGGGTCATCAGAGTCAAAGTCAAAGTGATGCTGACCGACATACAAATCCTTTTTTTGGACACCAAAAAACCAGACAAACTAACGCAGAAACAGTAGAAGAGGAAGATGCGGACGATGTAGGTACTCTTAAGGCTTGGAAATTTATCTTTAGAAGCAAGAATTTTATGATGGTACAACAGGCACAGGTATTAAGGGTAGGTTAAAGGTGCTTTTCTTACCGCTTTTTATGCCTCTCCTAAGGAAGAGAGGCATAACAAGCGGGGTAAGCGAGCACCAAAAACCTACCTCTAAAGGTACCTCCGTGAACGAATGGAAAGTAGTTCCTAAGGAACTCATTAGTATTTAGTACTACCGAGAAGATGCTACTCAGTAACTAAGAGAAGAAGATCAAGATGTATTTCGGAAACAGGCTGCAGCTTCACCTCTAACCTTTGGAAAAGCATTGTACAAAGTCTGTCCGATCAGCTGCTGAGTCGATTGACTCAAATTAGAACGTCCTCGATCCACTTAAGCAGAGAGCAAGAAGAGGAAATTCAAAAGGCAACGGATCTTCTTGATGATGCACAAAGGACAGTAGAGCCTGAGGTAGGGGAAGGGGTCGGACCAGTAGCTCCGCGCCACACGAAGCCACCAGGTAGCTTGTTGTCGGAGATGGTCGGAGGTGGAACAACGAGTTCTATGGGTATGGGAATGGCATCTCCATCAGCTATGATAGGTGGAGGACATCAACAACGGAGATTTGCATCACCATCAGCTATGATAGGTGGAGGACATCAACAACGGAGATTTGCATCACCATCAGCTATGATAGGTGGAGGACATCAACAACGGAGATTTGCATCACCATCAGCTATGATAGGTGAAGGACATCAGCAGGGGAGATTTGCATCACCATCAGCTATGTTGGGAGGTACAGCAGCCATGGTTCGGAGTGGAAGCCCTCACAATCTTAGTGTCCTTCAGAGTCAAAGGAGCCAGAAGTATCAAGTGGGGAGATTTTTGTCGCCCCAAACTGGTTCCCGCAGTCTCTTGCCTCCTGACAACATCTTTTGTCCACCGCCGCCAGCGAGAGCCGTTAGTCCGCCAGCAGGTCTGGCTTTAGCGAATGCGCAGGTGCGTGCGTCTACAGTGGGCATGAAATCGTTAGCGCATAATGCACGTGGTGGTTCGCCTCAGTTGGGGACGAGACCTCCAGTGAATACAACAAGTGGTAGTGGTAACAGAGGACGAGGATTCGTGATGGCAGGAACGAATGCACCTACTTCAGATGCTAGCAAAGCTAGTGTTGCTACGACCATTCTGAACGCAGAGCATCAGCAAGTACAAAAAAATCGTGGTTATCAGGGTCCTTCTCCTCATAGTGGCCAACAACACCATAGAGGACGCAGCCCGGTCAATTCCGCGCCTGCACCCGCAGCAACTGGGCAAGTTGGTAGACCGCTGACAGGTGATTACATGTTCGCGCCGCGGTCTAGGAACTCCTTTGACGTGAACAACCGCATCTATGGTCATCCTGGGAGTGCTGATGTCAGCACAAGCGTTCGTGCCCCACCGCAAGCAATGAGAATGGGTGCTCCCCACGAAGATGGTGGACAACATCATCATCAAGCAGCTGCTGGAACGACGAGTCCTCTCATTGTAGCGCCCTTTTTAACTCCGACAGGCGAAGCGTCGAGCTTGATGAACCAAAGGTCACAGCTGGGACGTATAGGGAGTCTGAGTCCTAGTTTGATGAGAGGACAAGCGCAGCAAGAACAGTCTCAACAAGGCGGTGGCGCTGCTGTGGACTTGTTCAGCAGGAGTGTTTCACCAGGTGCTGGCGGTATTCTAGGAAGTCCGAAGTCTAGGAAGCGCAGTAGAACACGAGAAGGTCGCTCTGCGTCTGCAAGTCGCGAGCAACGTCCGGGAGAAGATGTAGACCTCGCAGCACAGCATCAACAGCGTGTCATGTTTGAAGAAGCGAATGGCACTGGCAAGAACACTGGTGTTGTCGACACGTCTTCCCCCATAGCTTCCCGAGTTACGATGCAGAACATGCAAAACTTGTCGGAGAGAACAGAACGCTTACGACTAATGCTCGCACAAGCAGAGGAGATGCGAGCCGAGGAGGAGAGGCGGATACTGGCTCGCAGCGAAAGTCATAAGAATTTTTTTGGACGTGCAGGAACGTCGCCACAGCTACAGGAAAACAAGTTCTCAGCACTAGGTGTCCTCGCACACTCTGCCAGCATGGCTCAACTGACTAAAGGAGCACTTGTTTCTCATCAAAATAGTGGAACTGGTGCTGGTGCTGGGGGAGATCCTAACAACCAGAACGACGCTGGAGGAGGTAGTGGAAACGGTGACTACCTGAGAAAAAGATCAAGGTCTCCAAAATACGGCAACTTTCGTCCGAAGAAAAGCGTTGTTCGAGGACCTGGACGCCATGTCGTAGTACAACAGCAAGGTCCCGCACCTACCACCACACCTTCGCCTGCAATTCGGAATAAGCCTTTTCGCGTACCCACTTTGAGCGAGGAACGAAGACGGAAGCAAGCCAAAGTAGACAAAGCGAAGGCGGTCATTGGTGGGACTCTCTCTCGAACGGCCTCACCATCCCCGATCGATATCGATGCGCCTGATCATGACAGAAGTGTGGCTCATCAATGGTTTAGTGCTAGTTCTAAGACCAACACGAAAAACCTTTACGCAACCGAGAATGGAACAGTTGGGTACCGATGCAAAGACGGCGCGATGGTCAGCAGTACTCGTCTTATGGGCGGCGTTCTTAGATTTAGATGCGCATGTGTTTTTTTAATGATGGAAACAGATCAGGTCAATTTTGACAAAATTAGAGGTTAGCACTAGTAGAAGAACGCCCTCACAGTGAGAACCAACTTGTTTCTGGACATTTTTTAACTAATAGGTAAGATAACAGGAACATCTTTGACCTTTACACCATCAACTTCTTCTAGTTCTAACTCAACCTCGACAACGTATCATCATTTTGCGGAGCCAACGGAATCAGCTGCTATGCATACGCAATCCACTCTAGAGCACAGGCGAGAGGTCGATGACCGCGCTTGGAGCAAGGATGACCTGAACATGCCAAGACAGTACTGCTTGTTCTTTGCCTGTTTTTACTCAGCAACCCGAGTTCCTGCTCCAATTAAGTGTTAGATCTCTCTGCGCATAAGTAGCTCGAAATGGAAGAAATTTGAATTTGTCATTTTTTCTTTGTGAAGATCCTCATTTGATGATGATCATTCACTGACTAGTTGTATCAAGATTCAGCTCTTCTCAACATTCTGCTCCTATCGATCCTCCCAAAAACAGTGCCGAACAACTTTACGAATCCACTGACTCGCCTGGATTTCCTTCGCCTTTACGAGACGGCGCCATTACTGGGATCGATAAAGTTCCAACGAGCAAAAAGTTTCTGGAGCGGCCTGGTTTGGCAGCTAAAAAACACGTTTCGTTGAATCGGGCGCATGAGGTATTGAAAGGTTTACTAGTAGGCTTTGAGATGAGTATCAAGAATGTTCTCCGTTAAAGTGAAGGAGAAGATGGATGCTGTTTTTCTGGTGGAGCGTTCTTCGGGTAATACCATCATTTCCAAACTATCCGCTAGCGCTACCCAGTAGCCCTTCTTCAACTTACTAAGGAGAAGATACTTGAGATAAGTATCAATGTTTTCCCATCTGCTCCACCAGAAGAACCGCGTCCACTACACCAACCACAGCACGTCGCTCCGATGCAACCTCCGACCGAGAAAGTGATCGACCGTCTGGGCATCGAGGGTTTCCGATACGGATTCAAGAACAAAGAAAACGAGAGCTACGACAAGAGGATCAACACTCCAGTTGTGGAGGTGACCAAGACCGAGTCGCCTATCGGCGGGAGTGCTTCTATCAAAGCTGTACGCTTGAAAGGATTTGTGCACCAGTCCTCGACCACTCGGATGAGCGAACTAGAGCGGCAAAACCAGCAGGCCCAGGCGCGTGTTTCGGGTACCGATGAGTTCGGGAGAGTTTCAGCAGATGTGCCCGAAGAGTTTGTCCTAGAAGAAGGTGCAAATGAATTTGGAACGGTGCAGCTGTCAGCTGATGTTCCTGAAGATTTAGAATATGATCATCTTGGTCCAGCTGATGAAGACTCTCTGTTTAATGCAGATACGAAGTGGAGTCGTTTGACTCGAGAAACAGAGCAAAGCCGAAGGCGTGGGGGTTCTCAAATAATGCAAGAAGATAATAGCAATGGTTATGCTGGTACAGTAGGAGCAGAGGGACAGAAGGGGACGAAAGGGAAGAATCCTTCGTCGAAGAAAGGTGCGTCAAAAGGCAGCAAGATGAAGGGTTCTAGGACGTCTCCTAGAGGGCTGCAGAAAGGAGGAGCTCGGGCGGAGGGAAGTGTATCCAACCCGGACTCGGGTCGACTTCTCGTAGATCGAGGATTACTAGACGTAGTGCTAGAAGAACAAGGACATGGGGAAAAAGGACTAGGGCCGCTAAGTGGACTAGGACTAGGTGAAGGTCAACGGCGAGCAAGCTCTCCCCCAGTCGTTCTCGAAACTCCTGTCAACGGAGGATCATCTTTCTTACCTCAACAACGCAGCAGTTATCGCGGTTCTGTTGCGACGCCCTCAACCGCGCAGACGATCCTTCCATCAGCCGTTATTGTGCGAAATAGTGAACAAGAAGGAGGCTCTTCGCGGTTTTCGAACAGACGAGGTAGTGGCCCGAGTCCGTTGGGGTATCAGACATCGCCTTCGATGATGAAGGAACTGCGAGAAAGTACTAGATTGTCGACGGGTTCGGCGATATCGAATCTGCCGGATCACGTTGGCGGCAACAACAACAATAGGGGTAGCAGGCACTATGCCCAACCAACAGCAGCGTCCAGAACACAACATCAAGGTGTGCATATTCATTCGAGCAATACTGGACCTGGAGGAGAAAATGGTGGAAGATCTAGTAGAAGGAAAGACAGCATCAGTGGTGCGCCACCAAACGTCGACACAGTAGAACAACAACCACCATCATCTGCCTCGAAGATGAAAAACGCTAAACCTACTCCAGACTCGCCGTCTCTGATGGCTGCTATTGGACGCGTGACTGCGGCATTATTTTGGGGCGAGAGGGAGACGTCAAATACTGCTGGCGAAGGTCAAGGCGGAGCAAGGCACTCCAAAACAGCTCTCATGCCTGACAAAGACGTCGACGCCCACAGGTTCAGTAAGGGGACAGCAAGTAGTGGCTTGAAGGCTTCACAGAAGCGCTCTCGTAACGCAGAAGGGGAAAATTCGAGTCCTAGAGAACGGCTCACGATAACCACGCCGAGCGGCCCTCCACCTGGGACGCGTCTTTCCGAGTCTACTACAAGTATTTCAGCGAAGTATAATAGGCCTAGCTCACCTGGCAATGGGAATGGAGGTAACCTGCCAGGAGGTCTGCCGTCTGCCAGAGAAATTGTTGGGCCACCTCTAATGATGTCGACTGCGTCTTCCATACCGCTTCCAGGAGGAAGACAATCAACAACCACTAACAAGCAAGGTGGAGGGCAGCCACTTCTTCGTGAGTACATGTCGAAGATGGCTGCCTTGCATGCTGAGTATGGGGCTAAATTGCCTGCGAATGTGAGAGAAGGTATCGAGCAGATGCTGGTTGATGGCGTTGTAGCTAGTAGGAATACTCGTACAACATCGAGCCCCGGACGAGGAGGCATCAACCGAGGAAGCAACAGCAGTAGTACTAGGGGTGCAGCGATTAATATCAACAACGGCAAATCTTCTGAGCGACCACCTACCGGATCAAGAACGTCTAGCTCGACTACCACTGTGCCAGCACCACCTGTCGATAACAAACTCACTCAGTATATGAACATGGTAAAGAAAAGTCGAATTAGTACCAGCAGTATTGCTGCAGCCGCACCAGCTGGCGGGCGGTCTTCAGTCAACAAGAACAGGGGAAGCAAAGCCGGTTCAATCGTTCAGGTAGGAGGCGGATCAGCTACGTTTCGACGACCCAAGGGTACCGGTCGAAGTCTGTCGCCTTCAGCCTTGAGGCCTGTTTTACAACAAGCAAATACACAACAAGATCATGACAGAGGCATGACCATAAGGGCTGAAGGCGAACGAGCTGCGCAGGAGGACATCAGAGCTGGCTCGTCCTCAAGACAGGTAGAGCTTGAGGAGGGAGGTTCCTCAGCTTCGACTGACTTTGGCACCAGTGCTGACCTTCCGGATCTTCTAGAGCAGTTACCTATTAATGGGCATGGACCGCAAGGAAGCGTTGTAGGTTTAGGAGGTAGTAGCTCTTCAATTACGAGTGGATTACGGGGTCTAGAGGAGCAAAAAGCTGAACTAGAGAAGCATGCTGCAGCTTTGCAGAAAGTAGCGATTCCAGCACCCAAAATCGCAAGACAGATAGCAGCTGAACGAGCAAAATGGATGATGCGGTCTGCGTCGCCTCCAATGCTAAGATCAAGAGATCAGCTGGCGATTACGCAAGGGAAAGTAGCAATAGCGAATCATCGGAGGCAACAGCATCGACTGGAAAGCGGGATGGAAGGGGGGGATCAGGTAATAGTCATTGGCAGATGTTGTGACTGTAATAGAGATCATGGCTACAACAACGACTTAACACAGCACAAACATAATGAACTTGACCGTTTCTGGGATTTAGATCTAACTGTCTCCACCTTTACTTGCTTGAGGTCCGCGATTTCTACGCCGGAACGCGTGTCCAGGACGGTACTCGCGGCCCCGTCGTTCTCGACAACAACGCAGGTGTCGTCATAGTTGCAGATCCGACTACGGTAGCCACCGACACACTCCCATCCTCGCCACCCTCTCCAGAACAGCGCAAAAAAATGCGGCAGTTAGCTGTTAAAAAGTCATTGGCGAGGATCTCAGACGGAGGAGGGTCAAGGTCGCCTAGTGCGGGGTCTCCAACAATCAGGCCTTCATCTCAACAAGCAGGCAATACACTTGGAGCAGCCGTTTTTTATTCGGCGCCAGGAGAGAGTGTAGCTGAGTGGGATGTGAAGGCGTTGCAAGACAATAAACCCATTGATACGACTTTGGCGAAAAAAGCACCATCTTCATCATCTAGGCTCGCAACCAGTAAGGGAAAGAACAGCAATGGTGGCCGGGTTGTTAGGAAAGGCGCGCAGTCGGCACGCGGCGAGTCCTCGTCCGTTACCGCTTCTACCAGTAAGGGTGCCAGCAGTAGAATGAATAAAGGCCCAATTTCATCTACACTCGTCAATAAGAAGTCTCTACTCCCTCCTTCTTCTACATCTGATAGTGTCAAAATAAACTCTTGTGACAAGACAGTTCCGATTAGCGAGGAAGACGTCGATAGAGCACTTAGCAGCAGTAGTAGCAGTGCCAAAATACAACTACCAAACAACAGTAGTACACCGATGTCATCAACTGCTCCACCTCCTTCTACTTCGGCACAGAGACAGAAGGGAACGAAGGGCGCAAGAAGGAAGAGCAGTTCTAAGGGACCATCAACGGCGAAATCCTTTAGTGCTCGAGGGGCAGAGACTCTGCGTTCCTCACCTAGAGTTCCGACCGTGTCTTCTGCTGGTGCAACTAGTTGCGAAGAGCAAGGTAGCGGTAGTTCCAACTCGAAGGGAGGTAAGACGAACGTCGCGAAAGTCAACAGCAGTATCAGTTCGTTCATGTGTGCTGAGACTGAGGTGAATCTTCAGAGAGAGACAGAGATCTTGACATCTTCTGTTGGGGATCTCGTCGGTGCAGAAGATCCAGAAGCCCGAAAAGCGACACCAGCAGAAACAGCTGCAACAGCAACCGTACAACAGCCAACTCCCAATACACCAGCAAAACAGCAGCAGAACAAACCACCACTACAAAACACTAGCGCAGCTCCCAATCCCAGCACGATAAGCAGTCCCAAAGCCCTCAACAAAACCCCGCCTTTGTCATCACAAGTGAAGAGGTTTGCTTCGCAACTGCTTCTTCCTTCTCCCTCCGCTTCCTCTCCTCCACTTGCTGGCGCTTCCGACGTAGTCGTGAATTCAAACGCTTGTGGAAGTTCGTCTGCAGTTTTCTCCCCTCCACCTCCACAAGGCGGGCCTCGTGCAGGCTCATCATCCCCATCGCGTTCAGGACAACGGTTTCCATTCGGAGGTGTTGAACCTTTCAGGACTGCTCAAAGGAGAACAAGTGCAGCTGGATTAGTGAAAGAGCAAGAAGCGATCTTCATGACGCCAGCCGTTGAGGCACATCGTCTGATGACAGAGAAGTTTCGTGAAAGAGCTGAACCTTCGTGCGAATTGAGGAATCTACAAGCGTCACCTGTTGTTGATGTTGGAGGGGATGGGAAAAATCATGCGAATTCGACTGGAGGACCTCCACGTCGAGAGCAGGAGCTGCTTGTAGAGGGAGGAGCTTTCAAGAGTAGTTCTTCAGTGAATTATGTCGACATTTTTGAGACGCCAGTCGGGCGAGGATATCAAGAACCTGGCACAATGCCGCCAGCGGCAGTGAGTCTGGCGACTCCAGCGCAAAGCTCCAAAGAGGGGACGTTGAGCTGTATGTTGTCCTCTTCGAACGAAATGGTTGGCGACTCTCGACTAGTGAATGGCGATGGAGAGGAGATGAAAATTATGAAGAATAAAAGTAACTAGAAACATCAATTAGTGAATAGTAGTCGTGTCAGTTTTTCGTTTCGTGGATTCTTTCAAGGTATCTCCTCCATCTGCATCTTCCCTTCTAATCTCCCACAGCTGCAAGAGGAGATCGTACAGGATCACATGCACCTTGAGAGCCCTATTCGAAAATGGTACAACAGTGGCAGCGACCCAAACGCTGAGAATCAGCTTTTGTTGCAGACCCGAGAACTCCAAGGCACCTGGACTGCAGGAGAAGGAGAATTCATGTCGCCCAATCTAGTCCCGCAGCCCGTGCTCGTCCACAATAATACTTCAACACTGCTGCATGACACTACGGCAACCTTACTGGCTGAGGGTGTGGTGCTGGAGATGCAGAGACTGAACGCACCCACGCCATCGGACTTGGAAAGTCCTTAGGGATGAAAGAGAACTAGACCACGAGATAGAGATGAAAGTTATTATACTCGTATTGTTCTTCGTGTAATGAAAATGAAAATGTGTCATAGAAGATTTAAAGAAGTAGCTTCCCGTTTCCGAACTTCCAATGTAAAAATTGTACAGTTGCCGTGCGAAATCTACTACTAAAACACGAGCTATAAGATGTAAGTTTCTCGATAGAGGTAACAGTATTCATCCAATGTACATTCCCAGTTAGTCATAACATCTACAATCAGATAAATGTCAACGTATCTACATCTACATGAACTTCAGAAAATAGAAACGCTTTCACATTATATTCACTCAGTAACATCACGTAAAAAAACACAGAACAACTACTACGCATGGCTTCAGTTTTTGACATATCAATCACAATGGCAATCGCATTAGCAAAAATTACAATTCAACAAAACTTAACGTTAACATTATTCAGATCGAAAAACAAACTAGTAGTTGTACCGCTAACCTTACTGTGCGTGATATTATCTTTGAGCGTATTTGTAAATGTCGCAATGTTATATATGTTCGACGGCGGTGGCGCCGTAGTTCATACTTGTGGTCATCGTTACAACAGCTATGCTAACATATCGATACGAGTTGATATGTTCGCATCATGAAATTGGATGAGGAGGTCGTTCAAGTTGGTGATCAAAATCCGATGCACAAACGTATCTCCATCTAGATCATCCACCCTGAGTGTCATATTCTATTGATACACGAAAACTAGACCACCCCCGCTTTACCTACAGGGATGAAAATGAGTACAAGCAGCGAGATGCAAGGTACAAAAACTACTAATCTTCGAGGAACAAGCATGTGAGAAGTGTCATCCTCCTGCGCTAGTGCTGACTCTATCCATAGGAGTCTTTCACCGTATATGAAAGAGCTGTTGTTGACAGCATCAACACCAAGACACTTCGTTAGCGTCAAATGTACCAGAGCATCCAATGATGAAATCAAAAAAGCAAGAAGCCTCGTGGCTGTCCTCGCGAGCCCCTGGAAATGGCCGCTCTTCCGGAGGAGTCGCACATAGCCCGACATTCACTCCAGAGCGAGCACCGTAGTTTAGATTTTTTTCAAGTTTCTATCTTCATCACCATCTTCTTCAATATAATTATAGAGATTCTTGATACAAGAAATCTGAAAATGGCCTCCATCCCCAGTCTCCTACTGTCGCCTACATGGTAGCACACTAGCAGAAAGACTAGCGACTTGGCTCTATTGATATATTTTTTTTTGTTTGAAGAGATATCAAGATATTTGAGTCACCCAAAAACTTCCTTATCCTTATCCTTTGCCAAGCAAAAGATGGGCTTTATCCGCCAACTCACTTCCTACGTTCTCTCCCGTCCTTTCGATTTCGGCTTCACCACGATTCTGTTTGCTGTTTGTATACGCAAATTTGGCTTAACCCGGCAAAACATCCTCTCCACAACTGTCATCGCGTTGGCGTTCTTATTGCGTGGCTTTTTGCTACCTTCAGACCCCGATGGCTGGGATCCAAGCGCGGATACAGTCGGACCAGGGATTTATGGTGGGAGAGTCAAGGTCAACAAGAACGACCATAAGAAGACCGATCCTCGAGACCTAATCCTCTGGAGTGACAAGCAGTACCAAAATCATAATCCATGGACAGGGGGTCCGGTCTATGCTGGCGGTGGCTATTCCCCAATGAGCCAGTTGATACGGACTGGGAATGTGACAGGACTGAGAACAGAGCTGGAAAGAGATCCAACTTTGAGCATGGAAATATCGACAGGTGCGGCAACGCCATTGCATACCTGTGGCATGGTTACGGAAAAGATGCTTGAGCGGGAACGCATGAAGGAAATGGTGAATGTTCTGTTGGAGGCTTGTAAAAAGGCGACTTTGGAAGTTATGGTAGACAATCGAAATCCAATGCATCCTCAATCCAATACATCCTCAAGAGGGGAATGTCGAAATAGGGGTAGAAATCATAATTGGATCGATACAGATACTAGTGGGGATTCATTTTATTTGATCCTAATAACAAACTCTTCTAGGAGAAGGAAGCAGCTCAAGCTCACTTCTGCTAGTCGTGCTACTTCCTTCTAGATTATCTTCAGCTAGGTGTGCCAGTATACAACCTAGCTGAAGATAATCTAGAAGGACGTCAACCTGTTTACAACATGTTTTACAACTCTAACCCTCCTCCCAGCCCTGAAACTCTCCGCAATCCCACTACCTGGCGGCTTTTCGGCAAAGAGTTTGAGGGAAAATTGTCTCAACCTACGAAGCCTCAGGCAGAAGATCATCTGTGGCTGTCCATATGCGTCGATCAGAATTTCGATACGTGGGGGTACACACCTCTTCATCGCGCAGCCGGAAACGATGTAATTGGTGCAATCAAAGCTTTACTTGCGGCTGGCGCAGATTCTGAAGTGAAGTCATTGGGTGTCTTTAATTTCCCATCAGCAGGTGGTGAAACGGCTTTGGAAACAGCGAAGGCGGATGGCGCGGGTAGAGCCGTAGAGTTGCTGAGTAGATGGAAGAAGGAGAAAGAGCAGAGAGGAACGAATGACCACACGTGAGTGGCGATATCTCCATTTTGAAATTCTTGAGTTCTTGAGAATCCTAATTCAGCTCCTACCACCGCTTTTGTCAGCTCCTCTGCGTCTTGTACAGAACACTAGCAGGATAGAAGTGATAACGGCGCTATTGCTCCTGTTGCTGTTCATCTTGCTTTCAAAAGGTTCGAATCAATTCATTTCGCATCTGCGAGCTCTACCTCTACCCCTATTCCATTGTTGCATAAGTCACCGCGTCTGCGAAATTGGTTTTCCCGTCTACTTCGATCATTGAAAAAACAAACGAACAAAAATCAGGCGTTGTTACAGTTAGAGTTACGGCAGAAGCAGAACTTGGTAGAAGTCACTAGAGAATTTTCGAAGTGGTCACATAGTTGTACACATAAATTATACTTATAACCGAAAACAAGATGCCTCCGTCCGGTCGTACTTTCTGGAAGTCCCTCGACGTCGCGCATGTCATTTGCCGGAATCCACGCACAGGAAAGTGGTTAGCCGTTGAAGAGACTCACAACCGAGGATGGTTTATACCTGCAGGCACGTTGGATGCAGGCGAGACGGTGAGAGCATGTGCGATACGGGAATGTTTAGAAGAGACGAATGTTCCAATCAAGCTGTGTGGGATATTGGAGATACGGAGAACCTTGGTGAGCAAATACGGGACAAAACGAACGGTTGTTTGGTATGCAGAACCTACAGAGGAATATTTGGATATACGGCAATTTGAATGTGATCGATTCATGATTTTGAGCACAGGGACTTTGACTAATAAAATACGTTTCAACTACATCTTTGAGTTTTTGTAAGTATTGGTATCAGTATGAAGCCACAGTCGTCGTTGTCCCAAGCCAAAAAATACAATCTTAGTCCATCGTCATAGGATTAGGAGTCCAAAACCCGATATTCTATCTCTAGCCCCTCTATTTCATTCCCTCGAGCAACTGCCACAGAATTCGAACCAAGACCTAAGAACCGTCCCCAAGCCCTATGCGGATGAAAACAGTTTGCAGGCACGATGGATGACGCTAGAAGAATATAGCCAACTGAGTCACATTCGCGGTCCAGAACTTCTCGAGTGGGGTGAATATATTGAGAAAAATCAAGGCCCAATCTGGCCATTGGAAGTATTTCAGGAAGATATCGAGTATTCCGAAAGAGCAGTCGCGTCGGCAGCAGAAGAACGAGGAGAGGTGATAGAGAGTGGTCCAGTTGTAGATGAACCTCGTCCACCAGTTCGTAAAGATGGTAAAACTAAAAGAAAAAGTGGGAGCAACAGAAGTATTAACAATCCTCCTCAAACGACGAAGAACACCCAAAAAATTTCATCTTCTGCATCTGCCGACTGCTCTGCTGCCTCGGCCCCATCTGCACCTGCAGACACAGCATCACAAGCCGTTGCTAACAACTACGACAATGTCACGAGAAATTTTCAACCACAACCACGACAAGAAGCGACAAAGGATAGGGAAGCGGAGACCACAGTCGCGCCATTTCGTACCATGAACAATCAAATCGTTGCATTGCTCACTCAAGAAGCTCTTTCGACAGTTCCTGGTGGAGTTCGATGTTTGATCGACGCTGCATGCGGAAAAGGCGGAGCCTTAGTCGAGTACCTACCTTTTTTAGTTCAAAACGCGGATGAGCCGGAAGGTGGTGAGAAAAATAGAAGTTGTAGTTCTTGTACTACTAAGACGGGATCTCCTCGACGCGTTGTTCTAGCTGACATCAGTAGTGAATCTGTGAAAGAAGCAGAAAGTCGCTGGAAAAACCTTATCAACACCGGTTATCTGAACAAAATCGCGGGACGAAAAGGAAGTCCAGGGAACAAGACCTCCAAAGGCAAAGGAAAGCGTGGCAAGAAGAATAAGGGCGAAGAGGTCATTCCTCACGTGACGTTTCAGGTCGCTGATTGTTTTCATAACATGGAAGACGCTGCTGCTGGAGGATCCTGCCCATCTTCATTTTGGAGTCAATTCCCTAACAATTCCGTGTGCGCTGTCAATTGTCAATTCGCTTTGCACTATGCTTGCCGTCAGAAAGAGGACTTGATCGCTGTTCTCAGAGAAATCGGAAGGGTGCTCAGGCCAGGAGGTGTTTTCTATGGGACATTGCCAAACAATGGGGTCATCTTAGAGGAGTACGAAAGCAAGAAGCCGAAGGAGTTCAGCATCACAGATTTGAAAATGTTCGATAAGAACTCTTTTAGTTCTACTACTAGCACAAGCACGACGACGACCACTATGACTGGCACTGGAACTGGTAATACTACTAGTACAGAGGCTTTGGCTTGTTCAACATCAACAACATCAACATCTTTCACCAGCTTGTCCACGAATAAACCTATCAATTTGGGAGGTGAATATTTTTTCTATCTGCCGGGCCACGTGGACCCGCCGACAAAGGAGTACTTGGTGCCACTTGATTTCCTGCTAGAAGCCGCTGAGAGAGCAGGACTACACTGGACTAATGGCTTGAACTTTCGACAGTATTGGAAGGAAGCAGTAAAGAAAGGTCTTGTTAGTCCAGATGGAGGTAACGTCCACGGAAAGGGAAAAAAGGCGGGAAAGAACAAAAAGAATGGGAACAACTTCTCGACAAGTACAAACCCACCTCCTCTACCTAGTAGCACAACCACAATAGGAGCCGATGATGATTTTCCCGAAGTTTCAAGGATTTATCGTCTTTTCGTTTTTCGCAAACCGGTTTTAGGACCGAAAAGCGAAAGTGCTGGACAAGCACCAGCTCTTGAGAATGCTATCTTTAGCTTCACTAGTAACGAGGACATCAATCACTTCTATCACGACGAGGACAAAACCAAGAACGCGAGAAAAATAGCTGTCTACACTGGTGCCTTCGATCCTCCACATGTCAATCACCTAGACTTCGCACGTTTCCTACTCCAAGATCGTGGTTTTCACCGTGTGCATATGTGCGTGAACGCGAACAGTCCTTTGAAGCCGTTTGCGACGCCAGTAGAGACGAGACTAGAAATGTTAAAAGCGGCATTCGAAAACGAAGAATTGGCAGGTGCTTCATCGCGCATCAACGTCCGTGAAAATAACCAAGGTGACTGGCGCGGTCGCGATTCTTTGTGTAGGGAAATACAAGCTAGTGAAGAAAAAGAAGAAGACGGTGTAGCAACAAGCAGAACTACAGAAGTAGAAACGTACCTCATCCTCGGCCGAGACTCCTATGAGAAAGCTCTAGACCGGTCTAGCGATTGGTACGGCATCAATAGTTTTCCTTTCAAGATTATGGTTTTGCCGCGTGGAGATGGGGGTGAGGACGGTGACGGTGGAGGCAAAGTGAAGATTCCGAAAGAGCTGAGCAATCGTGTCGAAGTCGCTACGGATTTTCATGATCTCGTTGTTACATCATCTTCTGCGATTAGAGCTGCAATACTTGGTTGTTCTGCTTCATCTGTGGTCAATTTGAAGAGTCTGAGTCCTAACGTTCGAAATTTCATCCGAGAACACGGTTTGTATCGCGGACGAACACAAAAACAACTAGAGGTCTTGGTGCTAATTGGTCCTAGATTTTCCGGGAAGACGACCTTGGCATTAGAGCTACTAAGGATGCATGAGGAACTTGCTTTCCAAAGTAGCGCAAGTAGCCAAAACCCAAGGCCGTTGGTCATTTGGGAAAACATCGAACTCGAAGACATACCACAAAGGGAAGCAACCAGCGGCAAGACTGTAGATTGCATCCTGGAGCTTCGCTGTGACAAGCAGACATGCAAAAAGCGCGCGGCTTTGATGATAGGGCAAGAAGAGGGAGAGGCTGAGACTGCTCATGCGTATAATCTATGGTCGAAGCGAAAGGCTATTCGAGCCGAGCAGTTGAAAAATTTTGAGGCTGCGACAGGACTGCCTGTTGTTGCTTTGGATAGCTCAGTGAAACATGCGGAGTCATCGCATCTTAATAAAGCTGGACCGGAAGAGTCACAGTCAACAAGGTCTCATCTCGTCGCGGAAAAGGCATGGATGCTACTCAAAGAGAAAGGATTTCTTGCGTGACCATTAGCGTTACAGTTACTCTTGAAAGATGATAAATGACACAATCCATCTTCTTCAACTTCATTCCGTTGTATGTTTCACTCCACGACCATCTCCATCCTTATAACTTCAAGCAAACCTTTCACACCGCAGTATGGACTTTGACGCAACAACACAACACAAGACAATGACGCAACAACACAACACAACATGAAAGATCTAAACACGAGCATTGTCTCGACTTCTCATATTATGCGTCACGCTAAAATTTCACGCAGAACAAGCTTCATGCTTAAAGATTCATGGCCATGATGAATTTGAATTCGCATAGTACCTTTAAGATGGAACAAAAGATCATTTCAAATTCATCATCGATCAAACAGAACCACGTGTCCACCTCTCTACCTACAAAAAAAAAATAGCACATCATATCATCGCGCTTCACTCTGGCACTGCATTCTGTTCTAGTCCTCAAGCTCCTGCTAATCGGAAGAAATTGAATGTTCAAACCAAATAAAAGATCATCCTTCTATTTCATCATTCTGGCGTGCTCCACACCAACCGTACAATAGATTAGGCCTGCCATACTTCTATTGGTCTATCCATCAATAAAGATGCACCTCCTGCTACATCATCTTCACCAATCCTGTTCTTCATCCAGGAAGTGGTTCTGCTCTGTACAGAAAAATTGTGGTTTCTGCAGTTACTTACATGTTGTGTTTTTTTTCTGAGGACGTTCATAGTGATGCATGCAAAGTATGGTCGTGTTGGTTTTTTTGGAGATAACGAAGCGAGAGCTTCAAAGAGCTGGCATGCAGGAAATCGAGTCGCTACTGAAGTTGTAATTGCGAAGTGTTTCAGTGTCTGAATTTGTAATCGAGCAAGACCAGCATAGGCAGAGATTCAGATTGTCCGCAGGTGTTTACGTTTTTTGACCAAGGGTCGCAATATCAAAAATGGGTCCTGGTCGCAAGCGCGGTAGCTCTGGTGTGACCTCCGATGAGGATTTCATATCGTCCAGCAAGCGAGTAAAAGATGAGCCTCCACGAAGACAAGACAAGAAAGAAGACGTTAGCAGGCGAAACAATAAGAATAGACGAGATGATGTTGATGGCGGGAACAGTACAAGAAATGGAAGGAGAAGTACTGAAGATGTAGATGAACAGGCTGGTGGGAGATCTTCTACAGCAGGAAATGGCAAGGTGGAGTTGGTGGAAACCAAAGCTAATAAAAAGAGACGCGCTGATGCCTCAGAACATCAAGGTGAGCAGGGTGTAGTTGTAGGAGATAAGCCAGCCTCTAAAAATCAAAATGGCGATGCAAAAACTTCATCAAATTCGACCAAAAAGCGTGGCGACAACAAGAAGGCTGAAGTAGCGGAAGCCGATGAGAAAGAGAATGAAAATTCCGAAGATTCTGGAGAGTCTAGCTCTGGTGATGAAGACGGCTCGTCTAGTTCTGGATCATCTGGAGATGACTCATCCTCTGGCTCCGACAACGAAGATGGTAGCGACTCTAGTTCCGATGATGGTTCTGACTCTGGTGAAAGCGGCTCTGACTCTGGCGACTCCGATGACGAGGAAGATAGTCAAGAGGGTTCAAAAGTGTCAAAAGAGAAGGACAACAAAGAGAAGGACAACAAAGGCGGGGCTACTGCCTCAGCCGTCTCATCATCTTCAGCCGCGGGTGGAGGTGACAAGACTATTAGCAAGTCTTCTTCTTCATCATCATCGAGTGCAACAGCAGGCCAACCTAGTCAAGAACAGCAAGGTAAATCAACTAAAAAGGAAAAACGAGGCAAAAGTCGTGAGCAAGAAGCTGCTGAAGATGACGACGATGAAGATGAGTCTGGGTCTTCGTCCTCTGAAGAGGGAGATGGCTCCGGGTCTTCTTCGGGCTCCGATGACTCAGGATCTGATTCTGGATCAGACTCAGGGTCTGAAGATGGCTCCTCATCGGATGAGGGTGGAGAATCATCATCTTCTGAAGAAGAGCAAGTCGCAGATGAAAAGCCTGCTGCAAAGACCTCTTCTAAAGAGAAAAAAAGCAAGAGGAATGTGTCTGCTGACTCTTCTGATTCAAAACCTAATGAAAACGACAAGAAAAAGAAAAAGTCTTCATCCAAAAAAGTAGAGAAGCTTACAACGTCTAAGATGAAAAGCAGAAGGCAAGTATCGAAGAGTGGCAGCCCTGAACGAGAAGCTGGAGCATCTTCTTCAACAGCAAACAACAAAAATGCTAGGAGGACGAGAGCATCCTCAGGTGCTGACAAGAAAACGGATAACAAGAAGCAGCGAAAAGGCAGTTCTGAGTCACGAGAAGCTGCGAAGAAGCAAGATGCCGAGCCAAAGCGAGCAGATGACGAGAGACGAAATAAGCGGAAGCGCAGGAGGAGCTCTGACATTGATGAGGAGGACACCAAGCAAAAAGCTGCTGAAGATGACCGTCGTGGCAAGAATAAGCGAGACAACCGTGGTCGCAGGGACGACAGCATTGATGTTGATGCTGGAGACCGAGACAGGAGGACTAAGAATAGTAAGAAGAACAAATCCGACTCGAAAAGAGACAACAAGTCTCAATCTCCAGCAAAAAGATCATCGAAGGACAAATCCAACAAGTTGTCACCAGTCAAAGAAGAAGCAAAGCGGTCACCCTTGAAATTCAAGAACGATGATGCGAAGAAGTCCATCTCCCCCCGAAAGAAAGACAAGCGACGAGCGTCGATGAAGAACAAAGACAAGAGAAGGCGCTCTGCTTCTGTATCAGCAGGCGAAGATGGAGATGGAGAAAGGGCTCAACGTCGTGAAAAAAAGCTTAGTCAGAAGGGAGCGGATAAGCGTCCACGCCGGGGTTCAGTATCGTCTGAGCGCGACGCTGGCCGCAGAAAAAGGTCTAACAAAAGTCGTAGTCCGAAAAAGGATCATGCTAGGAAAAATGACAAGCAGCAGCGTTCAGCCGCTTCTTCTTCTGATGCCGAAAATGTACAACAGGCACGACAGGGCGAACAACAAGTAGCCGATGGCGATAAAGACGATGTTGAGTTAGAAGACGTTACTCGCAAGGACAAAAAGAAGAGTAGGAGGAACCGTTCGCGTTCCGTGTCAGGCAGCCCGCGACGCAGAAAGGATAAAAAGAAATATCAAGATGAAGAGGACCACCAGGAGGATGCGCAGTCAGATAAAGACAGGGCAGATCATGGTGAGTCTAAGAAGAAGAAGAAAGCATCTTCTAGGGACGATAAGAAAGACGATGACTCCTGTCACGAAGCAGAGAACAAGGAAGAGAAAGACGGCGATAAGAAGAAGGTAGATGATGACGATAAAGATCGTGAAGACCGTGACCGCAAAAAAGACAAGAAGAAAAGGAGGCGTGGTAGCGGAAGCGAGCAGGGACGCGGCTCTCCTGCCGCGAAGAGCCGTAGTAGAGACCGCAGTCCTGGTGCCAACAAGGACCGAGAACGTGCTGATCGCAGTCCTAGGAACAGCAATCGCAGTCCACCCCGCAGACGACGTGACAGCCGCGATGGCGGAAAGAAGGGTTATTACAACAATTACGGTAAAGGCAGAAAGGGAGATCATAGGGACTTCTACGGGATGAAAGGCAAAATGGGAAAGAAAGGCTATGGGAAGCACGGCAAAGGCTACGGTAAATACGGGAAGTATCAACGGGACGACTCCAGAGGGAGAGGGCGTAGGGATCAAGGTACTTTGAGTTGTTTATTCTCCAATGATAATGATCATATTCTTGTGAAATAACTCGAACTCCTCGGTGACGTGTGACTCTCGAATATCTTGATGCTTTTCTCATTATCCAACATTAACTAGTACTAGAGATGAAGATGTCTTCTAAAAATTCCTTATACTCAGGAAATGGTTGTAAACCTAAACGTACTTAAAAGTATACACATCTCGTCTGTTTTTATTTCACCGATGCTATTACCAATTCTTCTTTTCCTCTCCTATTTCCAGGTCGTCGCGATGGTACTCGACGTCCACGTAGTCGCAGCGGTGAGCGTCGTGGCCGAAAAGACAGTCGCAATGCCACAAACAAGCGCACTCGTAGTGGCTCTTCCTCAGCGCGTAGTCGGGATGGCAAGACGCGCAAAACCGAGGATCAGGGTAGCGCAGGAACCTCCACTTCCCTCCATAAGGACAAGAAGCGAGGACGTGACAGAAGTAGAAGTAGAAGTAGTAGCCCGTCTCGGTCTCGGCAACGACAACGCGAGAATTCTCCAGAAGATGAAAAGAAGAACGCCGCTCAAGTACCAGCACAAGACCAAACTGGTGAGGACGCAGGTCAAAAGGACGAAAGTGGTCCAGTCTCTATCGAAAATGCAGACCCCATGGCTAGTAGAGTGGAAATGGCTGCTCAGATCCTATCCAATGCCAATGCTACGACAATGTCCTCTCCCACATCGTCTCCCAGAACAGCCTATCATCTCTTCGCCAAACCTGACTCGCCTACCGGTAGAACAACCACGGCTGCGGCTACGTTGTTACCGACTAACGACCTGACGGAGGAAGGAAAGGTATTTCGTACCTGTTTGATGATGTAGATGTAGTTCAACGTCGACGTACGACAAGTTTTGTACTCTCGAGTTGGCGTAGTTTTTCGTGGTTAGATTCCAACGATTTCTTGTTCGTCCACCATCATGCAATCACACCATCAATTCTAATTGACGCCAAAGAATTCAAAAACCAGTACTCTTTCCCTCCCCACCCACTACCACAGGTGAAATTCGCCTTCTCCGGCAAAGCCAAATCCGTTTCTTACCTCGCACCTGCCCCAGTGCGTCAGGCTTCAGCGGGGAAGCCTAGGATGGTCTTCAGTACTGTCAGCACCAGTTTTCAAGAGTTAGCACAGCAGGCTAACAGAGCAGCCCAGAAACAGAAAGATGAAGATGACGCAGCAGCGGCTAAAGTTCATCCTGGTACTTATTCAATTTTGATGTAGCTGCTTTAGGTATAGGTTTGACATTGTTGAAGGATGAATACGTTCTTCTTATTGATCTGGATGAACATTTCGAAGGCTGAGAATTGCATCCTAAGTCGAAGAACTAACTCAAACGCTGCTGTCTCGAAGATATGTCAGTTCTCCTCATCTAGATCTACATCTCTCTACCACATCTGTACATTCTCAGTTCTCCTCATCTCTCTGCCACATCTGTACATTCACTTCATCTTCAAAAAATCAAAATCTCTTCCCTCCAAAAAATCCAATAGTGTTACCTCCTGTCGGAACCGCACCAGTGCCGATGTTCAGTGCACCTTCAGCAGAACCTCTGAAACACCAAGAGCGAACATCTACTGGCGGCCAAGACGGGGATGCATCCAAACCCAAAGGAGATGCTGACGCCGAAAACTTAGACCCTATGACAGCTCCTCCGCCTATTCCTGCTTTTGGGGGCATTGGTAGGGGAACGGGTGAAGGGGCGGGAGCGACTGGTGATAACACACCAGGAGGGCAAAGAGAGACAACTGCTGACGGCACGACAGCTGATGCTGCGAGCGGAATGGAATCTGCATCTGCGAATACCAGTATGGTTGGTAATGCTAGTACTAGCACTATGGCAGGAGGAGCTATGGGTGTGGGTGGCATGAACAGCATGTACGGGAACATGAGCATGAACAGTATCACAGGATCGAATAGTATGACCGGAATGGGAGCAGGCATGGGAGCTATGGCGGGAGGAGCAGGAGCAAATGGAATGATGATGAGCGGAATGGGAATGGGTGGCGCTGCAGCTGGTGTGGGAGGTCTGATGCAACCTGGCATGATGATGGGTGGTGGCTATGGACACGGAGCTCACGGAGGTTACAACGCTGCCGCTGCACAGCAGCATGCGATGTATGCTCACCATCAACAACAGCAGCAAATGATGATGCACCATCAACAGCACCAGCAAATGATGATGCACCAGCAGCACATGATGGCCAATAGTGCCGCGAATCCCGGCAATCCTGACGCCCCTTTTAGCCGCAGATACGCAGTTGTGCTGCGTGCGTCAGAGGGCTACAAGATTACAAATCCCGCTGAACGCTCCAACGATGAGGAGCAAATGCGCGAAGTCTATTCGAACTTGGTAAAGAAACACATCACCTACTACCCCAACCGCCAGATCCTGGTTCCGACTCTGTCATCCTCGGTACCACAACCACGATTGGAGCCATTGTTCAACTTCGCAGCACCTAATCCGTTGCCAAGTGGGAAAAGTCCAGACAAGCAGGAGACGGGAGATCCGCTCTTCGAGAACCTAGGAGCACATATCGACTTGGTATAGACTACTAGAGTAGTTTATAGAACTACAATTAGACTTACCATTACCTTGCCAAGAAGAATTTCTCTTCAACATCAACTTCAACAGTTCTCTCCATTATAGGCATCTGCATCACGAAGAACTAGACGACTTTTATTTTCAAAATACATCTTCAACAGTTCCTGGAAGTCCTCGACGACCATCTTTTTGGTCCGGACAGCATCAAGCAGGCTGGCATGGACTGGTCAGATTGCCGATTACAACTACATTTGCATCACACGAAACTCGAGGACGAAGGCCTGGAGCGGATTGTCGACTGGATGCTGAATAGGAAGATTGAGGTACTACAATCTTTAGACTTTTGTTTGCGTGGTCCTCCTTCCATATCCATCTTATGTGAGTAAAAATCGCTCAAAAATTGAAAATGAAATGCAGTCCCAGTGTACTTCTTGTTCTTCTAATTTCCACCAACAGGATGGTCTTCGTGAAGATACTACAGCTTTTTTGATGTACTATGGTCATCTTCATCGTCTTCGTGAAGATACTACAGCTTTTTTGATGTACTATGGTCATCTTCATCCCGTGACAATTACCCTGATGTTGATCTCGTCTCGTTTCTCAACATCCTACACCAACTCCAGGTTTCTTGCCTCAAACTGTTCGGTAACCGACTATCGTCGACAGCTTCCCTCTGCCGTTACCTTACCGAATTTGCAAAGATCAAAGGTGGCGTTGAAGACCAAGCAGGGGATGCTGCTCCCGCTGATGTCCTACGAATAGCAGAGATCCATCTCCAGATGAATCAGTTGTCCGCTGAGAGTATCTTCCAACTGTCTGAGTGTGTGCTGAAACTGCTCAAGGCGCCCCCGATGCGCGACGACACCAAATATCTGCTCAAAGATATCAAATTCAGGTACTTTTCGTTTTCTAGAAGACGTAGATGTTTTCTTCACTCATTTGCTTCTACTTGTACTTCTTGCAAAACCTCTTGTACTTGTTCTCGCTTTCATGATTTTTTTTTACATGCTCTGTTTGAGTTTGTGTCTATTCCGGAACAAATGATACAAAAGCAACAAACATTGAAACATTGATGACTCTCACTCAACCAATCAACCAGGTACTTCGCACAACAATGGCCCCACCCTCGCTTACCTATAGCACTGCGATTTTCTAACAATACTCCGCATCGAGAATCGGGAGAAAGCGTTTCGAAATTGCTCAAAAAAATCGATGAGATGGCGAAAGACCACGAATATGGACCGGAAACCGTTTGCTTTGGTATTTGAGTTTCCGGTCCATATATGACCGTTTGCTTTTTGAGTCATTCTAGCATTAATATCCATTGCAGGAGATCTTTCGATTTCAACTACTTATTTCATCTATCTTCTTTTTCACGAATTATTTCTTTAAAATTCATGTCAACAGGAGCTTTTCTTCATTTCCAAACATCACAGCTGAACACTCGTGCTGTGTCCACCACAGTTGTAAGCGCATGTGGTATGGCTTCTGCCCAATCGTCCACATCGGAGGCCTCACCTACATGGAGCAAGGATCCGATCCTTATTATGGGTGTGTTTTAGGTGTTCGTGTCGCAATTTGTTTTGACTCTCCCAACGGGAAAGAGCATAACAAACGGGGGAAGCAGCAAACACCAAAACCCTACCTCTAACCTTATCATCCCTTCATGTCTGAACGTGATGGCACGCTATTGATGCTGCCGCAAGCAGGCCGCATTTCGCAGCCGAGTGGCTATGGCATGGGCGGCTCTTGGTCACATGGTGGAGGAGGCTATGGCAGCGGCTATGGCATGAAAGGTGGTGGCATGATGAAAGGCGGAGGTCATAATTATGGTTACGGAGGAGGTTGGGCGGGACAACAACAATGGGGATCAGGCGGTTATAGAGGTGGCGGTTACGGAGTACCAGGAGGTCCATTTAACATGGCTCGAGGTGGAGCTGGGGGACCAGGACTTGGATACACTGGAGCGGAAAAGACACCGGGAGGTCCGGAAGCAAGTCCCAGGAGTAGATTTGCTGACGTCGCAGGAGGTGCGGCGGGAATGGATGCAGCACAGAGTGTCGCGATTGGACCTTCAACCTCCACTATGAGCAATAATATGGCGGTGCATGGAGGTGAAGCGATGAAAACTACAGTCAGTGGTGATCATGTTGCACCAGACGAGATGAACAGCACAACTGTCACTACTGGTGAAGGAGAGAGTCGATTCAATCAACATGCACCTCCAGCAGTGGACCTTTCTCCAGAAGCAGGATCAGGAGCCGGCGAAGTACCGGCAGTTGTGCCTGCAGTTGATTCATCTGGTGTAGTTGCTGAAAATCTGCAAGCTTCTTCTGAGATTCCCATTCATAATGCCGTAGGAGGAGCTGAAGAAGTAAGTCCCGCTGCTGCAGCAATAGCGCAGGCACCAGAGGAGCACAACGTAGACCCTTTCGGCGTGAATGAAGGTCAAAACGAGCTCATGAAAGAGGGATTACATCAGAATTTAGATACAGGGACCAGTCCTATCATGGAAGGAGGACGCGGCGAGCTTAACATAGGGCCCCAGGACGATGCTGGTCTTAGTCCTCAAGGACAGGGGCAAGATCAAGACGCACTACAAGGTGCAACATCTTCAAACCCGAACAACCCCTTCAACAAATCGAGCTCTGTGGTCGCGACTCCTTCTGCTTCGAAAGCCGCTGGTGACGGTGACTTGAGTGATGAACGTGCTGTGGACGAAAACGCCGAATAAGACTTTTTCGACGTCCTCGCATAATTTTACAAGTACTTGCGTACTTAGATGTATTTCATATTCCTTTGAAGGTCAAGTTTGATTCACAAAAACTATTTCTATTTCTCTTTCTGCAAAATAGTTGTGCTAGTGCTGCTTTCTGTACTGGAAGTAGTAGAGGTACGTTGTTGTTGTATTAATTTAGTACTACGTTGGTTTAGGTTTTGCGGATCGTTCTTCACAAACTTTCATCCTTGCTTCATAAACTTACACATGTCCCTCATCAAAGGTAACAAATGAGTACTTAACCTTAAAGCGTTTGGATTTGTTAGTAATATGTTTGTTTTTCATTTGTCTTAGTATTTTTCATCGTGTCCTTTCATTTTCATCGAACAAGCCCCTTGTACCTGTAGTGCAGAAGTTCAAGCGGCCCTATTATTCATCATGATCATGTCGTGTAGTTGAGCTTAAGGTTGTACCCAAAATTTCCCTTGACCTCATGCTCGTCCTCGAACGAGATCAAAATATTGTCTTGAACTACATTGCTACTACGATATGTCGTGGCTCTACATCTACTGCGGATTCTATTATAGAAACTCAAAGTCTAATATATGTCGTGGTTCTACTCTGGATGAGACTGTAAAAGGACTCGAGTACTATGAACTAAAAAATTGCCTCGTTTTGCACCACATGTATCTACATAGATATTTCTAATTGCGAAGAGAAACAGCAAAGGCTGAATCAATATACGCAGCCAGTCCTCCTGGCAAGAGAAATCTAGTACCCACGTTTCGCTCCCCTGTATAACTTCTCTGTAAAAAGACGCCTGGAAGAGTACCACGAAAGATCATTTTTATTCCCCCATTTTTTGTACATGAATGAATGTACATCTACACTTTTAGACTTCCCTCCTGAAGATGGTGAAAAAACGCACCAAATATACTCGAGTAAGTTCTTTGTCCCTGCTTCGCCAGATCTTCCAACCATTAAGAAATGAAGCCCTCTACTTCTTCTGTTTGAAGTAGAGGATTCACAACTTGATATTAGTAGTGTCCGGTCATGTTGTTTGTTGTAGGTGTAGGAAAATTTGACGTAAAAAAAATTGTTATCATTACGAGAGACCACAGACACAATGTTCTTCTGAGTGAAGGTATCCGAGACCGAGAGGCAGAGGACGATGAGCACTGATTATTTTAGAGGACTTAGTAGATAACTCAAATGAATCGAATTTGCATCAGCGGGAGCGACACTGTTGGGGTCTTATTTTGATGCATATTGTTCCAAAGCAAAAGAATCAATTGTAAATTTACATTATACAATGTGAGTCATAAAAAGAATTTGAGTTATAGTATAATAATGAGAATGAGTGGCCTAGTGCTAAAAAGAGAGACCTACTGTTTTCTGTAAGTTAGTTGGTGGAGTTTCCCATCTCCTTCCACGACGCGAGGATGAATTACAACCGAGCACCCTCAAAAGTACAACCAGGGAGGGAACGTAACAACCAGCGCGCACTGGCAAGGCTTAAGCTGTTGCAAGAACGGAAGAACAACTCTTGCCGGACTCTTAAAAACGGCAGTGGTAGAAACAATGGAGAACAACATGCTCAACCTCGACGAGATGAAACACGTCGAGACGAGCGCGGTAGAGGATGGGACGAGAGCAACAGCAAGAAATGCAGTACCCTACCAAGCTCCAAGGAAATTATCCGGCAGGCGCTTTTTTCCTCTAGTTGTAGTAGCAGTGCATCTACGACGAGGCCATCCCAACATCAGACTTTGAGCCAACTAGGTGCACTAGGTGGATATGATGGGAACAACGTCACGGCACGCCAAAATGTTGCTTTTCCTGCTTCCATAGTATCGATTACTTCGAGAAAAAATTACTCGGAAGAAGATAGTAATCATCGCGATCGGCACGTACTACGAGAACGTGGACCGCGAAGCGAACAGCACCATTTTCCTACTTCTTCTTCGTATGTTGTTCATCCCAGTAGAGGAAGAGGTGCCACTAGTACTACGAGTACGTCCTCATCTTCATCGAGTTCCTCCACCTTTGGCACTCCGTCTTATCGCATCAACGATCTGCAGGGTGATGATCTTCTGCCTCGTCTAACTGGTAAGAATAGTGATCAGGATTTACGTAGAGTAGAGCAGCTGCGCACAAAATTCTATGAGTCACTTCAGCCGAGTACCACTTCCGACGAGAGAGGCAGAAGTACGCGTAGGGGTGAACGTGAACGAAAGCGCCATGATAGAAAGAGTCGAGAGAAAGCGGAGCTCCCAATATCTTCGTCCTCTACTTCCAATACTAGTATTGCCTTCTGCGGTAGTTCCACTTCTACTTCTGAAGCTCAATCCCTGTCGGAGATGTCGCTTCAATCAACGAAGTATTTGAAAGACGCGTACCACGAAGCGTCGAGGGCATCAAGGTAATTGTCTTTTCTTTGCTGATGCCACTCTAGTAGTTTTTTTTTGGGGGGAATTTCATCACTTTCGATGACGTGCTCACCAGTAGACTTAGAAATACGCAAAGGAACAGGAAGATCGAAGATGTATAAGTCTGAAGAACTGCCTTGACTCTCACGACACGTGAGCTACTTAGGTACAACGGCGAGATTCACGATCCGAATCCGCGTGACGACACGGTCATATTCAGGGAGAGAGGCCCACTTTTGAACAAAAGCCCACTCGTCGATCGGATAAGCACATTGGGTTCGAGTACGAACGAAAGACGAGGCATACTGCGTAGAAGAGGTGAAACGCAGGACGAACCTGAAGAAGCTGAAGCAGTGAGAACTGAAGGGAAGAGAAAGGCGGCAACTGCGCGGAGTCACTCTTCGTCTTCGACGACGAAGAAACGGAGAAGAACTAGCTCACCTTCTGCAGTACCTGGTCCCGCGCAAGAAGATGAATCATCAAGAAGCGCCTCCCGCGTCGTCGTCGGCTGTCAATATGACAAGACGAGTGAGCACGCCTTACCAGTTGATGTTGAGGATTATCTGCAGTCCCCGACGCCGTCTGCGAAGATAGCTAGGCACTCGCCGCCAGTGCCATCGTCGGCGGAAAATTTTTTGGAGCGTCCGCCGTCCTTGACGCCTTTGATGTCGTGCGATGTGGACGCAGATCAACTACAAGAGTTGTTTTGGTCTTCGCCATCTTCCCTGTCGGAGATGGTTCTTCTAGATGAGCCGCAAGAAAGTCCACCATCACCAGCGAAGCCAAGCGACGCATTGAGCACATTGAGGGCCCAGCTAAAAACTGCAACCGGCAATACCACAGCCCTGATGCAACAAATAGCTGCGCGCGAGATGTACAAAGCGGGTGGGAGACTAGGAACACGCGCGCAGAAGTATGTGGAAGAAGGTGAAGGGCTGGGAGACGAGAGCGTCCAATACAACATCAATTACGAAGCAACTACAGCATGTGAACATGAAGATGACGAGGAATATTTCAACAGCAGCTGGTACTATCATCAAGAGCCCCGTCACGGTGGCGTCTCCTACTATGATGAAGAAGACGGTGACGGTCAAGGGAAGGGCACCGGCAGCGAAGAAAATCTTCATAGTTTTTGCGAAGACGAGCTCGAGCACGAGAACAGTTCGGGATCTTCTCCTCCTGCTGAAGCTGACGACGAACGTGCCGCGCACAATATCACTCGCGAAGTACACCGAGAGAACGAGGACTTCCGTACTAAGGATTCCTACTTTCAAGATCTTTCTAATAGTAATAGTGACAAGCCGCGCAGCGGCGAAGTAGAGAAGAAGAACGACAATGGTCCTCACAGTTCTTCTTCAAGTTCTCTCCAAGTCGAGCAGCACGAACTAGGAGCAAAGGAAACGGAAATGGAACCAATCGATATGTGGTATGCTGAGGATGAGGATAGGAGAAGAAAAAGTTGTCCTGCTGCCTTCAGTGGATTGGAACGACGAGAGGTTGGGGAAGCTGTAGAAGACGGTGAAATTATGCAGTCGGAGGTTCCTGCACAGAGTAGTACTACACGCGAGGAGTTCCTTCATGTGCATCAGGGATATGAACAAAGGCACCTGCTAGGCGGTGCACACAAAAGTCACAGGCGAAGCACATCATGCTCAGGCGACCTGGTCTTAGTGCCATATGGTACCCTATGCGGTAGCGGCAACACATGTTGGTCAGTGTTCTCAAGCGTCGACACGGCAAAGGATGAGAGAGGAGTAGACACGGAGGTAGGTCAACATCAGCATACCTTTCATCAGGAGGATGAAATGAAAGAACGTTCTAGTCAAAATTATGATACCTATGAGGTTGATGAGGCTGGCACGCTGGAGCAAGCTCGGAGTAAAAAAGAAGCTCTTGAGCTGCAAGCAGCTGCAAAACAGAATGAGCGTCCCGTATTCGTATTGTCGACTCTTGCTCCTGATCATGGGGTGACTAACATGTTGCGTCAGGATGTGGAAACCCGATCTGGAACCGGCGCCACCCAAGATCAAATAGTTGGACACCACAACTTCTACACAAAACCTCCAAAAGGACGACCAGATCGACCAGATGACTTCTATGGCGATTATGGGGGAGCAATCTTAAGGACCAGCGCGGTTTGGCGTCGACGTCGTCAAAGAAGGATATGTAGATCCAGATCACGTTCCAGGTCGTCCCAGTCTCGCTCCTCAGCCGGCTCGTACAGCAGTCGCGGAAGTAGTTGTAGTGGAAGTTGTTCGTCTTGCTACTCGTACTCCTCTGGTTCAAGATCGCAGCGACGAGATAAGGACTCATCTCTATCTGATAAAAGCAAGGGAAGCGTGGTCCTTCGCCATGGTGATCGCGATGGTCGTGAAAAGCGTTTGCTAGATGAGGCGCGTCTTCAAGCTGCAGGGACGACCAAGGGTCGTGATGAGAGACAGATACTAAACAAGTAGCAGGCGTACTGCGGCTACTGATGCTGATCTCGTTTTGATATTGTTCTACTGCTTCTATCATTTTACTAGCCGAACCAACCAGAAGCACAACTTATGTAGGAAGAAGAGTAGAGCAACCTATTGCTCATGTTTACGCAAATTGATTTTGATATTGAAGCTAAGTATTTTGAAGAAGGTCTCGCACTAAAATCTTCCATATGATATAAGGATAAGAAAGAAACAAATTGTATCAGTAGTAGATGAAGTTGAAGACCACGAGAATTAGCCTTTTATTTTTGATCATCCGAATTCAACAATACTGGGTGTTTGATTTGATTGTCCTTTTTTCTACTTTGTGTTTGTTCATCTGCTAAATTACAAAAGTCGTGGAAGCTCAACAACAACAACCAGTACGAGCTGAAGCTCTTTTTAGTCTTATACTGGTTTCCAAGAAAAAACAGAACTCCTACTTTTCTGAGATTTATTGTTGATAGACGGCTCGAAGTGCTGGAGATGCACTAGCCTCAAGTACAGTTACCTGCAAAGATGAACAAGAACAGCCTATAGATACGTATACAGTACAGTCCTGTCTCTGTAAAGTGTAAAATCAAGTCTATTAAATTTTGTTGCTTGTAAAAAAGATTGATTTTCGTAGTTCGTTGATAGGACTCGTCGGATTTGGTATTTTTACTGAATCTGATGAAGTAGAATAGTCAATAATTCTCTCGAAAGCCATGAGCAAAATGCGGCAAGCAATAAAGCTTCTAAGTTAACGATACGACACAGTCTGACAGGTCATCAGAGGGCAAGAAGTGCGGCAAGCAATAAAGCTTCTAAGTTAACGATAAGACACAGTCTGACATCAGGTCATCAGAGGGCAAGTAGTGACATTGTACAATTTGGAATTTTCGTTGATTGCGAGAGGCTGAGACTCGTTAACAGCTAGTAGAGGTTAAGAACACGGTACACGATCAGATCCATGCGGAATTCCATTAGTCCTGGTAAGATCGGGTACTCATAACTGCGCTCGTCGTGTTCCGACATTTTATTGAGACCCTGCCGTCGTGACACTTGAATAAAATGAACCTATAAATATTAAATTTAGAAGCTCGACGGCAGGGTCTTCTATAAAGATAGGCGCAACGATGTCCTAGGCGGGGAAAAATAAAAGACCGCTAGTTCTAGCGTGTGTGATGAAAGTGAAGCTGATAATTGAGTTGGATGAGCTGTTCGATTACGATTAGGGTCAAGAAAAACAAAATGAAGTCCAAGCTCCACGCCGTCGTTCAAAAAGAAAGACGACATAGAAGGGCCCACGGCGAAAGCGCTTGCGCGTCTGAGCTTCAAGAATAGCTCGGTTGATGAGGGTTGGCGCGAGTCGACTGAGCGGGCGCTGAGGTATTAGTATAGTACTTAGTAGTGCGGCAAAAAGGTTGAACATGGGTGACGCATCCTCTAATAACCGGGCAGCACATTCGACGACCACGATACCCGTACCAGACAGAACTAGTTGTAGTGGTGCGGCTTGAGCGAAAGAACAAGAGCGATTGAACAAATTCCAAAGCTTGTACTTAACTACATATTCATTGATTAAGTTGTATCTATTTGACGTAGCGACTGCGTTTCATTGTACTATCAGAGCAGAGCTGGTCTATTAGGTTGCGTATTATTGTAGGAGCATTTATTTAGGCATTTCCTAGACATGTCGGTCCTCGCGTGCAGCTCAAGCACAGCTCGGTCTAGTAAAGTAGACTCTTTTTCGGCGTTTTCATAGTCGTGAACGCTCACCTCCTCGAGGCGAGCGAATCCCTGCCCTACCCTATCATTTAGAAATTAGCTAGCATTGCTCAATGCTCGTTGCAGGTGCAGCACTCAATTAACTTATCTTAACGTGCTGCTCTCCTGATGAGCTTGAGAATGCGACTCAAGTTGGACTCGGAGAAAAATGTGCAGAACTGATGTATTAGAAATGAAAAGTTTTGTCGTCATCTCCTTGTCGTTGTCCAAGAAGACCACCTTTGGCTCTGAAACTTCGAAAGTAGGCTTGTGACGGGCCGCGATGCCAGTGTCCTACGAACTCACACTGAAGGGCTCATCTTCAGAAGTTCGAAAGAAGGCGACTACCCGACAAAGAGTGACACGGAGCGGTGAACGAAGCGATCTGTCCCTTCTTCTCAAAAAAATGTGACCACCCTTTAGACCTCTCTTTCCCAGAGAAGAAATCATTTACATTTTGATTTTCATCTTTCTACTAAGTAACTTTTTTAATTTATGGTCAATCATCTGGAGGAGAACAAGAAATGAAAATGATATTGATTTTGCATTGTTGCACATGACAAGGGAAAGAACGGCGGACTAAAAAGAATACTCAGGCACGTCGAAAAACACAATTGTCACTATCTTCTTCAAGAACCACGTACTAAAAAAACAAAGTCATGTCTATCTTTCTGGACGCCTTAGCGGATTTCATTATTCCGATTTGCGGTGCTGGCGGTTGTCGCCCACTAACAGCCAGATGCGAGATCGCTCCACGAGGAAAGCCCTGTGACCCTTCGCAACCGGAGACGGGATGCACAGGAATCGTCACGTTCGAGATGGAGAAAGATACCTGTGTGATCAAGTTTATGATCTGACGGCATTAGTAGGACAAGATCTAGAAGTAAGTAGTAGAACAAAGAAATAATGGAGAAAGTGAAAGATACAACCTGTGGGATCCTCAAGTTTATGTTTTCGAGTTGAAAGTAAGCCTTATCAGCAATATCAACATCTTCAACTTCTTCAACACAACAGTTTTAACATCAGGGAAATCCGTAAAACTCAGAAGAGACTCAGGGAAGTCGTAGGACAATTCCGAACCGACTAACATCATCAGATGCTACAAATTCAGACTTAGAAGTGTAGCTTCACATGACATCTTTCTAGCCCTCTAATCCCCGGGACCTGAAAAACTGCGGTAAGGAAGGTCTTCACGGATTCCACATCCATGAGAAAGCCGACTTTAGCGATGGCTGTGCCTCTGCCGGACCGCACTACAATCCGGACAATAAGCAGCATGGCGGGCCTCAGGATAAGGAGAGACATGTAGGTGATATGGGCAACATTGTGGTTGACAAAAATGGATGCTCAAAAGGCGAGCTGCGAGATCATCTGATTAAATTATCAGGTCCATGGTCGGTGATTGGAAGGAGTGTGATGGTATTGGTTTTCTTGTTTTTGAAATTGAAGAAACTTTCTTGTAAAAAAATCGTTGACCTTGACGTTGACGTCGTCTTTTATTTTCTATTTAATCAAAGCGAATTTGTTTCTTCACGATCACGATGTACGACCTCCGCTTCCCAAGGTCCATGCCGACCCAGACGATTTAGGTCGCGGAGACAACTCACAACCTGGCGTCAACGGCAAAACCTCGAAGACTACGGGCAATGCAGGAGCACGCATCGGTTGTGGCGAGATCAGATATGGGAGACCCTTCTAGGTGTGGAGGTATCAGTAGCTTCAGCCGTTCTTCGCGCAGAGGACGAGACTGGATAGAAGACGTTGTGTGCAGTAAGGAGCAGAAGCTCGATAGATGATGGAGATGGCGACTGCCGCGCGTCATCATGTTGAATAACCAATGTGATGAACAGGACAGTTTCAATTTTCTCGCTTCTCACATGTCACAGAACAGATTTTTAAAAGTAGCAGAAAGAAGAATCAGAAAGGGTTTTCGCAATTTTGCTACTGCTTATACGTAGAACAGCACAACGGATTAATTTCAGCCGCGGCAAGCGCTAGTTGTATTTGTCGGTCAACACAAACACGGCAGCACTACAACTTCAAGGTAGACACATTTCACATCCAACGACATATCTTCACTTTTCAGTCTCCTTGCCTAGAAGAGGAAGGAGATGGCGAAGTGCAACTTTGTTGTAATGGACTTCCATGCAAAAGTAAGCATCCCCTCAGTCGTGACAAACGCGATACACAAATCTTCCAGAATCTCAGCAGAAGCGCAATCTGCTTTTTCCGTCAAGGATGACACTTTTCAAGATGAGTTTGAACGATAACGTTCTGCATGAGACATTCCTCAGAGCTATCGGTTTCATTGCTTTCTTATTTATTTTGGCATTTGCATGCTACCTACAGAATCGTAATCATTTTTTTCTTCACGTCAACATAATGATACAAGAACATACAAAATTTTGAGAAAGCGTAAGAAATAATACTTCACGACACGAACGAAGCCATGGTTTCCACCACATCAACTTTTTCATCCACACCGCCTCCTGACGCCATGTCACACCGTTTCATCCAGGACAGCGTCTTTCAGGTGTCAGTTCGCGTGCACCTGGTGGATTTCGAGTGTCGGATGAACAAGACCATAATGCCTGACGACTATGCGGTCAATGCGATATCAGATTTGGACACAGAGCATGCGGCAGTGCCTTTTAAAGGTATGAGGAGGTGGTTTGGATCAAATGCGAAAGAAGAAGAACACCAACCAGGTCTAGGAGGTGAAACAAGATCAAGAACAACAGCGTCACCATCGAAAGACAACAGTGCCCCTGGTCAAGAAGATGAGGAAGCAAAGGAGGATGTCGTACTAGCCTCTGCGCCAGAGCCTCCACCCCCTGGCGCGGCAAAGAATTTTATGACAACTAGGAACATGTATGGCACCACAAGATGAAAGTGAAACATGAAAAAGGCCACGTGCTGAAATTAAATGATATCTCCTAAGTTAGTGCTTGCAGCTGCAACATCTTGTTCTAACATCCCAACCCTCAGTCGCCTCTATGCCTCCGCTTGTTCTTCGGTAACGTTCGCTCCACCACAGTGTGTTTTCCGGCTCGGCGTCGCAGATTTGAGCTCCGACATAGTGGTGGAGATTCTTGGTCCGTCCGTCACTGGTTTTCGGTCTGAGCCGTTGTTCCTAGTCTGCATACCATTGCTAGATTTTTTTGCAGAGGAAATACACAACAGCACACGAGACATCTTCGCTTTGTTTTCCTTGTTGTCCGGAAAGCAGGTAGGGAAGAGGGCGATCGGACCTTCATGGTATAATTTGCACTGATATGAATTTAGATCTTCTTCTGGTTGTGTACATCTTCATCTTCAACTGGTATAATTTGCACAGGTGTCATAGTTATTTCTCAACTAATTCTAGATCATCGTTTGAAGATTGACCAATTCATACCGTTTACGTTGCCTGTGAACTAGAACCGCAACTGCTGGAAGACACTGTGGTCACTGCTCACAAACACCTTCGTTTTGCGCAGGTACCGATGCCGACCTCGAGGCCATTTCGAGCATGTTGGTGGCTACACTCGGCCGACGCAGTTGCAGTTGCGGAATCCGGTTGTGGCGTTGAAAGATGTCCACATCAAGTTGTCCTTGCACCTGCAACCTCATCCGGCACTGCTTCAACCGTCTTCAGTGCCGCGAGGACTTGGCATCGGAACTGGTGCAGTCGTTCTGCAAGGTGAACACGGAGAACAAGATCGATCGCTACTACCACATTCACAGCAAGAAGACAAGAACACTAGTACACGAGTATCGCAAGTGCAAGAACAGCAACTGCTACGCCACTATCTCGGTTTCGACGATTTACTGCCTCCGAGTGTGTTGACAACGAGGACCAATAAGATCAAGAGGCTGCATCGTGGAGGCGAATCTGTGTGGACGAAATCGAAGTTGGTAGCTGATCACACCGTAGGCCGTTTTGCCGACCAAGATCTCACCAGTTTACCCGTCATCATGGGCCAAATGCGCGCTCGGATGATGAACTACCGTTGGCAATGGACCTGGCCATTCTTGGTGTTTTTGGAGGAGTTGTTCTTTCTCGCGGGAAGTTCTGCGTACGAGGTAGAGTGTCACTTGCGTGATTTTTACAACGGCATTTGCGAAGAGATCGGTGACGATGCGACTTGGGTAGACTATTTTCGAGTCCCGAGAGAAGCGGTGGCGGGGGAAATAGGGGATCTAAAGGCTTTGAAAGTCAATGTCGATAGTCAAGCTGGAATGAGTGCGCGGATAATTCGAGGAATTTTTGCGATTCTGTCGATTTTATTCGACTTACACAGAGCACTGTGGTCAGCGCTGTTTGCGACGATCGTGGGCGAACCGTTGATAAGAACGGGAGGAGCAGCAGCGTATAGAAAGAGGAAGAGTAGCGGGTCTGTTAAGGCTACAAATGTACAGGTAGTAGACAACTACTGAAAACTGTCAACATTAAAGATCCGTGTGAGTTGCTTATTCTTTTTCCTCATTATCAGTTTTTATTCACTTTCAATCGGATTCGGTTTTTCACCTAATCTCAGCGAATCAAACTCAGCCAGAGAAGAGTCCGGGTCCAGGAAAAACGGCTTTCAGGCGATGTCCTCTGGCGTGTCCTCAAGCTCGGACCACACAAGCGGTGCAGTGTATGTCATCGATAGAAGTCCTAAGAAACGATCTTCATTCAACACAACTAGAATCTCGAATGCTTCAACTGGAGGTGGTGCAGAACAGGTACTAGAACCAGTAGGTCAGCCAAGTACCAGAACCAGTACTCGTGACAGTCCAGGCCCAGGACCTCCTAGGAGTCTTCGAACTAGTCGAAATACCAGATTAGTACTCACCAGCGAAGATGATGAATACGTTGAAGAAGAAATACAACCTGGTGACGAGAAAGATGAACAGCATGGTGGACATTATGATCAACAAGATCACGACAAGGACAATGTGCATATCAGGTCCGACCATCCTAACGACTCATCTGAGCAAGACAGTGGGTCAGGTTCTAGCTTTTCATCTTCTAGCGGTCGTCTTAGAAAGCGAGGAAGTGGTCGAAGGCGAGGCTCACGAGAGAATGATCACGACAGCGGACGAGCGCCATTTGATGGTCGAATCTATCCAAATCTAGCAGAGCTGCATGGCGTGGAAGATTTGATCACGAAAAAGAAGACACCTATCGCGGCTAGAGTCTTCGCGAGTAGTCCTAATCCACCAGCCAGCCCAGGAGATCCTGCTTCTCCCGCTCTGACAACGTCACCGACCGGCTCAACGGAGGGTAGCACTAAGCCGAGATTATCAAGGAGGAACTCATCGATGTCGAAGGAGTCCTTAGACTCAACAAAGGTATCTTCTCCCGCGTCCAAGGACTCGGGTTACATCAAAGTGGGTCGCTTTCGCTGGAGAAAAGGAGGATTGAGCCACTTTCTGTACACCTTCATCTTTATAGTGATCCGTGAACATGTAGAGTTAGCGCCGGACTACGCTGTCCGCCGAACACTTGCTGTTCTGTATCGGAACAGTGGGTATATCTTCGTGTATCTGTTTGCGCCGTGGTATTTATTTCCAGCAATCGTGACGATTCGAATGGTGGTGATTTTGGCTAGGAACAAAGATCGAAGTGGAGCGTCATGGAGACACACTCTTGATAAAACCTCGCCTGGTGGAAGAGAGTCTGAGTTGTTATGGTTTCTAGCTTGTAGACAGAGATCAAATTATCCATTTTGAGATGAAACAGCTTGCAAATACGAGAGGGAGAGCCAGTAGATCATTTTAAAAAGTAAGACAGGCACACCAGCATAGTCATAGGCGTAGGGAGGCTCAGGAACGATCCGCTTTTCTTCAGGGTCAAGATGGATTCGACTTTTAACAAGGGTGCCTCTAATAGAATCGACCGAGCCTTTCCACAAGTTGAACATGAATAATCGTTGGGACGTGCACAAAAGTTACGCTGGTGGCACGAGCGCTTCCGCCCGAGAGCGACAGAACGAAGCCAAGGACCAAGAACAGCCTGAAAGACCAACTTTCATGTCTTTCATTACTGGTGCTGCTAGTTTACTTTATGCAAAAGGGTCGTGAGGATGATACTTACAACAACTAAATGAGTTCTTTATTTCATGCAAAAGGGTCGTGAGGGTGATACTTACAACAACCTAAATGAGTTCTTTATTTCATGTTGATTTACCATTCTGCTCATTTCGTTTTCGTGCTACTGCTAGTTTTCATTGACGTCCATATTTAAAGGCGATAAAAGCACGACGAGAAATGAACGGAGCTAAATCTGAGGACGCATGAAAAAAGCTCCGTGCTCTCTCTTCTAATTTCCCGCTGACACTGCCCTAGGAGCCGAAGGAGGCAACAATGAAGATGAAGAGGACCTTCTAGACGATGACGAGGAAGAAGAGAAGTCTGCAGTTGGATTGGACTACGAGTACTCAAATAGCGCTTCCGGTAGTATTGAAAATTCGAGGAGCAGCTATACTAGTGTTATGGTTCTTAGTGCTAGTTTGCCCCTGTGGTTGTGGTCGCGCAACGTAATTGATAGATATTGACGTCTACATGGCAGGTTGTAGAGGTTGATCAGACGATTGGGGCGTCCACATCTACCTCTTACTCCCCTAACCCCGACCAAGGAGACAATTGCCGAGGCCGCATGCTCCAGCGAAGCTCGACTCCTTTACGGGAACTCCAAGCTCTAGGCTCTCTCAGTGGTCCTGCGGGATCCCTCGTTTCTTCTGCTCTCCTAGCGGCTCCTGCGGCTGCACTGCCCTTCATGGACACAACGCGAGGCACCAAGAGGATGATGACTTCGGAGCTGATAAGGATGGGCAGTCAGTTTTTTCATTATGGCTAGTGGTAGTGCTGTTGGTAGGTTTAATCACGATGTGGATGTGCTCCTTAGACTTATAGCTCTTGCTCTGGTACCGGTTTGGAACCATCCGCGATGTTCGCTACCGGCAAGGTAAACAGACTCACCCAAGCCCCTTCTCACCTTACCTTCCTTTCCAAACGATATAAGAAAACTCAATTTCTAATCCCACGCCAATGAAGTTGGAGGTAAAATCCTGGATTTGCATATGGACAAAATCCTAAGTATCCTCCACTGGCACGACCCGGTCGCCAGCCTAATCTTCTGCATGTTCTTCGTCGTGGGCGCATGTGGAGTTTCACTACTGCTCGCGCTCTATACCTTCGATGCGAATTACATTGGGGTTACAGACTTCGTCACTTGTACCTGGATACACCCCAGGATGTGGATCGTACAAGCACATTTCACGTTTTTACTGGTGGTTCCTTTTATCCTTTGGCGATTTGGCAGCTTCATAGTGGAACTAGATATCTGGCTGAAAATGAAGACTGTAGCAAAACTGATAAGCCTTAAGACTTCCACGAATTCATCTTCAGAAGCACCTTTGGCGCAGTTTCAAGGGGGAAAACGGTCAAAAATGCACTGTAAGATGAATAGTGGGCGGAAGATCTAAAAGCCGTTTGTCGAAAAAAGCGGATCTAGTGACCGAGGAAGGAGAAGAAGGATCATCGGCAGCCGGCAGTGGTGGTGGAGAAGAGGCTGGTGGAGGTGGGATGCAGCATGCGAGAGAAGTTTATGCTGGATACTAGGTTGACTCAGTTTAATAACTAGAAGTAGTGAAGTCGAAGTGTTATCTGGTGAAGACTGATACAAAAGTAGCACGACCTCAAAGTAGTAACACGCTCAACTTCAGCACCAGCACACGACCTATTATGAATGTGTCCCTATAAAATTTATGAATGTGTCCCTATCTGAATCTCTAACCTCTCTCCTGGAAGAACCTAGCCGCGCTCTATCGTCGAGTACCAACGTGGGCTGCAGCCGGTCGCAAATATCACGCAAGGACATATCACATAGACCAGGGAGACCTGTTCGAAGAGCGTCTGAGCAAAAGGTATCGTGCTCTCCTTGGAGGAGGGGAGATGATGTAGAAAAAGTGATATGTTACGCAGGAGATGCACGACGACGACGACGGTGACAATATTTAAGGCTCAGCTTTCAATGGTCATTGGGGTTGGTCACTGGGATCGCAGAGAGGCTCTCCTTAGAAAACAGGGGAAAACACAGGGAGAACAAGTAGAGGGGTAAAGGGCCCTTTTCTTTCAGCATCAGTGACCATTGAATGCTGAGCTTTAAAATATGGCAAAATGTCAATGATATACGCGGATGCACGACGGACCGTCGGTGAGTAGAACATGGTAAAATATCAACGCAACGAGAATGTCCATCCTGATACTGATAGATACACGACATACCTGAGCATGCTAGAAGTTGAGGACATATTGCTTTTCACACAGTATGAGTATCCTTATCGAAGATCATTGGCTGGGAGGTAGATATTATGATTTGGATTTACACTTTGGAACAGATATTGCACAGATGTTCTTGAATCTACCATTTTCATTTTGAAATTTGAACTCAAAACGCAGATCACAAGATATGACTAGAAGAAACATCTCGTGATTCTAGCACTTGTAACATAAACATATCAACAACTTCTTATCTATGATGAACTACATCTGCTGGCGCTAGCGCTTACCATTACGACCTACCTGTACCTGTACCTCCTTGATTATCATGCTCAGCTAGCAATCTCGACTTGTCCATTTTCCTTATTTTATCAACTTGACCTAGTCTAGTGCTCGCCAGTCTGACATCTTCTAAAACATTTTCCTTTTTTCGTCCGAACGTGCACGCAGCTCCATGTTGATGTCATACAAAAACTGCCTCTGATGCACGTTCTTGTACTGCTGTTCTTGACATTGAGGTAGGAGAGAGATTGAAAAATTATCAGGAGCAGACGTGACAATCTGCTACCTGCAAGCAAACGAGGAGCCATCTTCCCAGTCTCCCTGATGGGCACGACAACAATCGAAACTTCATCTTCAGTTTTATGACGTGTCTGGGCACTTCAATGGCCCCGAACGCTCGCTCCTTCGCTTTGAGTGAGCCAACTCCTATCCTATCGTGTTTCGAGCAAGATGGAGCATAAAGGTTCAACACAGGCGAAGCACCAGTTGACGAAGACACAACTAGTTCATTGTTGTACTGACGGCGAGATGTAGTTGTTGACTGAGGCGTTGATCTTTTTCCAAAGAACCCTAAATTTGCTACTGCTAATGCTACTAGCACAAAAAAAATGACCACACCATTGTCTTCAAAGCCACAGCCACGTGCTTCCTCCCGGCAGGATGGATTGCCTTCAGCCAAAGCTTCTCCTTCCACTATTCCTCCAGTCCTCCACGCTCTGTCAACGTTGGACGTTGACGACTTCATTCGTTTTGTCCATACAAGCGCTGAAGCCGATGGTCGTTGTTCGGGGCATATAATGCTGTCGCGATGGAAGCTGCTTCAATTCACTGGATTGGAGATGCTGGAACAGGTCACTCAGTTCTTTTCTTGGCATGAAGCGCAGAGAGTGATATTATACAGAAGTAGCGGGTACGGTGCTGGTGATGGAAATGTACTATGGTTCTAGTTGTATTTGGTAAATAGCCTGAATTCGATCACAAGGATTCCCTTCCTGCTTTCCTCAATGAGGAAAAAATTAGGCTCTTACCAAATACCAGCACCATTCAGGAAAGGGAACGTCAGTAGAAAAACCAGATGCATCAGCGCAGGACTTGGAAAGGATGAAGCTGGACATAGCAGGTTCTAGAAATACTGGAGAACAAGAATACAAGATATCAGCGACGCACCTTGCGGCCATTCTCATCATTGTACGGGACAATATCCCTGCAAGTAGCAAGCTAGAGAAGTTATTTCGGCTGTTTCGCGGAAGAAGCACAAGAAGAACAGCAGAGTCAAGCACCATTCCTATGTGTATGACGTACATGGAATTTCGCAGCGCTCTGAAGATTTGCTTCGAAGCCCTTCGTTGGTGGACTGAGGTGCCTTTTCCTTGCTGCGTGGGGGATAAACTAGTTGTACAGGAGCACGACCACGACCTCCACGTGGACGACAACAACAACCTGGACTGTGCCTGTTGGTCCGGTGGTGGAGGCCTGGGTGACGACGATGCGAACGGGAATCGTGCTGCGTCTCACTCACGTACAACGAGTTTTCCAGCAGTGCTTTCCAGAACCGACATCAAATCGCTCGATCTTCTGTGTCAAGCAGCTTTTCGAACGCCTGGACAATCCATAGTGGATCTCAAGGGCGTTAAAGACTGGGCACGACGACAATTGCCTATGAGGCTATTCTTTCTGGAAAGTCTAGAGTCTACCTGCATTAGAACAAGGGAGCTGGATGTTGGTTTCTTCGACGACAAGGACTTCCTGAAGAAGACTTTGTTGTTTGTGGAGGATATGGAAAAAGTAGCGGAGGCGAAGAAGGAACAAGCAAAGCTGGAACAAGCAAAGCTGGAAATCGATAACTTAGTAGACCACAAAGAGAAGATATGCGAGCAGCCATCAGTGAGGAACAATGCATCAGCGTCAGGGAAAAAGTTAGAGTTTGCCGACAACTCTGGTGCAGACGTCGAGTCAACAAGAAGAACAGTGACAAAAACAATGACAAGCAATAAAAGTGACGCCATCTTCCACAAATCATCCTCCCTCAAAACCAAGAAAAACGACGTGTCTGCCGCAAGCATAAACAACGCTATGCCGTCAATCCAAGTCCAACGTCGGCATATCCTAGACGCCAGTCAGCTTGAACTCTGTGATTCGCTTGACGCATTTTCAGACGAGCCTCTACGCTTACGGTTTCTTCGCCGTCTCTGCACACGAGGAATCTCGTTTTATGGTTCTGCCCTCGATGACATTCGCAATACCCTTCGTACAGCTAAGACTAATTTTGCTTTGCGGTGTCCCACGTCGGCGACGATGAGCAATCCTGCTGCAGCGAGTGCTAGCACGCCTGCAATGTTGCCTCCGTCATCGTACTGCACAGCACGTAGCGATCGATTGAGGCTTTTGACTCTGGAAGCTTATTTTAGACGCTTATCAACGTCAACCTCGACTGGTCAAACAAGCATAAAAGCAGGTGCTTGTGGGTTTCCTGATGCCTTTCCGCCAAGTGTTTTGACTCTTTTTCAGGACGATGATTACTTGGATGGAAGTATAGCAATAGCAGGTGGAGAAACTATAGAAGGTGTGACAGGAAGTAGGAACACAACTTATGGGTACCGTCAACCCATCTTTTACACCATCTTTCAGCTAATTCCTTCTTGGAATAGGCTAAAAGATGTTCTAAAAGATGGGTTGTCGGTACCTCTAAACAAATGCGTTTCTGCAGTCACTTTCTTTAACATCTCTTCGCGACAAAGAGCTGACAGGAAAGCCGATGATTGTCAGTCATGTCAATCAGTTTCTAGAGGATGGCGACTGCAGTGCTTTAATAGAGGAACACAAGCTACAATACTCTTCATCTCAGCAACAACAGCCACAGCCCACCTCTGTGATGGCGATTCAAAAGATTCACACCAGGATAGCTGGTGATAGAGGACCTCCTATTGCAAACGCCATCAGTGTAGTTGATCAACCGCCTCCTGTGGCCGTGTCCTCGTCTGACGCAGCTTCAAACTCGACATCTGTTCCTGACCTCAGCAGCATAGTAGAAGAGGCTGCTCTTCAGACATTTGCTCCCACGCGCTTTTGCGTTTTACGTGCTATTGTAAAGCAGAATGCTCAGAGGCGGAACACACAGTTTCAAAGGATGCGGACAACAACTTGCGATCCGAGTGTTTCTCTCGGCGAGAGTGAGGCCTCTAGAGCGCCAGACTCCGTAAGCGGGGTTTTGGACCGCCTAGCAGAGGCGATGGTCGCCGAGCACGAGAAGAAAGCGGCCTTGACAAGTCAACCTGCGGCTGGTATTGCTTCATCTTCACTCTTTGGCGCTAGTAGTGCCCTACAGCAGTTCGCGGCTCGCCGCGCAGCTACTCCAAACCAGGCAAGTGCTACTCAAAACAAGAACGCGAACAACAATAAGAATGACGCATTAATAAACTTAAAGAGCAGTACCGAACAAGACGAAGAAGCTGACGAAGAACGCGGCTGCATGAAGAAGTGTGAAGAAATTATAGCGGAACTGAGCTCTTCATGTTCCTGTGCCTCCAGGTCCAGTGACACGAAATCACAAGCGAACAAGAAAGCGAAATCACAAGACCTTGATACAGTCTTGCTGCGAACGTTGCTTGGGCGCGAGACGTGTCTGAGTCCTCAGCTCGAGCTCGAGCTGCGAACAACGGTCAGAGAATATCTACAAGACCATCATGCTGAGGCGCAGAATTATAAGACGAAAGTACAAGAACTACAACAACAGGGAGAAGCGATGCACCTGAAGAGCGTGATGACTGATCCCAGCTTACCTCACAAAACAAGCAGGACAAACGACCAAAGAGTTGTCAGCGACGACGTTTACACCTTATTCCCACCACGCGGAGGCTATTTGGATTGGACTGTGAATTTTACGGGTAAGAACGCTGTGGAATCAGACGTCGAGTCGAAAGGAACTGACCCACGAAACAAGAACAATTTGCACCTACAATTACCCGGTTTGTTAACATCCTCTTCGAATGCTGTAACCGAATTACTTGCTGCGACGCAATGGCGGGACCACGCGCGAGCGCAGGCTTTGCTGAAAGCGTGTAGTCGGCTTTTTGAGTCCGGCTTAGGCTGGATGGATGGCGTAGCTGTGAGAGCGGGATCTCAAGGTGGTGCTAATGGTCATCAAAACTCCACAACAGTTGGAGGCAACAAAATTACAACAGGAGCGAAAGAGCTACAGCTACCGTCATCTCCGAACAAAAACACTGCCCGTCGAGTGCCTTTGAATAACAAGTATCTTGTTCCATCAACGTCTAAGACAACAAGCGGTGCAACTACAGGATCGAAACCGCATTCTTCAAATAGCACATTTGGATCTGCAGGAAGCACGACTTCTGGTAAGACTAATGGTTCTACGACGGCCGGTTCTACAAGAACTGATCAGCAAGGCACCGAAGTGCAAATATTCTCTCCGTTGACAAGAATGGTCCGACAAAGGCTTCACATTTTAGCAGATCTGGAGATCCATGTTGGACAAGCAAGGATTGCGACAGCGTCCATTTTGCGCGACTCACAGCGTTTGGCTGCATGGAAATGGTTGTATGAGCAATTATTCAAAGATGGAGAACAAGATGCCGTAGCTGGAGGCTTTAGCTCCTTGAGTACTTCTGGTGTCGGCACTACGACTAACACTGGCACAACCCCTAGTACCGGTATCAGCACCGCTGTCAGTACATCAGCTGTCGTTCCTGGTATGCAGCCGCAAGCGTTGTCAGGGGGTGCAGAGCGTCGCACGTCGCAGACCCACGGAAACAAGGGAGTCAAGACGTATTACCACGCTCATCTCCGCTCACTCGGCTTGACAGATCCAGTACCGATTAGTGGTCCTATGTTAAGGCAATGGCAAATTCAATAAGACTACGTTACTCGTCTTGGTCTTACGTTGTAACCGGCAGCGGAAAAACCTTTTAGAGCAGCTTTACCTTAATCGATCCATTGGTCCTGCTATAGGAGGCAAGAAATAACACATCAAAAAATAGTAGGCATGCCTTCACCTTCTCTACTAACGCAAGAAAACAAAATCTTCCTGCAACGTTTGAAGCATCTCCGGACAACCATCAACGACACTGGTACGACATATCAGCAAACCTTTTGTCCGACAATGATTTGGAAGGAGGTGAAAACTGCATATGATCGTTTTTTACCAGCATTACGCAAAATACAATCACCAGATGATGATGAAGCTACTTCTGCTGAAGTGACAGGAATGCAGTCGGAAGGGGATGCTGTAGAGGAAGGAGGCACGGCTACAACAGGACCAGTGGTACCAGATTTTGACACCCTTCTCACACTCGCAGGAAAGCAAGGCATAGTGGACCTCCTTGATCACAATGATCTTGACGCTGAATATCAGAACCAGAAGCCATTTCTAAAGCGCGACCTTTCAGAAGCTGTTGGTACTGTCGAGCAGCTTCTTGCGGAGGTTCATGGTTGCAAAACAAGCTCCTCTAAGACGACTCAGCAGCACCACGACCTGCTCTTCCATTTGACACCGTCATGCTCCACAGATGTTGTCAATGCTGCAGATCATACCGTAGCCGCGAGTAGAAGTGAAGTGGGAAAGGATGTGGAATCGTATATGCGGAGCCTTATCGGTGAAGATCAGAACCATACGACTCCGTCAACGAGGATGGAGGTGGGCAAGTATTCTGTTGGAACGTCAAAGAATACTGATACAGAGTCGACAGCCGGAAACGATGTTGATGAGCAATCACCCGGAAAGAAAAGCAAAGAAAAACAAGTAGACAAGACACCAAGACCAAATAAGGACAAAGCTAACCTATCTTTCGCCGAGTCCTTCCTTGCTCAGCTGGCAGATCGAAGTGCTGCCCATATCTCTCGTCCAGCCGATCAGATGAGTTCGCCGTCCATAGGTCTCTACATTGGACTAGAGATAGCAAAAAATCTTCTCGTGCAGGTTGACGAGTTGGCACCGCCACCAATTGTTGAGACGTCGTCGACTGGGATCTACTATCCTTCTGTTTCTGAGCAGACCAACGCGAGAAGGTCGCCGAGACTTCTTAGCAAAGGACGAGAACAAGATCAGCATCTTCTCGCCAACACCGCAGCGACAACCTCCAGTAACTTAGGACCCGTGTTAGCAAAAGTCCTGGCTACTGCAGAGAAGCGTGGCGTTGCGCGAGCTTTGCAGAACTGTCTAGAGCAGCACATTGTGACGCTGTGTGCCTATTGCAGGGAAGTAACCTCGGACATGTCAGGAACGACTGCAGGAGCAACTGGTGCTCAGCACTCTACTCATTCTAGTTGTGCAACTACATCAGGAACAGGAACAGTAGCTCCGGCAGCTACAGTATCTTCTGGCACCTCTAGAGCACCCTCTCATGCTCGTTCCAGCAAGATGCACAACACATCAACAATACCAGCTACAACTAGTACCTCTACAACCAGAACTCCAGCAAAAGAGCACCAGCTTCAAAGACCGAGTCAGGGATGCGATACAACGATGAGGGTGCGCCGTTATTGGAGCGCGCTTAAGGTCCCCCTTGACGAGATCGCGGACTCAATTGCGCATCGAGAGCTGGCGTCGTTCGATATGATCGCAATTTTTGCGGACACATACCTGCGAAAAAATGAAGTTTAAGGCATGGCGGTGCTTTGGCTATGATTTTGCTAAATCCTAACGCTAAGGCTAACGCTAAGTGATGCTTACTAAGATGATGCGGAAGTCGCGATAGGAATAGGTAAAGACTAGCAGCGCCTTGGGAGTACTACATGTAGTTTTCAATCTATGTCACGGACATGTTGCTCATCTAAAAATCATGTGAGTCCGAGCAACAAAAAACCACTGCAGCTGGCTCAAATACCTCACAAGGAGCCGCCTATCTCACAGCCTCAGCTACGATCGCATCGACTGCATCTTCGCAGCGCCTCGACAAGAAAACAAACTTGTTTTCAGCGTCAGTTCCGAAAAGCAACACAAAGCTGAGCGACTTAGCGGTGACCATTCTTCACTGGCTTACCACATTTTCGCCAGAGACCGACTCTGCCATCACGGGGTTCGAAAGGGCGACGCCTGCCTCCACTTCAGTCCGTGGTATACATAGTTTTAGTTGCCTAGATGAACCTCATCCGAGACTTGGCTCTGGTTGCGTTCTCTTTGTCTGTGCTCGAGGTCGGTGGCTTACCCACTGCGACTGCTGCCTGCCAGGCATTCGGCCTGTTGGTCGCTGGTCAAGTCCTGCCCTGGCGACCCCTTTCCTGCGACGTGTCCGCGGACTCGGAGCATGCAGGTGCGAGCTCGAGAAGCATCGAAGCACAAGCGCCGCGCGTGTGGCAACATTTAGCAGCGGCGTGGGGACCACCCGGATACACCGCGCGGCCCAGATGGATGCTGCGGCGACGATGGAGGCAGGAGGGCGAGAAGAGCGGACACAGCGCAAAGCGGTCGGTCGACCATTTCGGCCGGACGAGGCGGAAAGTGGCGAACATGTTCCAAAACTATGCCAAGGACTGGCATCCGTTCACCCGTTGCGCGTTCTCTTTCCCCGCGGAGCTAGTGGGCTTGCTTATGTGTGAAGCCGCGGGCGGCTACGCTCTTCACTCCTGAAGGATGTGGATGGGGGAGCACGTCCCCCACCAAAAAACGCAGAACAGCGGCGGCGCCAAGTAGTGTGGATTCCATTGCGGCACCGCCATCGCCTTCGCCTACAAGTATGGGGGCGCCGCTTTCAGGAACAGGCGCGGCCTCCTTAGTTATGGCCGCAGCGGATCCGGGCGGGGCCTTGCTGGTTGCTAAGGCTGGGGCGACGTTCTCTGTTCGAGGTGAGTGGCGTAAATTGTGCGCGCTGTCTTTTTCTGACTTACAAGATTTCTCGCGCATGCCAGGGCCCGCCACGTGACGCACCAGAGTAAGCCGGGGCAAGTGACTGCAGGCGGAGAAGCAGGAAGCAAGCAGGACGGCAATAACGAAGCGCGACGCGGTGGGGGCAAAAGCTACTCGCGCCGAATGCAAGCGCCTCGGCTTTCTCTGGGGCTCTTATTTTTTTTGTGTGTGTGAAGGGTTCGGGCTCGCTTATTATATTCCCGCGCGCAGTTTTTATATAAATACCACGCACCGCGCTACGCTCAACGGACGAGGGAGGGCAGGAGTTCCGTCCGTTAGTTGCCTCCTGAGGCTATCTAAGCAGAACACTCTGAGCAAGCAGACGGCCACGGGCTTCGAGGTGCTTGACTGAGTGCGGCCCAGTCAGTCAGGCGCTCCGCCGCTGGTGTTGCTTTTGTTTCTCGGTCGTGGTGGTCTGTCAGACAAGGCGCGTGGGACCGCTTCGCGGGCGCCAGTCTGGTGCCTAGTCTTCGCGCCGTCTATGTATCAAGGTGAGGCGCCGGCTAGTACTCTTTCGGACATCAATGACGTGCCAGCTACTAGCCTCACTGCCAGCACAAGTCAGGCGCCAGGATCTAACAGCTGGCGTTAGCTTTTGGCGCTTAGCTTTGATTCCAATGAGCCGCCGGGCCAATGAATCTGGTGGCATGAAGGAACCTGGTCCAAAAACAGCGAGCAAGCCTCCCGGGAAACGCAGGAGAACCACAAGGGGCAACGTAACAACGTCGCCCAAAGGCTTAGCGTCCACGACTTGGGAGGCTTTCGGCCATGACGTGGGGCGGCTTGCCTTGTGTAGTGTGTGACAGACAGAGCCACGGCGCTGAGGTGGAAGATGATGGCTCTATATTACAGAAGGGCGGGGCAACAGAATAAACATCACACAAAAGGGGAGGGCGCTGGTAGTGAACTGGGGGCGCTCAGGCTTGGAGTCGAGTGCTTCGGCTAAGCTCTTCCCCCTCCTTTGCTTCGGTGGTGTGGCGGGGTGGGTCACTTCGTTCCTTACCCAGTGAGGAGTGCCTGGGGAGGTTGTGGCAGGTAGGGAGATGGGGGGGCGGGGCGGATGCTTTTCGTTAGGCTGGCGTCGCGTGCGACCTGGGTGCGTAGGTTGGAGATGCTTTATGCGTTTGCATTGGGGGCTGACGCGCTGGGTTTCGTAATTCTCATGATGGTCATGCCTCGGTTGCTTTCTTTGTTATCTTTGCCTCATTCGTTCTAACTTACTATTTAGAAGGAAAACGCGGACCCATTCTAGCTAGGAGAATACAACTCTCAACGCGCATACATTTTCCTATAAGTAATTCCAACTCGCACTCACTACGACTACACAAACACAGGCAAAGCCGTTCCTCTAACGGCCAGCAGTCTCGGCCATGCTACTAGTGCGAAGGCTGGCGCCCTTTTGCCATCTCATGCGGAAAATGATACCCAAAGACGGGGCTCGTCGCGTGCACCGATGACACGACAGAAGCAGCTATTGGACGGACTGTTGAAAGCGAAGCTGTTTCGTCCGCACTATAAAGACCTAGCGACCCATCTCTTCTCACTGGCAACTTTGACTTTATGGCATATTTTTCACATTGTGTTGTCGTTGATGGTCTATCTATACCATGATTCTGGATCTGGAACTGGATCTCTGACTTCGTCATTCTAATCTTTTAACATCATAAGAAAGTAGCTTTATTAGTAATAACTTGTTTGTTGTAGTACAATTGGCAGTGCCTTGTCGCTGTTTCCGTCAGGCCAAGTAAGCACTTTAACATGCAGAAGAGAATGCATTGAATTCCTGCAGATGAGAATCAATTTTTTAGATTCTCAAAGTATATTAACACCATGATCGCAGCTCTAATCTGAGACTCTGGCACAGCCGATATTGGATCGAATACAACCGACAGTAGTCAACATTATGCTTATTTCACAGAAGTCACAGTCTCTCGTCAAAGTCGTCAAGGTTTTCATCTCGTCCAATGTTTTGTAGTTTCAAAATCTAGTGTCGTGTCTGGTGTATATTGTCTCTGTCTCGGACCTTCCTCTAAGACCATGGACTTCAGACAGCGGCAGCAGTAGACGCATTAACGCTACTAGTATTCCTGTGGACTGGGATAAAAGCGCAAAGATTAGACAGAAAGATTGGTTGGCGGACAAGGCTAGCCAAATCCTTCCTGAAAAACGTGGTTTTCCGGTCACTCGTGTATTTATGGACTCCACTATAATCTTTTCATTATATTTAAGTGTTTACTACCTTCAAGTACCTCTTACGAATGCGTCCTCCTACTTACGCATCTAACAAGCGGCCTAGCAGATCTGGACAAAGCAGAGTTTGGCCATACTGCCAAAGCCGCTGCAGTCGCGTGTAGAGCGGGAACGGATGCCATAGGGAATTTCGAGGATTTGATGCACACAACCACAGGCCAGAGTGGAGGAAGCGGATTATTGCGGACTTTTCCTTTGTTATGACTCAGAGTACTAGGTACATTGATTCGTGGCTTCTTCTATGCTGATCGTTTACTATCTATAAGACCTTGCAGTACAACAACATCCACAGCATGAAAATCTGCTCATTGATGGATCATATGAGAGAAACTCTAACCCTGTTTCGAGACGATATCGATGCTTTAGCACCAGTTGGATCTCCTGGGTTGGCAACGCTTTTGGGAGAAAAGTTTGCGCAGAGTTTGGTGCAGTCATTTACTTGGAAAAATAATGTAGACAATCAATCCTTAACCTGATGAGCGTTGTCATGGTTGCAGCAACAGTAAGAGTACCTGAAATAAATGAGCTATTTCCACCGTTAGGGTTAGTTATTGATGACTAGTTCTTGAAGAAGATTCTGATTCAGGCAATAATATGAAATTGCATGCTTTTCGTTTTCTTGCGATTCCTTATTGGACAGTCAACGTTATAGATACCTAGGAGCAAGTTAGTGTTCCTAATAATGGCCGATGATAGTATCATCAAGAAGTTGTATAATTAAGTAAAATGCGTGCATAAATGCTGACTGTAAATAGTAGATGACGCCTACAGAAAATAGTAGAAGTACAAAACAAAATATAGATGCTGACTACAGGTGATCAATCATCATCACTATAGCCCATCGGCCTTGTACACGATGGATGTTTGTCCAGGGTGGCGCTCAAGTTCGCAGAGATTAAGATGAACACGACGCGGCACCACCTCGAAGAACCTCGAAGAGTACGAGAGAGCAAAAAGATTGAAATTGGCAAAAAAGGTTGAAAACGAACTCACCAAACTTTTGAATTAGGTCACAAAAAATCCCTATCGCGATAGAAAGACGAGATGAAGACGCTCGTCCCCGCAGTAACCTTTGAGCTAACAACAAACAATCCGTATCCGAATAGACTGACAGAGTGAAGCCCAAAAAATAACATGGAAATCACTGATAATGAGTCCACCACCACCTAACAAACACAGATAAAAAAGATGCCATTCACTAGTGCGGAGCTCGTGGAGCGTTTTCCAGCCGGGTCGCATGACGAAGTCCGCTTTCTCAAGGCCATCAAGGATGCTCAAGTATTTTATGGTGGCAAATTATCCGGTCATGAGATCGAAATCGCGTTTGTCCGAAAAGCTGTCCCAGATGCACTGGAACACGTGTCGGATGAGGCGGTGCGGAACGCTTTTAGAGGTAAGAGGATTTTTTTCTACTTCTATTTTGGTTTTCTTTGCATTTTCTTTTCACATTAACTGCCTGCTAGAAGTTCCTAGGCGGATCTTTCTTTTTGACTTATATGCAATTAGTTTGATTTCTACGACGTCTACGCGAAGGTCCACAGCATGCTTTCACCTTGAGCATCATATACAAATCCCAAATCTCCTCCAGCTTCTCCTATTCCACTTCCTTCATTCCTTTCCTCATTCGTTCCTATACAACAACAACTACAACATCAACTACCTCATCCCGCCTACTGCAGATCTCGGCGTCCTCAAGTCTTCTATGACAGAGAGCGAAGATTTCCGCAAGGATTTCGATCGAGCAGCAGTGGCCGTACAACGCAAACTGGGTCCTTTGAATGGCACTAAACGAGAGTTGCTCTCTGTCCGCCAAGGATTCCCTGACAGACTCAGAGAATGGACCGATGTTAACATTCTGCAGGAATTGGCCCAAGTGCCGGATCTAGATAGCAAGGGCATAGTGAAGAAGCTGTTTGCGGTTGCGGCGAAAGAGATATCAGAGAAAGAGATGGGGGATGAGATGCATTATGTTGGTGATCTGGAAAGACGATGTCTCTAGGTGAATTCAAGTTCAACTTCAAGAACTTCAGGTTCGTCAAAATCTTCGAGATTAGAAGACGAAGGTCTTGAATCCTTGTCGTTGTCCCACTCCACCTGGTGCTGTTTCTCAATTGTCCTTTTCCCGCGCTCTAATCACTAAGGGTACAGCTTGCCAGAGGTTTCTTCCTCGATGGTTTGGAATTGTGGACGGAAGCCGAGATCCTGCAAGCTCTGGACCAAGAAATGGCGATGGAGATGAGTATATCTGGCTCGTATATTTGGTGTTGTGCGATTTGAATTTATGAGCATCGTGAACATGATTCATTTGTGCCGATCGATCACTCAACGTCAACCTACCTACCATTTTTATAGAAATTTCTTGTCGTGTCTTCAAGGTCAGGAAGCATGTGCCTTTCTTTCAAGTAACATTAACCTCGATCACCGATCCACCCATGATCTTCAGGTTTCGAGCCCGTGAGTGTGGCACTAACGAAGCATCCAGTAAAGCTTGCGTCGGGTGGCAGCACGTCTAGCACGTTCTACAAATCCGAAACCAAACTCCAAGAAGCGAAAAGACGGCAGACTGCACGTGAAAACGAGAATGCTTTAGCGAAGAAGAAGCTTGAAGAAAGAAAAGCTATGAATGCGAATCAAAATCAGCATAGTAGCACATCGCTCAAAACGCGCACGGGAACAACATCACAAGGGAACAAAGCGGGCAAGAACCTCAAGAAGACATCGTCTTCACCGGATTCGGGACATCATCGGACAATGGGACCGCCGCCTTTCCTTGAACGACCATTAACGAAAGCAGAACTGCTGAAGAAGCTAGATAAGGAAGAAGAAGAGAGGCTGTGGAATTTTGACATAGTAAACAGATACGATGCAAACCAATGGAATGGACCTGGGACCAGTGCGGATAAGCTGGATTTGCTTTTATGGAAAAACAAAGATCCCAATCCGATGATTGCCACTCATATGTCAGTATTATCCGCAATTGGGTTGTCCCCATCGATTTGGGAAATCAACTAGAGCAACAATTTCGTTCCAAAGTAAGTAACATATTTATAGAAAAACAAAAACCTTAACATACTGGAGATGGAGAACCCTTCCCATAAGCGATGACCTTCTAATTCGCGCACCTCAGCCACGTCTCATGAAGGACGGCGTGGACTACACAGCTCAAGAATCCCAAGCACGGCAGAAGTGTCACGCCAGCATCAACGAGTGGGTGGCAATACGCGCGCCGCCTAACGTTGAAGAAGCACCCCTTCATAACTTGAGTTTGTCTAGAGAGTTGTTACAGACACAGGAGTTTATCGAGGGGAATGCAGATCATCATGATGGTAACCGTAACGACGACCGCAATCAGCTGCATGATCAAGATGATATCAGTAGTGAGCAGATGCGGAGAATACAAAAGCGAAGGGAGGACTTATTGGCGGCGAGAGATAGTTAAGGGCAAGGTCTGAAGTTCGGTCACATCAGCGTCTCATCATGTTTTTTCCTGGGTTTTCCCTGTCTAATAAATCGTGTATGTTGCGTTAGCATTCCTAAAGTACTTCTACAATCTACAACCTCCTCATCCTCTAACACCCAGCTGCCACGCTCCAGAAAGATATCCTTGAGCAAAAGAGGGCAGCAGCTAGAAAAATGGCTGTATTAGGTCAGAAGCCGGACAGTCGCGCTCATTTCATTGACCGACGTGCCCAAGAACTTCTCGCTGGGAGACTCGGAGCAGCACAAAGTCTCGAAGGCCAAGAGCAACAGCCAATGAATCAACTGAGATATTCTAGTCCGCTGACGACTGGGAGATCATCTTAAGGCTTACTCTACAGTCCATGCTCTGAAGCATGATTTTTTCCTCATGACTTCTAAGAACAAAACGTCTCCGAGATGAGCATCTACGTACAATAACATTGATATGGGTGACCTCTAATCATCAGCGACAACGGGAATGATGAACACAATGCCGATAGAAGGATCCATTTTCCTTCAAAATCTTGAAAAACGGCAAGCGTCTGCAACAGGAGCTGAGCCGCCGAAGCCTCCAAGGTCAGTGGATATGGATGAGGAGTTGATGCATGTCAAATACCAGTCTACCTTACAAGATGAAGCTACTTTTATGGGATTTTCGCCACCAGATCGGCTAACTGGCACATTAAACACAGCGGCTTCCAGCTCAGAACAAGACGACAAGGGTATACGAGAAAAACCACTTGCGCGTCAGTTCTTGGCTAGTTACGCTGGCATTCTTGGGAACTCGCCTCCGCAACCAGCTAGAGACCTAGTTCGCGGAGTGCAGCAAAATCAAAGGCGGTCTAGCGTTAGTCGACAGAGTCGTGCTAGTGTCGAAGCGTTGCGTGATATGAGGTCTGGTCGCGACTCAGCGGTGGTTGAAGATGCGTTGCTTGCGGTGAGAAAGTCTGTGCAGCAAAACATTCAGCAAGCAGCGGCGATGAATAGCTTAGGCAGTCCTGCTGATGCTGGCGCAGAGGGAGTATTGTTTTTCGGAACCACAGGCGCTCGAGAATCAAACTCAAGGCCAAGTGCCGCTACTTCCTCTTCCAGCACCAAAAAACGTAAAAGCACGTCGATTGTGGAACAATTTTGGCGGCCAACAGGAGATGCGACTGGTGACGAAGATGATGAACTCGGTTTTGGACTCAATGTTGATGGTGGCGAAATAAATCCTCAAAAGTCGATATTTGAGGAAGTAGTCTGTGTGCCTGAAGTAGTCGTTCGAGGCACAGTGGAAGAGGCGAAAAGAACATCTATCAAACTGTTTTTGAATCGGGGTGCAGAAGCAGAAGTAGAACAGAAACAGAACATCAGAATGAGTGAGAAGAACGACCCAAGAAAGAGTACGGTTGGCACTTTTCGACAGGGTAGTACTAGAGAAACCGATGACAAGGAAGTCAAAGAGAAGAAGAGCATAATAAACAGTATCAACGGAGACAACGTGAATAGGCGTGCTTCTGCAGCAAGTATTGGGGGAGCAAGTGTTGCGCGAACAACTAATACAGTAGTGCGAGGAGTAGGAGGCGTAGGAGACCCACAGCGCAATATTCCAGACAGTAGAGACACAGGAGTAGAGACACAGGACTTTATCTCTTTCAACAATGACATTCAAGTTCAACTGCAAGTTCCTGCTCAACAACCTCGGGACCAGCGAAAGAAGTCAACCTTATCACCACGTACGACAACTCCCTCTCCAGCGGAGAGGGGCACTTCTCCAAGGATCACTTTTGACACAGCAGCACAGAGCATGCGCGCTTATTCCATAACGAGGACAAGTGTAGAGCATAGTGGCAAAAGAATGCATGCAACAGAAAGGCGATGGACCTCGTTTGCGCCAGCTAGCAGTCTTGGTGAAGATAGTCTTCGTGACAGCACTGATACTAGAACAACCAAGCAAGAACAGCATTCCGTTTATCCTCAAGTAGATCCTCTGCAACCCTTGGATGACATGTTCCTGTCTTTGGTTCCTACTTCGCCTAGTACGGTGGGAGGAAATAGCATGGAGGCGCTGGAGGCTCAATTGTTTGCTGAAGATGAGAACGAAGGAACTACTTCCATTACTTAAGGCTTCTCCTATTCCATCTCCGGAAGCATCTTGGAGACGTTTTCAAGGGGGAAATGGATTCGGGATGCTGCTCAGGATGGATTAGGGTGAGCTCCAAACTACCGACGAAGTCTCTCTGGTTACTTTGATAGAAAGGTTGTATACGATGGCGTATATTACGAGAACGCCGAGTACTTCCACGACGAGAGGTTTGGAGAGCGAGGAGAGGACCAGGTCGCCTGTAACTCAGGCCGATTTCGCGACACTAGTCGGCCTTTCGATGCGCTTTGCACTGGAATTCGCAGCCAAAGCCGATTCCGATGCTAGGTCGTGGAAGAAGCGGCGCTCTTACCTGGATCTAGTAGTAGATTACGCGGAAATTTTGCTAGATGATAACGGTCATCCTGTGTTGCTGAAAAGAGACAACTTGCCCTTTTTCTTGGCGTACATGAACGAATACTTGGATTTTTTTGGCTCTTTCTGGGCAGAAGTTGTACGTCACAATGTTGCTGCTAGTGGAGGTCAAGGTGGACAAGACATTTTCGAACTATCAGATGGCACTCTTCTGCGACGTGATCCACAGAGTACGGTGTTTTACTACGACCCTAGTACAACTAGTAGTAATTCGAAAAAAGAACCAAATGCTGCCGCAATAAATACCGGAGAACGGCATCTCCTAGCTCCCATCGTTCGTGATGACAGTATTACACTTACAGTCATTCAGAATCTAGATAGCAATGCGCGTGGTTTTGTCCTATTCGAAGAGTTGGCGGACTATGTGGTGTCGAGGAGAATGCAGGACGTAGGAGGAGTAAAAAGTAGTCCCGAACGAGGGCTAAGTAGCAGTCCGGAACGGGGGTTAAGTAGGAGTAGGAGTCCTGAGCGAGGGCAATCGCAATCTGCAAGTCCTGATCCTGCTGAAAGAGGACAGATCGAAACGAGTCCGGTAGTTCCTGGAGCTGGAAGTGACGTTGTTCAGCAGCAATCTTCGCACGTAAAAACAGCAGAACCAGAAGCAAGAACACAAATAGAAGAGCAGAATCTACTCATAGCGGAGATCGCCACAACGCCCTTTCCCTTACCTAATCCAAGACTTGATGCAACTGAAGCAGGTCCTCAAGTATCTTCTTCAAGAGCGTTAGACACTCGAACTACAACCCAATATATCCCGGCTGCTCCAGCCAGAGAGGCAAGTAGTAGCAAAGAATCAATGTCGACGTCGAGGATGAGCAAAAACTACATTCTCGGAGCGTCAACACAGGATGGACATGGAGGGCAATCACCTGAGGCTACCCAATCGGGAGACCCTTCTCCACCTGCTCCAGCAACTGCGACAGAATCAGAAGTTGGAGACTCAACAACTACTACTACAGGAGGAAGAACTACCATCACCAGAGATTCGACCAATCAGAGAGCTTCTGCAGATGCAGGATCCGGCGTATCGAGGAACTCTACATCTAGCTCTCCTACCACCTCTAGGAACTCTACCTCAAAAGGTGTAAGGAGGAAGCGAAGCACGAAAAGACTATCATCCACTGGGGATCTCCGGTTGGTGTCTTATGGCGAGCAGCTAGAGGTCACCGACAATGAGATGGAGGCAGTAGATATAGGAAGCTTTTTACAACACTCCGCATCTGAAAACGAAAAGGAAAACGAAGCTGTGCCTGTAGATGATCAAAAGGAAAACGGAAGTGGTGTTGTAGCTGTAGATGATCAAGAAAGACAAAAACAAACGCCTGTACAACTGCAAGAACTGGACGCAGAGCCACAAGCGATGAAACAACCGACATCACCATCAACGCCAGGGTTCGGAAGTAGTGAGGGCGCATTCGTGGATAGAAGAGGCAATGCCAGTAGTAGAACCGGAGCAGGAGAACAGCCAGCACAAGGTCCTCAAGGCGTACAAGAACAGGAAGAGCCACGTTTTTCAGGCAAAGTCACCTGGACAGAGATCGCGGCAGCGTTACCTCACCAGATCGAACAGCATCAGAATGGGGACACATCGCTATTTCGGTTTCTACGTGACACAGCTTCGTCCAGTCGGGATAGCCTACATCTCGAAATGTCGCATTTCCAGACGAAAACATCTCCTTCTTCATCTTCGACTTCCGATATAGTGCCTGATCGCTTGTGGGCCTGGATCTTGGGTCGGCAGGATCTGCTGGAAGATAGTAGGAAACAAGGCGAACAGTCGTCGAATTCTTCTGGGGCTTCCACCTCTTCATCAACATTAACAGGCTTGGCAAATGCCATTCCACTTGGCATGCATTCCTTAGAGCATGCTTTTGTGTATGCGAACGAGCTTGAGCCGAATCCTACACAAATGTCGGAAACCTCGTTCTTCCACTTTCTCATGTATCTCCTGGACTTTTCACAACTTTTCGTCATCTTCTTGGGCGAAGAAAGTATGCACAGCAACATCTTGAAGAAGCCCAAATCAACAAGAACATCTTTTTCATCAACTTCTCCCGCCTCAGAAAACCAACTCCTATCCCTCGACTCCGACTTCGAAGTGCGAACAATAACTCTTGAGTTGTATCACCAGAAGCTAGGACCACCTCTGATCGCGTGGGGTCTGCCTGAAGAAAAGCTAGCTGTAGATGCTCATACAGTGGAATTTTTCTCTAAGGGACTCGTAGAATACCCAGACTTTGCTGATTGGGCTATTCGGAGGGCAGGCGAACAGGATGTTGAGATCCACTAAAACTAAAAGCAGTAAGTGTAGTAAGGATGATATTAAGATTAACGCTAACGCTAAGTACGTGTACGGATAGGGATACGTCGGAAGCTAAGACTAAGTAAGAGAAAAAATCAAAGTGAAGAGAAAATTAGTTGCATCCGCTAAAGAACCAGAACATTGATATCCAAGATGAGTTTGAGTTCATTGGTGGTAGTTGTGAACCTAGATCAGAATAGCTCGAGTTCTTGTGGTTGTGAGTGTTGATTTGAATAATCTTCATTTCTCTTCTTGTTCTTGAAAGTTGTAATTTTTTTTCATCGTCAATTTCTTTCCTCAACTTCGCTGAACGTATTAAGAAAGCCAACCTGTCGTTCACCGACAACAAACGTGTATCACCACATTGACTAAAAGGACGCCAATGCCATTACTCATTGTTGGACGCTCTGGGTAGCTTATTGCACACTCGCTTCTGAACCGAATAATGACGCGCACGCGATGTCTCATGTTGTTGAGATTGAGTCATGTTGTAGTTGATCATGTACTATGTAGATGTACTTGTACATGCTACTTCGTACTACTTCTGCATGTACATATATTTAAGTAGAATTGTAATCACGACACCAGGTGCTAATTGTAATTGTCCCCACGACCCAGCTGCATGCAGGTGCAGTCTTCTACCACTGTTCTCGGTGTTCTACAGATTCTGGCGAAGAATCAATGCGAATGGAAATCGTCGGGATCAAATTGAGGTGCAAGTTGGATGTCCACCTATGATGTATCGAGCGACGGTCTTCTTGAGTGTAATACCATGAAATGCTATAATCAAGCGTTCAAGTGAAAGTGATGTCATTCACGAATTTATGCTTCCGGTCAAGCAGTTTGATCAAGAAAAACAAGCGTGAGTAAGAATAAGATACGTTTTTTGCTGTGCATGTTGTCACAGTTATGCATATAGCAAGTAAATCAATGTCTAATGTAGCAGGACGACGCGGTACCTTTTGTGCTTCCACAAGCTTTGATCCACCTTCCATTCCCTAATCGTACCTATCATACATACTGCACGAGTAACCCGCCTTCTAGTACTCCTTAGCACCTAATCCTCCACCTACAACATCATGATGCGTACATCCGATAGAAATCGTGCTCCTTCTGCTCCCGTCCTTTCGGGTTCTTCTCCGTCTGCATCCTCGAGCAGCCGACCCTTCGTCCTCGTCGTCGGACGCCCCAACCGTTCAAAGCGAACGTTTTTGAACTGGTGCGCTAAGGATGAAAACTTTCTACAACCTGCTAGCGGAACTACGTCGAAGACCACTACAGCATCCAAGAAAAACAAGAACGCTTTACTTAAGGCTCAACTTTCGTTGGTCATTATAGATGTTGGTCACTGAAATCGAAGAGGGCTCCCTTGAGAGAACAGGGGAAAAGTGAGGGAAAACAAGTAGCGAGATGTCGGGCCCCTCTCGTTCAGAGTCAGTGACCCATGACTGCTGACCTTTAATTTACGACCTGTGATCATTAGCGACGATCCAGTGAGTTTTGTGAGAGAAGATTTAGACGACCTGGTGATAGAAGTCGAGAACAATGATCCAAGAGGTGTTGTTGACCAAGGAGCAAGTGTTAAGGCTCACATATATTCATCTTGAGAGGCATCTTTGGGTTCCTTTTTAAAGGGAAAAACGCGTCAAAGATGCGCTTCAAGATGAATATCGGCCAGGCCTAAAAGTGGAAGTCGTGCTGTCGCTGGCCTTGGCGGTCAAGACAATGGGGAGGAAGGAGATCGAGATACTTCTTCTGCGGCAGGACCTTCAACATCAGTCTCTGATGACCTTCCACCCTTAGAAACTGCTCGAGCGTTATCTGTAGCAGACTGTGTCGAAGCAATACGAATACCAAAAAACAAGTTCGAAGACAGTAACATATCCTCGAGCTCCTCGTCTAGTACTCCAACATTCGTTCTTTTACCACTGCTATCAACTGAAGAGCAGCACTGCCCAGCTCTCTGGTGCGACCCGAAGAAGGTTAAAACTCTTGGCGCTGGAAGCATCGAAGACGAGGGCAACAATCAACGCAGAAGCACACGATTTTTAGGGCTACTAGAACGAGCATCTGGCGTTGTACTTGGGAGCGGAGGAGGTACTGATGGTGGCGAACGGGACGACGTCGCTTTAGATGACAAGGATAAAACCTCCACTCGGAAACCATCAGGCTCTGGCATCGAGAATCTATTATCATTTGCCGGTGGTGGTGGGACTGCTTCTAAGCTGGCCATGCTTGGGAAAATAAGCGGCGTAACAAATGTCATAGAAAAGTCGAACGAGATGGTAAAGTCAGCAGTGTCAGACGTAGCAGGCTTCGTCTCGCATCAAGGGGCTTCGCTCTTGGATTTATGAATGAATGATCACGATTCAGGAGGTTGTTGAGACTCGATTGAAAAACATGGAAATATGAATATGATAGAAGCAATACTAATTTCAAGTTCTTGCAGTACTAGTTGTTGTGTAAGTATCTACTACATGATCTGTTGCTCAATATTAATAATTCTTCATCATGCGTAGTTTACTTTACCATGTTTCCCATAATCAAGATCCCTACCTCTAATCCCTCAAGGCGCCCACTTACTCGACAATGCACAACTCTTGTCTTCCGAACTCGAGGACCTACTAGGCGAATTCGAGTCGCCCGAAGAAGCCAGGGCCATGTGGCGCACCCTGGTTCAGTCTTTAGCTGCGCAGGCGTCTGCAGTACTGCTTTTCGTCGCTGAGCAAGATGCAGAGACACTCCGCACAACAGATTTGCTGGAATTGTTGGGCACTAGTGAGAAAAAGTTGCACATCTTCATTCCCAAGTGGGATTTGAAGTCCTCCAGTGTGCGCGAGCAAGAACGCAGCGCTTTGAGGTCTGCGGTTTTCCAGCATGATTTGGGTGGCAACTTGACCCTCAAGCCAGTTGGGTACGAGGCGTCGCGCGAAACGTTCATGTTTGACGATCTGTTGACCTGTGGGGAGACCGGTGGAACGAGTACGACTCCTAGTCCCGAGAGCGCCAATACCGATAAACAGGACAACTTCTTAGTCTGGAATGGTCGAAGGATCAAAGTACCTCCATCTTCACAATCAGGTGCAGGTGGGGGCACAGGAGGAAGTGTCATGAGCTCCTCTAGTTCAATTGCAGCTTCAAAGCGGTATTCGTACTCACATTGTCGCGATGTAGTGAAGGAAGCTCTATCTCCTGAAAGTCTCTCTTCGAAGAGACAGCTCGCACAGGTGAAGCAAAATAAGGCACGCATCCAAGACCTTGAACACAGGACAGAAGCGCGCCGTCAAATCTTAGCAAAGCGTCGTGCTGCGGAGGCAGAGAAACGAAGAAAAAACGCACTGGAAGCGAAAAGAGCGTCCTCAAATGGCGGGAAAGAAGCCGACGAAGACAAGAACAATGCTTCAGGTGGTGCCAAAGCAGGCCAAAATAATGCTGGAGGTAGGCGAAAATGTTGTAGTTGTACGGCGTGCTGCCTGTTTTGTTGGAGGAATGCAAAGTCTTGTGCGATCGCTTTTCTAGTGTTACTCATAGCTTTGGTAATCAGACGAAACTTCGGATGGCTGCTGCGGTAGGTACGAAATTGAAAAGCGTGACCCCCTGACAATGCCACTCACGACTCAAAACCTTTCCTATTCAGATTTACGGCCTCCAAAAGACCTGTCGTTGAAGAGTAACTAACCTTGATATATGATGAAGTATAATCACAAACTTTGATCTGCTTGTTCTGTTGTACTGTGGGTCTCTGGAGCTTGCAGTACTAGCCCGAAACTCGAGACGTTACGCTATCTACCGGATTTAAAGGCATACATCGACCACGCGTGGTGAAAAAAAATCTTGATCTTGTTCGCTGTTCTGTAACACAAGTCTAAGGTAAGGACATACGTCCTTGTAAAAATCGGTTGAAGGAGTTCATTCGCAACCACAGCAGGTGAGGGCATGCGGGCATGATGTGCAATCGAGAGATCTAAAGTCTCAAATTGCACTCGTCAATGAATAGTCATCATCGTGTTCCTCACTGAAGATCGGTAGTGTATGAGCGAAAAGTCGGAGTTTCGGTTCGGCTTTACTGCACCATCGGATTTCTGTTCTCTGCATTCCTCGATCTGTCTCTTGAGTGTTTTCGGTGCAGCTTCGATCTCTACTTAAGTACCTGAAGGCAAAAGCTTCCTCTCGTGGGTGCTACGCTTGGCATGATGAGACCCATGCTGTCATCCCGTGTGTTGTATTTCGGTTTGTAGACATGAGAAAAATTCATGTTTTTGATACCCAAGTTGCTGATGCTGTTGCTGCTGCACATCTTTTGTCTCTCCATGATAACTAAAAAATCTGCTCGTCAATCATCAAAATGAAAAATACGCACGTAACGGAAACATGATTTTTTCTCATTTTGCCGCAGATGATACCTCGACAGAGTAAAAGTCCTACCCTAGTCGAAACAGCAAATACAACGAAAATGAGTCGTTCTTCCACTCCCTCTGGCTTCAAACGTGTGTCTGAACGCGTTAACAACTTCTATTTGGTTGAGCATCCGCCACCTTACTACCCCATCGCCGGATCGCAAGAGGACCGTGATACGATTTCGGAGATCCACAAGGGCCGTTTGTACTTGACGAATTGGCATGGAGCGGAGGATAGAGTTAAGAAGCTCAATAGAATAACAGTTATATGTTTATAGTATTTATTATGTTTTGATTGGTTTTGGTTGGTTTGATTCTTTTTCTTTGTTTGAACAGCTGCGACAAGGTGCTTTGATCTTTTTTGATATACATGGTCGCTCAGTCTTTGATATCTTCGGTCTCCTACCTTGCTTCTGTTCTACTTCTAATCCCCAAGAGCTCCTCCGCTTGAAAGTAACGCACATTCTACAGTGTGGGAAAGAGTTTAAGGACTACAAGCCTTTCGACAAAGAGGAGATCGTGCAAAGGGACAGCATGGCGAAGTACAGCGCCACCGATCCTCGGAGCAAACCGAAAGTTTTGCCAAGGATTGATTACTATCAGATTAATGTAAGCGACGACGAATTGGAAGCTGATGTGATGCAAGACTTGCTAGATGAAGCAGTAGAGTGGATTTATCGCGCTTCCGCTTTCAAACCAGATGAAGATTAAGGCTAGAGCGACTTCATCCTTGACTGCATCGATTGAACCCTGAGGAAAAGTATGCTCGAATTCTTGTGCTATAGCAGTGCAGCTATACTCTTTCTCCAGGGGCTAGTATCTAATCGAAAAATGAAAATAAGCGAGTTACTGACGCTGAAATAAGGGACGCAATTTCGAAAGGCTACTCTTCCTTGTTCAGTATCTCGGTCATTCTCGTCTGTTACTCGGTTATTTCAGTTTTTCGAGTACTATTTTCTATGCTATCTCCTGCAAGGATAAGGAAATAGCTGAAAGATGAACTCCAAAGTGGTCTAAGAAGACACGGAAAAACAAGAGGTCCAGCCGAATTGCGTACTAGTTCACTGCGCTGCTGGTATTTCACGGTCTGCGACGATCATACTGGCATTTTTGATCCGTCACAGAGGATTGAGCTTGATCTATGAAGAATGTTGGCATGATGATGATGATGATGATGATCAAAGTGGATAGTCGGATTAGAAGTGCACGCTGGTTGGGGTTTCATTTACTTTTGTAATAGTAGGAGTAGAAAGGCCCGTTCAAATAAAGGTATGATGCCACTCATTGAGAACGAAGATATGGGAATGTCGTTGCACCTGAGTAAGAGGGGGCCAAAGGAGGGGAGCGACATTCCCCTATCGACATTCTCAATGAGTGGAAGCATTCAATAAATCAAATTCAAATCAGAATATCTTGTCTTCAAAGTATCTCTCAATTCAGAACTCGCACTCTCAGCATTTTGCGCGTGCGAATCAGAGACCCCGTCCAACTAGTACTCACTCGATCTCTAACTTCAGCAAGCCTTCCAGCACGTGTATGCCAAGAGACGAGTGATTTGGCCCAACCATGGCTTTATGGGCGTACTTCAGCGCTACGAGCGTAAAGTCAGACTCTTAGGAATGTCTGCGGCGAAGAGGGCTGTGGTCGAGAGATCCTTGAAGCTGCCAACTATCACCTTGCGCGATTACACCGATTGGACGGATACGAACTACGGATGTTACCCGAGAGCAAAAGAGTTGGATATTAAGGCCTGCTGATCATAATGCAATTGAAGACCGAGCACAAGAGCAAGAAATACAATAGAATTCCATTGAATTCATAGAATTCCTCTAAAGATTGAGACGGCCTAGACCATTTGGAGGCTGGCTTGCCAGCTAGCGTGGCGCGAAGCATTGTCAGGGAGAGGGAGCTAAGGGATCGAAGTTCGCGGAATAGCTCTGCCTCAAGAAGGCATGCTGCTTTGCAACGGAGACAGAGTTCACAGTTATGGAAGTCGAGATGTACCAGCATTGTATAACTGTGTGAGAGTGGGGAGATGAAATTTTTCCGCGAAGAACATCGGATTCCGATTCGGAGTTAGTGTCAGTCACTCGCTTTCTCGTTTAGTATGCAATGTGAAAGGTAGTGTCATATACGTTCCAATCCCTCGTCTATCTTCCGCTGCTCAATATTCGTAAAGAAGTCACTACAACACAACATTTACAAACATCAACGAGTAACGAAGATAGAATAAAGTACCGAAGCACAACATATGCTCACTCTAAGACTTCGCGCACGGTCCAGTAGCAACTCTGCAAGTCCTCCCGTTCTCGGAAGCAACCGTGGTTTGGGTTCAAGGCGATCCATGGAGTCCAGAAGTCGACCTAGCATGAATGAAATGTTATGGATGGGACTCCTGTGTAAGTGTGTGTGATGCGTGCGTTTGTGTAGTAGAAAGGGCCATGTCCATCGCTTAGCCAGTTTCTTAGCCTTCAGCTTCACTTCTGACCTTCTAACTTTATACCCTACTAGAGTACTTGTTAGACATATTTACTCTGAATGAGAGAAATAGATAATATAGCAAAACTTCTAAGAACCGTCCGCGAGCTGCAAGAGCAGGAGAAGCAGGTTGACACGGAAGTCGTCACGGATAAGTATGGAAGGAAGAAGGTAATGACCATCACCTGGGAAGATGAGTGGGACGATCAGAAAAGTGATGAAGATTCGTTTTCATCCTCACGAAAGAAAGGCGACTTCATTCCCCCTCCTGCAATAAGAAATACATCCATCAGCTCAACATCACCAAAAGCTGCGCGAAGGGGGTCACTCGAGTGGTAGTCAGTGTGAAAGCACTTGTTCTAGCTGCTTGAATCCATTTTGGTAGTGTGAACAAGATCTTCAAAGATCTAGTACTGTCATTAATGTGCCTGAGTTGGGCAACACAAACACTGTCATTAATGCTGTAAAATTGAGATTTTTTCAAGACCGCCCGACCGCGAAAATGAATATGAAATATATCTGTAGTTGCTGTTGGGCAAGATGAATATGATTACTCATTCTCGTGACTCGTGTTCCCTACAAGAACGCAATTGATTCAAGGCGCGACGCAATTGATTCAAGGCGCGGCACAATTGATTCAAGGCGCCTTTGAAATTTGAAGGAGTCTTGTGTGTTGTTTCACCAGTTGTGGCCGATGAACATAGAAATGCGATCAGGACGTTAATCAATTGTCTGCTGCCGGGACTTCTGATTCCTCCACTGTCTACCAGCAAGAGGTGGATGTGTTAATTCAATTTGGATTTCTTGTTTCCCTATTCGTTTCAGTTTCCGTACACCAACTAACATTTTCTAGTGTATAATCTGCCACATGATTCATATTTAGGACTATTGGGAACGACAAGAAGCACAGTTGTTGATAGTGACATCATCCCTTTTCACTGGATGATTGCAGTAGACTGATGATCTTCCTGCTGCTGCTAGTACCTTATTTGATCATAGGTTCCTTCTTCTCCCTCTCTCTCTCTCCTTCTTCGGATCATCAAATCGGAGACAAGTGACATGACATCTCTCTCCTTCTTCCATTAATCATTCTGGCTCTTTTTATCTCACGCTTAACCCGTTTTTTGATCGTAGTTGTTGTACTAGGCTCAATCCCAAAATAAGTAAGCAAAATGGCGATGTTTTATCATGCGACGCCTGCTAGAAACAAGGAGAGCATCGAAAGAAACGGGTTTTTTCCAGGATCGCACGGATACGATGGTGCTGGTATCTATTTTTGTAAGAGACCTGAAGCTGCTATCAATCGAGCCAGGATCCGTCGTCTTATGGCCTAGGACTCATGCGTATGGATCACTACAGAATAGAAGCAAGTATCACTTGTCATCTTCTAGCTCTAATGGAAGTGATGAGCTCAAGAACCTCAAAAGAAGCTAGAATAGCAAAAAGTTGCTCGTCAACCACCATATTATAATTATCCATATTAAAATTATAATATGAGTTGATGTACAAAACCATAACCATAAGCCTATACATCGTGATTCTCTCTTCGATGTTGTGTTATCAAACAACGAATAATTCGCGTTGTGCGGCGACGGCGTTGAGCCAGTTTATCCTATCGGAACTAAAGAAGAACTACCATAAGGAGATGGTGATGGAGAAGGTATTTCAGTTCTAAAAATGATGAAGATGCTGTCGTATTCGCATGCCAGATTCCGGACTCAGACTCAGTGGTGTCCAATGTTAACAACCAAGACAATTTCAAGGTCGAAAGCGAATATTATGGAACACGACCTGGAATGATTATTTATTTTCCTAGTGCAGGGTTTGACTGTCTTTTGATTAATCGCCGTCCTCTAGTTCTTTCACATTAAATTTGACTCAACTTTTTCTTATCGTAGTTTGGTGTTTGATTAAGTGGACTTCATCTCCTCTAATGTCTTGAAAAGGTAGTATCAAACAAGACCACGAACACGATGTTTACCCAAGAAAATCTCTAAAAAGACAGTGATCGCATCAAGATCGTTGGGACTTCGCGCTATGATGAAGATGAAGTTTCGCAAATCAAGTGCCGCTCAACACAAAACGTTAGAAGTCGCGTTTCGAAACACGTAATTCCACACCACCATGGCCAAGACAACCCAGAAGAGAAGGTCCAACTAGGTTACAATGGTCTTATTGGCACTATATCTGCAGCTGTTATTGGCGGGCTTTTTTTTGGAGTACCCGGAGTTTGTCTCGGTGCTGGTGTCGGTCTGTGGGCCATGAACTAGAACTAGATGGTGGGAAAATGAACGAGCCAGAAAATGAGTAGATATCGGTTATTTTTATCCCTTCGCTGAGTAATTACTATGTATTACCGCATTTATTGATTATATCTCATCACTTTTTTTTTTGATTTTTGACTTTGAGAACGGCAGCTCATTCAACAAGGCTTCCGCTTTGCGGTGCCCTCATTCCGAAAAGATTTCTCCAGTATGCCCTCATTCACTCTACGTAACTGCACGCGAAGAACTGCAACCTTCAACATGCTCATGACATTTTGAAAATTCGATCGTCTAGATCTAGTGTTCTTCTAGCCAAAATTTTTAACATCATGAGGCGTGTGAAACTACAACATGGATCTATATCATGTCTTCAATTAGGAGCCGAGAGAGACAGACACAGAGACCACCAGAAATACTCGAGCTGCGGATTGTTCCTGATGAGTAACATTGGGAATCTCAACTACGAACAATAAGTTGATGTACTACTTGATTGTAAAAATCGACTTGTACTACAAATAGGCGAAAGATGTTGATGATAAAGAAGGAGTCTAAATCTACGAAGAAGAAGAAGAAGTGCTTCTGTGCCCCTTTTGGTGGCCAGAAAACTGCTCTGTGCCCCTTCTGGAGGCCGCTCTTTCAGTAGCCCCAGGATACAAAAAAAAAGAAAACCTCCTAGTTTTCGATCATCTCTAAAATCGGCGGGTTCGTAGAGTATAGCGTGATAGAGGAACACTAGGTTCCGCCTGCCGCCGGTTTGCGAACTGGATAAAGCTGAGGCCGCTCTTTCAGTAGCCCCAGGATACAAAAAAAAAAAAAACTTTTTTCTGAAATCTCCAAATCCAAATCCAAAACTTGACTTGATAAGAAAATGTCGCTTTTTTCCAATTTTTTGGAGACCGCGCGATCGCACACGCTGGAGTTCGTTGATTCCTTTAAGGAAGAATCCGCTCAGTTACAGAAGGAGATCGGAAACCAGCTTGAGGCAATTAGCCACAAGCTCCCTGTTCCTGTTGTTGGAGGCGCAAATAATGGAAAAAGAGATGGAGGAGCAGTAGAAGGACTAGAAGGTGAAGAGAATGACGAAAAAGAAGCAGGACTAGCAGAAGAAGGAGAACGAGAAGGAATAATAGAACAAAATCAAAATCTAAATTGTGATGTTGAGGAGCATCAAGAAAGTGCTGGTCCTGTCTTGCTTGAAAAAGAAGATCATCTAGTTGTGCTACAACTGCCAGAGTCATACCTACCAGATATAAAGAAGGGTGAAGAAAATCACACGAAAAGCCCTCAAACGGCAAGAAGTAGAAATGGATTACCTGACGCATCAGCGAGTTCTTCAGGTGAGCCTGCTAGTGCTGGACTTGGAAAAAATGATGCCGATGAGGTGAACATCGCGAAAACGGCAGATCATCGTGGAGCTCCAGCTCCCGGAGAAAAAGGAATAAAGATTCTAGAGCCTCAATTGTCATGGTCATCTTCAGCTTTTTCTCGAGGTACTTCATCGCCAATAATATCTAGTACCCGAACCGTTTTGCTGGAACGCATAAAAGAACGAATCGCCGATCTGCAGCACAGCGACGCCACTTATCTTGACCCCCTGTCAGCGGATGAAGACGAGGAGTTCAATGTCAATTTTCTCCAGAACGGAAACGGTAACGGTTCACTAGAGTCTAGTCTTCGCCATCTTAAGGGGGACAACCTACTAGAGGCTCTGATCTCAACTTGGGAAAAGAATCCAGTGGTCTCCGCCAAATTCAGGACCTTAATCCTGGCAGCCGAGATACCTCTAGCATCCCGTGATGAGTTCTGGCGACGCTATTTGTATCGCTTGAATCGATTGCGACTGCAGGAACAAGCGAGATGTGGTCTTGAAGTAGGATATAATGGTGTAGAACTAGACAAACTTTTCAGTCCTGCTACAACCAGCGTCGATGCGACCTGTTTGGATAATGTCGTTGACTTAGGTAACAATGGCGACGCTGACATTCCCGAAGTGCTCACCTGAAAAAAGGAGAAGGCATGGAAGGCAGAGAGGATTATACGGAGAACGTGACCTCCAGGAAAGAAGGTTCTTGTTCCTCAATGGGCAGGTTCTTGTACTATGTAGTGTTCTACTCGTTCTTGTGTGTGGTCTGTGCAAGCAAAATGGTTGATTTTCGCGGAGATCAGGAATCGATGATGTTGTAGCAACATGATTTGGCGGGTACAACCAGATAATGATGTAAACACGTAGTCATATAATTACAATTACTCGCACCAGCACCCAGCTGCGCATGCTTTTCATCCGTTTGTCAACATTATAAGACGAGAGAATAATCAAGAACAACATGCGGCCTTTGCTTCTCTTCGCGTTTGGGATCCTTGTCGAAATCTCCACTGCCATCTCTTTCCTTCGTGAAAGACGAGAGAAAATTCACCAACAAGAGAAGCAGCAGTCTCCTACGACTTCATCTTCGTGCTTCGATGCTGGCAATTGGTACCATGCCTTTACTGGCCAATGGCGCCATTTCAGTCAGGGAAACCAGGATGCCGTGTTGGCTTCGCTGTTTGACAAACGCAATTTGGGATTGACCAATCGGTTCATGGTAGAGTTTGGTTATCCAGCGAAAGATATCGCGTCAAGCTACGGCAATGGGCATAATTTGATCACGTCGGGACTGATGCAGAACTGGGTGTTGTTTATGAAAAAGACAAATTGATTTTGATAATAGAGATAGATGCATGTTGTGGAGATGTGTAGAAGAAGAAGGACATTGAAGAAGAAGTGTGCAGTAGCTAGGAAATAATCGAAGTACAGGATTACATCATTCTTCATCCTTTCGGAAACAGACTAGTCCATACTAGATCCAATCAATTGCAAGAATTCCTGACCTCCTAACATCTACATCCTCTTATCGTATCCGTTTCATCATCATCTTACGCTGACTTTGTTTTCGTTTTCGTTTCACACCTTCACCTTGATCTCCGTCTTCTTCGTCCCCTTCCCCCTTTCACTTCCCTAGACGGCGGCGTTTCGAACAGTGCTATCCACTTGTTTCAAGAATTTTTGACGGCTCAGAACGTAAGAGAGGTATTCCAAAAGCACCAAGTAGTCCCGGAGCCTGACTACGTCTCCGTCGACATCGATAGCTGCGATCTCTGGTTGTTTATGGCGATCACCGGAGGAGGTAAAGGCGGAGTAAGGAACAAGACTCAGAAAAATGAAGAAGAAGATCAGGGTGATGGCCGTACACATGGACAAGAACTCAATTCTGGTGCAAGAAATGAGAAGGATAAGACGAGTGCTGGTACAAGGCGAGTATTGTCATTGAGTGGCGATACTGTCAATGAGAAAACATCGACAACGAGCACAACAGCAGGAAGCGCCAGAACATCGATCCCAGCGCTTCCCGCCTATCGTCCACGCGTGATGACAGTCGAGTACAACTCGAACTATGCACTTGGCGACTTCACATCCGTTCGTCCAGCTGCCTGCAGTCAGTACCAATGGCACCAAGACAACATCTACGGTGCCAGCTTATCGGCGATTCATCTTGTTATGGAAATGGAAATAAGGAAGTTGAATTTCGGTTCTTGATATGTTGTACTTCTTTGGTTCGTGGTGCACGTGATGTTGTTCTTGTTGTACTAGCTAGAATACGAATTTATTACAACAACAACGAATACGAACTGTTATTTGTTCTCTTGTTGATTGGACTCTGTCTAGATACAGGAAGTATTCCCATTTCTAAATGCTGTTGGGGGTCCTCCATCGTCATATTCAGTCATTTCGCACTCATAATCCGCCATTTCTAACACACCCGCAGAACAACGTGGCTACAAGGTTGTGTACGTGACGCCGACCTTGGACGTTTTCCTGGTGAGAGAGGATCTTGTCTGTCCCGGAACCGCCCTACCGATTCAGACTTTTGCTAGTGCAACGGGCTTGAGCATGCACTATGCCTATACAGGCGGTCTAGGTCCACGAGAGCAGCTGGTGGGTGATGCAAGGGCAGATATTGAAGACTCGGTGTAGACAAGCGAGAGTGACGTGTAGTTTCTGGTGTGCGATATTTCAGAGTTGAACTTTTCCGAAGAAGTCAGATTATCGATACTTAGTTATATTGTTTGGTGTTTCGGTATTGGTTTTAAGAATCACTAGAAGGTACAGGTACTCGCACGATTATAAGGAACAGTTGTTATCAGCAAATGTGTACAGGTTAGTGAATAGGCATAGGGTCCTGCGTGATTTACATAAGACCCTTTTTAGAGACTCTTGTGGCGACTGCGCGGACTTCACCAAGTGCATCCCCGACTATTCCTTCACCAACGCACTCCGCAATAGCCACTGGAGGTGGAGCTTCGTCTTTGGAAAGAATAAGAAATAATCTGGCTCAACAAATAGAAGACCATTTGGGTTCATGTCAACGCGATTGTCATTTACACTAAGTGCGCTAACGATGAATCTACTTAGAAAAAACTCCAGTGGTACAACAGGTCATTTTTTTCCCGAGCACTTCAATCTCTCTTCCAATTTCCATATCTTATCCACGCACATCCACATTCGCAAGTAGACGCGGAGGCCTGAACTCCGATTGCTTTCCCTGTGTTTCTGCGAGTAGTAGAATATTCAGTTCCACCTCTTCGACCTTCGACTTCGAGTCTCTTGAGGGAAGATATGGATGACCGCTCCAACACAAAGAAAGTTTGAGTAAGAAGGTGAGGAAGAGGAAGACAAAGGAAAGACTTTGACTTCGACTTCCACTCTTACGTTCGACTTCCACTCCAACAAAATGTTCACGCTTAATGCGGCATTATCATAGACTACCGAAATGCTACATAAAGATATCGTGGCGACTGGTATTAACACCAAAAGAACAACAAGATGGTTTTCGAAGAACAAAGCCGACACCAACGCTGGTCAGAAATCAGAAAGAGGCTAACGTCTTTTTTCTCTCGATCGACGGATGGTCTGTCAGCGGCTGTCACTGCAGACCGCCTTCTCAATGGGCTTGCATCTTCATCAGGGGAAGGTGACGTATCTCGCTTGTCCTCGTCATCTGCGGTTGTAGGGGAGTCGGATGTATCAACAGCATCGCAGACACTACAGCAATATTCATCCGGGGCCGAAGATGTGCATGTGGCGACTTCAAAGACAAATCAAGAATTAGCATCATCATCAACACCTTCTTCCAGCGGCCTGCAGCAGCAAATTCAGCATCGAATCTCCGAACCCCCACTGACCGATCCCCGACTGACCGATCCCCGACTTGCCGATCCCCAACCGGAGGCATCCCCTCTCGGCCCTCCGACACCTCTTCCCGATGACAATCCTTACCTGTTTCGACGCGACCAGTTACCACTGAGCACGCGTGGCAGGGATATTATCGACGCTGCAGGAAAGAGAGTCAAATTGCGTTGCGTCAACTGGTCAGGAGGACAACTAGAAACGTTCGTAGTTGGCGGACTTCAGGTCCAGACCCTTGAGCATGTGGCGCTAGCAATAAGAAAACTGCACTTTAACTGCGTGCGCTTGGTGTATTCTATGGCTTGTGGAAAATTGAAAAAATTAAAATTTGTATTTGAAGATGAATTTGTTGTATTTGTTGATCTCGATGAACCTCATCAAGCAGAGTAAACGCAGGAGAGACGATAGTATCTATCGCATCCTTCAAGAGCAGGACCTCCTGCTCCTGTCTGCTGCTGTCTCAGGGGCGGCAGAGTACCAGGTGTACTAAAGATTCTCTCTTTCTCCATGTGTCTCTAATATCTCCCTCGACCTAGTTTTCGAGAAACAAACAACACCAGTCGCAGCCATCGCCGCAAATCAGCCACTGCTAGACGCAAATGCCGACCAACAGCCTTACCAAATCCTTTTCAAGAAAACCGTGGAAGCCTTGACAAATCTGAAGATTGCAGTCATCCTGAACAACCACAACTCTGACGCTGGATGGTGCTGTAGTGCGCTAGATGGCAACGGTCTGTGGTATTCAAGCTCCTATCCGGAAAAGAATTGGCTGGATCACTTGTCACAAGTGGCTAGAGATTTCCGCGATAACCCATACGTTGTGGGTATCGATTTACGGAATGAGGTGCGCGCAGCCAATGGAGTGCTGCCGAAATGTATGGGACAGGAAGATTCACGTGGTAGTTCTAGTTTCTCTTACTTGTGAACAACATGGAGTGGATCTTCTACTTCTTGAAGACTTTTCATCCCATATCAGGAATAACGCAGTAAAAGTAATCCTCTTGCTAAGCTTTTAAGCAAATCTATATTCTGCAAGACCTTAACCTGCTTCATTTTCTGGTATACCGGAGACAAGGCTACGGATTGGGGCAGCGCCGCTTTACGTGGTGGCATCGGCGTCAACTTAGAAAACCCGGATATGCTAGTCGTAGTCGGCGGCGTGTGGTACAACATGTTCCTCTGCGATGTACCAAAGCTTCCTATACACGAGTTTCTTCCCGGAAAAGTGGTGTACACCAGTCACGCATACAGCTGGTTCTCGAACCGATTGCAGGTCGCCAATGTGTTGCGCTACTACTCGGCGTCGTTGTTACGGGGACATGAGTATTATCATGATAAGGCGCCGTAGCTTTAACGTACTAAGCCACAACCTCAAGCTGTCAGTACTTTTCATCATTTGGATCTTTACAAGCTCAAGCGTGTCTTCCGAATCCTCCACTGCAACATCTAATGCAAGGCGGCGTCGTCCTACTCCTGTGGACGCTCGTCGTCATCTTTTCGTTCATTCAGCGATGGCACCCGAGGATGGCTAGCATAACCAGAGGGTTCGTCAGGTACTTACTTAATATTTAGATTTCTTTGCGAGAGTCGTTGCAGTGGTAGTTACTATTTATCTCGTACCAGTCGCACGCATGTTGCTAATCATGTTTTCTAGTCCTCTTCCTTGTCATCTCGTCTGCATGTAAAAACAACAGGCTCCAAAAATGGTTCCGTATGGAGAATACCTATTGTTCCATCGCAGATCCAGTCTACCTCGGAGCCATTTTATCCGCCATTTCCGTCCCCATTTTCGGATTTATTGGTGCTCGCGAGTCCGGCTGTGACCTCACGGAGCAGGTGGTAGGTATAGCCTGCGTCACGCTGGCGACGATAGGCGGCGTTCTGTCGGTGCTATTGTGGACGATAGTTTTGATGCGCTATCTCTTCACAGATCCGCAGTTCAAAAGAAGAATTTTGACCTTATGTGCAGGAAATTTACCAGAGGACGACCGAACAGAAACAGGAGACTACTCACATACAGGGGGAGAGGCAAGAGCTGCTAGTACGTTGATGGAGCTTGATACCGTCACCGATACTAGCGTTCTAGCCACTTCCTCAAGCTTGACAGAAGTCCAGGATAATCTTGCTAGAAGTGGTCTTACAGCATCGCCCAGTGGGACCAGTAGCACCCTCAGTCTTCTGGAGCGCCCTTTGAGTGTCCAAGGAACGCGTTCACATTCTCAAGAACCAACTGATCATCTCCCAGACGAAGTACCTGTACAAGAGGCCCTACGACTGATGGCGCCACCGGTCAGTATCCGGAGTCGCATGTCACTACTTGTTGCTTTGGCAGTGACCTGTACGATGATCGTTTTCTCAGTCTTTGAGCAAGATTAAGGCCTATTCCATTTCCATTATCCCCTATGAATGCCTGCTCCACCTCCATCTTCGGAAGCATCTTGGAGACGTTTTCAGGTGGGGGAAAGCGGATTCAGGATGGAGGTCCCCGGGAAGGGGATAAGGGTGAGCTCTAACAAGAGCTGCGATCTTATGATAGGCTACGTGAGGAATACGACACGAATTGGGGATTTTTGGTGAGGAAAAACATCGCACCAGTTTGGCTAGGCGAGTTCGGTATAGGACGTGGAAGCTCAGACAGTGCGTGGTTTGTGGATGCTTTTCATTATGGTTAATACACCATGCTATTGTTATCTGAATAAACACGTCGCTATTGATGTTTTTGATTTCTACCCACGTCCTCACCGTCCACCGCAGTCCTCATCAGCCTCGCTGATCACGTTGCCCAAGAGCCACAGGTACAATTACAAATTGAATTCTTTATCTAGAAGTACCTACAGTCACAGTGGTCTAGCTCTTGATTAATATCACACGAATTTCTTCGTATTCTTCCTCTTGATTCGCACAAGAATTTCGTCGTATTCTTCCTCTTCTAATTCCCCTACGTCGACCAAGAGCTAGACATTGGTTGGTCGTATTGGCCGATCGACGGTCGTGTTGGCCTCGGTTCCGGTGAGTCTTTCGGCATACTAACGCCTGACTACACGCATATTCGCGATGTGGAGAAAGTGAGGAAATTAAGGCTACCACTTGTGAAGCATCCACTTCGTGGACATCTTCACCATGATAGATAGATCAATCGATGCTTGGCGTCTTCTATTCTCAAGGTAGGAGAAAAACACTCAGTTCTCTGCTTCAAAGCTTAATATTCTCAATGAGAAAAAGAACAAGAAGCCAAGCAGGACGGTCTTTATGATGCGAATATGGTAGCAGCTCTAAGGCAACTGACGCACAACAAGCTGAATATGACGACAAACGCGACTACAGGTGAGACCTTTGTCCCTGGCTTTGGAGGTAACGGAACTTATCCACCTGGATTTGACCCGGATGACGATGGACGATGACTAGGCTTTCTTGCACTTCAGACTCAGAGCAACAAGAAGTTGCAAAATTTTTAATACATGATCGGGCTCACGGGAAGGGGATATACATTTTTAGTAGTTGTGATGCTTCAACAAATTTTCATCATGATACTGTTATTTTTTAGTAGTGTTAGACCTGGAGCTGGACGCACTACTAGTACTACGTACTACATCAGAACAATCTTCAGGAGACCCAACCGTTTGACTGTTAGCACTACATGATCTCCATCAGCTTCAGCTGGTAGATTAGGTCCCTGCACTACAACATTTTCAAGCATAGACTTAGAGATAGAGATACTAACATGATAAATTTAACGACAATGTATTTGTACTCCATTTTCAACTTGCCGTTACTTAGCTTGAAAGTGCCCTTGGTTGACCCCACGCCCACTTCCATTGCACAATCAAAACTAAAGAAAGATTAAGCGTGATGACTAAGTAGATTGATGCATCAAGATTATCATGGTCGTCGGCGTTGCCTGAGGGGAATGCTGTGATCGATGTCCTGCTCCCATTTTCGATGTGGCGCTCTCGGTTTCACTCGCAGCAATTCCAGACAAACCCGATGATTACCGGGTCCGGCATTGTGCGAACGCGAAGCCCCCTTTTTAACCTGCGTGAGCTAACGCAGAATAGAAATTTTCACATGATTCTTAGTTACCTTACTGTTACTTGCTTGCTTGGCGTCCGAGCTGCAAACTTGTGTACCATAAAATCACGTATGACATTGAAGTTTTTAATTTGGAGATGGAGGACCGATAACATCTAGTATTATTTTCGTCCGTTGTTTGTGATTGTGTAAATGTGAAGATAATATTTTTCGGTTCCTCGCCAGAGCTAGAGCTGGATCTCAAGCGCAATACAAATTCAAATCGTGTGTTCAACATTACTCTAGCATGATTATCGCAAATAATGACACGAGCAGCAACATCAGTCTGACAGAGGTTGATTAAAATGCACGAGTTGAAGAAGAAACAATGATAGTTCAAAATCTAACTCAAAATAAAACTACAGCAGGCAACATTAAAGAAGTTCTAGAATTGTGAAAAAATATGGTTTTGTTTTTCTTCATTAGCATGGGACGACATCCCTGTAAGACATCAGCCAAACGACCATACCTTGACCGCAATATCAAGCAAAATTACCGTGTTGGCAGAGCGAAACAATGACTTGAAGCCTGCTACTTCTTGTTCTTTCTAGCATGATTTACAATTGACCAACCACGACGACGACCAAAACCAATTCCAACAAGCACGACCACATAGTAATCAAAAAAGATGCCTTATACCGTTAAATTCAAGTCAAAGGATGGCGATGCCTTTGACTTGGAGATCGAGGATGCGGAGAGTACCATTGAGGAACTCAAAATACGTCTCATCAGCATGGACGAATCCTACGACGGGTGCAACCTGATCTTCGCTGGGAAGATATGTACTCATTGTTAACGATATTTTGACGGGATTCCTTTGCTTTTTTGAAGCAACACGAACATCATAATCATAACGCAGCATGAGGACCTAGAAGTATCTTCAACATTATGACGATGAGAAAAACGCAATAGAAGTGGCATCCTGAGCTGAATTTTTGTCCAAGTTTATCTTAAAAGCAGTGTTTTTGTCCTTGGGACTGAGGACCAGGAAGCTCGCGTTGCATTCTTCTGATTTTCAGGTAAAGACTCCGCCACGCTGGCCTCGTGTGGGATGGTCGAGGGTGCGAGTGGAGCATGTGTGGTCATGAAAAAGAAGAAAGCGGCTCCGGAACCACCAGCTGCCGTACCAGATCCAACGCCTGTCGTCCCAGCTGCGAGCGCGACAGCAGCAGGAACAAGCGCAGCAAGCTCTTCCACAGGAGCGGGGGGAGCATTATGATGCCATCTCACATGATTTTAGAAGAGACAGTAACTGAGTATATCAATGATCTCCGATTTGAAAGACGACGACAAATCTCTGTTTCCTTCTAACATGATCATGATGATACAGAGGGAATCTCGAGATCGAATTCGGGTTTGTAGTTGTACATGTACTAGATGTCCTTCGTTTTGCATAACAAAAATTACATGTGAAGTAGGCTTGAGCATTGGAAGTAGTCCCTTTCTCTCGTCTGTCTATGTCTTCTAATCCCTGCAGCCGCAGCCCAAGCACCCTCAGCAGCTCCAGTCGAGGTGGATCCGGCTGTTGTGGACACCATCATCGCCATGGGAATAAGTACGGACAGGAAGTTTATCGAGGATATGATACGGAAGTGCAATGGTAACGCAGACCAAGCAATGGCTTGGATACTCGAGCCAGAACAAATGATGCAGTTAAGACTTAACTGATGAACTAAAACTGTCAGAGAAGATCAGCTTTTTTTACTACTGAACCTTATCCATGTTCGGTACATCTCACACTGAGAAAGATCGAGATGAAGTATCGTCAAGAACAACGATCCGAAACCGTATTGAATTGAAGAAATGACTAGGGAATTCTCTAATACCAGAGGAGAGGGAGGCACGGCATCAGGCACAGAGGCGGCGCGCAGATAGAGCGAAGGATAAGCTAAACGTTCTACCGTATACCGAGAGAAATTGGGCAGGACTGATTCCAGATGGAATCTTGGTACAGCTTACAATGCAAGTACAAGTGGAAGTGCATTGAAGTTGAAGAATTTGAATCTATTTCAACCTCTGTGGTCTTCATGGACTCAACAATAGATTTGGACTTGAATATAAATGACAAAAATTTCTTAGAGGACCTCATAAGTAGTCAGAAGATGTGACCCCAAGAATTCCATCAACATCAGCTGAACGGCGGCACATCCGTCATCGATGCGCAGACATTTTTTGAAGGGCCTCAGACAGCGCGTGAGAGCGTTATGTTCCTCTTAGGGACCGGCAGTGCGTCGCGGACGCGGCAACTTGTACAAACTTTGTCCATGGTGTACGTAGCTGCGGAGGCACAGCTTTCTGTAGTCTACATCCCAACCGGAGAGCAAGACGAGGGCAAGTTTGGAGACTTGCTACGAACGATGCCTTGGGCTAGTATGAATTACGAAAATCGTCCTTGTTTAACATTAACAATTTGAATGATTAATAGTTGCTAGTGCTAAAACGTAAAAAACGGCCATCTTCAAGGCCAACGCAATCGTCTCTAGAAGTCAGAGATACGCGCAGCCGAGAACGACTTCATCACAAGACTAGAACTTTTGATTTTGTGAGAAGCTCTAACTCATGTTCAAATCCGCAGCCGCCGCAGCCGTAATGAAACGATTTGAGATGCAATTTTCTGATGGTTCTGTACTCCTCCACAGACCGAGCGGTCAAGTTTGGTCGTTCTCTGCTGTCTCAGATCTCGCTATTCTTAAGGCTTGTTTCCAATATTGTATTCCTTGGTTGTAAGAAGAAGGAGGTTTGACACATAGTTCGTGATTGCTTTGCCACGTATATTTTCAAGGGGAAAACAAAAAGAAATCAATAACAGAGTAGTTTATAGCACGTATGGAGTGCATGGAGTAGCGTGGAGTGCATGGAGCGCAGAGCTCTAAGGGGCGCAAGAAGCTCCCCCTTTAGCTCCATGCGATCCATGCACTCCATGCCGTGCGAGCTGTGAAACCTTATAAATTGCTCTGCAATAACGAAAACAATGCGTTCCTTGACTCAAAATGAATATACACTGGGAAGAAGCTCTAATATTCACAATTTTGACTACAGCACAGCAAGAGTGCACTGGTCAGCGAGAGGACACATAGGAAAGCCAGCACCCTTTACTAAGGAGAATCCAACTGGTGCTGGAACTGGTAGTCAAGGAAGCGGGTCCATGACGGGAGGAGCGACAGCTTCGTCGTCAAGCAGTGTTGCAGGAGGTGGCGGCATGCCAGCGGTGGCTCCTTTTCCGAGTACCTTTGTTTAATGAAATATCACGTCTTTGGCCTTCCTCGGTTCATGATCAACATCATGAAACAAGACTTAAACTCCTACTTTTGAATTGATGTTAGTGATGAAATTACTCTTTGTCTCTCTCTATTTGAGGACGTCCTCCATTATGATTCCTGCCGCCTCATGATGCAAAAGGAAGTAGTGTGTCGTGGTCTTTTTTACCCCTGGAGTGGGTACATTCACTCACTCACTCACTCACTGACTCACTCACTCACTCACTCACTCACTCATCGTCATCAGATCCCAACTCCCTCCCTGGCATGGCTTCTAGTGGTTCTGGAGCGGCTGCGCGCATGCCCCAACAATCCGCGCCCTCAAATCCCCCACCCCCAACGACCGAAACGACAGCTGTTCTTCCTGGCGGATCTGCGGATGTGACGAAGGGTCAAATAAGGCGGAGAATATAGATATTTATTTCATAAGGATAACGAGTACTCAAATAAGGATCAAATAAGGTACAGGATTAGGATAGCAAATAGACTCAAAGAAGGCACGGAAGTATATTTCATTCCATTGATTTGCATATAATGTTGATTGTTTTGCATTTCCAAATCGACAGGTTCTTTCTCTCTCATTGCTCTTTACTTTTAGGATTGGTTCTCCCATCAAAATGATAATGGCGACCCAAGAAAAGGAAATGAACCCAAAAATTTCGACTTTCTTGCTGAGCTCTAACTCAAGTCGAAGAAGCCGTATCGGACTTATGTGAAAAAGGCACGTTTGAGGCACAGGAGGAGTTTTTTGCGACAGCTCTTAAAGTTTTCAACAACATCTACGACAAACCTGCGGAAGTTAAGTTCCAGAGTATCAAGAGTACAAACGCGAAACTCTTTGGTCCGTACCAGTTCAGGGGCGATGAAATGACGGATGAGACGGGAGGTATTTTTGACCTTCATCTTCATCTTCTACTACCAAGTGCTGGCTCTACTCAATGGAAGAAAATTACTTAGAATGTAGTTGGGCGAATGGTTATTTTGTAGTGAAACATATAGATACTATGAATAGTAATATACAATCACGAATTTTCTATTTCTTCCTCGTCTTCTTAAAATCCTTCGAAACGATCCATCTGCACGATCAACATTTCTTCCGCCCGATCAAACAGTCCGTCCTGGTCTCTCGGTTTTTGGCCTAGCCGGCTTCGCTCAAGATGGAGAAATGCAAAAGTGGAACGCTAAGGGTGAACCTGTAGAGTCCGTCCGCGCACGCCTGATCGCAGTACGCAATCACGTGTTTGCCATCGGCAAGACGCAACATGAAGCAAAATACCGGTTTGAACGGGACCAGAAGATCAAAGAGGAGATGGAGAAGGACAAGGGCCGACAAGCGAAATATGGCGAAGGAACCGGTGCCGGTGGCGGTCGTATGAACCTGGGACAAGACAGGAAGAAACGCGGTGGCGGCTGAGGCTAAGCTCGTGTAGCTCGTTGTATCTAAAGTCTGAAGCAAGACAGCGAGAACAGAGCCGCACGAGCTGCACGAATTACCCCTACTTGTTCCTTGGGACGATGGGGTAAAAGCAGAAAAATTTATTACCTTTTTCGGTTCGACAGAAGCAAGTGAAGAACCGGAGCTGACCACATGGGAATTGATGAATCAGCACTAATGGTCCATAGTCGTAGCCAACTACAAGTCCATTGCTGACTGATTATTCCTTCACCCGAATAATAGCTAAATCCCGATTAACCCAATACGCAATAGGAAGAAAAGCAAATACCTCGACTAGCTTATATTACAACCAGTATGCTAAGACACATTCCTAGAACATAACAACAAAATTTTTCTCCACATTTGTGATGAGAAAGGGGACATCCATGTCGGCTAATGACGAGGTGTCCTTTTTCTCTGATTTTAGAAAATATGTGTAGACCTATAATTAGCAAGCATTCGTAACTTGGATGAGCCACGAGGACGTGTCAAACCACAACATCTCTCAACAACAACGAGAGCACTATTACGAAACTCGATTTTTTTTATAGACCTCTGTCTTGAACAAGAAGTCGATGCATCGCGATCGATGCATCAATTTATCTGACGACCACGCGGTAGGCGTGGTGGTTGTCCTTGTGAGGGAAAAAGATGTACGCAGTGACTGCCTCCTACAAACAACCAATACAAAAAGTAAGACATCGAAATGAAAAGCTCAGCGAGTGAAGAGGGTATCAAATTTGGCTGCAAGACGCTAAAGGTAAAGAGTCAAAAACGAGTAAGCCTCAACAAGCAAAATAGAAAACATTGCAAAATCAGAAAATCCCTAGATGCAAGTAGATCAAGAACCTTCTGACCTTCATAAAACGAAAAAATAGTCTTTTTTTCGTTACACTATGTATGGTATGAATCGACGCTTCCTTACCCGCTCTGTACAGTTAGGTCTTTCTAACAACATCCAAGATAGTGGTGAAGTAGCTACAACTACAACAAGATAAAAACTTTAAGTACAACTAGAAGAAGTACAAGTCTTTCTACCCCTTACAGCATCAGCCTTTTCCTGCTTGCCAAGGCGCTCTTTTGCTCTTCAACAATCCCAATTCTACTACTTCTAATCTCATACCCAAAGCGTAACAATCTTCACGATCAAAAAAGGTTGAAAAAATATATACAAAAAGCATGGTCATCATGAAGTGTTGTGGCGTGATGGAAAATGCGCTTCCTAGAGGGCGCATTTCGCAGCGCACAGAAAGTCAGGATCCGCTTTCGCCGTTGCCGATTCCAGAAGGAGAGCGCCCTGCAACACTGCTCACAATCTTAGACTCAGCCCCTCCACCAGGGAAGGAAGGAGTGACAAAGTCAGGAGGGGCTGAGAGAGAGGAGTTTATGAAACAGTGCTGCATGAGGATGAATGTTAGATATTGGTTGAAGATGGTCGTTTCCTTGGAGGAAGATAGAGGGAAAAAACGAGACGTGTCTAGATCTGGTACAACTCCTTTGACGTCGTTATTAATCTTCTTCTTGTCTTCACGTTCACCACAGCATGGGTACTATGGTAGTGAAGAAGAAATAAAAAATGAATACCTACTTAGTACTTATGTATTTATATACCAGGTTTTTTTCTAATCCGCCCAAGAGCTACCACCTCCAGGATCACACCATAGTGGACGAGCAGGCTGATGCCTATAAGAAAATCGTGGCGAAGATCAACAATGAAGCAGGCGACGCCACCCCTGGCGTCACTGGATCTACGTCCTTGTCCAGCTTTACTATTAAGACTCTCAATAATTCATCTGTCTGATACTCTTGGTCTTGTCTGATACTCTTGTTAAAGAATCAGGATGCAGCTCCGATGTCTCATATTTTTTCGGAAGTAAGTCATAGGCGATGTGTAGTCTAATGCTAGCGGAGGCAAAGGAGCGATCACTGCACAAGCAGTTTGGATGCAGAAGAAAGCCATTTTCATGAAGAAACTGTTACTCTCAGCCAGTCTAAAGAAACCAAAGCTACGCTCCTTGGGTTTCAAAAAGAAGAATGCGGGAGATCAGGATGGAAGCAGTGAAGATTTTATGGCATTGTGTCGTTCACCTCTACAGGTAAATAAGATGTATCTGTGGCGTGTGGCATGAACAAGTATGAAACCAAAATCAATCTGTTATCATTATCGTACTTTTCTACTTAAGAAGCTTGATAATGATAACAGATTTTCGCTTCATATGAAGTAGTGCACTTGTAGTAGTTGTACGTGTAGATACCACATAGAGGAAGGTTAATACAGATATGATTATGGCAACTACGCGCTCGACAGCAATATAATATTCATATTTTGTAGGTATTCGGCCACGACATGATCTTTCTCTTCCTCTAATTTCCCTTCCCAACGCGTGCTCTTCATCGGTGCGGCTTCGAAGCCGGTTGAGATGGCTCCATACTACGCATCAGAATTGGAGTCCATCTACGAGTCCGCATTGGAACTTGCGTTGGTTAAGGATCCTTGTCTTGCGTTGAAGGTTCAGTCAGTTTGCATCACTACTCATAGTACTACAGAACAAGGACCAACATGTGATAGCAGTAGTTTGCTTCACTACTACATCTGCAGGTCTCACCGTCAGCTAGAGATGATACATATGAATGGCTCTGGTATTTGGTAGCCTCATTTTGATCATAAGGAAAACAAGAAGATAATTCTTGTGATCGAATTCAGGCTATACCAAACACCAGAACCATACAACGGAAACAGATGATACAGAAAAACTGAAAGAACTTAGGTTGTTTTTTCTCAAATGAATGAATGTCAAGATAATCTATGCCTAGTTTTGACTCGTCTCGTCTAACCAAAACGACGATATGCCGATGCTCCGCAGCACTACCGTGACAGAAGGTTTGGATTACGATGTCGCGCCAGGTCATCCGCGGCCTCAAAACTTGACACTATCCTTGATACCGCATGCTACAAGTAGTTGTGTGGTGGCTACCTCTTCCAACCTTTCGATGAACAACAATCATCAACCTGGAGGTGCTCCTACTGGACTACCTCTTTCGTCTTCTGGCTGTCAGCTCCTAGCACCAACAGAGATGGGTAAGGTTTGTTCTACGCCATGTGGAGACTTTTTGAAAAATCTGAGGTTTCAGAACTTCGCTGCAAGCCGTTTTCACGCGGCGCAAATAGACAGGGAGATCAATCCGGTACTGGACAAGGATAATCACAAGGCGGCGCTGAAGTTATGAGAGACAAAGTCAAAGGGAAGCAACTACATGCATCTATGATAGTGGAGATGAGTGATTTTGTTTTAATCTGTAGTTAGTAGATCTTTTACTAGAAGGTGATATCAGGTCCACACACATGACATTTTACTAGAACAGCGTACTAGAAGTAGTTGCATACATGACCATTCAGAATGAGACTCTTTAGGGATAACATCAACAGAAGCAGTTGTCTCACGCAACCTCCTGACTTCCGATGGTCGTGAGTGAAGCCTCTAACACCAGACTTCATCGAATCCGTCGCTCATGGAGAGCTTCGTGAGGTTATTATGCGCAAACTGGTCGCTCGTATGGGTATTGATGATGAGCCTCCATGCGACGCTGACGTTGACCCCTTCACCTTCGCCGCGTGGGCAAGTGCGACCAATGGCATCACTAGTACAAAAAGTGCCAGCACTGCTGCCAATATGATCAACAAGACAGGTGACACTTCTACTGCAGCTGCTAAGACGTCGAGTACAAAAACTTCAAGCCAACAACAACAACAACTCCGTACTCGTCGTTCGTCTTCTTTCCTAGTGGCTCGACAACTGGCAAAGTCTCTGTTACGACGTAGGAGTCGTCGAGGAAGCAACAGCTCGAACGCTAGTTCAGCGAGCATTTTGCAGTCCTCCAAGGCAGCTGCGGAGACGGTAGACAGAATGATCGTTCACTTCTTCTGCGAACTGAACAATGGACCAGATTGGATCTGCTTCTCGCTGTTGAGATATTGTATTGCTTCATTTCGTTTTCGTGTTTGTATTGTCCACGGCTTTTCTTTTATTAATGTCTGTGTTAACTGTTAGTCGGCCACGGCCCCGCTACTTCATTTACGAAAGAAAGGGATGTAATCGATTTTCTTTAACACCCACAAGTAAGTACTACTACAACTTCGATTACCAACTACAAAACTCCACATTCATAATTGATAATTCCTTTCTCATTCCCCCTCCGCCTCCACTTTGAATTCTTATTGTTCAGGTCTCTTCGACAAAGCTAAAACTCTCCAGCACATGGCACGCATCATCGTTTGGCTCAATTGTGACATTTACAACACTCTGTTGTTCGAAAAAGACCATATTCCGGGCCACGCACTCTTGCCGTCGCATTTGATGAGCTTCGGCGATCCCCATCCCATGCCCTACATGCTATGCGACAAGGAGATTGGTCGTGCTGCGGTTACGAGTGGGGCAAGCTCAAGGGTATTTGTCATATTGGAGATTACAAATACCTATACCAATATCATTTTGTTGGTTAAGAACTTCCAGGATCATCAGGTTCAGGATAGACATAGAAGTGTCTAGTACTACTTTCTCCACATCGTTCCTTAATCATGATACTTTTTGGATTCTACGAACAACTCAAGAAGAACTACATCTTCATTTACATAGATTTACATGTTGTAACTCCAGGTCCCCGCCACAGTGACAGTATCAGCCGGAACGCAGACTTTGGGGCCTGGTCTTCCTGCGGCGAGCTTCGGGGAAGCAAATTGGCGAGGTTATTGCCCTCAAGGTGGTGGTCCTATGGATGACGTTGATGGCGTTAGCGATCTTCAAGTGGAATCTCAATCTTCTAGTGCAGGTAACAACAGTACCCCCACTTACAATACATCCAAGAACAAAGAGGAATACAAAATCAACCTTGAGTTCGACTTCGAAGAATCACCCGCTCAGAATCTACGTGATACAGTTGAAGGAGAGAATGCGGGTGTCGGAGCGGACAAAAATTAAGGCTCAATACAATTCGTTTCTACAAGCTGCCCTTGCGTCTTCCTATCTCCGTCTTGGCATCGGGAGAAATGTGGGCAACAAGGGATGAATTGTGATGAGCTCTAAAAAAATGCAGGAGTCGGTGGAAGCGATTGCGTCGTAGAAAGGCCAACAGTATCAACGCAAACAACCGCTTCGTACCCAGCAGTGTATCCGATTGTCCGATCTGGGGAAACTCCGGAAGCGCTTGCTAAGGTAATTAGTTTCCATATTTCGTTGTGATTGCCAAGGCCAACTGGCAGACCTAGAACTATGGCTTCTTAGAAATATAAGTTGGCTACCATGATCATCTTTACTATCTTCTACAGCCTGAGATTGTATAGCTATACACCAGTACCAGCACAACAGCACGATCAATTACTCACAACACGAATACTCTTACATCACTTACTCCAACTCCAAAATAGGTCCTCTCTCCCATTCCGGAACACATAAGCGCATTCAACATGAAGACGTGGTGGGACGAATTGAACGGACACAGGGATATGAACAGGTGCACTGGACCTGCGTTCCGCTTTTCGAGCAAGATATTTCAGTCTAAGAATATGGAGACAATCGAAATTTCACGATTTGCGCCAGTGCTTGGCTTGTTTACCGGCAAAGGAGGCGGGCCTATGTACTTACTCTTACCATGATACTTTGTTTACCGGGAAAGGAGGCGGGCCTATGTACTTACTTCCTCTTTTTACCATGATACTTTTACTTTGCATCAAGGTTTTTCTATATCTTTTTCTGCTTTGATCTAGTTTTGTTTCTTTTTGTAGTGCTTCTTTTTCACTACTTTGATCTAGTTTTTGCAGGAGGTTGAGAGCCATCGGCGCCAGTGAATGTAGAAGTAACTGTAACGGGCTGATTTCTGAACCAAAATTGATTCAGGTTGAACGGTATCACCGATGAGCAGTTGCAGGCATCAATTACGGTGATGAAGCTGCGGAAAATTCAGCACATGAAGGAGTTTGGATGCACAGGGTGTATCTTTTTGCTGGATTGCAAGGTTATGATTCAAGAATTATTCTGGTGGTAGCAGCACATGTGGATTAGTAGAATAGCAATAGTGTTCTCACTCCTCACACATGTCATTCACACTGGTTTCACAATTCATATTTCTCACTACTTCCGGGAGGTTTTGCGTTTAGTCAGCACTCGTCCAGAAGCTCCTCTTAGTCTAAAACTTACTCCTCTCGTCGTTGTCGCTGTTCTTCTCTTTCTAATCTCCGAACCTCCCTTTTCTCGATGAGCAAAGCAGTGCGTAACGCTCAGAAGTACCAGAGTATCGTATGGGAGTTCATGCGGAATATGCCTGGCGGGATGGTAAAATCGCTACTCTACAACATGTCCGCCGGTGCCATTACGTGCCTCACCATGGCCACAATGATGTGGTGCGCTGACGATCGAGCCAGGATTAAGATTATGAGTAGGTATAATGGTAAGTACTTCACTGATCTTTCTTTTTTCCGTTTTTCTTTTTTCTAGTTAGGTCAGTCTGCTCCACCAATATTATGAAATGGTTGGCCGATTTAGATTTTCGATTTCGTATTCATCTTAGTTAACGTCCAGCGCAAGCAAGAGCAACTGGGTGAAGAACGTAAGATGTTTTAGTTTTCGTGTGTAATATCAGCGAATTTCTAGCTCTTGAAAAGATCATGATAAATATTGGTTTTTTCCTATGTAGACCCATCTTCTTGATCCTTTTCCTTTTTTTCATATAGTATATGATAGTAGTTACTACTATGGGGGGGGGTAGTTGTGGTACTAAGTACCACAACTAGTACCCAACATCCGGACCATGCTCCTACCCAAGAATCGCATCTAATCCCCCCTGCACCGGTCGACCAACTAAGAAGCAGTTAGATGATTTGGGGATCACGGAGGCCATGTTTCAAGAGATGGAAAAGGAGATTGAATCCGGAGGCCACCTCGCGGCTCGCGGTATCAAAAAGGCAGGACGGAAGACGATTTGAGGTGGTCGTTTTGGGGGAGGAAGTGGCGGCGTCTATCAGTATCAGTATCAGAATCAGTATCTGAAAGGCAGAAATAGGAACAAAACGATTTGAACTTGAAGGTTGATGATAGTTAGTTGTACTTACGATTTTCATTTGAGCTTCAACAAACGCAAATAAGGGTGTAGTTCGTGTTGCTGTTGTTTTACTTGAAAGAAAGAGGAACGACGATACGAATGGGGGTCGTTTACGTTTGAGGTAACGTTGGGGGTAGAAGAATTCAAAAATTTTCCTTCGAAAGAGAACCTACGTTTTTAGCGAACGACATCCAAGTGTATTTCAATCGCAGGACGTCTCATTACAAGAACAGTTACAACTACACGCGTCACGCTAATTTCCATAGTCATTTCGATTTGTTCGCAAGGCGCAATGAGTCTAGGCATTGCCTCAAACGTACAATGACCTTCACACCGATCTTGAATGCTACAAAAAAAGAAAAAATTACAACTTCATATGCTTGGACCACGCCAACTTGACATACAGCAACAAGAACAAAAACCTAACGCCTGCTTCTGATGTCTTCACGAGTTCGAACGTCTGCCACGTGTATAATGTATAGTGCAGCTTCCGACGTGTTGGAAGTATCATGTACAGTATGCACAGTTAGAATATTTTTATTTTCCAAGAAGAGTACCTAGCAGCGTCAAGCACTCGCGGCTGTATGGGAAGAATCAAACTGGTTTCCCTTTGTTTTCGTTGAACCTTGGGGGGATGGAGTATTTTGATGGTCGTTACATCAATCAACATGAACATAGGGTTTTTTCTTTCTGCTTATGGTTTTGAGATGCTCGACTATAGTTTTTTGATGAAGAGAGTACCAAAGTCTTTTTTGCATACATAATCTCCAGGAACAAGCAACGGCTCAAGCTCAAGAACCTATCATAAGTAGATGAAGAATACGCTTTTGTTGCCTATCCTTAGTCTTTTTATCCATAAACTACAACTACATCTAGCGATAATATAATCTGCATGTCCATATGAAGGTAAAGTAGATCAAGGTCAACATCAACACCTAAATTGATACCTACTCTTGACAAGAGTCTCTTGTCGCTAAAAAAATCCATCCTGATCCTCTTTTGACATTCTTGAAATATTGATGACGTGGTTAATGATGAAAAACAGACCTCCTGACGGGTAGAAGTCGTCACGGAGATCTTAGGCAGATTGCCGAATAGATTCGCACCATCATTGACGGACCTCCTGACGAGAGTCGACCACGTCGACTGACTAATATTCTTCTTTTGGACCCAGCAGTCGCGTCTTTGTACGTGTTCTAAGAACATGCTGAGAGGTCTTCACAGATGATACTTGCATTCTTGGAGTCGGGTTGTAGTGATGGTGTCACCAGCAGGACGATCTCCTATTTCTTATAATTTATGTAGCGAGATGAAACAGAAAGATGAAGTCAAGAGCGCGATCACCGCGACCGTGAACACTCAGATAGACCAACATTTACATTTTTGAGCAAAGAGAAAAGATGTCGACGCCGACACACACTGCGCCAAAACCCGAAGCACAAGCATCCCTGTTTATTTTGGGAAGATGGCGCGGTGTAGGAAAAGTGTACTCTGTTACGGAACGTGGGGTGGCAAAGATTCACTACTGTGAGGAAATGGAGGTCCGGCGAGAAGGCAAAGCACAGGCTTACTGGCATCATCGGCAGACCTGGAAGACGGCTCCGGACGCGCAGGACTTCGCTTCAGCAGAGAAAATCGTACCGCTGCATGTGGAGTCTGGAGTTATCAAAATTTTGCCTGTTCAAGGGACCACACTAAGCGTCGATGCCACACAGGCGCAGGAGGAGCAATCAGCACCTGCGGCACCAGCGGTACTTCCGGTGGAAGGCATTTTCATTCATCCCTTCAGTGTGTCTGAGGTAGCGCGAGGCACAGTAACTTCTACATCAAGTAGTAGCTCTCCTTCTGGACTGGAGGACGGACAAGATGGGCAGGAGCAAGGGCCTCGACCATACTTACGACTAGAGGCTAGGGAAGCGGATGGCAGCTTTCACCGTGGACCGGGTGCGGGAGGAAAAGCAACAGAGGTTTACATCCGAGAGTACGAATTACTGGCTGACGGCAAGTTGCTCTACAAATGCGCGTTGAAATCGAACACAATGCCGGAACCCTGGGAGCATTTGGAGTGCCTGCTTCAGAGGGTCGATGGGGAGTTATAGACGATGAAAGGTTTTTCGTCATGATCATGCACCATTTACTTTTACATAGGGCTATAAAGTCGGAAACTAACACTTTAACATAAAGTCATATTTCTCTAACTCTTACATATGTCTGACTCGTAGGGCTGCCTCATCTCTACACCTTTTGTCAAGAAATGAATTCACCATTTTACTCAAAGTATATATTTCGTGGTGAGGAAATTTACTCGAGCGATTACTTCACATGTCGGCCTCGTCGGGAAGATGCATTCGTGTCATCGCGATCTCATAAGACCTGCGACTGTTCGACGTGAAGTCACAAGGTGGACGCTGCGGAAGATTGCGAGGTGGAAAACAGATGATATCGAATGGCGGACGATGAAAAGATCACTTCCATCCAGATGAACACATGAATGTCAAGAAAATTGCATGGAACTTGAAAATGATGACAGATTTGAAATGGAGTGGTTCAATCAATTGTGATGGTTCCTCCCATTTCTATTGCGACCTGCTTCGCAGGTAGTCAAAGAATTGGTTACGCCGCTACTTGCGATGATGTAGGCATAGTATGGATTTGAAGCACGACTTCAATTCTTTGGGTGCGCTAGCTCATGGGCTAGACTCCCGATTATAAGCCCAATAACTCTTAAAGCTGTTGGTTCACTTATATTCATTGGTAGATTTTTCAGCGTTGCGCTTGTCATCTTCTCTTCTGAGGGTGCGAAGCATCGTATAGTCTAGGAGCTGGTATGCAAACCAGTGGTAGACTCTATGATGATGATGAAGTCCCCTGAGAGAGTGGAGAAACGGGAAGAGGTAAGGATGCCTTACAAATCAGAGATCTTCTTTACGATCTTGATCCATCTATTTCAGTTCCGGTGCCGCACTGGCACGTGGTCTTACGGGAACTCGAGAGACTCGAGAGATATCATTCAGAGGCTTCAGTTGAAACAGACCAAAATTCTCTGGATATCGTCATTCAGCTTTTTTAGCTTCTGTCCTGGAGCTGGAGCACGTCGACTAATTATACAAATAGATATTATTTCTATCTTCTAATTAAAATAAAGATATAGTAGACCACGCGTTCAGGTTTAGAAAGCTCCAACCATCCGCACCATCCCCTAAAAGTCAACATCAAAGATCAAACCATCAAACTAACGACTAAAAAGCCATGTCCTCTTGTTTCATTGGTCTTTTTGATGGCTTCAGGGAGTGCTTTAATCCCAAGTCCATCACAGGCGGTCGCGATGTTCATGCCGCTTACTACACCAACTTCCTACAGCCAGGGAGTAAGCTAAAATTATGGCTTCCCCTCGTCTTCCATCTTGGGTGTAGTGAATTCGTCATCTCCAAATGGGTCATCTGAAACAGAAAATTAGACAAGATGAGGAAAGAGGCACTCGTCAGATCATTGTAGACTAAGCTCTAATGAACGGCGATGCCTCCAAAGCCTCTTTGGCCACGACAGCCAACTCATCGTCAGGAAGCAGCTCGTCTGTTGCGAGTGGAGCGAAAAAATGAGGACAGGAAGGAGAAGGAGGATTTGCCACGTCTGGATGGGGTGAAAAAGGCGGACCTGCCCTGTTGAGGATGAGGAGTTTGACATCTTCCGAGTCACCATCTTTGGAGGACGAAAAGGTGCTAACTCACTGGTTCTTTCCGACTCCGACTTTGAGACATGTCTTTCTCTTCCTGAAACCAACCCAGGCTTGGGGAGCTAAGTACAACCATTGCAGGGGAAGACGAATCGATGGAACTCCTGACATTATCATTTTTATGCGCGTTGATCATGATTTTAATTTTTCCGCGTCGAGAAAAATGTCGACGACACTCACAGATGAACAAATGCTTCAGATTCACACCTGATCTTAAGTTCAGAGTGTACTAAATCTAAAAAAAGTCTTCGTCCCTGCTGCCGCGTCATCTCGATTGCATATTCTTCATCTTGATCGCACGGTGTCAGTAGTTGTTTGTTTTTTCACATCGTCCATGTTCCTTCACATCTTTCAACATCAGATGACAACTCAGTGACTCAGACACTCGGACAGTCAGATTTTGGTGCAAGTAAAAAACTTCCATGTCATCTTGCCGTTGATAGTGTAAAAGTGGTCATAAAAGAACCAGATCTAGAACAAATCCGCTGCGCGTGATTCAGAAGGGTACATACCGTAACATTTTCCTTTTAGTAGACCTTCGACGAGGAGGACTTTGCTATAATTCTTGTTGTTTCATATTCTTCCAAGAAAAAAATGTCGTGTTTCATCGGCTGCTTTGATGCTTTTCGGGAGATGTTCAATCCCAAAAGCATCACCGGAAAAGACGTTCATGCGAATTATTATTCGAATTTATGGCACGAAGCAGTACCAATAGCGAAGGATAAGAATTCGTTGTTGTACTTCGATTTCATCAAGTGACATGATATTAACTATAAACTATTAAGGTAAATGATTTCTAGATAACGTTGGTCTTGATTGCTGCTTACAATTTTTCATTGTGTGTACTAACTAGTCCAAACTACATTTTTACAATCCTCCTCCCCCCCACTCTCCTTAATTTTTACCTCTCCCACCCCATTTCTTCAAATTCCTAATCCTTTCCCCACCACCCTGCTTACGTACTAGTACCGGTACCCCTTCTAGCCCTATTATTTTCATTCCTAATCCGTTCCCCACGCCAACACCCTGCTTTTTGAGTATCCTTTTCATTCCTAATGCTGCAACCAAAAAAGCCCATCCGAGTGGCCATTACTGGAGTAGCTGGCCAAATCGGCTATGCTTTGCTACCGATGATCGCGAATGGCGATATGTTTGGACCCGATCAGGAGGTGATTATTCAAGGTATTTAATGTGAACGTGATAAAAGAGACGTAAACGATGGCTACCGGTGCTTCAATCCACTGTCGACGTAATTGAGTGCTCTAATGGATGTTCTTGAGGTTGACAATCCACTGTAAACAAGGTCTATATCGTATCTTCGTGATATAACAACTCCATCTCCACCCCTAAGAAAAAATAATTAATGAGTCTTCTACACCCCATGAATTTGAATGGGTACATTACTCTAATCCCTACTCTGTCTACTACTACTATACTCCAGGCGTCGACCTAAACATTGATGCCGTCAGGGAAAACTTGAAAGGAATCCAGATGGAACTGGACGACGGCTACTACCCACTCTTGAAACAGGTGATATTCACCACAGATCCCAACGTGGCTTTCCAAGATGCAGATGTGGCGATTTTATTGGGTATCTACTGAAATAAGAAAGTAGATGTAGATCATGGTCAATGGCTACTGTTTTGAATCCTTCTTGGAGATGAACCTTGTCCTTGTATTATTGATGTTATAATGTAGAACAACATGCTTGTGTTGTACAACATGTAGACGCGCCATCCAAGGACAACGTCATCTTCTAAAGAAGTGAACTTGCACAGGTGCATTCCCTCGTAAGAAGGGTATGGAGCGTAAAGACTTGATGGAGAAAAACATCTCAATTTTCAAGACGATGGGCACTGCGATTGAGATGAACGCTAGCAAAGATATCAAGATTCTGTTAGGGCTTCCCCTAATCCATCTTTGGAAGCATCTTGGGAACGTTTTGAAGGGGAGAAACGTCTCAAGATGGGCTGCAACTTCAAGATGGATTGGGGTGAGCTCTAACGCTGGTGGTGGGAAACCCAGCCAATACCAATTGTCTGGTTGTGGCGAAATATGCACCCAGTATCCCTAAAAAAAACTTCTCAGCGCTAACGCGGCTCGACCATAACCGGGCAAGAGGTAGTTGCGGTTCATGAGAAATTTGGCACACTTGGACTGCTATCGCCAGAAGCATAGGCTTTTGCTTACTGGCGTTTCATTTTTCTACATTGCAGAATCGAATGACGAAGGTCAAGTAGATGAATTCACAAATTGTAGAAGAAAGTAGGTATCGACTTCTTCATCATCTTTTTCGTTTGATAAACGATAAAGAACAATAAAAAGATCAGAAACTAGTGTCCCCACACCTGTCCACTCTCCAGGTCAAATAGCACTCAAAGCTGGAGTTCAATTGAACCAGGTGAAAAACGTGTGCATCTGGGGAAATCATAGTTCTACGCAATATCCAGATGTGTGCCATGGACTGATTAATGGAACGCCGGTAAGTTTAAGTTGTATAAAAATTATAAGCTTTTCGTCATTTTTCGTGGCTATGGCCATTGGGATCCTAATATATAAACTACATGGTCAACATCAGATTTGTAACCGGTAAAGTTGTACCTCCATGCTTTTGTTTCTTGTTGGTCCTTTTCTAGTGAGGTCGGCGGTGGCTCCGCCACGATTATAAGCTTTTCGTTTCCAACAAACAGAAACATGAGGAGCTACTTTTCGACAAAACGTACAACGTTAGCTTACGTTCTCTGTTTTCTCAACCTCGAGCTCCTTTTTCTCAACATCTTCCTCCTCTCAGATTGAGTCCGCACTTGCAAAGGATAAAGCATGGCTGAAGGGCGAGTTCATATCTATGATCCAGACGCGCGGCGCGGCTATCATCAACGCACGGAAGTTAAGGCTAGTCGGTCACTATCAACTATCTGGTGTACGCAGTGAGGTAAGTGAGTAAGGCTAATCAATCACTATCCAGTGTAGTGCGTAGTCGTAATGAGGTAAGTTCATCATTATGTGCGTGATCGTGTTCCCAATCACTCTCTGGTGAACGTGAACGTGTAGTGAGGTAAGATACTTCCTGTTCGTGTTCCTGAGTGTTGATGTAAATTCTGTATGGTTCTGGTATTTGGTAACCTGAATTGGATCACAAGGATTCTCTTCTTGTTTTCCTTATGATCGAACTCAGGTTACCAAATGCCAGAGCCATACAAATTCCCTTGTTTGCAAGGACGGCGGGAAAAGAAAGCATAACTCACTCAACCTCAACCAGAGTGCATAGTGTTAGTGACACCTGACTGGCGTTAAGTAAGGCGTCGAGTGCTCTGTCCGCGGCCAGAGGTATCTCGAACCACATGCACGACTGGATATGCGGAACTGACGTAGCTGGTGAGTACGTGTCAATGGCAGTGTACACGGATGGGACAGATGGGTACCAAGAATTTCAGTCACAAATCCCAATAAATTTCTTCCATCAACCAGTAGTTCTTTTCAAGGACTGCACTTGCAACAAGTAGGTGTTTAATAAAACGTTCTTCATCTTTTGGTTGTACACCTAAGAGTTATGCATAAAGTTGTAAATTATGATTATCTATAATGATAATCCAGCATGTCAATCCACCTTATCCCACTTATTCCCTACTCTTCAGATACGGCGTCGACAAGGGTCTCATCTATTCTTTCCCAGTGGTTTGCAAGGGAAAAGGCGAGTACGAAATTGTGAAAAATTTGCCAATTGACGATTTCTCAAGGCAGAAGATGAAAGCAACGGAGCAGGAGCTCATTGAAGAACGCACGTTGGCTTTTTCTTTAGTTGGCTAAAACCGATTCTTAATTGATATGGTGGTCATACTCATATCATGTAGCCTCCTATGATCATGACGTGATTAGAGAGCTCGATGATCGGATGAACATCAAAGTCGATACTCAAGAAGAGTCAACACATCAAAGACATTGTTATCCATCTCAGAAGCGATGTGGATGTCAGAGTCGACGTTGCCCTCGATTCTATGGACAAGATATGCGTGAACAAAATCACTCTCAGCACCGAATAAAGATGAAAAACCGGCGATGTCTCTTGCTCGTCTCTTCTATCATGATTGATGTACCAAAGGCAGTATAAGAAGTCGATGACTTACACTGACAACTTGTGGTGTTGTAGGTACTAATAAAGCTGAGTATGGCTCCACCATGGTCCGTGGGTGTGAAAGACGTCTCCCAGACGGGACTGAGACCAAGTGAAGTGGCACACTTTCACTTTACATGTACAAGCACATCAAGTGTCACTGAACAGCGTTTGCCTCTGGAGGAAGATCCTCCACGACCTCTAGTCGGGAAAACTTTAGCTTTTTGCAAAATATCTTAATGGAAAACCGTGCGCCCTTTTTTGGCGAGGGTGTCTTAGCGGCCCATGATCTAAAAAAAAATAATCCAGAAGAGACTGCTGAGATTAGAGGGAAGACTGAGCAGTCGGAAATTGCAAAAGACAGCGAGAGCGGGTGACGCTTTCATATGAAATCTCAGATGCCGTGCCCCTGCCTGTGAGCGAGAGATAACGTCTTCTCGGGAAGCAGACGTGACGCTGTCTATTCAAAACCGGTCACAGATCGACCCCGACCCGTGAAATATATCATAAGGATTGCGCCACTTGGAAGGCTGTCTTCACCACGACTCTCTTGATATAGATTGCTCCTCTTCATTTGCTTGCCGGTAGAAATAGTGGTAGAGCGTGATGCACCGAGGTTGCCGTCGTGCTTAATCGTTTGCGTAGTTGTAGCGCCTGGCCGTTGTGCTTCAGGCTTCCCACTCGGCGCAATTGTATTGAGTGCGACTATTGCGGGAAATTGTAGACCCAGGCAGCAAAAAGGAAGAGGCGGTGGCAGCGCGTGAATGAATGAAGAAGGAGTGGTAGAGCGAGTCAGCCTCCTTTCACATTTGTTTTTCCTTACATTTATCTCGTCTTTCGAGTGTTTGACGCCTTCCCCTTAAGGAAGTAGAGAGGCTCGTACAATAATCGGAAATTTCATCAACATGTTTGGGTGCATGTCGAAGCTCGCTCGCCCTGCCCTGCTCGCCGGATGCACGGTGGCGGCGGGCTCGCCGCTGCTCTTGACAACAATCACCACAGTACGACCATAGAAGTCAAGCCAAATACGGCATTCCTCGAAGAATCTGAATACAGCGAAGAATCAGCTGTGGATGCGAATGGCGATGCTCGTGGTGTAACTACAAGTATGTTACAACGTGCTGATGGTACTTCGAAGCTGATTTGTTTAGAATGTACTTCTTAACGAAATGATACCTTTACCTCATGATCACCTCAAAAAAGTTATATGGAAGACTTTTCTTCGTTTTCCTGTGCACTCCCACCCATTCTCATTCAATTTATCAGTTTTTTAAACACCTCACGCAGCAGAGACGACGCGTCCCAGTGCAGAAGACCTTTGGCGAGAAATGGGTTTGGGACCACTGACTGCGGTCAATGGCCAATACGTAGCGACTATGATCTGGAACAGCCCATATTTTCAAAGGAAGAATGTGCAAATTAGTCCGAAAGAAGCCGACGATGCGCTGAGCACAGTCGGATCGCAAGTGCGATCGGAAGGTGGTCACAAAATCAGAGGTTGTAAGAAGAACATGACCAGGCTACCAGGCGAACGATACGAATGCAATTTCGAGACTTTCAAGAAAATGTACGACCAGAGCCCTCGATTGCAATAGCGCGATGGTCGGACGCCAGGCTTAGTCCGAGTATTGAGCGCTTATTGCCACCTTATCCTTATAGACGAATACCTTCAACTTGATGAAAAATGTGCTGTAGTCGTGTGTGCAGATTATATTCAGCAGCTACATCAATTTCAATATCATCTTGCTACTTTTTCTTGACCTTGAGTGCTATTATACTCGTTCTCGCTGGCTTCGTTGCGCCCAGGTGTCAACTTCTTGTTGGATTTTCGACAAGACACAAGCAACGCGCTTCCTGAGATTCCTCTCAGCACAATGTAGCTCGTTACTCGATATCGGGGAAGCCTTGGGTCTTCTTTGCCATGCTGTTGCGCCTCGCGCGTGCCTTGGCTGTTGCCCCATTTGTTCCACGTCACACCTCGCCGTCTTTGTTTGCCTTCGCCTTCTTCGCCTCCACTTCTTGCCCCCACCGTCCTGCCCCTCCTTCCTGCCTCCACCTCCCTGCCTCCACCTCCCTGCCTCCACCTCCCTGCCTCCACCTCCCTGCCTCCACCTCCCTGCCACCACCTCCCTGCCAACACCTCCCTGCCAACACCTACATGCCTTCACCTACATGCCTTCGCCTGCTTGCCTTCGCCTGCTTGCCTTCGCCTGCTTGCCTTCGCCTGCTTGCTTTCCCCTCCTTGCTTTCACCTCCTTGCTTTCACCTCCCTGCCCCCAGCTCCCTGAGAACGCGGGCGGCCCAGACCTGAGAGGCCTGAGCTGCCAAAGCTGGCGGGCCAAAAGGTCTGGGCATGCAAGCTGGGCGGGACCAGCGAGGACGAGCAGAAAGCGCGGGCCTGGGAGGGATCATCGACGTCGAGCGCCCCGCACGGCACCGGCAACATCCCCGCCCCCGCGCGTGCATGTTCGCCTGGCTTGTCTCATTGGCGTGGCGTGCCAAATTGATTCCGCGCGCAAGGATTCCAGGCTGCGTGGGCTGCTTCGGTCTTTGTTCCTCTCGCTCCATCTATCATCTCGACGGCAGCCGCCAAGGGCCGGGCGCTCCGTGCCTCGGTCGCTTTTTCTGTTTTCTCTTAAGTTTTTTCTCTGTACTTGTGGCTGTGCTGTTATCAAGGAGGGGCCGCCCAAGGGGCGGCCCCGGTTTCTTGTATATATAGCAGAGTAGTTTATAGCACGCATGGCGCATGGAGTGCATGGGGCGCAGAGCTTTAAGGGGCGCAAGAAGCTCCCCCTTTAGCTCCTTGCTACTCCATGTGATCCATGCACTCCATGCCGTGCGAGCTGTGAAGCCTTATAAACTGCTCTGATATAATTACTGGGGAGTTGGGTTACAGGCCTACTTAGAGATTGTGGCCTTTTATTTATTCCAGTTCGACTGAAGTTAAAAGTAAGAACAAAAGACAAGAAGAAAGGTTTTTTTCCCCGGTTTTTACTCCTTACTCGGTATCGGTTGCGGAAGTCTGCTCAAGACCGGAGGCATCCTTGCAGGGGGCGCTTAAGAGGATGTCCCGCCCGGGGCCCCTTCCGCTCGGTATGTATCTTTTCCAACCATTTTTTTCTCGCGGTTTTTTTGAGTGTACCTGACTTCCCTCATACCCTACTCTCTGTGCCTGCAGAATGTTAAGGTCTAAGTCACTTGTTAACCCAATTAGAATAGGTACTACCGTACAGCTGGAACTGTACAAAGGATAGTACAATGTGACCATACTTTAAGTAAGAGTTGTAACCTACTAGAAGTATTACTGCCTGTAATTCTTGGCTCTTATCTCCTGCTTACCAGTTACTGGGAAGTTGGGAGCAGCACACTCAACATGGCCCACAAATGTTCGCTGCAGATGCGTTATTATGTGACTGGGAATGCGGCTTCTCGACATAATAATCCCCCTCCTCTTGCCACCTGCTCCTCCTCCTCTTTCCTTCACAGGTAAGCCGTCGCTATTTTCAAGGTCACACTCACGTCTATTCGTCCGTGGTTTGGAAGGAGAACATACAAAGGAGAATACCAATACGAAATTCATTGTTAAAAATTGAGCAGATGAAAACGAAAGCAACCCAGGAGCTCACCGAAGAACGTCTGGTATTCTTTTTCCTTGGTTGCTTGCTTGGTTGCATCGTGAAATCATGATATGTTGAGGTCCTTGTTGTTTGAATATCGACATTCGACAACGTCGAGCATCATCTTCTCTCGTCTCCGTTTTTGTTTTAGTAAAACTTCTTGATGGTCAGTTCTGTACCAATCACAATATCAATGGCACTACTGTTACTCAACAATAACGATCATAAACATAAACGAACCACTACCGTCAGATATCTCGGAAGAATCGATTTCAATGTCCTACCAAGACAGCCCATTAGCCTTTGAATCCCTGAAAATCGACGAAAGAGCATGAGTGTACCATTGACGATATTCCCCTTCAGTGGGTGATCTTTTTCCTCTGTGGTTTACTCTGGTGAGTCTCCCAGACAGAAGCCACTGCCTTGCTGTAAAGAGAGACGCGCATAGGCAGGATCTCTATGTTGAAACGACTTTCATCCTTGGGGATCTTTTGTGCCTCACTTGCTTGATGCCGATCAAGTTCTTTTGAAGTCGATTGCGGCATCTCTCCTAGGCAAGGCCATAAGCATAGTACACACACATAAAACGGAACGAACTCTCCTCGAATCCAGTTCCAGTTGCAGACAGCGATATTGAAACTGAAGGGGAGTGCATCCATATCGCTTTCAATCACTCAGCCACCACCCGGGTGTTTTTTTTGTTACATACCTAATTGTAATTCACCCAGTAGCACTACTGAAATTCTTCAGTCCGATTTTTCATAAAGTCGGTTGTGTCACTCTCACGATCTGCAGCGAAGAGGGTCTGGTAGTGAGAAGTGTTGGTCGGTAGCAAAGATGGGTCGGTTGCACAAGCACAAGGTAAAAAAGAAAGAAGAATAATTGCAGAGCGGTTATACGACCGAGTTCAGAATCACTCTGATTGTCTGCAAGTTGACGAGTTTTGATCGGGGAGAGCCGCTAGACCCTTAGTATCGGCTGAAGGAAGCATCAGCAGCACGTTCTTTAAGTACGGTGAGAGTTCCTTTAAGTGCTTGGTATTGGACAGACACAGCTTCATTAGAGACGCAGACTGCTTACTCGCAACTTGGGCCTGTGTGAGATGGCGTCGGTGCGATCACAGCCGATCTGTCACAGAGAGGGAGATTTGGTGATCTATCCGAATCAAAATCAAGCAAGCGGGCAACTTTCTGTTTCCCCTCATACAAATACAAAAGGATCATAATCATTAGGATTAGGATATATATTTACTTATTCATCTGTATGTAGTAGATCATGCTCATCTAGTGAGGAGGGCCTTGCAGATCCACCTGTGGCGTACCCTGTCGTGAGGTTTTCGGCAAATACACACATGTGTCTCACCCCTGAAAGTCCTCGGTCACTCACACTTACAGACCCGCTTCATGTTACCGACTACAAGCTACATCCCGTATCTTAATGGGCAAATTGAGTCATTTGCTAGCGAAAGAAGATAGACACGATGAGTCGACCTGTGCCGAGAGACTTTGCAGCCAAGTCTAGCTGGATACACTATCCTTCCAAAAGAAGCATCAGGAGCTGGGCTAGCAGGTTCTTCTTCCGAAGCAGACAGAAGTGGGGCTTTCTTTCGAATATGAGCACGTCTTTTGTGGAAGGCGTCGGCAGTAGTCCTCGAGGGTGTGGCAGACTCGTTAGTGATTGTCAGGGAAAGTCGCAGGCTGTATCTAGCGAAGCATAACGCTACAAGAAGCGAGGAAATAGGAGCATCGTGGGTGGCTCTGTGTTCCAAGGCAAGATGTTTCATGATTGCTTTGTTTCTTGACAACGGCTGAGCAGGAGTACTAGCGCAAGAACTTTGGGTCTTCGTCCTCGACCAGGACCAACAATACAGCACGGATCGTGACAGGGCGAGCCCCCGCATCCCCAGAGGAACCAGCACTCCGCGACAGCATCTCCAGAGGAACCAGCAATCCGCGACAGCATCTCCAGAGGAAACAACACGCAAAAGCGAAAGAGATATCTTCTGCAGGAAGGTCGCCTGCTTCTTTACTTGGAGGCTGCAGGACGGTCTTCACCCCTAGCGATGGATTTAGTTGACTGGAATGGATCGAGCGGGCTGCGGGCTGCTCATAGGATGCTGGTTCTGTTGGATTGTAGACGGATACTGGTGAGATTGATCGAGTATGTTTCAGGGGCGCAGTTGCGGACCAATTTAGGTGGTAACGGGAAAGAGAGGTGCGATGCGTTGAAGGCAGGCATAGCTGCGGTCGGTTTAGCGGCTTCCAGGCGCGAGATGGGCGAGGACGAGTTGGCGATCAATTTTGTCCGTCACCCTCACCGCGGGCGCGGCTGATCATGATATAGATATATTTTTATTAAAAAATAAATACGTATCTATTTGTATCATCGGTTTCGAGGTTGTGATACCTCAAATTTTTCATCATACTGATATATATTTCTTGTATTCTTTTTCTTTCGCAGCTCTTAAAGATCCCTCGACATTGGATGCAGCGAGGACAACAGAGGCGAATTAGAGTCTGTTAGCATCCACGTGTTGACACTAGCACAGTCCACAGTCTGTACTTTCATCTCATTTTCCTTGGAGAATCCTTGTAAGTCGTTAGGAACCAGAGGAGTTGGCGATCTGGTCGTTACGGCACGAGTTGGTGATCTGAGCAGTCTGGACCTGGGCGTTGCAGGATGAAGGGAAACTATGAACAGCATACACATTACAGGCATCTGCACCCAAAACACAAGTGGGAACATGAGTAGTAAACACTGGTTCTGTCGTACCGCTGTAGGCTCCCACATCACCTGTGGTGCGACACCTGTGGTGCGCATCCATGGAATTTAGAAGCGCGAGTTTCCTGTGACTCGGACTCCGACCATGTGGTGACGTACGTGAGCAGATGATGAACAAGTAGTATAACAGCCACGACGTCAGATAATGTTTCGTCTGAAATTATGAGCATGATGAGGTCCGCATGCGCATGGAGGAGGTAATTCAAAAGTCGAGTCTCCCTGTATTCATAGAAGTCATCGGTCATACAAAATTTATCCGTGTCATCTGAACGGCTTTGCGAAGTCGCGGCAAATCATGATGTAACGCATTTTGAACAGGGGAAGATGATTCAAAGATTCTTGATCATGAAAGGTAGTCCTTATGAATACCGCCCAAAACCCATTACAACATGATGTCTTTTTCTGTCCTCTATGCTGCGCTCCTTCAGAGTCGGTCCTTTGATGTTGAGTGATAGGTTTTCTGTTGACGTGTTGGATAAACGACCACTCCAACGCATTTTTTGTGCAAAATATGACCCAGAATCATAATCAAATCATGAAAAAAGTCAAAGTTCTGAAATTTTTTACAGTCCGTCAGCTGATTGTGATTTGTTGAATGTTGTATGCAGCAGTTTCGCATACACTAGGATATATTTATAGAAAAACAAGTATTCTACTTCTACAGCGATGAATCAGAAGAGCTATCTATTACGAGTTGTACTTGCTCTGTTGATATTTGATAAGCAAAATAAAATGGATCTTCAGATTCATTTTTGCTTATCAATCTGACGTCATTCCCTGGCCATCTTGCCTAACAGGTTGCAACGAACAAGAGCTTGCTCTTTTTCTTAGTTTTTATCAAATACAAAAATTTGCTACTCTTACATTTACTCTTGGGCCACTTGCACTTCTTATGTTCTTTGTCTTTGTCTCATGAACACCGACATAGAAAAAATAGCTTGATCTCGCTTACTTATCAAGTGTAGCCGACAATATTAGTGCCCGATGCATCTACAAATATATGGTCTCAGCATTACAAACAAGGCAAGAAAAAGTTAATATTCTTCTCCGCGTACTAGCGGAAGACGCTCCAATCACGCACCTACCAGTGCTAGGAAATACGTAAAAGATTAAGATTTGAATTTCGACGTGGTTCGTACAACTTCAAGCTATACAAGATGAATGCCTTTCTCGGACTATCTGTCTTCTTGTTGGGATTTCTGGCGTTTTCTCCGTGTGGAGTGACCGCCTCTGCTTCTGCCGCGCTTCAGATGCCTCCCGCTGCGTCTAAACGTCGCCGCGTGGAAGAACCCAAAGTTGGCATCATTAAGAAATAAGAGTCGTGCGAGGACGATGAAAATAATTTTTATAATATAGTAGGAGGTAATATCAGTAGGTGTAGGAGTAGAACAAGGAAAGAACATGTAGATGATAGTTGGCATCATTAAGAAAAAGGACAACATGAGCAAGATTTTTCGTGTGGAAGTAACACTCCTCTCATGTTCGTCTAAAAGTTGTAGCTTGTGGCTCCCCCAGTGTGGAATTAGAACTTGCTTATGTCTTTTTGGGTCATTCTCGTGGTGGAAGAGCGTCAACATTAACTAAACAAGATACTGAGAAGTCGCCAAGAAAATCTTAGGCAGATTGCCGAGTAGATTCGCGCCATCATTGTGATCTCCTACAAATAGCTCCTCCTAGATTTCCAAACCTCCAACACCTTCTGTCATCTCTAAGATCAGTGCGTCTGACAAGAAGCTCGTGCAAGAAGTGGGGGATGAACGCTTGAAAAGGCAATTTCAACTGGTGTGGGCAGACATGTGCCGTCGGCAGCGTCGTGGTAATGCTACTATTGCAGAACAGTTTCAAGCTTCCATGAGTATCAAAATCGATAGTGGTATGCAATTCTTGTTCGCTCTCGCTGGCGTTGATGTTATGGACAAGAGAGGTTGCAGGTCCAGGTAGAGATGGTGGTCTGCTACTGCTTAGATATAAATAATAGCTAATGCTTTCTCAACTCATCTGCTACTGCTTTCTTCTATCTTTCCTAGGTATGTTGGCTCCACCACGAATAGAAATAGAACATTGAACAAGTTCTTGTTGTAAAAGTATTTTTATATTCCAGCTCTTCCCCTAGCAGGCTGTCTGCTTCTTTGGCCTATCTCATAGACTGGAAAATCTATCATCATATGGAAAGATAGAAATAGTCACTTAGGTCCATTCCGAATCGACTAAGGAAGTTGTGTGTCCAATTCGAATCGACTAACATCGTCGTCAGAAATATTACTCACTTGTTAAGAATATTAGTTTTAGTACCTTTCCGGATGAAGATCACCCATTACGTATTTTGAAAATGCTCATACAACTAGCTAGGAACGAGGAGGTCGCCGAACTCGAACTCACTTCTAATACTGCAATCAATGTCGAAGTAAAACTGGCGAAGCTTGCTGAAGTTCCAAAGCTATTGCTGAACGTGCTTGTCCGGCAGTTCTGCAGCTCCTTGCTCACAACTGAAGCGGAATGGAGCCGCTTCAGACAACTACACGAAACCCTGAAGTGGTCAATTCAAGCAGCCAAACGAAAGAAACTATCGAAGTCAAGCGGTCAATTGATGATTCAGAAAGTAGACACGCTTCAAGATGGAGATGAACAAGATGGCAATGGAGGACGTTATGGCTTTTATGGAAATTATGGTTACTTACCACTTCGTCTATCAGGAGACACCAACATCACTATTGCTTAGCAGCTGGACATCGTATTATCTCAACATCCGGAATTTGATACAAGTACATGTTCAACTTGATGAATTAATAAGATCGTAGGTGGGGCTGATAACTGCTCTAAAGAGGAGAGGTTGATGAAGAGGAAGAGGACGAGTCGTCAACAAAGCCTACTCGCTACCGTCCGGAAGTGCTCGAAAAGGAGCTAAAGCGCTTGATTTATGAGGCCAAGGACAGCATCGATGAAGTGACGCGTATGAAGAACGACCTCAAGTTAAGGGTTGACGTTGAGGTTGAAGTTGATGTACCATGCATTTGATTTATTTTGACCACCCATGAGGAGCATGATCTTTTGAAATAACTGGGTGGCCCGGGTCCCACAGGAGCAGCATCTTTCGAAAAGCAGAAGCCCCAAAGGAGCATCTTCATGGCTTAAAAAGGGTACTTCTACTTTATCCCTTTCAGCCGTTTTCTACTTCTTCAAAAGATCACTTACTCCAAAAGATGCAGAGGATCCACGTGATCCAAAAGATCTTCATGATGCAGAAAAAAGGGTATCCACCTCGGTGCCTGCTCTAATCATGGAAGTAATTTTGGGCATCTCCTTACCCTTAGAAGAATTTTTCGCAGCACAAAGAAAATCGAACGAGGAAAAGGGACTACGCTCAACCGTAGTACACGGCGCAATGCAGAAAATTGTGGAAATTGTTGGAGGCATTTGGTCTCCGTCCGCAGCGCAGCTGCAACTTCGGGAAATAACCGAGCGCCTCTGGGACGATATGCGAAATTTCGTGGATCTTCGGGATTCCCTCTTGGAGTGGGTCCATGAAACTTTCGGCTTTTCCGTTCTGCACGAATCTCTTATCAAGCGAATGGAACAAGCGAAAACAGGAAAAGAAAAGGCTGCAGTCTTCCGCCAGTTTCCGAAGCTTTTGAAACTGGAGAGCTTTTTTAAGTCCTTTCCGTTCGCGGACAAGGTTCTTGCGTTAAGGGTGAGGGAAATGCGTCCCCAAGGCCAACTGGAATAATGTCGAGGCAAGAAGAAAAAGGCACCCAGATGGTTCCTGGGAGGATGCATTTCGTATCCCTCTAATTGTGGAAACACGAACGCATCTTCTGAACGAAGCGATGACTGATCGCAAAGGTATCGACGTCAATACTCTGGAACGGAAGTCCCAGCGACAACACGTCTACAACTCATCCGGACTCTATTATTCGCTAAACAAAGCAGGCAAAGGCAAAGCCGAAGTTGTTCATCTATGTCGGCACTGATTGAGAACTACGAAGGAAAGGGGATGTCGTCACCAGGGAAGAAGCACATCGGGACGGAACGACATTCCCCTGCTGGCCTTCTGCTCAATCAGTGGCAGCATTCAGTTCAAGCAGATGACAGAAGAAGCTCACTTCCAGGTCCGCTGGAAAAATATTTTGGTTCTACCAATGCTTTGTGGGTTAATACCAGCGAGAACCAGAAGAAACTAGAACAACGCATCATGGAAATGCTTCCAAGTCCAGAGAAAGAGCTCAAAGAGTACACCTGGGCAGAATGGACTAGCACCGGCCTCCGCCTTTTTCAAGCCCTGCTACAGCCTCGTCCGTACTTTCCTCTCTTTCCCATCACTATCCAAGACGCGAAGAAGAGCTGGAAGGGTGGTCGATTTCTAGTGCGTGACAGTAAGGCAGATCTAGCTGCGGCATACGAGAACCTGGGTGTTTGCATTCTGACTCCAAATGCAAAAAATGTGAGAGAAGCATCCTCCTCGTTCGGGAAAAGAAGAATTCTTGCCCAACCGATGGACACTATAGCTGATGTTCGCACAATCGATGATAGTGTCCAGATAAACAGCAGAAGCCTAGCGTGGAGCTCGGATTTCAAGACCTGGAAATATCACATAGAACGAAAGGTAGTTGGAGCCGCCAAGTCTGCGACTCCTGCTGAAGGAGTAGCAGGTGAAAAGAAAGCTGAAGAAGAGTCTGCAATTGCTGAAGAAATCGACCGCCAAAGCAAGGCCAAGGCTCCTTCGGCTTCGCGGCCACCTTCAATAATATTAAGTACCTCTGGATGAAAGAAAAAAGTGCACTCACACTCAAAAAAAGTAGCTATTTCCCTACTTAAATCCTAGCCGATTTCTTGAGTGTGAGTGTACTTTTTCGCTTCATACTCTGAACTCGCTGCACATTTTCGGTATCAAGTTTTCGGACCGAACAATTTTAAAACTTCTTCGAAGAAAGGGGAAATCGAAATGGACACCACGCAGATGAAGAAGTGGAGTTATCTGATCAACGACGCTCGAGAAGTGATATCCGGCGAAGGAGATCTTCGAAAAGCCGACTTGGGTGGACCCATGCAAGAGAAAGATTGGGAAACCCTCATTAATGCAAATGCACCTCCTTCTCCTGCATCGACTAGATCCTTTTTGGACAAGAGGTTTCCCGGTATGCTCGCAAAATATTCGAAGGAAATGCAAAAGAAGATATTGCAAAACGATGAGCGAGAGGCAGAGCAAGCGAGAACCGCTGCTGTCGCAAAAGAAGCTTCGCTAGCAGCACAGGCCCCGAAATCAGGAATGAAGCTATTCCATGGCCAAACGGAGGAGGCCACCAGCACCACAGTAACGTCTTTTAAGGCACAGCTACTACAACCCACTGAGCTAACTCTAGCGTAATGCGATGGAAAAAATGAAGGCCGTATGAAATATAGCCGTGTCGTTAGTTTTCACATCAACGATCGAGCCTGATAAACATAAGTATCTATGCTGCATTCTTTTTCTTGAGGAAATTATATACAATCTATCAACACAACTTTTGTAGTTCTACTACGAAGTAGTACCTACAAGTAGATGGATTTTTTGAAATTAGCACTTCTTTGACAAAGCTCTAAGTCTTCACCAGCACTAGAAGAGGAAGAATCTTCCCAAGGAAGGGTATTGAAAACCGTGAGCTTCGAGGAACCTTCAAACGGAATTGTACGACATTTATCTGGATTAGAGGTGAAACACTGTGGGCTGGTACTCCGGTCGACAGACGTAGTTCGAGCCAAATCGTGGAACAGTGCGTGGACTCAAGAAGTACTCCGTTCTGACGTCGTGGCTGCATCTTCCTCTTCGTCTTCAACATCAACGCCAAAAACGCCTGGAGGACCTAGACGAGATGAAAAAGAAATACATGCCTCGGGAGCTGCCTCGTCTGGTTCTACTGGTGGAGGTCGTGGCACTGTTGAAAATGAAGGTATCCGTGTCGCAAGAAACAAGAGAGCTGAGCAAGCTTTGAAAGAATTTTCGGAGATTTTCGTTGAGGATTGGGAAAAAGAAGGCAAATTGACGGACGAGCTTTGGTTCAACTTGCAAATGTTCATGTCCTACATGAAACTCACGCCCATTGTCGAAAAAATTGTCCTGGAAGCCAACAACTATTAAGGGTAGGTTAAAGGTGCTTTTCTTATCGTTTGTTATAGCTCTCCTAAGAGGGACGGCCATAACAAACGGAATAAACGAACACCAAAAGCCTACCTCTAAAACTACGAGGATGAAAATACTGCTGCTGACCCTGGCCACGACTTTCAGGCAACAAAGGAGCAGAGTCGGGTGATCGCGAAGTCTCCTTCATCTTCTGTGTTGTCAGGAGCACGGCAAGAACTACCGCAACGGCTACCCGGAAGGAAGAGGAGTGCAGGAGATCTTCTCACAGAACAGCTTAATCTTAAAAAAGCAACCGCAAGTATTGGGACGACGTCTTTTGGTCCGGAAAACCACGTTTTTTTGCAATATAACGTCCGCAAAGTTAACTCAGTGGGTTCGATCACAACTGCTCCCTTTTTTCACGTGGATTCACGACCTGATAAAATACAAGACCTCTTTTACTGGATCTTCATGCGGAATTTCGACACTGAGTCTGCCTTAGCAGCACTTCTTGCTAAATTTCGTTACCTCAAACTGGATGATGATACCCTCGTAGATGAACAAGAAGTCGGAAGGGAGACTAAGACAGTAGGAGATGAGGAAACTGATGTGCATGAGCATGTGCCTACGCCGCAGAAAACTAAAGAAACTGTAGAAGTTGGTGGAAGTGATAAAGGGCTCGTACATGAAGATATGGAGGTGGAGGAAGAATTGCTTGACGAAGAGGACGACTCGGGTTCAGACATGGATGATGTTGGCTACACCATGTCTGATAGTGAGGGCGAGAGTACCCTAATAACAGATGGTAGCAAAAGTCAGCTTCGAAGTGCTGCACCTCTTAACGTAGAAGACGCAGTGGCGGAGGACGAAGCAAGAAAGGAAACCGCAGTGGGGGATTGGTCAAAGACAACACTCGCTGACCTATTGACTGACAATAAAGAATTCTCTGAGACGTTTTACGCTCTGGAAATCAAGCAAGCTCTTCGATTGGCAGAACAGGTTTCTTTATTTTTCATTTTCTACTGACAAAGAAGATCGGTCGCAGTTGATATAATTGTCCATCATCCACCATTGATCCTCGTTTCTTAGAGGTTAGTACACGAAAACTTTATGATCTTGATTATTGTACAAGTACATGTTGTACACGTAACACACGACACTGACTTCAACTCAAGAAGTAAATTAATGACTAACTAATGAGAGCACCTACAATCTAAACAATTCATCACCCTTCTTATTATCATTGTGTAACATCCCGTCAGGCCTGGCGTTTCGCGGTTGCGGATGTGATCACCACTCATGGCGAGTCTTACGACAATCACATTCGCATGATCAACACGTGGACGCCGTTGAACGAAAACCCCAAAGAGATTCAACCGACTTTAAGATGAGACGATGGCTCTTTTATAAGTTCAACTTCTGCATGCTTGTATGATGCCATTCATTCAGAACAAAGATATGCAGCAGTAGGGCATGTGGTTCTCGTTCCTAAGTAAGAAGGAAAAGGGGGAACGACATCCCCCGATCCATCTAGATTCTCAATAAGTGGAAGCCTTCAACAGTGTTGGCTTTCGTTCTGTTGGTCGTCATAGCTTATTTTGCAAGGAGTAAGAAATGTGAATCTGCCATAGCTAGAAGTTACAAGATAAGCTTCTTCATGATGCCAGCAAGGTGAACTTCAAGAAGAACTTCTATGAGTCTACTACTACTTGTACTTCGTACTTTTACTTCGTACTTACACCTAGTTCTTACAACTACAAGACCACCTGAAGTCCTCCATCAAGATTTCTCTCCTCTAAGAACCCTTGGCTTTGTACGACATCGGGATCCACAAGTAGTGGAGGAGCAGTCCGCAGTCGAACGCATCAGCCGTTTAGTGGTGGCCCAGGAAAATACTGCTGGACAACTAACATACATGGACCCAGTTGAAATTGCATCGTCGTTGATTGTTTTATGAAGAAGGCAAAGAACGTCTTCTAGGTGTACTCCGGTGGGTAGAAGGCACATAAGTATTTATAAGACTAAGAAGAGTGTTGCGCAAGTAGACGAGCTTGAAGGTGAAGGAAGCCTCGTCGTTACTCGCTAATATTCGTACTACTACTAGCGTTCCAACAACATCAAGCCTCAATAGACAATTATCAACACAAGCCAAAAGCAAAAGACGCAAAAAAGTACTTAAGTGTCTTTTCTCTAATCTCCCCCTCTGAAGACCCCAAAGACCAGCTGGCAGCATTTACCTTGCCAAAGATAACGAGAAACCACACTTACGTTTTCAATTCGCTACAAGCTTTACATGGTGCGATCATGATACACGGAGATGGCGACTTGGCACTGCAAGAACGCGTACAAAGTGCAGCTCTGCCTACTGCTAATATTATGGCACTTGGCTGCTCTGGTTGAGCTTCAGGTAGTGGCACAGGTAGTTCTAGTTGAGTAGAAGTTGTATGTTTTCTTATAATTTCTCCAGCTGCAGCAGGAGTAAGAGTAATATAAAGGAAAGGCGTAAGAAGATTAAGATTCATCCCCCAGCAAGGCAATTACGCCTGGGGAACGACACACGCACCAGCACCAGCACCACCACCTCCATTAGCATTATCCCACGACAACTTAGCAAACTTTTCAAAAAGACTTAAAAATAAAATGAAGTATACGAATGTCCTCTAATTTCCAACGTGAGTCGATTGAAACGAGGAGCTTGCTGCTATCTACACGATTTGCGGGGAGATTCGTCTTCCGATTCGCGCAATTGGTCATTTGGCAGGAAGAATTGGGAAGAAAATATCCCTTCGTTTCGTCGAAGGAATACCAGGACAGTGGATTTACGAAAGAAGAGAGAAAGGTACAAGAACATGATGGTCTTTATTAATCTCCATATTACTAGTACTAGTAGTGGCCGCGAAGCAGTGGACCCTCAACCTTAACCTTAGCCTTAGTGGCTCCGTGAAACATCAAGGAGCTACTTTGTTCTTCTCAGACTTCTTGACCACAGAGGCTTAATAGGCCGTTTAACGTCAAGCCTATCAGGATAGCCATCTACATCTCTGCTAGACTCCAGCTGAAATCACTGTCACTCTCACACTCACTGTAGATCGATACATAGATTTAAGAGTGATCGTTTAGGTTTACTTACGTTTTCAGCATCTTCTAACAACCCGGGGAAAGATAAAGACGCCTTTGATGTAGCTCGGGCTCAGGACGAGCAGCGCCTTCGAAAGTTTTTAGACCGAAAATACCAAGAGGCTAAAAGAACAACAAGAGCTTCTTTTAGTAGCCCTGCTCTGGTGGAAAACAAGAGCTGTAATCATCAAGTAGAGCAGCAACTGCATGCTGTGCCAGGAGATGTAGAAGCACATGATCAAGAAGTGCTACAACAACCTCCGCAATCTCCTGTAGTCATTTCTGCCGATCCATTGAGGCCAGGAGTAGACCTAGACTCACCTGAAGCACGCGAAGGAAAAGAAAGAGGAGCGGCGTTGGAGGAAGGAGAGCAAAAGGGTCTAGTCCTAGCACCCCCGGGCGAAGCGATGGAATCTGTCACGACCACAGAACCAGAAAAACAAGAAGTGCTACAAGGGCCCCAGTCTCCTATGGTTATTTCTGCCAATCAATTGAGATCAGGAGTAGACCTAGACTCTGACTCACCTGAAGCACGCGAAGGGAAAGAAAGAGGAGCGGTGTTGGAGGAAGAAGAACAACAGGGTCTAGTCCAAGTACCCCCGGGCGAAGCGATAGAGCCTGCCACGACCACAGCACCAGAAGCGGGTCATAACGTCGAAGAAGAACAAACAGAAGCAGGTAGTAGTACTACTCATGATAGTACAAGTGGTACTGGTCAAGCACTGGACGACATCAGACAGGACGAGGATAAACTGAACAGCCTTCTGCTTCGTGGGTCATCTACTTCTACTCGAGAAAAAATTCCTAGGAGGGAAGATGCAGAAGAAGTTGCTTCGGATGATAATGATCATGATATGGAAGATCATGTTAAAAAAGAAGTTGCAGCAGCAGCTTCAGCAGGTGATCTGGCTCATCCTCATCAAGAACAAAATTATATCGAAGATATAATAGATCAGCATGCACTTGCTGAAGTTGAAGGTCATGCGAGCGTCGAGGAGATGGTCGTGGACGAAGATAAGACAGATCATGATCATAAAGATCATGTGGCTGACAAGCAGACAGTAACAGAAGAGCATCAGAAGAAGCGTAAAAAGAAAGGGTCGAAGGCGAAGCGGCCATCACAACGTGAGGGCTCTCGTGGAAATCGAAATCGACAAGTATTGCGCAAGGAAAATGAAAAACATTAAGGAAGTCTCAGTGTGCAAGTGTGCGTCTGACTCTAACTCTATCACTTCTATCTCCTCTCCAGTAACAGTTTTTGTGCAATCTGTAAGTGAATTCGGGAGAAGATTTCTCGTCTTCTAAAAAGAAAAACTAGAGCAACAGGCTAGGGCTAGCGCTAGAAAAAAGGACGCAGTACCTCAACCTCAGACCCGGGCAGGCGCAGGAAAGCGAAAGCAGGGGAGGGTAGCGTGATAAACAAGATTTCGAAGGATGGATGATTTTGAGCTGCACATGGCTATGTCAAGCGAGTCGGTTATTTCACCGAGCACCGTGTTGCCACTGCTGTTGCAGTAGGACAAAAGAATATCGATTTACATGTAGCAGGTATTGGTGAGCGGAAAATGAAAAGGGAGATCTTTACTTTTAGTTGTTCTTGTTGTATCCTCATCATCGCGACGAGAATGGTAAAACATCAACGCAAAGAGAAAAAGATTTCTTTAAAATTGTTTCTACTTCTTTCAGCAGGACGAGTTAGAGTTTGGTAGTAAAGAAATCATAAAGTAGGCTGACTACGTCGCGCACGTAACGTTTGGATCCAAAAAGAAGAAGGTGTAGGTGTTTCTAGTATTCTTGTGGCTGAGGACAGCACTTATATGATCCAACCGTGCATAATTAGCTCTACTTATCGCAACATTCGGAACTGTGGAGGGGTGTCCTTATTCCAGTATCAGTAGGGAAACAAAAACAAACAATGGAGTGAGTGTTCAAAAACTTTGCTCCTATAATCGAAGGTCAAGGTCAGGTTTTTCTAAGTACAAGTAGCATATGATCATTATATATATGTATATGGCCATTTCTAGCCTATCCTATGGCGAAGATGGTTCTAAGATGGCTCTCCTCCACCTCTTTGACGAGGAAGATGAACTCTCATTTATAAATCTAGTCCCCTTGTTCTCGCTCTCCTCGGCTAGTGGGAGACCTGGACGAATAATAGACAATTACTGTTATTAAGGAGCTTTAGTAGAAGATATATGCGAACGGAATGCGCGCTCCTACAACTTCTTGTTCTTGTGATGTTGAGGAGTCAGCTCCGTCTCCTTGATGCTAATTATCATTTTGATGAAGCTCCTAAACCTCCTCGTCCTCATGTAACGTAATTAGCACTACAAAAACTGCTTCTAGTTCTACGTCTACCGAGCAAGAACAACATGTTGACCACTAATACGTCGCGCACGTGCTCGGTTTCTTCATGTCCACTTCGTACTTTCAGTTCTTGTTAAAAAAAATTTATTTCTTGTTAAAAAAAACCCGAGGAGGCAGGTCAAACTGGTGTGGACGGTGAATCAAATCCTATCCTATCCTTCTTCCGGATAAGGATATTTCTGAAAAACTTGCGTCGTCGAACAATCTAAGTTCTTCGTCGATATTTCTTGTTCCTGCTCTCGTCTCGTACCTTTTTCTGTGGCTGCACATGTTCGCTCGATGAGGCAGGTGGTCACACTGTGGACGGCGAACCACCTCCTATCCTATCCTTTTTCTTTGCTGACTCACCTCCGTTCATACCTTCAAAGCGAACAAGCGCGGTCTGGGAATGAAAATAGCTGCAGCTGCGCCAGGAGTTCCCAATAAGCAGCGTACGTTCTTCAAAGCAGCCGAAGAAAAACTGGTGGTCCAAAGACTGCAGGAGGACAAAGGCCCAGCTCTGGCCATTCTCAGGTCCAAAAATTCAAATGGGATCGAGACCATGTCTGACATTTCTTCAAGCGTCACAAGGGCTGGTCAGCGAAGATTGCAATATCCAGAGTAGTCCTACTTACCCATACCCTGCAGTGCTTGAATCCTGAAAAATGTTGCTACCTTTATTGCGGTTTCAATTCTATTACGTTTACGACACAAGATAAAAAAAGATGTATTGTGACCACCAGTCACGAGGATCTTCAAAAAAATCAAGAATACCGCGATCTTCATCTTAATCTTTACGAATTATAAATATTTATAGATATACGTACTCATCTCACACATCAGACACAGTAAATGTTGGAGTGAATAAAAACTCCATTATTTTCATACTCGAAATCATAAGACTTTTTGGAGTACTTACATAGCTTTTTCAGAAGACGAAGACTGAAGCAACAAGTAGAGCAACGTAATACTTACTACAGAATAAAAGATACTGCTGAAAGCTATCATTTACTACCTACTTTAAGAGACACGACTGAGGCTGTGGCTGAAGCTGAGCCAGAGCCATCTACTTCTAGAATAAGTACTGAAGGTAGTACTGAAGATACTGAAGGTTCAGAACCATCTACACCTTCTAGAACCACTTCTACAAGGACAAGGATAGCTCCTTCAAAGACATTCTAACCTGATCGTAGTCTAATTGAGACACGAAGACGAACAAGGTCAAGTATAAGTAATATATTATCTGATAATCAAGATCTTCAAGGACCTGTAGCTGTACAACCTAAAAGCTGCACAAGGTAGAGGACAGAATGTTCTTGGCTTTGGTGTTGTTCTCACGCGGCATGGCAGCACGAAAGATGAAGATGTTCATGGTCATTTAAGGGTAGGCTTTTGCCGTTCCTGTTGCCCTTAGTTTTGCCTCTCTGTGTGTGTGTCCCTTGAGCCAGAGAGGCATAGCCAACGGAGTAATCTAACGACAAAAGCCTGCCGCTAAGTCATTCCCTTCCTGGCCTGCGTCCTCGTCCTGAATGCCGTGGGCGGGACGGCGGCCCCAGGAAAATGGGGCAAAACGGGCCACCCTGATATGCTCGGCACTGAAGTGTGGTACTATCCTCGTGATGAGAATCGCATGGATCAGAATGAAGATCGGAATTAAGGCTAACAAAAACCTACCGCAGGGTAAGTAGTAGCTACGGGTAGCTACTTTTTGGGGTTCCGACCATCTGGACCTGTTGCTGTTCTTTTTGGCGCAGCAAGAATAAGAAAAAACTATAATCCTCCCACCCTAAGAAAATTGGAGCTTGCTGAGTACCTTTAGCTTGACGTCTGGCCCCGATGCGGCTCCACTCGAAGTCACAGTCCGGCGCGAAATCGCAGCACGCTTCACGACCGAGTATTCGCCGTTCGCGTTGGCCAAGCAAATCGCAGGGCTTGGACAGATCACGCTGAGCCCGAAATTTTACAAGGGTGCTACTCTTATGGATCTTCCTCCTGTCTCCGTCGCTGTGGTCTCCCGAATAGATGTTAGTCATCTGCTCCATGATCCACTTTTTTTCAGACAACAACTCTAATACTGAGGAACAGGATTTTCTCCAGAATTTTGCGCACTATCTGGTGACGAACAAGAGTGTGAATCTTAAGGCTCCTACCGCTTTTTAGCAACATGTATCTAACACTGCTAGTAATTCATTCCTCTTCATCTACGACGTTTATATTTATATAGGTATCTATATTTGATATAATTTTGTGACGAGATGAAAATAAGCCACAGGACAAGGGTCGTGAATCATGGTTCATGAGACGCCACGACAGGGATGCGTCTTCGTCAACATGATTTTTGGGAGTGGACCTTGTAGCAGAGTCTACTTCTTCTTAGAACAAAACCTTCGTTCTGGCTGCATCTGTTGAAGATAATCATCTTCTGTCTCTTCAGGGGCAGCATAAGGCCCAACTACATCATCTTTGCGAAACACTGCACTTGTCTTTTTATTCGCAACGAAGTCGCATAATCTGTTAAACTGGCAATAGGTCTTTTTCCTCAATCATGTCATGACGACCCCCATGTATTTCATTTTCCTCCTCCATGCTGTGCCCATCTCTACTTCTTCTAAGAATGCAGAAGCAATCGGGATCGTGGTTCCCGCAAACCACGGCTTACCGGGTGGCGGAACCAGCTACATTCCGCAGCCGCGGGTGGGTTTTATACCGCATGTCATCTACAACTTCCCGTTGAACGCGCGTGAAATTGGCACGGACCCCAATCATGGGGCTGAGGAGTCTGTGATGAGCAATTGGTACGTGCACCACACTCAAGGTTTGCCTAACGACACAAGGACGAAAGAGAACATGACTAGGCTGTACCAGAGCACGATCCAGGGTGCTTGGGGCCTAAGAACGAACTTGCCAGGCGATAATACAACCATTCAAGAGATGGTTAAGACTTCCGGAATAATAAATCTCCCATTTTTACAAACATGTAGATCTTCTTGGCCCTGTATATTAGTGTGAGGGGAGGGGAGACGAGAAAAACGGGTCCAAGAAGATCATGCTTTTAAAAATGAGAGATTCTTTTTCGGAAGGTCTTTCTAAGGTGGACTACACAATTACCGAAAACCCATTCTCCTTCGCAGACTGTTGGGTTCTGGCGAACCCCCGTCTCGGACGGGAGCAGGATGGTCGCTACGTGGATATTGCCTCAGGTGGACAAGCCTTCGGCGCTTTTCTCTTCGTTGCGGCGCCGAATGGAGGAAACACTCGCGGATTCGCCGAGTCTGGCTCTATGACGCGCACTCTGAGCCGTCTCGCGCAAGCGAATTTCAGCTTCTTTCAGGCTGGGGTGCATGCAGCCATTTCGGGTGCCATCGACGCTGCCATTCGAGAGCAGGTGGAGCGGGGCAAGCCTTTGCGCGTGCTTTTGTTCAACAAGCTGGGTGGAGGCTTCTACTGGCCGCGCGAAGTGCCAAATTCCTACGACTCACCTTTGAAGAACGGTGGTCCGACCCCTCAGTTCTACCAAAATCTCATTATGTTCTTGGAGCGGTACTTTTTAAACGTTGATGATTGAACATCATGATGACGTTCATTTTCAAAATAACCCCCGCAGTACGTTAGAATCAGAACTAGTTGCACTCGGTAGCGTTCATCATGATCATGTTCATCCGAAACTAGAAATCATTATGTATGATTTGATCATTCCTCTAGGTGTTTTCCTTTTCGTTTTCCTTTATGTTTATCATACATATGTTTTCCTTTTCCCTTATCATTATTTCGTGATATTTTCTAAAATCCTTGAGCAAGTCCTTCGGGAACCGGTGTACGTGAAGAATGTCAATGATGTGACGTACCTCCTACGCAAGGGAGCCTTCTTTGACGACATCTGGGTCACGGGACTGTTGAATCAAGGTAGTGCTCAACAGCAAGGAGGACAAAATGCTCAGCAGCAAGGTGCACAAAATGCGCAACAGCAAGGTGGACAAAATGCTCAGCAGCAAGGAGGACAAAATGCTCAGCAGCAAGGTGGACAAAATGCTCAGCAGCAAGGTGGACGAAACGCTCAACAGCAAGGTGGACAAAACGCTCAACAGCTGCAGGCGCCGCAAAACGCTTCGGACGATGGACTCAGTGGCGGAGCGATTGCAGGCATTGTCATTGCTTGTGTCGCGGGGGCTGGGCTTATCGGCGTCTTCATTTGGTGGTGTTTCACCAAGAACTGAAAGTAAAGAAGACCGAGAATTTTTTGCGTCTCATTATGTCATAGGAGACGAGTCGTGAAAGACTGCTCACAATGGGGCAGGGTAAGCTGCTCGCAAGAGGGCAGGGTAACCTCCTGGCCTGCCTCTGTGCCTGTAGCTGTTGTTCGCGAATCTACTTGTACTTAGTAAGCGCGACCCAATCCCAAAGGATAATTCTTATAAGTTGATAGATAAAAAACATAACAAAAAAAACCTATATTATTAATCTATCTTATTAATCTCCGCCGCCATAAAACTCCCCGCCTAACCCACCGGAGACTAGTCGCCTCCTGCCGCGAAGCTATTGCCCATAGCCTCCTGCCCTTTCCCCTCACTCCTAAGCCCGATAGCCTCCGGCCGTTTTCTTGTTGGAGTTCACGTTGTGGCCCCGTGGCAGACTACCAGAAAAGAAGCCAGAAAAATGCCCGACGGGGGTAGGGGCGCAAGCTGGCGAAAGAAGTCCAAAGAGAAACAGCCGAAGAAAGAACTTCGACCAAAGACACCCGGACCCCAGACCTATGGACCAATGGCGATCTTTGGACCGAAGGCGACCTTCAGACTGAAGGCGGTCCTTGGTCCGATCTTTGAACCAAAGGCGATCGTTGGACCTACCAGAGACGATCTTGGGACCAAAGGCGGTCTTGGGACCAAAGACGATCGTTGGACCAGCGGCGATCTTTGGACCAAAGGCGACCTTTGGACCAGAGACGACCCCTGGACCCAAGACGACCTTTGCTACCTATTGCTGGACCCAAGACGACCACCGGACCAAGGGCGACCTTTGGACCACCGGCGACCTTTGGACCACAGGCGACCTTAACCTTTGGACCACATCCACCGGCGACCCTTGGACCACAGGCGACCTTTGGACCACACCAGACGACACGACCGCTGGACCAAAGTCAGGCGACCTCTGGACCAAAGTGCGACGACCTTTGGACCAAAGTAAGGCGACCTTTGGACCAAAGTAAGGCGACCTCTGGACCAAAGTAAGCCGACCTTTGGACCAAAGTAAGCCGACCGCTGGACCAAAGTAAGGCGACCTTTGGACCAAAGTAAGGCGACCTCTGGACCAAAGTAATAGTAAGGCGACCTCTGGACCAAAGTAAGGCGACCTCTGGACCAAAGTAAGGCGACCTCTGGACCAAAGTAGGCGACCTCTGGACCAAAGTAAGGCGACCTCTGGACCAAAGTAAGGCGACCTCTGGACCAAAGTGAGGCGACCTTTGGACCAAAATGAGGTGACCTTTGGACTTGGAGTCTGGACCAAAGTAAGGCGATCTTTGGACCGAAGGCGATCCTTGGGAGGGCCAGAGACGATCTTTGGACCAGAGACGACCTGTGGACCAAAGACGATCTTTGGACCAGAGGCGTTTTTTGGACCAGACACGACCTGTGGACCAAGGGCGACCTTTGGACCAAAGGCGACCTTTGGACTACAGACGACCTTTGGACCACGGCAGACCTCTGGACCACGGCAGACGTCTGGACCAAAGCCGACCTTTGGACCAAAGACGACCCTCAGACCAGAGGCAACCTCTGGACCACAGACGACCTGCGGACCACCGGCGACCTTTTAAGGCGACCTCTGGACCAAAGTAAGCCGACCGCTGGACCAAAGTAAGGCGACCGCTGGACCAAAGTAAGGCGACCTTTGGACTGAAGTAAGGCCACCTTTGGACCAAAGTGCGGCGACCTTTGGACCAAAGGCGACCCTTGGACCAAAGGCGACCGTTGGACCAAAGGCGACCTTTGGACGACCAGAGGCGACCGCTGGGCCGAAGACCTCCGACAAGACAAGAGACCCGCGACGGCAGACATCTGACGAACGACCTCTGCCAGAAAAACTGCCGCCCGACCTGTGGCGAGAAGCCCTACCTCGACGAGGATAGCGAAGACCTTTGACGAAGGACATCAATCCGACGAACGCGGTCAGTCTGGCGAAAAACGTCAGTCCGACGAAGGGGCAGAATTAACCTCACGAAAGAAAGACATCCGCTGCCCGAAGAAAGGTCCCGCGCAGCCTGTTCCGCTTCCGACGCAAGGCAGACGCCTGGCGAAGCAGTGCGCCGGTCTGGCGAGAGGCGTCACCTGGCTGGTCAGTGCATCAACCTGACGAACCGGCGGCGCCATGCTGAAGCAAGCCATCAACCTGACCAAAGGCGTGAGTCTTGGCCCGGCGAGGAATGTCGGCCAAGCGAAGCGCTTCAGTCTCACGAAAGGCGTCAGCCTGGCGAGAGACGTCGCCCGACCTTGACGAAGAGCCGCAGCCTGGCCAACGGCGTCCGCTGAAGGGCGCCGGCTGGCCTGTCGTCTGACGAAGGCCGCCAGCCTGGCGCAGCGCGTGGGCCTGACGAACGGCATCAGCCTGATGGAGGGCCTTAGTCTCCAGCCTGGTGAAAGACGTCAGCCAGTCAAGAGGCTTCAGCCACAACCCGAAGCGGGACGCCCCACGCCCCCGCGAAGTGCGCCCGTCTGTTTCTGACGAGAGACACCGGACGAAACAAAGAAGCCCCGCCAGGTGTAAGCGCGTAGAGAGACCCGAAAAGCGCGGCCCTGCGTTGCTTATGCTTTGTCTTGTTTGGCCCGCTAAAGCCGCCGCCCGTTCTTGCCTGGCGCCACCGCGAGGCATTTGCGTGCGTTGGGGCTTGCGGATTCTTGTGCGTGTCTGGTGGCCCTCTTCTGGTTTTTTCGTTGGACTGCCGTGGGGGTCTTGCAAATTCTTAAGGATTTGCATGACCCCCCGGCAATCTCATAAAAAAACCGAACGCAGCGCAATGCCCTGCACATGAGTCGACGCATCGATCTGAGTCGGCCACCGTCGGCGCTCGGCTCTTGTCGTAGTTAATTCGTAGGGCGCAACAGCTCACCCGCGGGCTGTCTCTACTCTAGCGGCTGTAGCCCGTGGGAGGCTGCAGAAAAGTGCTTAACTAACTTGAAGCCGGGCGAAGCTTGTGGAGGCTAGTTATAAAATGTACAAAAATACTACGTCTACGCTGTACGTAGAAAAAAGACGAAATAAAGAGATAGATGGAAAATAACGTGTAGGCGACGTGGGCACAACAATTGTGCCAGAGCTTACGACGAATACGAACAGCAACAGAGACATTTTGAGAAGATGGACAATAATTAAATTACATTTCTTGTGAAGAATTTCATCGATTTTTATATATAATGAACAAGAACAAGAACCAAGATGAGACCTAAAGAACTACAACTAGAAGTAGGTCATAACAAGGACTACTTCTAGTATCAACATGATTTTGATTGATGTTATGAAGACCAGCAGTTGTACCTAGCAGAAATCAGAATCAGACAGCGTGCTGGATAGCAATTGGTTATAATTAAAATTATAAATATAGATATATAAAATATATTATGATGTATTCGTATTCTGAAAAAAAAATATGATGTTGACACTAAATAACTACTGCTGTGTACTGCGAACGACTAGGACAAGTAGAACTAGTCTAGTTCTACCTCCTCGGGATGGATGCCGCCTCGAGAAACAACTATACTTTACAGAAGAAGAGGACAGGATGAAGTAGAGACTGTTGATGATGACCCGAAAGCTAGTCCGATCAAGCAGGGCGCCAAATCAACTGGGACTGGCTCTTCTTGTGTCCTGTCGTCTACTTACGCGACCCAAGTGCTTGTTCCCATGCAGCTCTAAAAACCAAAGTTGAAGGGAACTAAAAACCAATGTTCTTGAAGGGAAATTAAGACTGCTGGATAAAATAAATAATATCAATGTATGAATTTGAATATGTCCTTCTGATAAGTGGATCTGCATCTCCGAAAGCGGAAGTGTTCGACACCTTGAGACTAGCTCTAGTACTAGTACTTACTAATACTAGTACTACACTTATGTTGAGAGAACATACAACACCACCTTGCTTACGTTTTCGTTTACATTTACTACATTGAGAAATTATAAAGGAAAACTTACTTGCGACCACAACATTTAGAGAACGACAATTCAACATGCTTCACCAGAGGTCTCTGAGTAGCTAAAGTAGTTGCAGAATGACTGTTTGTTGAGCGGTTTTCGAGGGGTGACGGGCATGAGAGGCATGACGAGAAAAACGCAAGAAACAAGACAGGAAATTTGATACTTGCTTCGCGATGTACATGTTGTGGATGTCGACGACAGTGTCTCTCTCCCTGTTGTCAAAGAATGATACCAACAAAAAACAGGGATAATGATCAACAAGGATTAGGATTGAAAGTGAAAAATTGTCATGTTGATAAGAAAAAGTCAAAGGCTACAACAAGAATCACGATCTAGATGAAAAAACAACATCTCGACATCATTATAAAATGGATCTGAATAAGGATCACGTCCACGAGGAGCACGAAGAATTACGGGATGATCAACACCATCATCAGGATCAGGAACGTGATGAACGTCGTCAACATGCAGATGCGTCATTATCCGCTACTGCATCCATCCCGGACCACGCACCCGCTGAAAGTGTTGTATTAGGTAAGCCGTGGATGTTTCGTGTGCTGCTCTACAAAGGGTTTCGGGCAACTCCTGACATAATCGATCTTACGCAGTGGATCGCGGACGCGCGGCAAGGTCGGGGAGATCACCCGCTCTTCAAAGGCTTGCCGGAGCCTCCTCGGAGGAATGCGAATGCGGCATCAAGGGCAACATCAAATCCTTATAAAAGTCTACATAACACTAACAGCGCGCTTTTACACGAAGGAGTGGAGATTCCACGTGGAGAACTTAGGCCGGAGGAGATTGATGAGGCAACCGCCCGGGCTGCAGTGACAGACAGGTTGTCGACGGCAGTGGATGCTTTTGGTCGCATTATCATGGATCATCATGATGTTGGTGGTCGTCCAGAAGTGATGTCCACTGAACTAAAAGAACCACTGAAGGAAGATCTGATCGCTGGACGTGTACGGGTGCGAGAGCTGTTATGGTATTTGGCGAATAAAGTTATTCCGGGAAAACCGATTTGGACGGAATTAACGCTCCTGAAGAATGACAAGGTTATTCTTGTTAAGGCTGGAAAGAGCCTGCCTCCACCTCCACGTCAATCCCGTGAAAATATTGAAGAGGTTCCTTGTTGTTGTTCTGTTGTACAGAGGGTTCTGTAGTTGTACAGAGGCTTTTGCACCACTGAGGCCAGTGCCACTGGCTCGAGTATTTTCACGAAATCGCTTCAGTTCACCACTGGACGTGTCAGCGTTGTTAGGGCTAGTTCTAATACTGATGAAACCGCGGACAGCAACGACTGGCACTGGGAGGAACGACTTTGTGAGCTCGATGAGCTAGTCGAATTTATAGACCACCAGCACGAGACTAAAAGTCGAATCCAAAGCCAAACTAACCAGCAGCATCAGGTGCAGGAGCAGGTGGAGGCAGCAGAAGATTTAAAATTCTCTAGTCCTCGTTGTCGTTCTGAGGACAGGGCATCCATCTATTCTTGCAGTGTTGAGGGTCAAGAAGCTTCTACGGGAACTACCCAAAGCCGCGGTAGTGGGACAAGAAGTGCAAATGATCATAGACTCGCTGCGCATCTTCTTCTTCATGAAGGCAAAAATAAAGCAAAAGGAGAACATGCTGCTGTTGATGCGGTTGAGCAAAACCAAAATGGAAATAAGGGAGATGAAGTTCCTCGTGTTGCTGTTGAGCAAGATGAGGATGTTGATGAAGGAGAACGAGTTTACTATCGGCTTGTCGATCACAGCGAAGAGGATGACGAGATTTCCTATCTGACTGATGCATGGCATTTACTCAACGTCAACAAAGGGGAGCACGTGGATGATGTGTTCAGGCGCACGGAAGCGGAACAAGACAGGAGCAGACATGGATATAACAGCGGAGAAGACGATCCATGGAAAGCATGACGAGCGTGGACAATACTTAGTAGAAGATGCATGATGGAGTGGGACATCTAGAAAAATAAAGCATCTTTTATATCAATCCTTATCCACCCGGACCCGGTTCGTCACATATGAGTGCGATATGAGTTAGAACAAGTAGGACGAGCTGCAGTATTTTACAACAATCCACTCAGCTGATGGAAAAATCTCTTCTACGACGTCAAGATAGATCGGGACCAACACCAAGACCGTGCCGTGAAAAGAGAGGAGAAGTGATGACAGCCGTACAAACTCGGTCAGCAGAAGGTTTCGGATGGAAGGCTCTTCAGTCTTGCGATTGCTGAAGTTGGATTCTTTCCGAACACAAAGGTCTTCACACCATAGGTATCTCCAGAAAGAGAAAGGTGCGGCGCATGGTGCTGGTCATTCTTCAGTAGACGTTATGATTAGTTACAACTACAAAAACAATGGGGTTGTAGGAAAAAAGGATTTGCGAGTAAGTAAGTACATGCTCTGGGTCTGGCGATGCTCCCTGATCTTCATCGCAGGACCATGAAGATCTTTATCGAAGTTGCTTCGTGTTCGTGGAAAAAAAAATGTAAAACTGTATAACTGGACCACATGATGTGAAGAAGAAGGTCGAAATAACCTGCTAAGGAGATGAGTTTACTCCTCCTGCTCCTGATCTCTACTTCTTCAGTGCACCACCCAGAACCATCATATTATCGGATGCAATCTTTAGCTGCTAACTCTACCCAATACAGCAGCTGCAGGCACTAGCATAGGTAGCTCCTCTTGATGATCGTTCTCCTGCAGTCTACTCTGCGTATGAACGTCAGGAACTTCTAGCGGATGTAGCAACATCGGAAGCCCATCTACTTCATTTTCCAGTTCTTGATGTGACCGCGGTGTTGCATCAGCGACGTTCATGATCTTCCTGTTGTTCTTGTTCCTTGTGCTGCTACCACCTGTAGTGGCGCTACTCTCCTCGCCTATTTCTTCAGCCACGAGCCTCTCATCCTCCTGCTTTGCTTCTTGATGGAGTTGCTCTTCGTCCATAACATGTCCTGCCACGAGTCCATCTGGCATGTCCTGCTTTCTTGACTTATCCGTTGTAGCTGTTCCCTGAGCAGCAGGAGAGTCCCACACCGGAAGTGACTCTCCACCCTTGTACTGATGTGCTGTTCTTGGCCGTCGAGAATGTCGATTTCGACTCCTACTTCGTGCGCTCCTGCTTCTGGTTTTCCGGCCTCTCTTGTTCATCCGCTGTAGTTGACGCCGCTTGTTCTCATGTCGTTCCTGATTTGAAGGCCTGCTTTGGTCCTCTGGGAGGCCACGCTCGCGCAGGATGTCACGACTTAGAGGAGATAAATCGAAGATACAACTGGAGATGCAGTATGAATGCTAATGATAATATCTTCTAAAAACTCCTGGGGCATAATTTCCACACGACCAAGAGATGACGTCGATGAGTAACAACTGCTCCAGAAGAAATTCATAACCTTCTTGCATGCTCGATGTACTCCTCATTCTCGTCATCCGCGTCGATAGAGCTACTTACCCCGCCTCGGCCTCCATGACCACGGTCCTCGTTTCGTAGGGCTTCCTGAAGCTGTTCTCGGGTACTTGCGAGTTCGCTTCTTGTCATATGCAGCTCACGTTCTGTCTCTTCGTTAGAGGACCTTGCTTTTCAGATTCAGTCGGAGGACGGAGATTTCATTCAAGAAGAGTACTAAGAACATGAACATGAACATGAACATGTACTAGTTTTTTTAGATTTAGTCATCGTACAAGAATGCTAGTACTAGCGGCGGACGAAAGCAACAGCAAGGGATCATCTACAACAGGCTCTTCTTTTTGCTTCTCATCCAAACAATTACTTAAGTACATTACCTCTCAGAAGACTCCTCCTGTTCTGCATCATAGGAGGATTCTCGACCTTGAGATCCGTTTTGACAGCCGTTCACGTTGATATTGACTGTAACTCCTCGTTCACCGTCTCCAGAATTGATGTTAGAGGTGTGAGGAGATTGGACTAGAATTAGAAAGAAGCTACTAGCCCAGGCAGTCAGCGCCAATTATAGCACTAGTACGTCTAGTAAGAGACAACTAGTACCTTTACTGATACAGATACTGTCCTCGTCACAGGCCTTAAAAGAAGCAACCTCCGACGTTTTCTTGTCCTCCCCTGATGAAGCAGTACTAGAAGAACTACGCGTAGTGCCAGATCTAGTAGAAGTGGCAGTCGCGGTCGCCATGTGGTCTCGGAGTCTTTCGGTCTCCGCTTCGGCCACACGTGCTTCAGCCTCATATTGATCTGCCCTCCGGTCCGCCGCTCGCGCGCGGCTCTCGGCAGCCCGTCTCGCCGACTCAGCCGCTTCCGCTCGTGCCTCTAGCTCTCTAGCATACTTTTCCACCGTAGTTGCCTCGTCGAGGTCGTGTTGTTGGGTAGAAGAAGAACCTCCACTAGCTCTTGTTGAGGACGAGGAGGTAGCACCACTAGTAGAAGTCAAACTAGAATCTGCATCCCTACTTTCCACGACTCTTCTCTCTTGCTCTTCTAATCTATCTTCGAGACGTCGCAGTCGGTCTTCGCGGTCACGCAATTGGGCACTTTCGAGATCACGAATGCGTTCCTCGAGTTGCCTTGTAGTAGAAGTAGAGGCTTGTTGATGTTCAGAGGTCGTGGATGTGGTCGAACTCGAAGATGATGCTGTAGCACTACGTGCCTTAGCATTTTTAGCTCTGTCCCGCAATGCACTTTCTCTTTCGCGAGCTCTCATCATCGCTTCTGCCCTTTTGGATTTCTCGTCCTCGGCTCGTTTTGCAGCCTCGCTCGCGCGTTTTTCGGCCACTCTCGCTCGTCGCTCCGCATCTTCAGCTCGCTTTTTCGCAGCTTTGGCTAGCTGTTCATATTGCTTTCGAGCCTTCGCAGCCTCACGATTCACTTGTTGTTTCACCTCCCTCGATATTTGTTCTCTGACCTCCTCTACTGCTTCACGCTTCGCCCCCTCTAGCTGTTCCCGCAGCTTTTCCTTGAGATGCCCGTGCTTCTGCCTTTCTTTCGCACGAAGACGATCCACTTCAGCCTCCCTTGCAGATTGCGAAGTGCGATCGTTAGCTTTTCTAGCCGACCTCTTTCTGAGCTGATCCAGCTTGCGCTGCATCTTTCGGCGTTCTTCCTCCCGAGCTTTCTTCGCCGCCTGGCGACGGGCGCGCTCGAGATGTGGTTAGAAGCGAAGTCGTGATAGAAGAACATTGAAAAGCGGAAGCGAGGAGAAGAAAAATTCAAATAAATCTTTACTTTCTTGATGTTCTACGAATTTTTATCGATATCGATTACTGTTCGACGACTTCTTTGAGGTGAGTATCAGCTCCTGTCTTCTTAACTCTTTTCCCCCTCCTTCCGCACCTTTGCTGCTCGCGCCTCCGCGTCGCGGGCTCGCTTCGCAGCCCTGTTGACACGCTCAATCGCGTCTCTGGCAGTCTTTTCAGCCCTCGCCGCAGCTTCTGACGCCTTCGCCGCACGCTCATTGGCCTTCGCGAGCTTGTCTCGCACAGCGTCGCTGCACTCCTCTCTGGCTTTCTTGGCGGAGGCTTGCTTTAGAGGTGGGGTCGAATCAACACCACAAACACAACAAGTACAAGCTGTAGCTCAACAGTTTTTCAAACATTTCAAGAAGTTGTTCTACAACTTCGTACAACCATCGATCTTCATCTTATTTCACACAAGAAGTGTTAGGGTGCTTAAACTTAGTTGCAGGAACACGAAGCCATAACTCTTCAAGTTTTTCCTTTGCCTTCGCTAGCTCTTTTTCAGCCTCTGAACGCGCTTTCTGCTCCGCTTTTCGCTCAAGATCTTTCGCTACCTGCTTTTCGCGGGCTGCATCGGCATTTTCTCGATCTGCATCTGCTTTTTCTCTTGCTGTCTCAGCCTTCTCGCGTGCTGCCTCAGCTTTCTCCCGTGCGGCGATCTCCCTCTCCCGTTTCTTTTCCTCTGCAAGCTCCTTTTGACGACGCTTCGCAGCCTCAGCACGTTCAGCAGCCTCCTGTCGTTTGGCCTTCTGTGCGTTTGCCTTGGCCTCAGCTTCCTTACGTTTGAGGGCCTCCTTCGCCTCTCGCGCTTTTTCTTCGGCTGCACGCTCGGCAGCAGCAGCCTTCTCCTTCTCGAGTTCCGCTTTTTGCTTCTGTTGTTAGAAGTGGACTCGAAATGATGCGGATTAGGTCAACATAAGTAGATCTTTTTACCACAGCGACTTTCCGTTACAGAGAGACTAGAGCAGGGAACGACGTTCTCCTTTTCCTCCTCTTGAAGAACAAACGTCGGAGTCCGACACAGACAGAAAAAATTATGCGAACTGCAACTACGAGCTGAAAGTCGACAAGAACCCATAATCTTGCTCTGCTTTTTGCTTCTCTTGCTCAGCCTTGACGCGTGCAGCCTTTTCTGCGCGTTCTCGTTCGATTTCTGCTTCTTTCGCTTTCTTGGCACGCTGCTCTGCGGCCTCAGCTTCCTTTGCAGCTTTCTCAGCGGCTTCTTTTTCCGCCTTTTCTTTCGCCGCTGCCTTCTCAGCGGCTGCTTCTTTCGCTTCCGCAGCCGCCTTGTCAGCAGCCTCCTTCTTAGCCTTTGCTTCAGCCAGGCGTCGTTCTTCCTGCTCCTTCTTCGCTAAGGCGTCTTTTTCGGCTTTCTCCTGTTTGGCTTTTTTCTCAGCAGCTTCCCTCTCAGCTTTTTCCTGTCGAGCTTTCTTTTGCGCAGCTTCAGCACGCTCTGCTTTTTCCTTCGCTGCTCGTCGTTTCTCTTTCTGCGCCTTTTCACGTGCAGCTTGCTCAGCCTTTTCCCGCTTCTTCTTTTCGATGGCGATTTCCTTCTCCCTTTGCTTATCGGCTTCAGCCTGCGCAGCACGCTCAGCCTTTTCTGCTGCTTCTCGTTGCCTCTCTTCTCGCTCTTCTGCCTCGCTCGCAGCTTCTGCTTTGTCTGCTGCACGTTTCGCCGCTCTCATCGCAGCGTCTTCCTCTGCCTTCAGAGCGTCAGCGGCTGCTTTACGAGAAGCAGGTGTTCTAGTCTTCCTGTTCTTCCCAGAAGTTCTCCTAGCTCTTCTTGCCTTCTGATGAAGATGTTGATTTTCTTGTCCCTGCCCTTCTTTCTTCGTCGCTATCATATGTGCACGGATCATATCAGCAGTTGCTGGCTTTAAAAGTCCTAGGGTGGGATCTATGGAAACTTTCGAGATAGCCAAATCGAATGTAGATGGTCGATAAACTTTCTCATTCTGCTCAATCGCGAAGAGGCCCATTGGACTAGTCTCTGGTGTTTGGAGACGTTGCAGGTCGTTGCGAGTGCCGCTTATGACGGAACCAAACGCGAAATCCTGCACAACCACGTCGTGCCCATCGTCATCACTAGTAGCTAGAGCCTTCTTGTTTTCTTTGTCTACTTGTTCTTGTTCAGCTTCAGCACCATCGTCGCCTTTCTTTTTACCTCGTTTTTCTTCAGCCTTGTTACTTCTTTCTCCTTTCTTCGCGGTAGTTTTCTCTACTTTCCCACGCCGACCAGGTCCTCCTGGTTCATCATCTGCAGCGCTCCTGTAGACAGGAACTGAGCATTGAATGCTGGCAGGCAGCCTGTCTGGATCCGCGTAGAAAGGTGATAAAAAACTATGTGTCTGGCCGCCATCTTAGATAAAAAACTATGTTGAAACAAGAACAGTAAAAGTACCTAATGTGATCTACTTGAAATTGCATCAAGTGCAACTGTTCGAGCATTTCCTCTTCCCAGAAGTGAAAATAAAGCAAAGAACCCTCATAATTGTGAACGATAACACATCGCGTCGCATCCTTCTTTACAATCGGTTCTGGCACCAACGGGTTCTCATTTACGATCCAAATCGGCCTCGTCTCCATAGAGAACAAGGCGTGTTTGCTTCGCGTTGTCGCGGCCACTGCTAAAGCGCAAGATGCGGGACTACGGTAAAGCCCTAGGTCACGTGTTTTCTCACTCGACGTGCAGTTGGAGGCTTCGAGTACTTGGGAATACCCACGATCCACTGCGAGGAAGCGACCCTCGTCATCGCTCTCGACGCGATTGCAAAGGCGCGAAGCAAGGAATTCAGATACTACGTCCGCCGGAGAACGTTTGTTAACAACTTTCTTCTTGTCTACTTGTTGTGGTTGTACCGTCAGCTCCACCTCTACCTGGTGGTCTTCTTCTTGATGTTTGTCTTGATGGTAATGGAGACGGTCCTCTCTATCTTTTATCGAAAGCAGACTTCTACTCGTCGTAGCCCCAGCGGCTTGCTGCTCATCCTCGTCTCCAGGAGCACCAGATGAATAGAACGTTCCAGCTGGTACTGACAGGAAGTTCATCTCGCTCGGAGCAGTGACCCAACTTTTGAGCAGCGCGTCGTCACCTGCGCAAGTCGACGTATGCGTATCATCGCTTGATGAAGAGCTTTGTCCTTCTGTACTGCTGCTTTCTACATCACCTACCTCTGCATCAGCCGAAGGAGCTTTTTCATTCGTCATGCGCACGACTTGGATGCGACCTCCCGGAGACGAAGACGAGGGCTTTCGGCTCATGATATTCTGTTTCATGCGTTCGATAGCGCGAGTGGCTTGCTTCCGAAAGGCTGTGGGTGGCGTATTGATCCCAGTCACGATAACGAACGACTTCTCAGCGTTTTTTCTACCGTTTTTTTTGAACTCTTGGTCGGCAACTTCGACAGCTTGGGCCACATTGGCGAACCCGTATTGTGGAGTGAACAGAACTCCTGAACTTGTTGGTGATTGAAGAGAGGACTTTTGTGGACTAGTCCATAGATGTTGAGAAGAAGTGCTCGAAGATGCAGATGTGGATGAAGCTGAAGATGATCTCGTTGCCGCCATTCCCAGCCTCTTGTCCTGGCTGCTTTCCTCTTGTTGATTTACCAGTTCTAGTGTAGCATTGACCGCAGCCAAACTCGCGATTGCTGTCGGTTTAGACACTTCCCCACTTTCCAAATCGATTTTTCCGTTACCATACACGACAACCCCAACTCTAAGAGCGTCATTTCCGCGAAATCGAGTGGCCATGCGCTTCAGGATCGAAGCGAGGAACTTTTGAGTCGCCTTTGCTTTCTCTTGCGAGGCGTGGCTGTGGCGTTCGAGAGCAGGGGTTGCTTTGGATGTAGTTGTACTTGAAGATGTAGCACCCGCGGCTGAGTCCTCTCCTGAAGTACTAGCCGCAAAAACATTAGAAGCAGACAGGTCCACAGCAAAGATGACGTCTTGGACACCAACACATTTGAGGTCACCTGCACAACGCTTCGTCATTTGGAATTCCTCCTCCTCTGAGATGGGTTTGCACACTTGATGCTGTTCTAGATCGATAGTTGGTGGGAGGGAGCAACTCGGATTGTCGATGTCTTCGGAAGATTCCATAGCACCAGATATCACATGTCGCGTCCGTGTGCGTACTCCAAATTTGTCTGCAGGTGTGCGCGCAAGCGTGGATACACACGGCATGGAGCAGGCGGACCACGGAGACCAAGGTGAGACTTCACAGGTTTTTGCGATGTCGTTCTTTGTGTTCAACATGTCGGTCTGCTCTGCCTGTTCTCGTCTTTCCATCTTCTTCCTCTCGAGGTATAGGGAAAATGCTACTGGAGAAGAGAAAGCAGGACTAGTACTTCCAGCATCATCGGTTGAGAAAGTGCCACTTCTACTAGTGCTGCTTCCAATGTCATCCTGTTCTGGAGTAACTTCTGTGTCTGGACGTTCTAGATCGCCTACTTTGCCTGTGGTGGCTTCATCGTGATTGCCTGTGGTGGCTTCATCCCCATTGTGATCTCCATCTTCTCTTTCACTTTCCGTAATCTCGCTATCTACATCGTCGACGACTGCTTCATCCTTAGAAGTATCTTCTTTGTCGTCATCCTCATCCCTGACTTCTTCTTGTTCTTTCTCACCTCTACCTTTACTTGAAGATAAATTTTCCTCTTCTGTTTCACCTTCAGTTTCATCAGGTTGTTCAGAAATCGCAACTATGTCATCACTAGTGACACGACAGCTACGACTTTCTACCAGATCTGGACAGGGCATGCCGCCAGCAAACGCGCGACGCTTGACTCTTCGCGCGCGTGTTTGTGTGCCCAGGGAACCTTCGGTTTCGGCGGTAGGTGAATTAGAGGTACTTCGTAGATAGACATCTATTCATACGACGGCTTAAGAAGAACATTGACTTGAGAGCAGAGCAAAGAAAAGTAGCACATCACTATACATAGTACTAGTAGTCGTCCTCACAACATTACATCTACAATATTCTCAAGAAGCAACACGAGGATTCTATCCCGCAGCCATATTTCCACTACCACTGGAGCCTCCTTCTCCTGGATCGATCGAACAAACAGACCAGTCAGTCCAGGCACCAACAGCGCAATCGACCGGACAAGGCACCTGCGCACACGGAAGCTGCATCGTGGTCTTGGGACAGAGCATACCGAGTTCAGGATTACCTTCGTCGACAACATTCCGTCGAAAAGTCTGCATGCCTCCCATCAGCATATTGTCGCAAGTGATGGCTTTGTCCTTCTTATCCTTCGTGTCTTGCTCTGCTTGTCCTTGAGGGTGAGGTTGAGGCTTACTAGAAGCAGAAGTATCGTTGGCGATCTTGATATTGCTCTCGTATGAAGAAATTGAGCTGCTGATCTTGGACATAATCTCTTGAATGAAAAACATAGCATTCTTCTTTCTGCCACGATTACGCCTCTTCCTCTTTTCCTTCTTCGCAGCGCGACGAGTCTGACGCTTCTCGCGGCGTTCCTTTCGTTTAGCTCGACGGGCCTCACGACGTGCTACTCTCTTTGAGTTCTTGGATTTCTTCAAAGTACGAGATCTTCGAGTAGCTCTTTTGGTCTTTCTACTGTTTTCGAGTTCTCCAGATGCACCAGAGGAAGATGCTGTGTCCTCAACTTCTTGCTTCTCTGCTACAGGTTGATCACCCTCCCCGCCGTCCTCTTCACCCTGACTTGTCGACGGATCGACTTCTTTCTTCTTGCTTTTCACTGTTTCCTCAGCAGGAGCAGGGGCAACCTCCTCTGCTTCTACCTCGTCAGTATTGTCCTGCTCGTTTCCATCATCATTAGCTGCGTCACCGTCATGATCAGCATCTCCATCTCCTCCAACATCAGCTTCTTCTTCCCCCTCAGTCGGATCTCTCGGGAAGTCCTCCATGTTGCCCATATCTTCCATGCCAGGCATCGGCATATCATCTTCCATGTCCACCATGTCCATACCGTCCATGCCCTCCATATCCATGCCATCAGTCTCCATTCCAGGAAATGGAGGTGGAAAGCCAGCACCTCCTTCTATCGCGATGCATTAATTAGAGCTCGCCCTAGTCCATCTTGAGATCCACCAAATCCTGGGCCTCATCTTACTCTTTTCCCATTCTTGAGAGGTCTATTCATTGATGTGATGTCTAGATCTAGAAGGTTACTTAGATAGATGGAGCCTTAAATTGTCCTTCCTCTGCAAAGAGTGTCACCTGACAATCAGAGATTTCTTCCTCGCGTTCCGGTGTCAATGCATGAATCTTGGCTCGTAGAAACTTGAGACTGGGAATCTGCACGTGACCAATATCAGAGATTTGCCGTCTGCAACTGCTCACTTTCTCCATCAAGCTAAATGCCATTTGGTCTCGCGCCTCATGCATCTCCTTTCTCAAGGCTGTACTTTCCTCGAGAGACTTCTCAGCATCAGCTAAGTCGGTTTGCACGCTCTCAAGCACTTTCTGAGACGCTGCAAGTTGCTCTTCCATAGCTGCTACGCGATGCTGCGTAGTGTCTAACAAGTTGTTCATTAGAGCTCGTACTGAGTCTGAGAGGAACCGAAATTCTACTTAAATTTTGGAGCAACACTTTCTTTATTTAGCTGATGCTTCACAAAAGAAGCAGTTACTCCTGGTCATTTTGAAATGATGCTGCAAAAGTACAAGATTGCTGGTAACTAACAATTCGCCAGCCCAGCAGAGGGGGCACACTCCTCTACATACTACTCACGCGTTGCCTACGCTCTTCTTCTAGTCACTCTTACTTACTCTTTTGACAAATAGAGGGGTTGACGTTCTTGACGGTTCCCTTAATTTCAGAGTCTCCTTAGTCTCTGCAAGCGATTCCACTGATCCAGCAAACAGCAATGCTGCTTTCTCAGCAATGACCTCACAGGGAACGTCCTCTCTAGGATTATCAACTTCAGCAGCGTGGCAAGAACAAGGTGTATGAGCAGACATTGATGAAGATGATTGGGAGTCAGAAGTTGAAGTAGGATCTTCTTGTCCTACTTGACTTGCAGCTCGAGCTCTTCCTCCAGTTTTGCTACTTGTTGTACTTCCAACTGCATTTACTAGTTGTGACGTCGAGGATGATATCCCGAGGAGATTGAGACCACTACTAGAAGCAGTTTTCGGCGCCGATGCAGTTTCCGGAGCATCATCATCAAGAGGACCTCCTACGAAAGGATTGTCAAAATACAGGTGCAGGCGCTCATCCTCTTCAGCGTGCGGAAGCTCTAGTCCCTGTTTGTAGATGTTCTGTACTTGTAACAACGAAGAAGATGCTCCTTCACCTCGCTTCGAGTGCAGTGCATGTTCTAACAGATGTTGATGATGAGCCTGTCTTTGCCTCCGTTTGGCACATTGTTCTGCAGGACATGGAGGTCTCTTCATAGTCTCAGTCTCCTGCCTCTTTCCTTTTTCTTGTTGTACCAATGAGGCTCCACCAACACTACTCTTTCTGGTCACTTCGCACTGTTGAACTTCATCAGCGTAGATCTTCTTCATCTGCTTCCCCTCTTTCTCTTTCTCCAGAATTTCCGCTTCTAAAGCAGCCTTTCTTTCGAGAAACGGACCTCTGAGCTCTTCCAAACGCAGAATGGTGCTAGCAACAGTGGCATTCGTGCGGTCCTTTGCGAGAGTGAGGCGGCTGACATTGATGTTAGAGAAGATAGACATAGAAGAACGATGCAGAGCAGTCAGAGAACTATTCAATCCACCTGAAGGAACACGTAAACGAAATGGTGATCCCGCTAACCAAGAAAGCAACACCGGCTTCGATGAGAAGCTGCTCCAGATAGATGAAGAGAGTGCTGCGTTCTTCCCAGTTCTCCTGTGTGGTCATAACACTGTTCGCTTCCGCAAAGGCGTCATCGATTGCGGGCAAACTATCTCCCTCGACCATTCCAAGGTTGCGGGCTTGTGCGTCTGTGCTAAGCTTACAGTCGGACACGACATCATCTAGCAAACGCTGCGCCGCGAGCAGTCCTTCGTTCAGCTCGGTGCGCAGATCCGCAGGAGAAGGAGGTGAGGTTTTTGGTGGTCGTGAGGCGGTCAGAGTGGTGCGGATGGCCTGGGATGAGACGTCGTGGTCGTGTAACGATAAGGATGTCTGAGTATCATAGAGAAAAATGAGCTGAACAAACGAGTTCCGAAAGTCTCACATTTGCGTGCATGCTACAGATCAGCAGAGAAATTTTTTAAGAAAACCGTGGATAAAATGAATCAACGATACTGACGCTCCTTCAACAAGGAATACAAATCATATAGCTTCGGACCTGCAATGACTTTGAAGACAGAAGCTCTTCTCCTGCTCCTTCTGTTTGTCCGAGATCACCATTCTTTTTCTTGTTACGCTCCAAATTTGCAATCGCTTTTTTGGTGTCGTTGATCAGCACAACCACGGGAGCATCAGCAACCATCGTCCCAGCATTCCTAGGCGCCTCTGCTCGTCCTCCATCTGCTTCTCCTTCTCCTTGTTCAGAAGCAGCAGTTGCATTTTTGTCGCTTGCCACAGCATTCTCGTTTCCATCACCACCTAGACCTACCTCAGCTTGAGGACTGCCTAAGCCTAACTCGTCTTTTTTCCTCCCCTCAGCACTAGCAGCTGGACCGCCTGGCGCTGCGTCTAGCTGACTGCTAAGAGCATCGAGAAAGTGGAACGGGTCGAGGCCTGCGACAACGTCGTTCGGACTCGTCGTACTCGTAGACGAGTCTGCTTCTACCGTTCTAAGTATAACAACATGAAAAATGCAAACGAGCAGGGCCCATGGGCCCACTCGACGCATTTTGTTTCTCTCTTTGTCGTTTAAAATTTTACGTCATGTCAATCATTTTGAAACTGAACAACGAGAAGGGGTGGGGGTCGGCGGGGGAGTGGGCATAATTGTAATTGAGTGATATTGTTGCAGATGTACATGTAGATGAGGGGGCAAGTGTAATTTTGGACCGACTGATGCTTTTACTTTTGAAGCCACTTCATGCTCAGAAATCCAAATGATCCATGGGAATTTTACTTCATCCGTTTTCACTTCTCGTTCTCTCTCTCTCATGCATCTCGTCTCAGACGTTGTCTTATTAAATTGTTTCAGTTCATCTGTGATGTCTTCAATCTGTACCTCTCTGTGATGTAGATGCCTTTCTTGGTGATCCGTGCCTTGCAGTACACTACATTGATCGTGATCCATATGGTAGAACTAAATCAATAGAGTTTCTCTTTAGATTAAGCCGTTTCTTTTCACAATTGCGCCACCGCCCTTGGCAACGGCAACATCGGATTCTGTATCCTCACCGTATCTGAACTAAAGTTTTCCATTCTTGTTATCTGTCGCATTCCACTACCTCCGAAACCAGCCCACATGTCAGGCTTATTCCCTAGTATCTTCTCTACCGCCTCGTCGTCAGCGTTGCTCATGCCCTTGGCGACGCAAACGGCAGAAAGATTTTCACGAATCTGTGGATTTTCGTTCAGACGAGTCCTTCTTGGAGGGAGAGGAACTATATCAGAGCAATTTATAAGGTTTCACCGCTCGCATGGCATGGAGTGCATGGATCACATGGAGTAGCATGGAGCTAAAGGGGGAGCTTCTTGCGCCCCTTAAAGCTCTGCGCTCCATGCACTCCATGCTACTCCATGCGCCATGCGTGCTATAAACTACTCTGCTATATTATCAAGATGAGGTAAACAATAACAAGAACGTGGAACAAATAGCTACTAGAATTTCCACATTGGTGGAAGAGTTTAAGTTTTCTTCCTGAAGATGACTAAAAATGAGTCAACAACACTACAACTTATAGACCCAAGAACAGGAAGATGAAGAAAGTCTTCTACCTGTTCCACGCTGGTTGCTCCTAGCAATGTCGTCGTCGCATTTCCGTTCCGAATGGACCATGCCAAAGCTAGCTGAGCAACCGTACACCCTAGTTCCTCTTCTGCGTACTTTTTCAGCTTCTTCACTTTATCCATAGTCCCATCTGCTACCCAAGTATCCACTTTATTCTTCACGAACGCGTAGCCCTCTGTGTTGGCTCAGGATTAGAAACTTTCTAAATAAAGGGAGTAGACGAATATTAGAAAGGGAGTAGACCACGAATTGATTGGAGGGATGTCCGAAGATCCGCGATAGGTGGTCTCTTTCACTCCTACTCAAAGAAAGTAACTCGGAAAACGGAAAACCAAAACTATTGGATCTACATGAGAAAATGAAACTTATACATAGTAGTTCTATGAAGTAGATGTATGGAGATGTTGATAAACATCAAGCCACATTTATTCGCATAACTCGACGATTCCGGTATCGTCCCGTCTACATATTTCCCCGACAATAAACCACTGGCAAGAGGAGACCAGGTTGTCGTTCCCATATGGTAAGGAGCACGAAAGAGTGGGAAGTATTCTTTCTCAAATCTGTCCCTCCAGAACATATGGTATTGTGGCTGTTCGAATTGCGGTGGTTCGAGACCGTGCCTGGCGAGGGTAATCGTAACGGCAGGGTAAGGTTTGGGGAAAGTGTATGTGTAGGGTGGAACTGTAGTGAATGAATTTTATTTGATGGAATTGATATTGCATGACTATGTCGTCCAGGAAAACGACTACATCACATAGAACATATTCATTGAAGAGTACTAACAGCTGCAACGAGTCGTGGAAGATTTAAAGTGAAACAAGGTTGGAATACGAATACATCTCCTGATGTGCGATCCATCAATATTAAAATCTTACAAGAGTGGTGGAGCCAACGCCAACCTTACTAGGAGAAGACCGATTGAGCTCTTATAAGTAAGCTATACATCTGTGCGATCCAGTATGCCTCAGTCCATTGTTGAGCTGACCACTCTGATGTCCCCCAATAGTGTACTTTGCCACTGCGAACGAGATCCGTCATACCACGAAATAGATTAGAAGAGATAGCGGGTCGTCGTGGTCGTTGTTTTCGTCGTGACTAATATCGATATCGTGCCTGCTGGAGCACCAGATGTTGCCGCGGCAATTGTTCGCCCCCTGGAACTTCTGCCCCTGGTGAAAAGAAACATTCCAAAAATGACTGTACTCTATTCTGTGCATCCATAATAGGCTGCATATAGCACCTATAAAACGACTCTACTCTCCAATTCCAACTTAGCACTACACTACTATTACTCGCTGGCCTCGCTTCCGCCCAGGCGTGTCATTCTCGTTCGCTTTTGGACAAGACACATCCAACGGGCGCCCCGGGTTTTCTCTCGCGATCTAGCTAGTTACTCGATATCGCGAAAACCTTGGGGCTTCTTTGCCATGCTCTAGCCGCTCGCTTTGTTGCTCCACCTTGCTGTACTCTACAACTTAACATTACTCTACTAGATTATTAAATGAACAATGTTACAACTCAACACCTCTGACCAGCACCCTTAACAACAGTTTCCGTCGGTGTCAGTGGGTCTGGTCTATGGCAAAACACCATATCCACGTAGTCCAACTGCAAACGCTCTAAACTCGCATCTAAACCTTCGCGGAGGTGCTTTCGGGATAAGCCCTTCTGATTCGGATCAGGGCCGCCCCAAAATATTTTCGTAGTATTAGAGGCGAGCTACAACTGTGCCGTCGCATCTTCCTCCTGGAGAGCCATAATATCCTTCGACACTTCTGTTCTTTTTCCCTTAGACTTGAAAAAGAGCAGGCCAAGGATGATGCTGAGAATGGGTTTGCAGTTGATGTTGCTCTCGTCTTAGATAGATAGATAGATAGATGTACCCACTCGCGGGGTGTAAGATCTTTTAATTAGAGGCTGCATCTCCACCACTTTTTGGTTGCGATCATGTTCTCTTTATGGTTGCCGTAATAGTGATGATCAGCGAATGTCGAGCCCACAATTTCGCGTCTTCTTGTTTTAGCTGTTTCAAAGCGTGTCCAAAGACCATCTCTGCTGCGCCTTGTGGATTTCCGTAGGTCTCCGCATGATCGAACAGATTCACGCCAGCGTTACGCGCGGCGGACATGACTGCCTGTTCGTTGAATGTATCAGGTGTCGCGAATGACTATCGTGGGCCTAGCAAAATAAAAGCTTGACTCAATCGATACACGAAGTCAAAGAAGTTCAACTACTATATTTTTATTTAGGAAGGCTAAGGCAAAGGCTGTACTTCTACTTTATCTCAGGAGACATCAACTACAATTCGCTGAGTCGTCACGACGTCGGGATCCTATCATCTCTAGTATAAGTGTAGATCGCTTTCTTGGAGTTGTTTGTCGTAAAAATGAAGTATCACCTTCGCCGTCTTGACTCCATCATCATCCTGCAAGTCTTTTTTGACTCCATAGGTCGCCCAAAAGCCAAAACTGAGCACCGAAACCTGCAAGCCTGTGTTCCCCATCATTCTCATAGGCATCGACTGAGGCCCAACGCCTTCTGCCAGCAACTGAGCAATGCGTGCTCTTGAGGACGATGCAAGAGACGCTGACATGTTGTTTTTGATCTTTGGGTTTCGGTTTGTCTAGCGATGAAGAGTTCTTGGTCTGTATTAAGTAGTCTAGGTTATAATCGAGACTGTGGGCGGAACGGGTGAATGGCTAGTACTAAGGCAAGGAAAGGAACAGATGAGGGAAAAGATTAAGATTGAACTCATATTAAGCCTGGTAAAGTAGAAGTACTAGCAGGAACATCTCAAACTCTCGCGGCCACTCGATCACACCAAGATTTTCGGTACAACTACTCGTGTTGAAAATGCAGCTAATTATATGCGAGTGGCAGTAGATGAACAGAAAAAGAGGATGGACGAAGGTTATATTCTCGGTTGTTGATCGTGGCTGAGCACAACCTGTGGCTCCATTTGAATGGTTCTGGTATTTGGTAGCCTCATTTTGATTATGAGGAAAACAAGAACAAGAAGAGAATCCTTGTGATTAAATTCCGGTTACCAAATACCAGAACCATACACCATTGCAAGCAGCGACAGCGCTTTTGAAAAGTGACCAGCTGAACACGCCTGTTAAACACGCCTGTTAAAGAGCCACAGTAACAAAAGAGTAATAGATCCGAGCCTGAGCAGGTCTCGATCACTTCCCGTTCTGTACTGCATGAAGATGTTCTCGTATTCATCTCCCGATCATTTAGTCATATGTTATGCTCCCATATGTTGTTCATCTGCACCCAGTGGTGAAATCCTTGAATACGTCCCATTTCCATGTTGTAACCACTGGTTGTAATATGTAAAATGTAGATGTTGTGCTCCTCGTGCTGTCCACCTCATGGATATAAGTTTAAGCATGTCATTCTGTTCTTATTACTACGTACTAGGCTTCGAATCGAGGAAACAAGTCCCTTTTCGTTTTCTTCGATATTTTTTATCAGGAAAATACAATTAAAATGAAAGAAATACGATAAGGGGTCTTATTCTTTTCGATGGTCATTCCTTTTCCTTTTGTCTCAGAAACACTAGCAGGGGGTTCAATGTTCCTACTAGTCCCAAAACAATGTTTCATAGATGCCAACAGGCGATCTATTATAGGTTGTAACATGATTCTAGTAGGGTGGTGGAAGTTGTACAATAAGTTAATATTGTAGTAGTAGTTCATTCATGAAGATCGTGTGGAAGACTATGAAAATGGCCGTCAGTGAAAACAGGTGGTTATGACAAATAAGTCATCAAACATGATAGCATAATGTCTTCAGTACAATAGAAATAGACGCGTACTGAAGCATAGCCATAGGTTCAGGCTCAGATGGGCTCCCGCCGCAGCCCTGCGCTTCAAGCACCGGATTGGCAGAAATTAGCAGTGAGCCTCGCCGCATACTTTTTTTATATATAAGCGGTTTTCTTGCAACTACGTGGTCGTTGCGTGTAGTCGTGGTCGTGTTGTTTTGATACAAAGAGCGAATTGCAGGCAATGGTGCACTACGGTCTTGTAGTTTTTAATGGAGAGTCGTTTGGTGTCTTTCTCTCTCAATAACCGGTTAATTTTCCCTCGTAAGACCTAGGTTAGCTTCAGTCCTCCCAATCGATCTGGTAATCAAGCCGATATATGAGAAAATAGGAAACAACAACATGAGCATAAGTCGCCTAATGTTCTTTAGTTCCCATGAAGAAAATGAAAGAAGGATACATAGAATAACGATGAAAATATCGCGATCGCATAACGGTACGTAGGAAAAAAAAATCTGAAAAGAAGAACGAGAACAAGTGCAGGCTTCCGCTTCGCCTACTTTAGAAAAATAAGTACTAGATAATGATCGGTGTCAGCCAGACGCCGAAAAAAGGAAGTCATTAAATATTTGAGAGCCTATGAAAAGACCAGAACCAACGAGAACAACATCCACAATTTAGTACTATTTTTGAGCGTATGTTGTGACAGCTACTACGTACAACCAGCTAGATCATGCTATCTGAGCATTCTCATGCTTGCCAATTGAGGAAAAGTTTCATGACGAGGACGACCCGATCCCCAGCAAAAAACATGAAAAATCATCTTGATCTACTTAACCCTAACCGTTGAAAATAAGTACTACAATCTACTTCACTATCTAATCACCATCTTGATGTATTTCTAGCACTTAAAAATATTTGCAACTTCTCATTCTCAAGTTCAAGACGTGCAATGCGGCATCAACTCCAACATCTCGTCGGAGGTGTTTTAGTACAGGCAATACCTCCACACGAGTCGTGGCTGTTCTCCGTTGTAGGCCCTAATTCATCGTCGAACAGGCACGACTCGTATGGGTGGAGGCAATCATGCTGAAGGTAAAAATCGTTGAGGTGTTCATGGTAACTAATCATGGAGGTGTTCCTAGATTACACTACAACAAGAGAGTAATACTAAAATGGGGGGAGGTAGGGCACTATGAAGATATCACGATAATTCAATTGATAAACATAGTGAAGAGTCAATCGATAAGTGTCTACCTGAAGCTGGAGATGGATCGTAGTCGAGGAGGGCAATGTAGTCCAGGTCGCGCAAAGGCCACGAAGGACGGTCACCATCACACATGAAGATCACATCTTTACGTTATAAACATTCATAATCATCTGGTGTTGCAAGCCGTCTCCTTCATTTTCATCTGCCATCGAGGGTGGACGAAAAAACGAGAGAATGAGAAAGTACTACAAGAAAGAAAATTATACGAATCTTAGACCTATTACTAGTTCATCAAGATCGAGAAGCTTCTGGCTACTACTTCTATCGACTACTTAATTCGAATTATTCAGGTTTTTGCTCACGTGCACGTGATGATTTCGACATAGGCATTTACCAGACTTAATACTTCCCGTCTACAACTTACTACTAAAAACATGCCGGACAATCGGAAAGCTATCCCGAACCTCCATTCACAACCTATATCTGCACAAATTATCCTTAGTTTTCCCAGTTTTTCTCCACTACTTACGTTCAGGTTCAACTACTTCAACAACTGATAATCAATGCTTATACAACAAGGATAAGATCAAGACATGAGACACTGACACACATTATGTGGCACACTTCTTCTTCTAAAACAAGAAAGACCTATGAATCAATAAGGTCTACTACTCAAGATGTAACGAATCCACAGCAGTGTGAGCAGACTATCCTAATGTGCGTGGCTTGAATACCGCTGCGTGCCATCCAGTCCGTAGACCTGAGAGGAAGTAGGTTTAAGAGTGAAATGAGTATGCATCATGAATGATTTACATCGAAAATGTCGAGTCTATCAGAAGATATAGAATCTAGTTCCAGTTCTAGCACTAGTACTTCCATCGTTGATCGTGACGTACCACATCAAATGCTAGATATCAAACTTTGCTGCCGGCGTCATCCCAAAATCTTTGTCATGTTAATGTCTCCTAATAGCATTAGCAGCATTAGTGCTATAGTACCGTCACTTGCACATTCGTCCCATCGTTCTGCACTCCGTACTCCTGCAATACTTCGTTTAATCGATTCTGCACAAAGCTTTCTGGATTGTCGCAAATGTCCCTATATGTCTGCTGATGGTCTATCGGTGGTTCGCTGTGTCTGTGCCTGCACTGATTCCCCGCTCTGCAACCAGCCGTGATATGGATCACACTATTGCTTCCATTATGGCTACCAACAGGGTTGACGTTCACGCGGCTCCAGTACCTACACAGATCCTCACTTCTGATTGGTACGACTGGCAATGGAGGTGGAGGTGCGCTAGTAACGGAGGTCACGCCTGGACGATAACAAGAAACATCATCAATCTCAATCATCATGAGGTATAATTATCTACTTACAGCTACATATTGTGCTGTAAGGGTCACGCCTGGACAGAAACATCAAGGTAATTGTCGGCGTACTGTGCTGTAAGGGTCACGCTTGGCCAGAAGCAGAGACATCAGCTCAAGTATCTTTATCATCGTCTAGTGTTTTTAGGTGCCTGGCCGTTGTGCTTCAGGATTCTCGCAGGGAAATTAAATGTTCGCATTGCAAGGATGAAAATAGACCCAGGTCCCAAAAAAAAAATACAGTTCAGCATCAACCGGGCTTGATGAATGGATCATCTTCATCTACCTACACATCATGAACCTCAAGCTTGCTGCTCCATGATCATCCTGCCTGATTGTCTACTCATTTCGTCGATTAATAATGATCACCAACAAGAATGAGTGAATGAATGTACCCACTCCAGGAGTCTAAAAGACTACTACACTAGCACTACCACTTCTACTACATCTTCTAAAAATTTAATAGCAATACCATGATTTCCGCCCGCACCACTAGCTCCTGAGCAATCGTGGTATGAACCCAGATGTGAGTAATGTTCAGTGGAGTAATGGTAGTAGTCGCCGCCGCCTGGCACGAACTCTTTAGCATCTGGATTTTGCCCAGCTTTGCTGAATGTTCTAGAAGCAAAGCTGCTTGTTCGTCCTCTGGAACTCTTGTTATGATGTTGAGACGAGTCTGCATTCGAACTCAAAAGCTGATAGTTTGGTCGCGCAGGTTGCTGCTGCTGGTGGCCCTGTTTTATTTTGAAGTCAGTGGTTTGAAACAAATATCTTCAATAAAAAAGTTGTCTCTACTGATGAGTCGAGCTTCTTTGGAGAAAGAATAGAACTACAGTTGTCTCTCCTTCTGCACCAGCTAGAGCTTCTTACTCACGCGAATCTTAAACGAACACCACGAACTGCAACTAGAACTACTACTACAACTACAACACGTAGTACACGTCTTCTTATTCTTATAATTTAAGTAAGTAGAATCTTAAAATAAAGTAGTACCATCATAAATCCTCCTTGCTGAGGACCTCTCGCACCTCCTCTTCCGACGGGAAGACGGCCTCTGCCAGCGAGATGTTGACTTGCTCCACGTCCACTCGGTGAAGCCGCTATCGGACTGCTAGAAGGCGTTTTCGATGCGCTAATTCTGGCCAAATGGTGTTCCGACTCTTTGGCGTCTTTGATAGCTCCTTTTAGGTCCACCTCCATCACGTCGACACAAGAGCCGACGGAACTGGCTGGAGAAGCTGCCGATGAGGAAGCGGCCATTGGAGTGAAAATACTGCTGTTCAAATTCATGGTTGTACTTGAGGTACCCATAGAGGAACCAGGCATCATGTTGCTGTTGGAGGAAGAGCTTCCTTGTCCAATACCCATGATATTGTTGCCTATGTTGTTCTGTTGCTGCCCGCAGAAGGTACCTCCAAGGCCCATGCTCGAAGCTGCACCCACGTTACCAGGAGAGGGTGAGATAGCTGTGTTGTGTTTGAAGATACTGAGTCTGAGTGGTCATTTGTGAATAGTTTTATGATATTTAATGAAATCATATGTATCTATAATGAAATTGAAAGTCGATAAACATAAAATTGATAACTTACTATATAGACTTTGGTTCTTGATGCGGTTGGTCGCAAGAAGCAAAGTACTAGACACTTGACACAAGTTGTAGGAAGACCATGACCACAATCACAAAGAAAAGAGTCTAAAAAAAAGCTACAATGCATGCTATTCGTTGGTCGCAGGTCGTCGGAATACATGGTCGTGTTGAAATTGAAATTCCCTGATAGTGGCAAACTCAGGTTGTTGCCATAGTTATCGGATTGCTGCGCCATCCCATATTGGTCACCAATGTTGTTGTTCTGCATATTATTGTTCTGCATCTGCTGGTTGTTTAGCATCATATTGGTAGTTGTGCTAGCTGCTCCCATAATATTGTTGTTGTTTCCGCTAGAAGCTGCATTCATGTTGTTCAAGTCGAAGACGTTGTTCGTCGAAGAAGTTGCCCCTCCAGAAGTTGTACCCATGTTCATCGTATTGTTGTTCAAGTTCATGCCCAGAGTACTTGTTGCGTTCATGTTCATGTTATTACTGTTGTTATTCATGTTCATGTTTGTGTTGATTGTCCCGTTGTTCATCATCGCGTTGTTATCTGTAGTCGTGCTGGCCGTTGCGCCAAATGAACTGGCCATGTTGTTGTGCTGCTGCTGCATCATGTTGTTACCACTATTCAGGTTCATATTGAAGTTCATATTAGTGCTATCCGTGTTATTGCCCATGCTCATGTTGTTGCTCATGCCCATGCTACAACCGGTATTCATCGCGCTATTGTTCATCATGTTGAAATTATTATTGCTGTTTCCCACTGTGCTGTTTCCGCCGCATGAGTCGTTGTTGAACATACTCTGGCTGTTCATCATACCACCCGTATTCAACGTGTTAGTGGTGTTCAGCGTGTTATTGAGAGCATTGTTGTCGCCAAAGTTGTTGTTTGTAGTCGTAGCGCCACTATTGGAGATCACACTATTCGTGTGAAAGAGATTCATCAACGAATTCGTACTGTTGTTATTGTTGACGCTGAGGCCACCGACAAGATTATTGAGCCCTCCACTGCTCGTAACGGAAGAAGCGGTACTCGACAAACTGCTGCTCATACTTAACTGCACATTCAAACTAGACGTTTGAGTATCGTTGCCGCTTCCTGCTGCTCCGGCAAGATTACTGAGATTACCCAGAGTAGTGGTGTTATTGCCGCTTCCCAATTGCATGGTAGATGTAGAAGACATATTTCCGAGCAAGGATCCTAGGATGTTGTTGTTGTTGTTCGTGCTCCCACCAAGTTGTCCTACTTGAACATTATTGTTGTTCAACATACCAGTGCTGTTGTTAACAACATTCGCGTTGTTTAACAACAGCATATTCGAAGATGACATGCTCGCATTGGCATTGTTGGAAGAGGCTGAGAGGTTGAACAAGGGTCCTAACGACCCGACCATTCCTTGGCTTCCGCCAGTGAAACTGTTGGAGGCCGCTGATGGCATCAACGGACTCATGGCGGCTGGAAGGGCTGGCTGCACCGAAGCAGGCTTACCTCCTCCTGTTGGTGTAACACCCGTATTGGTCATGATATTTCTTGTCAGAGTATCAAAGTCCACACCGACAGCTACACCGCCTCTAGAAGTGCAGCTCGTAGAACAAGATGTGGGCAAATTATTTGTGCATGAGTTGGTGCTGGAGGATGTCGAGTCACCAACATTGCCGTTGACCTGATCTACCTCTTTTGCTGGGTTGGAGTTGGATGAAGAACGAGTCGAATCCTCATCAACCTGTGAACCAGCACAGCCGTGTAGCTGCATAGTTCCAGGTCCGGCCAAAACATCTTCGTCTTTCGCTGCAACCGAGCTGACCTCGTTGCTCCCAGTTCCATTTGCCAGACCTTGTAGTTCTGTGGGTGTCGCGTCGCTACTAAGAATGATCCCTTGAAGATGTTCTTTCGGTGTCATGTCGCTGACACTAGAAGAACCATCCTTCCTGCTTGCCCTTGCGCCATCCCGGGCAGCTTGCAAGTAACTCAGCGGCGCAGCTTGATTGCTAGGTTGAGATGGAGTTGTACCAGGTGCTGTAGGTTGATTACCAGTCGAAGCTTGAGTGCCAGATGAAACTTGCTTGGTGGAGTTGTCTCTTTGTAGTTCTTTCCCAGCAGAAGAAGAAGTTGCTACATGCGTCGTTGTCTTCGGTTCTTGCTGAGGAGGGGCGTTCGAGGTACAGGTAGTGCTTGTTTTGGTAAATTGAACAGCACTCAAGGTCAGGCTGCTCATCGGTGCTGGTTGAAAGGAGCTCAAGGGTGTGTTCGCCGTTCCCGGATGAAAGAATGGCGGGGACGGATGACGCGAGGGTAGTTGTTGCGGCACTTGGTCTGCCAATGGCGAAGATGGTGCGGCCACAGTAGTAGAGTTCGACGTTGCACCTGAGCTACCTACCATACTCATAGGCATAGACATAGAAGACATATTAGCTGCTCCACTAGTAGTCTGTGGAACTTGTGCAGCGGTGTTGCTATTGGTGGCAACAAGGCCTGCAATTGATTCAGTAGAGCAGAACGGTGAGGACCCCTGAGGCTCCACCAATGCGCCTGCTGGCAACGGTGTATGAAGTTGAAGCAGACTCGTCACAAGTGCACCTTCATCTTGATGATGCTGAGAAGTAGACGTAGTCGTGACAGTGTTAGCGGCAGCACTCACCTGCTGTTGGGACGTCGTAAAAGAAGTCTGTTGCTGCTGTTGTTGATCTTGATGATGCATCGGGGTATTAATCGTAATATTGGGATTGGCACCATTAGCATTAGTTACCACGACAGACTGATTCCTTTGCAGCATCGGGAAGAGGTCAAGCAAATTTTCGTTAACATTGGCAGTAGTTGTAGCCATGGACGAAGCAATACTGGAAGAATGAAACAAGTTGTTATTAGTGGTCGCGTCAATGTTGACAGCTGAAGATGTACTAGCACTAGGCGACGGTCGCGAAGGTGCCAAAAAAGACGGCACATTGGGGTTGGAGTCGTTGTTCATTGGAGAGGATCCAGAGTTGTTGTTTTGGTTCCCTCCTCCAACAAGAGCAAGACTGGCAAGGATGTCATTTGAAGTGTTGTTGGCTCCCCCGATTGTCGACGTAGCTGCCAATTGGCCAGCGAAGATAGTGGAATTGCAGTTGGACCAAGGGGACATCTCGGCAATGCTCTGAATACTCTGTGTTGGATGTAACAGACCCGCTGTTGTTGGGGTAGTGGCGTTTCCAAAACCCAGATTGTTCGCTGTATTTCCCGCGGTTGCACTCGAGAACAACATACTGCCCATGAAATCCGTTTGATTACCACCCAGCAAGTTACTCAGAGGCAAGCTGCCTTGGTTGTTGTTGAACAACGATGTCGAACAATTATTTGTCGTATTAGTAGCGATTGTTCCCATGGTATTGATGTTGTCCATGTTGTTTCCGCTCATGCTGTTAGTCATACAACCGTCTCCAGAAGTGTTGCCATGTCCATTATCTCCACCAGAGTTGACATTAGCATCCCACACTGTTCCCGGTGTGCACGTCGTTTCACTGGATGGCGAGCACCCCATCTTTTGAGAAGGACTAGCAGCTCCAAATGCGTTTGGACTGCTAGAAGACGCTTGTGGCGATGTCGCACGAAATGGTCCACCTCCTCCAGAGGTGTGGAGATTGTTGAAGTTACCACTGCGGTCTTTCCTTCCACCGTTCTTGCCTCGTGGCCCACCTCGTTCTTTGCCACTTCCTGGCGAAGAAACATGAAGATTGCCCCGCTTTCCACTGGCATGGATACCTCCAAAAGCACCTGCTCCTGAGGAGGCTCCTCCGCCAATCATGTTTTTGGAAGAAGAGTCTCCTCCGGCCGAGGCAGACGAGGAATTACTGTGAAAACCTCCAGCTCCTCCTTTTGATGGGTTCTTGTTGTTCCAGCGCTCACGGGGACCAAAGTTCGAAGAGTTGGTGTTAGATGAGGCGTTATTATTTCTGGCTGCATTGCTACGCCAGTAGCAGGGACCGTCGAACTCATCCTCGCCTTCTAGGAGAGCACCAATAGCGGTAGGAGCACGCGCTTTTTTGATCACCGGAAAGTCTCCTTGAGGACCTTCTGCACAGGATGAAGATCCCAAGCCATTCTGTTCTAGATTGAGATGGTCAGCATCAAAAATTTCCTCATTCTCGCCTCCAGCTCCAGCACCGAAAGGCCCATTGGCTTTGTTCGGTCTAGGAAACGGAAAGGAACTGCTGTTGCTGTCGAAGGAAGCTGAGCCAAGACGGGAGGAGCAGCCGCGAGGGTCTAGAACGTAGTACTTAGAGGAAGAATTGGCGCAATCCATGAACGCTTGAGCAGTTGCCACAGACTCCAGGTCATCACGGTTATCGGCATCACCAGCATAGAAATGGTCATCTTCTTCCTCCTCGTCTTCATCGTCCTCGACGGTCTGAGCCTCGAGGACGGTCTGAGCATTCATATCGGCAGAAGCTCGTCCTGCTAAGGCATGATCGGCCTCAACATCGTGCTTTGTCGTGTTCGATCGTGAAGATACCTGTCGCTGCGAGGAGTTGTTCGCGGACTCTTCTCGCTTCAAAGATGTACCACCCATGCCGCCGCCAAAAAAATCTCCTCGTAGATCAGGTTCCCAGGTTTTCGGCTTCGGAGTCGCTACCTTGTTCGCCTTCGACCTCGTAGACGTTGTACGGAACAAACCAGCACCACTGGACGCAGAAGAAATCATTCTCGCAGTTCCGATTGGCTGGTCGGTCTCGTCATCGTCATTACCGCAGAAAATGCCACGCCCATCGAGGTCTAGACACTTAGACAAGGAGAGCGGAGTACCTGCACTCATGTAAGACCCCTGTTTTATGTCAACATCAACGTCTTCGGAGACGTCATCGACGCTGAAGTTAATGAGTTCCATGTCTTCGCGAACAGCAACGACACGAGAAGATCCGCCAGGCTGAATAATAACTTCTGCATCTTCAACAGCGGAGGAGGAACTAGATCTAGAAGGGGACGATGAAACTTGTTTTGATGTGGTCGCAGCAATATCATCGGTCACTTCGACGGTAGTTCTTGTTGAAGATGAAGCTACAGCATCACCAGGAGCAGTTGTGGCCTTTTCTTCCGCTAGTACAGCATTTGTAGTGCAAGTAGCCTGGTGTTGTTCGAGGATTGCACCTCCTCCTCGCTTACCCTTGCCCTTTGACTTACTACCATTTCCTGTTGACGAGGAAGCGCCGCCACTAGTACCTTTCTCTCCACCTTTCATCTTAGACGACGATGCTGAAGACGAACCCTTACCGCTAACGTCCGCAGACGAGGGCGATTTGTTGCCTACTTGTTTGGGCACAAACATCTGCTGTTCATCCCGCTGTTCCGAACCCATTCGCCTCCACTTCATTTTCGCTCAACGAGTAGAGGACAGTGGTATTCTAAATCACTAGCTGCAGTCGGTAGAAGTTCTATTTCTCTCGTTGGTGTTAGTCGTTATTGAAGTCCTCGATTCAGAGAAGTAGAGCAAGACGTTGTAGTTCTTGTAATACGTATGCAAGAATAACACGAACAGGAATATTAGACAAATTAGTACAGCAGGAGCAGTAAAAGTCGGTCAGAGAACTTTAATTTTTCTTGTGATTTTGTCAGGTAAAGACAACTAATTTCGTAGAAATCGTTAGTGCTCGCAATGAATCAAAAGCTGACACGATCAAAAACACAACAACTGCTGCTTCGCATCTACAATTGAGTAAGCTATTAATTGAAAAACTAGTGTCAGGGTCAGCCGACGCGGTGGACCATGTGCTAGTAGTTATACATAGACTTTTCGGTCTTTACCACGCCTAGTTGTATCAAACTGCGACTATAAACTTATATGTAAGTATGAGTTGGTATATCAAATCTATCGTGATAGTTGTCGATTTCAAGTAGAAATATTTTACACGACTTTATTCGCAAATTCGTTCTGTTTATTCACCTCCAGGGTGACGCTTTCAGAACCACGTTCACGAAAGGACGTCTTCGAATATTTTTGTGCGTACCAATACCAATGCGAGTACAACCCGACGAAAAAAAATCTTTATCTTTTATTCAATTTCAATAAAATAATAACACGATCACAACCACAATAAAAATTATAAGACTTAATATCACGAAGATGGATCTTCGTCTTCCTAGTAACAAACAACTTCCTACAACACTATCTAGCTTGATGTCCTCCAGCAGTTCTTCTTTGTCAGAGAACAAGAATCTTCCGGAAAAGTAGTGGTTTCGGTAGTTACTGATATTGCTGCCACGTCGTCCTGTGAGGAGGTTGAGGTCAGTGGGTTTAGCGTTGATGGATCATCTAATATGGATGAGAGAAGATTGAAGTAGATGGCCGAGGTAGTGGTAGCTAGTTGACGAAAAAAGTTCTTCGTTGTGAAGTATTTTTACACAACTGAAAACAATGAAAAACACCCAAAAAATACAAAGTAAAAAGAGATAAGGACACGTTGTTATAAGAGTTCTGCTGTCATTTGACCTCAATTCCAAAGTAAGAAATGAGAAGTGTTAAAAAGGAAGCTATTTCACAACCCCCGTACTTGAACTATCAATAGCTCAACAGAAGAGCCTGGTACTCGACTTACTTAGACATATTTTTGTATCGAGCGGCAACACACATGGTTGCAATCTTTTTTTAGACCATAATATCAAGGTTTGATAAGAACAAGTTGTTATAATTGATGTTTCGGAAAAAAAGAGAACATAATCAACATAATACCGTGAAGACTTCAGAAGCAAGAAAAAAACAAGCGTGTAGGACTAAATTTTCACCCACTTCTAGGTACAACACCGTAGGTGCTAGTACTAAGAGGACGAGGAGCTAGTGGACAGCCATGAAGAATAGAAGAAAAACGATGAAGAATAGATAATTCGCGTGAGTGTGAATTCAGTATTACCCCTTATTTTTGAAATTTTAGGGAGGTCCAAAGAGAAAGACAAAGAATAGATAACAATCGAGTGATGATCCAAAAGAAAAAGATCATTTCTCAAACCCAACACAAACGCACGAGTCAGCGACTTGAATAGTGCTAGAAGTTGATTATGAGAAGGATTTGACGACGAAAGATCATCCTGACTCCCAAGTTTGTTTCAACGCCGCAAGAGGTGATATTTTTGTTGACAAGAACATGGTGATTGACATTGATGACTTCTCATCGATGTTTTTAACAAGAACGACTACAAAACAGAGGGACAAAAGAACGTCCACTTCCAAGTGGTGTTTTAGATGTTGACCAAGATGAGTGGATCGATTTTTTTTGACCACTACCGTGATCTTTTTTTTAGTGTTGCATAGAAACCAGGAACCGGAAGACTTGTTCTCCTTGATCTGGAACGAGGACAGTCATATGCAAATTGACGATGTTGAGCATGACTACATTTCAGGATCTTCTTCATATATCAATATCAGTTCCTAACCGTTTTAACCAATAAAAAGACTCTGCTCTAGTTCTTCATCAATAATTTTTTCACTCAAACGATCTTCAGGTTCAGTTTCAGTAGGACACGTTTCATAAAAAATCCAAGTGATCAAGATCATGGACAAGAACGATGATGCGTGTGAAGAAGTAGATCTTCTGACCCTGACTACGTTGACTTTAGCTGAATCATGATATGTGAATGTGACCGTAACCTTGAGCTTGGTCGTACTAAAACGTTAACGTGGACTACTTACTCCTATTAAGTATGGAGTTCTTGGTGTTGGTGATCGACACTACTACATGAGACTTTGTGCTTGATCTTGTTGAATCTCTCTCTTCAAGGGAACGAGGGATTGACGAAACTCCGAGGTACAATTTTCGTCTAGTTTTCTTTTCTCATGTTGATCACAGGATTACTCGAAATTTTTGATGCAAATGTTATGTTCTTCATGTTCAGATGAATGAGCATCTTCTTTGTGGTGAAGTCGTGTGACGTTGATGACTTCAGCATTTTTCTACTTGCTACTCCATGTTCATCTTCATGTACATGTGTGCTGCAAAGGCTATGCGTATGCTCTAACTACTTATTTATGAAAACAGGTTTTCCAATTTCTCCACGACACCCAGTTGAACTTCTCCCCGCACTTCCCAAAAGAAATCAATGAAAACCTCCTCCAAGAGACCACACGTCATGTCATCCCAATTTTCTTCACACAAACGCTTCCTCTACGGAAAATCGAATGGCTCACGTACGTATCGGTCTCTATCGAATAAGTCAATCTGCCACGCCCAAGGCCGTAAACGAGGGTCGTCGAACTCTGCAGCTAACTCGATAGTAATAGCGTTCACTTGATAGGCATTTTCAGGTTCAATATTTTGTTCCCGAGCTGAAGAGGCAGGAAATGGACCTGCACTTGAAGAAGCTGTCCTGGAGGACGAAGCCCCACCTGAAGAAGTTGTACTTGCAAATGTTAGCGCTTGACGTGACTCATCTGGGAGAGCATCTTTGGCGTGCTTTGTTTCCCTTTAGGAAAAAATAAAGGCTCCAAGATGCTCCCCAAGATGAATCAAAGGAAGCCGTAAAAATGAAGCTGAGATGTCAGTAGAACTTGATCCACTTCTTTTACTAGAAGATGCGCTTGCAGCTGAAGATGTACTGCTTCTTCCTTGGCTATGTGGCTGATTGACAGGCTGGAAGGAAAACCTAATTTGAAATTTGGTCAAACGTGCAGAGCTGCTCTTTTCTATCGCGACATTATTGATATAATCCTCGTCATGGTCTGGGTCTGCTTCGTGAGTGGTCATCGATTTCGATTCCGAAGAGAGTGAGAACTTGGGAGCATGATGAGAAGAGGAGGCTTGTTCGTGTTGTAGTGAATCTTCACCATGCCCATCATGAAGATTCACTTTGGCGGAAAGTTGCGAACGAAATTCGTTTACAGGACCAGGACCACCTCCATCTCCCGATGGGTCCAATGTACTGGAAGACACGGGTGCAATTGCGACCATGCCACGGAAACGGCGACGCGCGACCAGTCTCCTTATTTCATTAGACACGAGGTTTCAAATTTTACATCATCATTGAGTCAGAGGACCAGGACTTTCATAGAAATTCTAAATTTAACATCACCTCCCGCTCCCACTGCCTGCCTACACCTACAGAATGAAGGATCTTCTTTAATGAGGAAAGACAGCCATGCATCATGAAATAGCTTTTTGCTCGTTTCGTAAATTGAAAATCATCGAATCCTTCCCCATTATGTTGTAAGGACCGCCTGGCTGGCGCTAGTATCGACAAAACGATTGAAAAAGACTTCATTCGTGTACGACCAGTATCTGTGGTGTTGGTGTGCGACTGAGTGACGTAATCTCCTTCAGTAGAAGCTACCCTCAGTGTCCTCAGGCGGGGTACAAAGACTCCATATTCTCGGGTGATAATTGCGCCATAGCTAGGAGCCGTGCCGCGAGACTCGTCAATAGGTTGATTGACGAAATGGTGGCTCTCCTGTTTGTTGGGCCTATTTTCGTAGGCATGCATTATTTGCTCCAAAACTGCGCGCTCGTTCTTCTCGTCGTAATCTTCGATAGTACTACTTCTGCTAGAGGAGTTTTCCATAATAGCAACAGGAAATGTATTTCTTCGTCCTTCTATTTCACTCGAAGTCGATTTTTCGTTCATTCTACTTCTAGTTCTAGTGATTCCAGCAGGACTCCCAATGGTCATGCTGTTGATTCCCAATAAATATGAATAAACTCGTCCTCCAGTACTTCTACTACTACTTCTACTGCCTTGGGCGGAGGCTACTGCTCCAGCTTTTCCTCTAGATGCTACACCTACAGCAGGTACCGCTCCAGGACGAAAGAGAGCACTGTATTCTTCACGGATTTCTTTTGAGTGACCCATAAACCGATCCCAAACGCGTCCCAGCATATCCCGGTTAGACTGATAACGCGCTGATGCAACTTCCGCAGCTTCGCTAAAAAGATCGCCGCCACGATCCTTCTCGATTTCTGGGGATGAAAGTAGAGTGACAGTGAGGACTAGAAGAAGGCATAAGCTATGTTGACATTCGTCATTCACAATCACAGGAAAGTTAAAGTTTTTTAGCTGTATCTTCCCTGCGGGTGCAGGATTCAACTACGTAGCAGATGTAGTTCTAGTTCTCCAGGCGTGTTGATTTTAATACATAGTCCTCTTGTGATGATTATGATTTCAAATTCAAAATAGATACTTTTCGATTTTTGAGCTACTGGGTACTGAGACATCCTGTAAGCCATAACGTTAGAGGTTCGTCAAATGGAGAGGAGAATGGTAGATGGGTCCATTCTTCCGCAAGCGGTGCGTCGTCCATCCTTCTGTCTATTTTTAGAACTAGGAGAAGCCCACGCTTAGCAGCATCTTGGGCCCCCTTTTCCCTTTGAAAACGGCAGCAGGATGCCTGTGAAGATGGATTTCTTGTAGCCTTAAGTCTAGCAGACCAGCGGCCGTGTCTCTGAGCCTTTTCCGTAAACCCATGACAATATTATCTGACTGATCAGCAGAGCCAGAGCTAGAAGACCCTCCTCTCACTGCCTCGCGACCGTTGTTCCTGGAGACCGTCTTGGTACTCGAAAAAGTGGATGAGGAGGAAGATGCCGGAAGTGGACGAAGGCTTGGTTGTACTAATTCTTTGTGATCTCTATGTCTTTGTCTATCTGATGACGTAGCTAATCTTCGTATAAATCCTGCCGCTGCCTGTTCTTTTAGTTCAACATGTTCTTCTTCTTTCTCCGTATTCGCAACAGCTGTAGTAAGAAACTGCTGGGTATCCCAAGAAAAACGAGCTGTGGAAGAATCGACTGGAACTGCAGCGGCATCGGTTTTGGTGGTGCTTCCATCGTAATTTTCACCACACTCGGCGCTGGCTTCTGTTTGATGAGTGCATTCTTCCTCATGTATTTTTCGTTGAGCTTCTAGTAATTCTTGGCGGCACCGCTGATTAGATGTAACTGGATCCAGGCAAAGGAGGCTCAACGGTTGGCGATGAAGGTCTCCAATTTTCACTTCTGCGTGTCCTGAGGGAGCTTCTGTGCCAGTAGACGCTGAGAGTAGAGCTCCCGCTGGAGGTGTCTGGAACTCGTAGCGTTCTTCAAAAACCGTTTCTCCAGTATTAGTAGAAGGTTGAGGTTGTTCTTGACTGTCATGATCTCTAGTACTAGATAAAGTAGAAGTTGAAGGCACTTTCGCATGTCCTCCTCGTTTACCGCCGCTTTCAGGATTTCTGGCTTGGCGCTTTTTCTCATGTCTTGTAGACAGTTCGCGTTGTAGCCACTCCTCTATTGCTTCGGCTACCTCACGATTTGGAGGTGCTTGTTCGTCGACATGACCTTCTTTCTCCTGTGGGGATGCTGCTTGTTGTATCTCATTCGAAGTAGATGTGGTCGCTCGATTTGGTTGCTTCCCCCAGACGAGGACCGTTTTTTCTAGTCCTGTATGTGCTTTATTACTGTTTTTCATCTTTCTGTCTTTAGCTGCTCCCTGAGAACCTCCTGACGCAGAGGCCAAAGCCATTGCCATCTTGTTCTTCTGCATTACTTTGTCAGACAAAATTGCGTACTCGATCAACCCAGGTTGTCGCTCTAAGTCTTGTTGTGTAAGACAAAGAGGCTGACGAGGATGGCTTGTGGCACTAGTACGTCTCGGACTGGGTGGTCTAGGAAAATAAGTAATGTAACCATCATCATTGGTGTACTTCACAAATGAATAAATCTTCACATTGTCGTGGGACGAGGTTGTAGTAGCTCCTACTTTGTAGTTAGGTGTCGGTCCTATTAATGCGCTTGTTGTACTAGTGCTTCCGCTTCGTGATGTTAAAGAATGACTCGCAATCCTAATGCCTTCCAAAGATGCCTCTCGACAAAGGGTGCCTTGTCTTGCTTCGAGCCACCGCATACTATCACTATGGACGTACGTCCTATGCCGAGCAGGACACTCGCGAATATGCCATCGACAGGGAGAAAATGTAGTAGAAGCTTCTATAGAAATAGAGTTGAAGTTCTTGTAGAAAAATTTCGATGTTCGTTATCATCTTCTACTTCTACTTCTGTTCTTTCTGAAGAACATGCACCTTGATTTGGTTGCGGTACTGATGGTTCTCGTAGGCGTTGTAATAGGTCGTCTTGGCCAGGGCCTTCGTCCTCCCTTACCCTTGGCTTGTCTCTTCGACTTCTTAGTTGCCGTTCTCGTCCCTTATGTTGAGACGAAACTTCATCAATCAAAAGTCGTTGTAGTCTTTCTGTTATAGTATCGGGCTGTACTCCTGCTGGGCCGAGTCCTTCTCCTTCTGAATCAGAAGAAGACTGATCTTCATCTCCACGACGTTCTCGTTGAGGTTGGCATTGTCTCTGCGTCTTTGGGTTGCTCACTTTTGGCCTCATGATATTTTCTGCTTCACTCTGCAATTTGTCCAACAGCTCACGTGGCGTAGGATGCAATGCTAGAGCCGGAGATTAGAAATAGAAATGTTGAGAACTATGATGGTTGTCGTAAAAGATCAAGGGACCCTACTACTTCTTAGGGAATACTAGCGATTCTGTAGATGTTGATTAAGGATATTTACGATGCCTACTGCTTTTGGTTTTGTTCTGAGTTGCTGCTAGAGTAGTTTTCTATTTTTTTACTAGCCATACTACTAATACATACTAGCTGAACATTCAAGAGAAATAACAAGCAAAGTGTGATCTCCAAACTCAGATGAAATCAAACATAAGAATAGATATCCTTCAACGGCTCCGCGAACTCAGGCAAGGCATCAATCAGTTGGCCTGGTGATTTGAATACTGGAGACGACCGATTGAGTCGTTCAAGTACGCGCTTACCGTCTACCGGTCTGTCTATCCATTTTTTGAAAACATCACGTTCGTCTGTAATCACAGCAATGAAAGACAACCTTCTGTGATGGCTGCTTGTGCTTCCTCCACCTTGATGTAGTGGATGGTCGGGACGATGGTCAACAGTATTTGACGAGGATAAAGATAGCAAGATATCGATATTGCCCAAAGGCAAACTGCGGTCTCCTCTTGCAAGGGCGGCTTGTACTTCTCTCGTCCCTGTTCTTTGATGGTCGTTCGCAGGAGAAGGTTTCTCGATCGGACTAGTATGGATGATGTTTTTCCCATCTTGATAGACCATCGAGGCCCGCCCGATTAACCTGAGTATACAGTTGAATTAAAGGGAAAAGGAGCAGCCTCTGAAGGATGGAAAAAACATCATCCATAACTAGGTTTTCCTTGCGGGACCGGGTTCGTCAATTGTAACCGCACATAATGAAACGGCGTCGGCAACAACGTGGCATCGATTTCCAGTGCGTCCATCACGTCGCCAAGGGTAGCGGTTTCCTCGAAATCTTCCAGTTCTGGTAGCTCCAGGTGCCTTTTTCGACCTTTCTTCAAAGGCCACAAATCTCCAGAAAGTTTTCTCACTTCAACGCGAATTAGGTTCTTTTGAGCACTTGTCAATGAGCTTGGAGCTGCAGGCTCGTAGATTGGTGGAGGTACAGAATCAGAAAGATCTTTTTCCATTTCCATTATTACAGATTCACGTACTACTTCTTCTTCTCCTTGATCTTGCCCAGGAGCACCTCTGCTTTCGTTTGAGCTGCTGCAAACACTTTCAGTTTCATCTTGATTTCGATTCGAATTCGGTACTCGAAGACACTTGCTGAAGAAGGTGCCGATGCATGGAGCTTGACGTTGTGCTGGGGGGCGGCTCCTTGAAGCGGTTACGGCTGCGGGTTCGGTGCTTAAACTTGCGGTTGCTGCTGCGGTCGCACCAGGGATAAAATCGGGGTCGAAAAATAGGTGAAGATGAAGTGATCCTCCATAATAAAGGATCACGTGGTCAACCAATATGGCACCAATGGTACCACGATTAAAGAGCTGCCTCATCTTGTTCCTCAACGTCAATTTACGAGGATCACGATAAGATATGAATGTGGCGGCACTCCACGATGCCTGTCCGTGAGGATAGAATAAAATAGAATAGGGAAAGCTATGCCTTTTTTTAATAAGTGCCTCAAGTCGTCCTTTCATCTTCAGGTGCATCAAGTCCTTTTATTTAGTTCTTCCAGCACACTTATGATCATTATCAGACTTTTTTTGTAGGTAAAAAGACGAGTCTCAATATGACAGAAGGCGACAACGACCGATCCAAAGGGCGGAGCTGAATCGGAATCGGAATATAGGGTTTACCTGAACAAGCAAGCATAAGGGTATGAAGTCGTTCATTTTGTTTCACTGAAGACTGCCGCATGTGCGCATATACGGACGACAGCATGACAGAGCTCCTTGCTTCGGCAATGCAGATGCAGTGTAGAATGAAAAACGATAGGCATGGGACATACTCAGAAATTACACTGCTCGCACTGGAAGATGTTTGATTTTAAACGCCCATCGCGGACGAGATCAATCTTAGTGTAGCTGTACAAGACTGAAACAAGAAGGAAAATCAATCTCTTCCTGACCATGAATGATGTTGATTTTTTGAGGTAGTTCAACGTCAACGACCGAGCGTGAACGTGATAAAAAAGTTCATTTTTTAAGATTAAGAATGAATATCGTGAAGAGGGCAGCACTTTTTGCTTTGCCATAGCATGAATTTATCAAATAGAAGAAGAAGGATGTTGTAGATCTTGATATCTATCCTTGTCCGTATCCTGGTTATCCTTATCGTTCAAGTTCATCTTCCTCGAAAACTATTACTACTATTATTATTTGTGCATTATACGATATCGATAGCATTGTTGTATCTCTATCTCTGTGCATGAAATATGAATAGAAATAATTATCTACGGGTATTATCGTCATTCGTAAGAATTCGAAGCATGAGAATGTTCTTGCCTTATTTTTCTAGTAGTTTTGCTAGTTGTGAAAAGTTCAAGTTGTCAAAAATATTACAAGTACAACTAGACTAGTTCATTATTATGATGACCCTTGTGTCGCTGAGCTTCCGGCCCTACTTCTATCTAATTCCCCGACGCGAGAGGACGCTCTACTTTTTCTTTCCAAGATTTCGCGTTTCTTTTGCTCCACCAATTCTTCCATGCTTTTGTGTTCTGCTAGCAGAGATGCTAGCTTTTGGTCTGCTACAGCAGGTACAGCTGCCGTACAACTAGGAGGTACCACCACTGAACCACCACCGGGTTGGACAGTGCCAGGCGACTGTGACAGAACAGAGTACATACTTCGATTGAGCATGCCAGACGATGTGTGCAAGGCGTTGTGGGTACTGTTGTTCAAGCTATGCATACCGGAAGCGGATAGGGCTGAGTGATGCAACACTTGCTGGTGCTGAACATCCATGGAAATAGAACCCGTAGCAGCAGGCAGAGCAGCAGTTGTTGTAGCGGCAGAATTGATGATAGACGAGCCTGGTGGTCGTGGTACGGCTAGTGCAGTTGGATGAGCTCCTGCAACTACTGCGCCACTCGCAGCAACGAGATGACCATTGCCGCTCATAATTAGCTGTTGTGATGATGTTGGAGTTAGCGATTGATGTTGATGCTGGACACCTACTCCTACTACTGCTCCTGTTCCTACTCCTGGCATATCTACTACTTGTTGTGGTGTAATATTACCCCCACCAGCTGCATTGGTTGACGCTCCTGCGTCATGGAAATACGACAGATCGTTTTCATTATACAACAATCCACCAGCTGACGCCGACAAAACAGTGTTATGTGGAGAGGCATCTTGATGCTGGGGTACTGCGGATAGGGTGGAAAAATCTAGTGCATTTGCGTGTTGTACTTCGGGATGCGGACTGGGTGGTAGTCTTGCCGAGGTGAGTCTTTGCTGAATTGGAAGATGTGAGCCTGGTGGCAGGCCATTCTGGTTTTGTCGGTGTGGATGTGGTGGGAGCGGGTGTACTATTCCATTGGAGATAGGCTGAGAGCCACTAGCAACAGGCGCCATTCCATTTCCAACGATAAGAACTCCTGGTCCCGCCGACCCAGTGCTTACCTTGCTAGTTGTCACAGTTGTGAGCACACTATGTGCGGAAGCAGAGAGGGCGTTGCCTGCTGTCACATGGTCTACTTGGTTTGTAGGTAGTTGTTGGCTATGCGGTGCTTGGGGTTGTGATGTTTGTCCAGCATTGTTATTAACATTCCCACGAGAACGAGAACCCACGAACCCTCTCCCAGTACTAGCTGGACGCTGACTAGTTGTAAAAAAGTTCATCGGAGGTCCTGTGCCACCGCCATTAAGGGTGCTACGAAAATTGCCTGGTGGAGTCATACTAGTAGTAGCCGTGCTGCCACCAGTAGTAGTTGTGAGTCCAATTACTGGTGGTCGCTTCAGCAAACTCGTAGAGAATCCATTTGAGGCTAGCGTGGAGGATCCCAGATGAAGTGACGTCCCTGGAGGCTTATTCAACATGAAACGACTTGTGGTGGCCGTACTACTAGGAGCTTCTTGGTTAGTACCGCCCACTGGTGATGATGTCGTAACAGCTGTAGTGGTCCCACTAGATGATGTTGTGGTTATTTTGGAATTTGACAATGATGCTGGTACTCCAAGTTGTTGTTGGCCTGCAGCTGTGGGTCCTAATCCTTGAGGAGATGAGCTCGAGGTAGTTGCTCTGTTGTTCTCCTGAGGACTGAACATGTGCTGTTCCTCAGACGGAATCGAACTACCTATGGACAGAGACCTCTGATAATCTTCCTCTTGTGCTGAATCTGCGTTAGAAGCGTTGGGTGTATTTTCAGGATGGACGTCTGCAGCAGGGGCCTTAGTGAGGGCACCAGAAGCAGTCGAAGTAGGAATCGGAATCCTACTTTGTTTTTTATCTCCACGACTAGACGTTGAAGTTCTTGTTGTTGTTTCCTCTTTGTTACTTCTAAGCTCGTCTGCGAAAGCGATGGAACTAGAGGAGCCGGCTGGCGCTTGTGTCAGCTGTTGCTGTGCTGGGGAAATTGCAGGCGAACGACCTCCTGGTGTCGCTGTGTCGGCCGAGACGGCGTAGAGATGAACCCCTGAGGCCTGTGCGTGGGATCCTTGTCGCTTGCTACTGCTCCTACTCGAGGAGGAAGGAACTATGGTGGTGGGCGTACTACCAACTCCTTCGCCTCCATCCGCCTCCCTTCTGGTGTGCTGATTCCCAACCACAACGCCTCTGCTACTGACACCGTGCGCCAGATTTCTCGGTCTACTGCCTGCACCGCGAGCACTCCTAGGACTTCCTCTAGATGACGCTGCTAATGACCTTCCAGATGCCAACATACTAGGACCACCTCGGTTCGACATCATATCAGATGATGTCACCGACAAAAAGCTACCTTGTTGTTCCACACGAGAAAGGCTCAAATTCTGGTCTCCTTTTCCCGCAAGTTCCTCTGCCATCCGTACTTTCAAAGTTTCGACCGCGTTCTGCAAATCCCGTTTGGAGTCTAAAGCTCTTTGAAGCTTGGTCGAGCATTCCTGTCGATCCAACATCAAGGCTGAGCGTTCGGTTTTATGCTGCTCGATTTCGGCCTTCAGTGTTCGCATCAGAGACTCTAAGCGGCCACAGCGAGACTTCAAATCGCTGTTTTCCTGGAAATTGCGATTGTAGTGTGGGAGTGCAGCGGGTGGGATTGTACGAAAAAATGAGAATCAACTTACTTTAAGTTGTGCGTGATGAACCACGTGCGCAAGCGCTACAACATGTCTCTGTCTGTAACAAAAGCTACAGATGAATAACACAACTCATTTATAATACCTGTTTCACCCTTATCTGCTCATCTTGATTCTCAGCGCTCAGTTCGTGATGTTTCTTGTCCAAAGCAAGTTTCAGCTTTCTCGCATACTCCAATTCCTTCTTTTTGAGCTCATCCTGCCGTTCTTGCAGCAGCTTCACCCACTCTTGCTCCTGTTCATCATAGAATGCTTGCAACTGAGTTTCGGTTTCGCGCTGTTTTCGTTGTTCAGCCTGCAAGCGCTCTTGAGACTCCTTGACCACCATGGAAAGCATCTTCTCTCGGGAGTTAGAGGAAGATCTTGACGGTTACGAATACGTTTGTCATCGAGATTCTTGATCATGTTGAGTCAACAAGAACAACTTCTACACATGCGATGGATACGCTTACGGTCTACGTCTAGAAATCAAATGTTCAGTGCGCCTCAAGAAACCCAGAGAACCAACTCAACAATTCTGATACCAACCCTTCACCATAATTTCCGCTAGCATATCTGCCCTCATTGCGTCCTTCTCCAACAGTGCCTGTTTCGCCTCGTTCTTGGCATCCAGCACAGCCTTGCTCGCTGAAGCCTGTTCTTCCTTGATTTTCAGTGTGTGACTCAGAAGTTCGTCCCTCTTTTTAGCCAAATCGCGTTTCTCCTCGTCGTTGGCGCCTTGAAGTCGCATTAGATTGGTTTCTGCCGCTTGCTTCTCCGTCTCATAATTCGCGGCTCTGAGCTCGGCTGCTTCTTTCGCGGTAGAGAGGGTGGAGATGGAGGCCTGAAAGAATGTGGAGTTGTATTGAGTTGTATCAAGACGTTGTTCTTTTTGGGGCGAATATGCGAAGTAGGAGCTAGACGAGCGCGACTACTTACTTTACCATTTATTCGCCAGTACCTACTTACGCAGGGTGGCTACGAAATTCCTTATTTACTTACTTAGGGTGGCTACAAAATTCCTTATTTACTTACTTAGGGTGGCTACAAAATTCCTTACCTCATTCTTCTCCACTTGCTCTTTCAGCATATCAATCTGGTTCCGCTGCTCTTCATTGTCTTTGTCGAGGCTGTGTGTTAAAGGAGACATAATTCATATTGGTTTCAAATCGAGACGAGCAACTGCTTAGTAGTTCCCTGTACAGTTGTAAGTATGTCCGTCTAGTATTTCAACATCAACTAATTGCACCTTCGTCTTCTTCTAGCATATAACGAGTACATTCCTATTCTGAAGGACAAGCAAAACCGCATCAAGTCCATCATAACTCCATCAACTCCTTCGCTTGCATCAGCTCTTGCGCTAATTCTAGTCTCGCATCCTCAGAGTCGGTGTGTTTCTGTGTGAAGTGCTCCAATTGCTGTTCCAGATCCGCACTCATTTGTTTTACCTCGTTGTGCCTTTCATGGTGCGAAGCCTCTTGCTCGGCTGGGTATGAAGAGTGGGCTGAGGGTGACATTGCATGGGCATGGGAAAGGGGAACAAGATATTTATAAGACCTCAATCTCTACCAGTGTAGTACTGCTCAAGTGGCTGCAGATGAAGTGCTACTCTAGCTCTAGCTCTACGTCCTTAAAATCACAAAAATGATATTGAGATTGACCACGTCGATGTTGTACTGAGTCAGGCTCAGGCTGACTCAGCATACTCATATTTAAATATTTAGATTTCTTGGCATCTCTCACTCTCACTCTCAGAGTTCATAAAAAGTGTGCTCGCAATGTCTGCAGCGTCTTTTCCTGTTCCTCTAGAGCACGCCTGTAGGTCAGCAATTCCACTCTCACTCTTTCCGATAGCGGATCCGCAGCAGTAGTGCCATCGTCAGATACACTCTTGATGCCACCATCAGAGTTGAAAACTAGACTTTCTGCTATTTCGTGTAGCACGTTCCGATGACCTCCTGCCGGTTCTGCTATTGCCAAGTGCTCGAGGACGTTCTCACCAACATTGTCTACGTTGATTTCCGTGCCCTGGAAGAATAGGTTGAGGTCTACTCCTGCAGATCGGTCAGAAGCTCCACCTCCATAAGGAACTGATACTGAAGATCCACCTCCAGTATCGTCCAATCTCAGTCCCAAAGCCCAACTTAAACGACTCCTCAGTTCTGCAGCGCTTTTCGGCCAATACTGCCTAGGAAATGACGTAGAGGTAGCCGCTGGAATTTTGATGTGGAGGTCTAAACTCAAAACCTCGTGAAGCTGCTGTTCTTGTTGCTGATGCTGATCTTGTTGCTGGTGAGCATGATTGATCATACTTGGTTGTTGAACTGCCGTTGTGATTTTTGCAGAATGAGAATGTTGAGAATTCACACTCCTATTAGTGCTTTCTCCTCTATAGGTGGAGCTTGCAGTGGACGGGTTAGCTCGCTGGTAATTCGTCTCGCCTTCAGGTCTTACACGACTTGTTGTTGTCGGTGGAAGCAATCCATTGATAGTGTGTGAAATCTGGCCAGTTGTTGATGTAGCCTGAAAGGAAACCGTTTGACGTGGTGACTGATTCTGATACAACTGCTGACAACTAAGTGGTCCTGTACTACTAACAGGAGTACCAGAAAACGTCGTTGGCGCTGCAGCTGCTGGTGCTGTTTTCCTATTGAGAAGTGCTGCTCCCACACCGACAGCAGTAGCTTGAGAAGAAGATGGTGCTCCTTGCATAAGTTCTTGATGTTGATTGTCGCCGTACGCTACTAAATTATACACACCACCAGCATGATCAACGCCCACGCCCTCTCCTGTAGTACAACCACCCGAAGTCTCAGACAAGCGCCGTTCAAAACTCATCAGCGGTTCCTCCTCGGTCAAAGGTTCGGTCAAGGCTTCAACCGCTCTAGGATCGGATTTCTGTCGACGATCGTTGCCGGTCTGTGGTGAAGGATCCAGCGTCGCGACACTCAGCTGCGAAGACGGGGAATTGGGATCTGGTTTTTGTTGGGTTCTTGGGCGGAGGAGCAGGAGTTCTTTTGTTTTTGCGTGTACTTCTAGTTAAGTCAGTTTTTTGAAAATCGATGAAGTTGTATGACAAGAAAAAGTGTACTCATACTCAATAAATTGGCTAGGATTTAAGTAGGAAAGTAGCTAATTTTCTGAGGGTGAGTGCATTTTTTCGTGTCAGAAGTTGGGTTAGTGGTAGTACAGTAGAAGGATCATCGTGGGCGGCAAGAACAAACTTGAAGTTACGCCGTACCTTCCATAGAGCCACTCGGTTTCTTCTTTCCACTTTTTGGTGAACCTTTTCGTTTTGCTGAGGCTTTTCCTCTTGCAGCACTCTTTGCCTTTCCCGGACTACCACTGCTTCCACGTCGAGCTGACCTATGTCCTGGATTTGCTGCACCTGCACTACCAGCAGTACCCGTCCTGCCCCTAGAAGTACCACCTGCTGGACTCGCCTGTCTACTCTTCGGCTTCGAAGCAGCTGGCCGTCCATAATTAGCACCTCCACCAGCTCCTCCAGAAGCCACTGTGTTGCCGTGGTCCTGCGTCGATATTAATTCTTGTTTAGACAATTGCATCGTCGAACTTCTCTGCACAGTGCGTTTTCCTATTTCGCGCGACACTCGATATTTCGCGTCTTGCATCTCTGCTAACCGAGCTTCGGACCGTGGTGGCGTCTGCCTAGCATTAGCATTGGGAACGCCAGGCGATTCCATTCGCATTGGTCCGCCCCTTCCAGGAGGCTGAAACCTGCCCGGCTGCTGTTGTCCACCTCTGTTTGGCTGCTGTTCAGGTGCATAGAGGAACTGTGGCTGTGGCTCCTGGAGGGATCGCGGAGAAGCTGCATTAATCGTTCGCGGCACAACTCCAGCGGGCGTGCCAACAGATTGGAGAACGGGTTGCATTTTTTTGCGTTGTTTTTGGCAATGTCCTCAATGCATGTGTATCATAGGCTTGTCTCAGTCCTCATCACCAGTCTTAGTTGCTTTCATGACCCACGTACAATTTTTTTCGACATGATGGAAGTACAATTTTCATGAACAAATGGGCTGACATCTAACTCAGCCCTCTCCTTTTCATTTCTCTCCTCAACTCACGCGCCATCCTTTTAGAGGGATTTAGATTTTTTCGACATCCTGTTTGTCTTTGTGTGCCTCCACCTAGAGCAGACCGTCTCAAGGCGTTGGCGGTTGCTTCGACAGGCTTCCATACGCAAGTTTAAAGAAGTTGCTTAGGATATGGTGTGATTTCGCTGGCTTTACAAGAAAAAGAGCATGACGACATATTCTTGATTCTACTTCTTCTAGGCATGTTCGCATAAATTGATGTTGATCAACGTAGTCGCTAGTTTTAGCATATTATCCGTTTCGAGTGACTTTGACAACATGTTCTTCAGGAACATGTTACTTTCAACAAGAAGAAGAAGAACTACATCCTATCCTTAAGAATCGCTAGATTTGATACTCAACATTACAAAACCCATAAAACCTATTTTCTGCTTTATCTTGATGTTTCCCCTACTCCTAGAAGCCCCTCCAGTACTTCTAGTTCTACAGGCACCCCGCCGCCGCTGTCACATCAGGAGAATTTGATTCCTGAACTATGTATTTGTCGATCGCAGCACAGAACTCCAAGTCTTCCGATAATTCTGCGGCTTTTACAATCGCATTGAGGAGCATCAGGCGATGACCTGGCGCTAAAGCTTCTAGATGGTCCTTTAATCGTCGCCAAATGTGGTGCAGGCCATTGCGAAGAGTGGTTACTTCGTCTGCTTGTTGTCCTTGACCTTGTCCAGCTTGTCCAGGTATAATTCCTTCGATTTCCATCAATTGCAAAGCTTCAGCAATGCCATGAGCGCCGATGCAGAGGTCAAAGGCAGAACAGGAATCCGTAGCCATAGCATGGGTGAACAACAGCGCGGTTTTCACTTGCAAGTGTATTGAAACACAGTTGCCGTCGAAAGCGTCCAGTAAATGGGTCAGTTCTGGAATGGTTAGCAAGCAACCGTGAGTAGAAAGAGGAGTAATTCCAGATGTAGTTTGTCGTTGTGCCCCAACAGTGTTAACAAGGTGTTCGTCCATCAAGGCCAACAATGACCGTGTAGCCAGATGCAGGAGCTCCACATCCATCTCTACGAAGGGCGTTTTACATAGGGTTACGAAGAGTTTCCCATATCGCCTGGCGAGTAGGCGTTTTGTAGAAGCGATGGCGATGATGGCGCTTTTTGTTGTTCCAGTAGAAGTGGCAACGTTCTCTACTGAAGAATCTAGATCACTAAAGACATTTAGGGAACTCCCAGGAGCCGCAGTATCTTGTCGACTAAAGGGATCCGCATGATGAATACCCACCGACCACGGCAGCGTAGGCTTGGGAGCCGTCAAGGCTGTCTGCAATAGGCGAATGGGATGATCCAGTGCGTCTGCGTCTTTCTTTGTAGGTGAGCGTGAGGTAGATGGAACATTTTTATTGGTGAAGATATCCTGCTTGACATCTTCACCTGTAACTGCATGCATATGCTCATCTGAAGACGACGACGAGCAACATCTCCTGGCTTCCAAAAACACATCCAGCAATTCTGACAGTTGCAAAATGGTGCCTCCTTGATTCTTGTGATTCAGTAACCGACGCACTTCTGTTGCTTCCTTATCTACGGCTTCCAAATCCAGGAGCGTTTTCGCACTTCTATCTCCCAAGAACCCACTCGCATTTCCACTCCCAGAAGGTGCAAACTGCTTCACGAAATGCGCACTGAGCATTTCAATAGCCTTCTGGTATAGCTTGCGCTTCTTGTCAACGTCTTTTTGCACATCTTTGGCGATGATGGCGTCGAGCTGGCTAGAGGTGGAAGGATAGGACTCCGACGAAAAAGAACTCTTAAACGTACTATTTGAACCTGCATTACCAGCGTAATGATTGAAAAGTCGTAGAAGCCTAACGAAATCCGGCACTCTGAACTTGGTACGATCACCAGGATCCTCCATACGGGTTCCCGCAGCCAACTGCAAAAGCTTGGTCGCTTCCTGAACTAAGGCAGCGATAGACTTGTCACCAGTGGTTAGAGAGATGAAAATAGATCCTCGTCGATGGAGAATAGTTTTTTGACCTTAAGAGATCATGCCCATACGTCACGCACGACGACGACACTATCATCTAACTTACCAAGTAGAAGCAGGTATTAAAGGAAACACCTTGAAGAAGTTGAATTCAAGAAAGTCAAAGATGCCCTTCTGTAAATCATAAAAAGGCCAATTGTTCATGTTCTTTGCCCCGTAAATTCTTATCAACTCCTCCTTCTCGTCCGCCTGCTCCTTTAGTCGGAATGAGTCCCCTTGCTGCCAGATTCTTTTCCATTTGGGCCTTTGCTGCGATGTTTTCACTGGACTCGTTTACTGCGCTAGCCGAAGACTTGAAAGTCTCAAGCAGCTCTCGAAAAAACGGATCTTGACGACTTGGAGTTCTCTTGTTAGTTGTAGTCCTAGCGCCAACGTCAGCAGTCGTGGCAATCAGCAAGTCCAATTGCTTGGGGTTCAGCAGAGCGGAAGAAGCGAAGCCTTCCTGTCTCAACATCAGCAAAGGATTCTCCGCTTTCAGAAGCTTCGTACAAGCAGGCAGAAGCTTAGTTCTCCACAGCCTGAAGGCAGCACCGCACTGTATCTCAGCGAATGCGCTGGACAAGGCTAAGGCGTAAGTTAGAGATGTGGTTATCATCTTCACGGTCCATGCTTTTGACATTTCTCGTTCTCCTGACAGAGATACTCAGAATGTATGCCCCGCCTCCTGAAGATTGATATTGATTTGCAACATTAAGGAAACCGGCCATAAGTAAGGTACTAAAGCTTCCGTTTTTCTCTCCAGTAGCCTTTTACAAAGCAGGTCCTGCATGTCCATCTGCAGATCGCCTCGTTGGACACGGTTGGAGACGGAGTAAACGGAAGCGAGTCGCACAAGATCACGGATGGATAACGAGGATTAGACTAGTACTGCTTCAGACGCATTATAATTTCGCTGGGAAAGGCAAAGGGTGGACTCAGACTACGAGTAGAGACTGACAGAGCAGAGGAACAGGAAAGCAATTATCCAGATTCAATGTCGGCAGAAAGGGGAACGTGAGCGAGCAGATGACAATGATTTTCATGTTGGGAGAACGAGAAGGTGTTGAAACAGAAAGCATGAAAAGGCAAATGCACGAGCCATAAATGTTCTTCCCGTCGTTCAGTTTCTCGAACAGCGCTGTTGCAATATGCGCCTTCAGTTTTTTCCCGACATGCACGTCTCGCAAGTGGTCCAAAGCGCGAACATATTTCATTCTAGGGACCTTGTTCTCGCATTTCAGTGATCGCTCTTTCTCCCACTGTTCCATATCCACTGGGTCCATGCTGCGCCATTGATTCGCGACTTCTTTCTTCAGCGATTCGAGAGAGGATGAGGTAGAATGGAAAGGAGACGGAGAGGATGTTGCGGATGTTGGTGGTCGTGAAGTCTGTTCAGCCATCTCGTAGTTCTCGGTACTCGTTGTACTTGATAGATCTACCCCTAGTACTGGTCTGACTGGTTTGATTCGTTCCCTGCCTGGTATCAAGGTCAAAAGCTTGACCAAATGAGAAACCGACAATGACTCGTCGACTAAGCTTCTTACTGTTTGAGCTTCTCCATCCACATCCTGTTGTCGTTGGTCGTCAGCAAAATTATCTTCCCATGATCCCGCATCTGTTGCTGAATTCTTATCCTTGTCCTGTATAATCACCCCTGTTTTGTCCTTCCTACTCGCAGCAATGAGCCGTTCCGGAATGTAAGTCTTGGCGCAGGAATCCCCCACTACAATTGGCCGCCCTGAGAAGAATTCGCCTTCTATGCGAGACAGAAGCGCATGATTCACACCTGGGTTCGCTACTTCGTATCCTCGGTCAGCCAATGTGACAAGCCAGTGAAGTGCCACTAGAGCGGACTGGCCATCCAGCGAACTGCCACCCAAATAGGTCACCTGGTCGTCAGCAGTGAGTAAGCTGCAAGCACGATGAGCGAAGGCATAGACTTCATCGGCTGACAAGAATCCCGCAGCGACGCCACTTCTCAATGCGAGCGGCGTTTCGTTCATTTTCCTATTGCCATAAGCATTCCCTCTCCACGCAGCCAAATGATGTTGGGCGAAAGAAGAGTTGTCACGCAGTTTCTGGTCGATCATAAACTGCGCCGAAAACGACGTGCCAGTTTGACTCACCTCTCTGATTTGCAGAAGAAGCTGCTGGAGAAAGAGTTCACTCCTTGTCCTCCGTTTTGCTTTTGTCCGTGTTGTAGAACAATCTGCTGCTTCTCCTTGTCCTTCTTTAGGTGTAATACTACAGTGATCATCTTCTGTCCCTGTCCTGTCTCTTTCAAACTCGAGTTGTGACTGGTCTAGTTCCCGCAAGGTCGCTTCCAGAGTTGCAGCTGGGGGAATGACCCGGAGACTGACACGCAAAACTTCCAAGAAGTCCTCTGTGCTTGAGAAAGTGAATCGCTTAGACGTGTCGAGAAAGTCCCGGATAGCCTGTCCCGGTCGTCGTTCTCGATAAACCCTGAGTTTTTCAGCAAGTTGCTCTTCTTTGGTCAGGGTAGGGGCCGAGTCAGCACCATCGTCAAACATCAAAACACCGATTGACTGCTTTTCTTAGAAGATGAAGAGGTTCTCGGAAGAAGAAGATAGAAGGAACGCCGATGATGACTTTAGTTTTGCAACCGAAAATGGCCTTCTAAAAATTTTGACTTTATCACCTTAATCTTCTTCGTCATCCTCTTGAGGCTCCACTACTGCTTTTGTCTTATCATGCTTAGTCGTTTGCGCTCCTGTTGTACTCGGTTGTTGACGTTGGTCACGACTACCTGGAGGTGTTGATCCTCTTACGTTCGTGCTGGAGGAGGTAGCCACACCGCGAAGTGTGGAGGACGTCGAGGAGGATATAAGTACTCGTCGTGGTAGCCTCAGGCGCTCCCATCCTCGCCGCCTCAATTGCACTAGAGGACACGACGTCGTCATGTTGAAGTTGGGCTTTTTTACCAGGACGAGGACAATCCTAGTACTCGTCTTCTCTCAACAACGTCATCGTGGCTACATTCTTCATCTTCTCTAAAGACAACAAAACTCGAATTTCATGTTTTTTGTGAAGACCCTCACCCTGATGATCGTCATGTTTGCCATCTTCACTCTTTGACGCGTAAATATAGATGTTGTCCAGGAGGAACTTCTTCTTGTTCGAAGATCATATCATTTGGACAACAAGAGACCGCTGTAAAATCCCTCTGGATCAGATCTAAACTGCTTGTTTCTTATGGGAATGGTGTTCGTCAAGATGGAGTTCACCTAGGATTCACTTTGTTGTCCCCTATGACAATGAGACAACTGGAGAGAATGAGCATCACTATAGATACTTAGATTTAGAACGTCGAAATAACAGATTGTTTAAAAAATCGATAGGTAAAATCATCCACCTGTTTGGTTCAACTTCTACATCACTCCTGTCTGTAAATTGTAGTGAAGTTGGACTACAAGAAGAATCACAATAGATAGATACCAATAAAACTGCTGAGAACAACTACAAAACGACGTTGTCCTTATAATGTTCAATCTGAGTCCTTTCGTCTAATAGATACGATTACTTTTGTATCTAATAAATATGGTGGAATCGGGGAAAAAATTGAATGTGTAGCTGCTAAGGCTAAAAAATTGCAGCTCTTGTTCAGCAAGAACAAGACATAAAACAAATGCATGTACTCAACATGACACCATGCTTGTACTTATCTTGGTATCGGTCTAGCACTAGCGGTAATCCGCCGAAAGATCACACCAGAGATATCTTCGTCCTCGATGGATAAGACCGAATCAGATGTTGAAGGAGCCCATCAAACTCACAAACATACACCACTTGTTCCGTTCAAAATTATCCGCCCACCTCACCAAACACGTGTTTTATCACATGATAGCCAACGTAAAGCGCCACCATCGACCCGAACCAGACACCGAGAAAGTACTTCAAATATCACCAGCTCTCCTCCACCAAGGTCGCGTCCTCTTCCGTATCTTCCAGCAGAAACCGCCAGCGAAAGTCATACCATCTAAGTTCTCGTGGAGCAGGTGCTGGTGGAGGAGGTGGAAACCCATCTGATGCAGATGTAGGAACGTTTACAACAACAGCCGCATTATCTCCTGTGTCTCTGCCTAGTAAGCCAACTTCAGTATCGTGTGGCGCTTGCTCCGCTGTTCCAGTCTGCCTCAACGATGGTGATGATATTCTCGCTCTTTCAGGAGTTTTATCCACCACATTTGCAATTTCATCTGAAGCTCCTCCGGCAGATACCGGTTCCGCCTTGTTCTGCACAAAAAAGGGATTGCCAGATCCCGCAGGAACGAGCAGCGGCTCACTTAGCTTTTGGATCGTCATGTCAAAATTTTGGAAATAGTAATGAATAGAGTAGAGCGGGACGATGACCTACACCTATCACGACTGCTACAGGAACATCGATCACGAATTAAAATATCCAGCAACAGCATCGATAAAAATACTGGAACCTGCACTTCTCATTCTCAGGGATCCTGATCTGGTAGGCCAATGGGGGATGCCCAAGCCCAAGTCAGGAAGATCAAAGACACGAAGTCACATGAAAAAACAGAAAAGCTGACATAAACAGCACATGCAATATTCTTGGTTCAAGAATGTTGAATGATGACAGAGACAGAATAATACGTCATCTACTGCTTGCAGCGTCCGCACATCATAATGGCGTTCCCTCATTCAATACTCGTTTCACTGTGATGGTCAGTGAAACAAATCTATAAGGATCACACAAATGAAATCTCTCATCTCGTACTCGTCTCGATGAGAAAAATAGCGCGAACACGGAGAATACGGATGTATCAAGCAGTAAAGGTGATTATGGTACGCAGCTGGAGGAACTCGATTTCAAATCTGAAGATCTTCATCTTGTAAAAAGGGACGGCCTCTACGAGAGCCAGTAGGTTTTTGAGGGGGTCGTGGCAAAAAGTCTCTGAAGGTGGAGTCTAAGGCTGGGTCGTCGTGAGTGTGTATGCTCGTACATTTCTCAGGAGATTTCACGCCCCAAAAAAGTACGTAAGTACTTACTTAAAAGTGGTAGTGGTAATGGTTGACTTGATGCTACAATTCATGGGTTGATCATTCCACTGTAGTTTCTCAGTCCGGACGTGTTTACATCATGAAAAACCAAGAACATCTTCAGTGTTGAATGCTTTGTACTTTGTTTCATTCCTTTTGAAGTTTGCATGCAAACCCAGCGAGGGAAAAGAATATATTTCCATCAATAAAGTCTAAAACACCCGTTGCTGTGGATGTTGGTACTGGTAGGTAGAACGTGTATCTTGATGCATCTCCACTAGCTGAAGCTGAGGAGTTGTCACTTCCGATCCCAATACCAGCTGGGGTCGTGTAGATCGGCAACCAGAGATAACGAGCCCAAATCCAGAAGTTACCCTCGAGACCGGAAAAACGGACGACCATGGTCTTCCACCAAGTGGAGTAAGCGACTTCGGCTTGCAAAGTAGATTGTGAGGCTTCCTGAGACCAGTTGTCTTTGTCCGTCTGGCGGTTGTCAGTCTGATGGTTCTCAGCGTTGTCGATAGTATACTTCCCCGTAAGGCTTTGCGCAATCGTGTCCTTGGCTGATGGGATGCGAATAGTTTGGTTGTAAAGATAGCTGTTCTTCCCGTGTAGTTCTTTGCCGTTGCTCTCATTTGTTGTACCTACCACCACTTCCTGTCCTTCTTCTGTTGAGAATAGACAGCGCAGGCCACACGGTGCCTTTCTCGTGGTTTCTTCCTGTTGGTAGTTGTTCAACTCTTTCAACAATTCCCTAGCCAGTGCTGGCACCATGCGTGGCGCATTGCGGTTATTCAACACAATGACGGCCTTTGTCCCATGAATCATCAACGATGTAGATCCGCCACCCACATCGCCTTGATGACAGATGATTGGTTCTGCGTTGCTGGTTTCGACATTTTCCTCTCCCTTAGTCTTCGACACATTGCTGAAATCAGGAGCATTCAATCTCCACCACGCACCTTGACCCATGGACATGACATTCTTGAAGGCTGAAAAGGCATTGGCGTTTGCACCTTTTCCAAAAAGGGAAGTACAACTTCCAGTAGAGGTCTTGGTGCATCCAGAGGTGTTGTCCGTGCACGGGCTAGCGGAACAGGCTGTTGAGCCACTCTCTGCAGAACTTCGCTGGAACCAACGAGCAAACGTCGTGCGGTCTTCAGGGTAGTTGATACTGGAAACCGAAATTGAGCTCGTTGGACTACCAGCCATTGTGGATAGATCTTCAGCGCTGCTTCCATGTTGATTTCCGACCAAAGCTTTCGCATACTTGACCATATCTCTCAGGTTTGAGAAGCCAGCACCACAACCTCCGAAACTGTCCTTGAAGAAGATCGGCCCGATGCGAGTGCCCATGTCTTGCACACCATCAGCGATTTGCTTGTCCTCCAACTGCTCCTTGAGAGCTTGTTCCTGTTCTTTCACGTAGAGTCCAGAACAGGACATGCCCAGAGGCTCGAAAATCACGCCTTTCACAAGGTCAGAATAGGCAAGAGAAGACTTCTTCTGTGGAGGCTCTTGTTCGCGTTCTTGAGGTTCTTGACCAGAGGCAGCAGCGGAATTGGAAGCGTCATGTTCAGAAGTCTGCTTCATCGTACGTTCTTCCTCACGCTTCCTCAGGATTTCGCAGAGAATTGCGGTACCAGCGTTACTGTAAGACCAGATCTGCTTCTTAGCGGCCTCTGCGGCTTGTTCCTTCTCCTTTTCTGCTTGTTCTCTTTCCTTCTCGTCATTCGTAGCTCCTTCTCCATTCAAGGAAATGACAGTCGAAGCAACGTTTCTCATTTCGGTCCCAGCCTTTTCCACTGCAGGTTCCTCACCAGCTGCTGTAGCCTTGCGGTCTTCTTCAGGAGCTTCACACATCTTTTCTTCAGCAGGTTCAAGTTGTTGAGTTTTAGGCACAGGCCATGCTTCATGCGTCATTACCTTGATCTCCTCAATGCCCACCCAAGAAACAATGGCATCCGGATCCGAATTCTCTGGTCCAACATCGTGTTCCTCAAGATGCTGGTGTTCTTTGTCTTTGTGTTCAGGAGTCACAGGAGCTTCGTCCCCGCCTTCAACATCCACTTCCTGTTCTTGTTCTACATTTTTAATGATTCGACGGAATGCTTTACGTACCGAAAACATGGTGGAGCTAAACCGGTCCACCACAGAAGCGCGCATGAACGAGGCCATGAACTGCGAAGGCATCGATGGCAGTCCGGAAGTGTGTGTGGCGACATTGCGAACCTTGTTGTACTTTAGGAACTCTGGAGACCAACCGTCTTCAGCATTGAGGTGTTCGGAAAGGCTGGTGTCTAAAAAAGCCGGATCATTGGAAAGTTCTTCCTCACGAGCAGCGAGCAGACCTGCAAACGTTTTGGTCACACTTCCAATAGCGAAAATGGTATCGGGAGTAGCGGGAACCACTATTTTTTGGCGTTCTTTAGTTTTAGATTCGGGCTGCTCGTTTGTCTCAGCTGTATTCTTCTCTTCTTCCACGTCAAGAACGTCCTTTTGTTCCTCAGAGGGCTGCTCCGTTTGCTCCTTTTCCTCACCAGCCTTCCCGGACTCGTCGGTCGCCTCCACCTTAGAGGAAGTGCCTTCACCAACAAATCGTTCATTCAAAACCACATTGCCACGACAAATGTAGTGTTCCAGACCACCAACTGCTCCACCATCCTCAAGATCCTTGACATCCACGATAGCTACAGCTAACGCGGTTCCTAGAGGTTTATCCTCAGAAGCGTAGTAGGCATTCACGATATGCTCACAACGAGAAATCAAAGAGCTTGTGGAGGTCTTTGCAGATTGAGTTGCTGGAAAGTCGGAATCTCCAGTCTGCAGCTCGATATGCTCTTTTCCCTCCTTGGCCAAGAGGTCTGTGGTCATATTCTTGGCGGCAGACAACATGGTTGAGGTGGAGGGTTGTGGGAAAGTATCAGGGAAGGAACCACGTGCCTTTCCGTTGTTGAACATACTAGAGGGAAAAAGAAGAAAACGTTGGGAAAAATCAATGTTGCTGTTAGTGTTACTAACTTCTTGTTCTTGTTCAAAAAAAATCAGAGCGATGGGGATGGCAAGCCAAAACGAAAACACGACTGGGAGTTATCGTGTCTTCTACTTCTTACAACACTCAACCAGAAAAATTAGAAAGCAAAAAATTACTTGTGTATCGTGGAGAAGACCTGTATCTGAAGGTAGTTACGGTCATAGCTTTTCGTTCTCAGTTTCAAAAACTGTCTTCGTTTTGAGTTTTCATGATCCATACTTGATCTTGATCTTCATCCATCCTTGTGCAGCTGTTGATCTGATCTTTTTTCCTCAGGATCGTCTTCATTTTTCTATCATGATCGTACTTTTTTCCTTTTGGCTTTTGATCATTCATAAAATAAGTTTTCAGATTGCTCTTTTTTTTCGGCGACACAAAAATCCATCGTTGAATCTCAATCAAACTATGCTGCTTGATTTCAATTGTAGATTTTGCACTATGGCTATGCTTAGCGAGCAGGTCTTCGCCATGCTATGGAATCAACTATGCATCTGAAATTGAAACGCTGACCATTGATTGTTGATCTTGATGTTGATCCCTCCCTTGATTTTGTATTTTTTGTAGAGTGCAAAAGGGTAGATGATATGTTATTTTATACTGATGAAAAATTCTAGATGAGAAGTTACTTTGCAAGAAGAACTTCGGTCATTGCCCTATTCACTTCATTCTTGTAAGATTCATCCCCTCCCAAGTTTCTTTTGATCCTGCAAATGTTGCTTCTGCAATATCTGAAAAAAGCGACTTAGCGCTTTGTAGTCCGACAATAAGTGTGGCACTTCACTGACCGTCAGAGTCGCCATCTTGGACTCCAAAAAATGTGGCTCAAACTCGCGTAGCATTAGCTTTCTTTCCTCATTCAAAGGTATGGTTAGATAGTCTTCGTGAGGTGGTGGTCTTGATGCTCCTGCGTGACTTTGACTTTGTTCTCCAGAGGAAGTAGAAGATGTTGCTTTTGGGGTTGTGGCACTTGGAGAGGATGTAGACCTTGTCGAAGTTGCAGTACCTGCTACATTAGAAGCATTGGAATTTGTGTTCTTGGAATTCTGTGATCCAGCTCCTTCGCCATTGTTTCGAGACGTTGTAGTTGACTGCTTTGACCCGGTACTAGTAACTCCTGTGCTGTTATTCTGTTCCCCATTCCTGTCCTCTGCATTCGAAGAATGTTGATCACTGGAAGAACCTATACCAGCGGTAAAAAAGCTCTTGAACCCTTCGACGGCTCTAGCTGCTACGCCACCACTTGGTTTACTCGATGAGCCACTCCTGGTTGGAGTCGTTGCTGAAGATGATCTCTGATGACCTTGTATTTCGTCGTCGGTTGCATTTTGGTTTTTGCCTTGATATTAGAGATGAAGTGTGAAAAGCTTTCATGGAAGATGGGTGGACTACGACTAGAAACAAAGAGAATGAAGTAGTACTAGTAGTAGTAGTAGTAGTAATTTCGATAAACAATTTTTTGTGGCTTGCGTTTGGTTTCATAACTAGTATTCTTGCTTCCTGGTCCTCCTGCTCGTCCTTTCCCACCTTTATTCCCTAGAGAATTAGGCGGATTTTCAATCACCAAGCCCAAAGGCGTCAAAATATCGTCACAATTGAATTGGAATTCTTCCTCCGTGACGTTGCTTAGAGCTTTATGGTCCATAGTCCACAGAAACTCTACCGCAGATCGCACAGTAGTGAAGTAGTACAACCCTTCTTCGACGAGATGCAGGTGGAAATTCTCGATGTATTCGAGATTGGAGTGTAGATTTGGCGGATTGCTTTGGATTAAAACGAAAATCAAAACTGGAAGCAAGTCGTCGATGCCAGCAGACTTCTTGGATTTTAGGGGACTACTACTACTAGGAGAAGAATCAAGTTCGTTTGCACTACTATTTTTCTTTGCAGCTGCTTCACTGGACGCGCCTTTTGCTGGTGAATTCTGTGCAGATTCAGATACTTGCTCCAGACAAGTGATCAACACCTTGGCGGCGTTCTGGATACACAGAAGCTTATCACGGGGAGCACGGTATTCGTTTAACCTAGAGAAGAAATCCTTGGCCATGTCGAATTGTGGATGCTCGGCGACGGTTGGGGAAACATCTGGTTTGTGGAGAGATGAGACGAAAAGTGTGCTGCTGCTGCAGCGTCTTCAACCATTATGTCCCCAATAACAGAAACTGAAACAGATGGACTGAAAGACGAGTAAGTCACATCAATAGCTATTCTATTCGAATGAAAAAATTGAAGAAAAGAAATCCGGCACCATTCCGCATGAAAATATCCTTTACATCGATCGCTCGCTCGCTACTAGGCGTACGCGTAACCCGTTATTGAATAAAGTTTAAAGAGTCCGAACGAAGCGAAGAAATGGCGGAACACTAACAGAGTGGCTGACGAGCGTGAGCTATCTAAGTGACAAAGAAAATTGAACCAACAGAAGAAGAAGCGCCAAAGGAGCTTACCATTGGCGGGAAATTCCCTCAAGCGCTGCCCCCGGGAGACAGCTCCGTCAGACAGATCCAAGCGCGCTGCCCCGCCGCCCCTCGTCCTGGAGAGACAAGCAGCCCCTGGCCTTGCGCGGTGCACCCAGACCCACGACGCAAGCAAGGCAGCCGCGGACTAAGCAAGACGCCTTCCCCGGTGCCTTTTCGTATCTTCTCCAAGGAGCCAACACAGACACGCACTGGCAGCAGCTTCTGCAGTCGCTGCGCTTTCTCTGCGCGCGCGCGAGGTCAGACCCTGGGCACTCCTGCTGTCCGCCATCGCCGTGTCATGCACGTGCGCCCGACACAGTGCCGGGCCTCGCCCAGCTTTCGCTGCGTCGCTAGCTCCTGCACGGCCGAAGTTTGCCATTCTTCAGCAGGGCTTGCGGGAAATAACCCCGCAAAAACGTAGCCAGGCACATTTTTCAAAAAACCGTCCCCCTTTAAAAGGAGCACGGGGCGCCGCCTCAGGGCGTCGTTGGATTTCATCGCAGCGCCGTTCAGATAAGATCACTATCACTGAAGAGCCGTCTAAGAAAGTACCAAAATGCGTATGCAGCTTGACCCACTTCAACGAGGTCAGCTTCGCAGACAGATTTCGATCCCTGCGACTGTCCGCGACCTCTTCTAAACGAAAAACTGCATTGTAGATCTTCGTCGTAACGAACTTCTCCAGCCCCTCGAGTGCTTGGGCCTTCAGGACTTCGTCGGCCCTGATATTTTTCGATTTGAGTCAATGTGCTTATTTTTGTGCCATCTTGGGCGAATAGCTTCATCGACGATATCGAAACTACGTTAACACTAAAGATTATCATCAGCTTCGACATTGAAAAGCTGCTTGTCGACCAAATGGAAGAGCAAAAAAAAATACCCTTTAAATGTCTCCGCCTCAAGGATCCGCTCGTGCATTTTCGGCAGAAAGACTCGGAACGACTCCACAGCGCTCTGCTTTTTGTCCATCGGCAGTGCATTTACTTGGTCAACAAACGTCTTCACCTGCTGTACAACTGGAGCCGCACTAGGGTGCTTCAGCACTTCGTTCAAAAAGTCCTGATAGTTAAAAGCTTTTGGAGGAGGTGGAGGTGAGAATGGCTCGTCTTGTGCAGACGAGGATGACTTTCCAGCAGCACTATTTTGATTCGTCCCTCCCTGATCTCGTCCTCCTCGTCCCGTGCCTTCATTCCAATTCCTCGAATGATGCGAAGCAGAGTTCTGTACTACCGAGGAGGTCCAATCTCCAGATATGTCCGACGCCGACAGCATCGAGTCATTCAGCAGACTCGTGTTATCCCTTGATGGTGAGTCTTTGCTGGAAATGGTGTAGTACTCGACTGCAGGAGGAGCACTACCATTGATGTTTCCCGAGCCTGACCCAGAGTCTGCAGAAGAAGAAGCACTAGAAGAACAGGAGCTACTAGAAGTAGAGTTGTAAGCGTACACGTCGTTCCTCGTAGTCCCCGACAATGCGAGGTCGTCGACATCATTGTGCTTTGACCCATTTTTGATGTTGTTCTGTCTGCCGACGATGTTATTATCGAAAATGATCTCGCCGTCACTGCTACCGGAGCTTGATAAAGTCGAAGCATAGGGGTTCTCGAGACTAGTGCGAGCGCCGTATCGCTGATCGTCTCTTTCTAAGTTTTGCTGAAAAGTAGACTGATGACCTCCACCAGCGACGTCTGGTGTTATAGGAGGTCGCAAGGAGAAAGGATCACTGCCGAATAGGTCGTCTTCCTGATTGACGCCTCCTCCTCGATTAACATGCTTATTCGATGCTGGCGTTTGCTCTTTACTGGTCACCTTCTTTCTATCGTTTGGCCTATCAAGAGAGCCAAAGAGCCAGTCGTCATCGAAGTTGTTGCGGTTATTGGAGACGGACGAAGCAGTGGTGCTAGCACCAGAATTTCCACCATAATTTCCAAAAGTAGATGAGGATGTCGTAGACGCTGAAGCCAACCAGTCTTCCTGACGGTGCTGGGATCGGTGGGTGAAAGCGCTGCTGCTTGGCGGCACAGAAGGGCCACCGAAAAGATCGTCGACGTCCATGATTTGATAGATTGTAGCCTTCCCTTTTCCTCTATCTTTAGAACGAAACCAGACAAATAGCGCAGAAAAAAATGACTCTCCCAATCAACGCAAAGAAACTATATACCGCAGAGATGCTATATACCAAGCTGCACATGCACTTCTTGCGAGTGTTGTTCAATCCCGGTGCGATTTTGGACATATGAAACAGAAAACCGATGTTGGACGCGTACGCGTTGTAAATTTAGTATTAGTGTTGAACTCTGTCGAGACTCCTCCCATCTGTTGAGAGCTATAGAGCTAGAAAACTGAACGAGGAAAGTGCTACGAGGTAACTGCTTAGGTCTGTCGAGGTCGTCGCTAGTCTGTCGCGCGTGTTCCAATAAGAGGATAAAGGTGGAGCGTAATTAGGTAAGTATAAGCATACTTAGCGAGATACATCATCTATACTAGAAATGCACGGAATGACATTGACAACAAAAACCAAATCTATACTTCAATTCTCATCAGGTGTTTTATGCTTTGACGAAAAACCAAAACCTAACCCGAAACTTATTCTGCCTGCTTGGTACTGTTCGCCCCTTCTAAATCTATCGGTAAGATCGAAACCACTCGAGTAGGGAACTGAGTGAAATTCTTCAATTAGTTTCTTGTTAATAGCCTTGTCTTCTTCAACAATTTGTCATGGCTCTTTCTGTTTCTCTCACGTGTTCCTCTGTCCTGTTGCAATGGCCAAAAGCTTCTGCAACAGAGGCTACTGCACTACATGTCGCATTCTACCTCACAGACTGTCGCTGTCGGCTGTCCGGATGCACTTCGCGTATTGAAAAGGCCTTTGCCTGATCGAACGATCGCTGGCAGCAACCAAGACTGATTATCCTGTCAACACCAGCGCGATATGCTCTTTTCTTTCAGCTTTGAGTGGTTACAGTGGTTGTGCAACTTTTAAATCATCAAGGAGTATGCCCATGCTGTACAAGTACGAGGAGTAGCGCTTACCGACGGCGCTAAAACAAGCCTATAGATAGGAGGGTCGTCCTTCTTGAAACGCGGATACATTCAACCATGCATCTTCTGTAGATCTCAAAATAAGATTGCTTCTCGGATTCATCACAAATTATCGTAATGGAAACATATTTTGTCTGATGAGGATGAGCTGCAGGTGCAGCCAGAAGTGTTCTGTGCAAATTGAAGACCGTCACACGAATTTTCATCTGTTCACCTCCCGTTGCATTTGTTGCGGCAACGAATCAATTTCGTTACCCGATTGCTCCATTCCCGGGGTAGACGTTGCCTGTCCCTTTCCTGTTTGAGAGAGAAGTGCCACGAGCCTCGATGATACTAGATCTCTGGTTTTATCGACAGATACATCTTTTCTGCGCAATTTTGCGTCGGTAGATGTTGCACTGGAGGGGACCGCAACAGATGAAAGATCGAAGTAGTACTGGCGTTGTTCAACATCGGTTCCTGTATGACGCATTGCCGGTGCAGAGCTTCCGGGAGGGTACAATGTCAGCGACACACTTCCGCCACAATGGTTCTTGGACAATAGGCCGCGATGCTGCAGGTAGGACTTCGGAAACAGGAAGCAGCCTACGACGTGTTCTCCACTACGATCGACGCGCTTTGTGTGGCCTCCAGCAGTCTCCGCCTGCTGTCGGTCTTTTTCCCTGCCACAGGCGTCGTCGGCTCTTGCCACAGTTGATGGTGATAATGACGATGATGTTTTGCGTTTACTACTCTCAGAAGCTGAAAGATTGCCATCCTCAGCGAAGTCCTTCGATGCGCCTCCGTCTGCCACACCAGCATGGTCTTCTGTCTTCTCCGTTGCGCAGCCGCGGACCATGACATTTAGAAAGTCAAACTCATCATCTTCGTCGAAGGAAAACAGCTCCCATCGACCCGCATGTGGTCGGACTTGGCAGCCTAATTTCACAAACATCTTTCGGTCACGGCCGGTTGTGTCCCGGAAAATGCCGCACTTGTGTATTATCTTCGCGGTACCTACGAGCATGTCCGTTTTTCCTTTTTCCCTCGAAATGAAATGCGACCCACCGAGGTAGCGTACAGGGAGACGAGCAGGTTTGTATAGCCGCTCTGCAACCTCAGCTATCAAAAGTTGTCGCTGCCGCAATTGAGGGCGCCTCACGAACTGCTTGATCCAGTGTGACACAGAATTATGCGGCAACTCAACAAGAAGCGACTCCATCTGTTTTCGTAACGTCGCAACACATGCCAGTGGTAAAGCTTTACGAACGAGCGACATGCCGCGTGTGGCAGCGTAACGTGATAATTCGTGATGTAGTCCAGGGGATGACTTCTGTTTTCTTCTCCTCCCACCTCTCGATACCCTCGTTAGCTCGATTGCACCGCTTCCAGGACAAGCCAGAGCTGTCCCAATGTCAGCCGACGGATGTACACTGCAAAAATGATATCGGGATCCCTCACAATCGTTGATCGAGACTTTGGCTTCATTTCGCTGATCTTTGGAGTCGTTGATGATAGCTGCCTCGTTTGGCGGGGCCTCTGCTGGTATTCTCACTGACGATGTTGCAGCAATACCCTTGACGTAACCCTTCCTCAGCTTCGTTTCTAGCGTCATCGGCGTATTCGCTCTCACTTGCATCGCGATCCACCCGAGTGGATCCGCGGTGTCTAACCGGAGAAGCAAATTTGCGCACGAGTTATCGAGTCGCACCCACTCGCACGTCGGATATATTCGCTCCACCAATTGCTGAAACCATGTGACGGCGATGTCAGTATTGTGCATGCGAACGCTTATCACTGGAGCGCTAGCGCGGGCATTATCGAGCGCGTGACGAAAATCTGCGGTATTAAAGCGGCGGCGATCTATGTATCCCAAGGACTCAGGCCACGATTTCCAGTGCGGTTTGTAAATCGCTTGTGGTTTCGACGGTATGAATATTGGGCGGTTGCCGCTACTGCTCCAGGTATAAAAGTCTTCGGCCCTTCTGAATCCAAGTGGCTTGACAAATGCCTGAAAGCCATCGAAGTCTAAAAATGACGAGGCATGCCCGCGTACACGCTTCCCTATCCGTGCTTTTGCGAGCCTGCGGTTGCTGCTGATACGAGTTGATGCAGAGCGCGCGGCACATGAAACGGGAGAAATCGACAACATCTTCTTCTTGTTGCTGGAAAGTATTGCAAACTCATATGGGTGCCTTTTTGATCCGGGTCCTGTAGAAAAGTCTAATCAATTTTTCATAACACTCAAGTAAATCGTCCTCTTCGACGCTACTCGTCTCATTATACATCCACCACTTTTACCAATTTGAAAGTGATTCGTGGTCGAGCTTGAGCTCAGCTTTTTTGATAGCATCGGCTCCTTGTTGGCCGCGCGAATAAGAAATCATATTGATCGCTCGAGCTCCTTCCGGAATTTCCACTTGCCAATGAAGGCGACGCAAAAGAAGACTCAGATGCCCGTCGACTGACAGGAAGAGACGCAGTCAGCGTTGGTTTCGTCCACAAGAATGAAAAGCGGTTTCCGCTTTAAAATGTTGGCAATGACAATTGATAAAGATCGACGTTATTGAATCAGTTTTTTGTTGATGTGAGCATGGAAATAGTAAAGTCTAAGTTCTTTGACACGAACGTTGACATGTTTTTCTCAGGTGGGTGAGGGATCAATCTCTTTTGGATCAGGCTCCATACTAACTGGAGGAAAACAAAAAATCAAATGGTATATAGTAGGAGAAGATGCAGCTACTTATTCTTTTCAACAGGAACAGATAGATTCAGCTCACTTACACAATCACATATCTATATCACATTACATATTACAAAATTACAAATTTTTCGAATCGTTCGACGCACCAGCAATCAACATATCACGACTGTTATTTCTAACAACAAGACTATGGAATCGGAATCCAGTAGGTTCTGGGGATATTCTTTTTAGTGGAGTACAACACATGTATTAATATGAAGCATGCGTCATAGTGGTTTTTCAGGTATTTTTCTTAAGCTGTTTCAAATTCAATTTGTCTCGATGCTTCTTATGGAGCCAGCACATGCATTGATGTGGGTTCCAAAAAGAGTTCATCATGTTTTCGTTGGTCAAGAACCATCAATGTTATATTTTTTTGCAGCGAGCAGTTTGCTGCTATCAGTCATCTCGATGAGGATAACAACATAAACAAGTACTAGGCCGTTGCACGCCAAGTCGCACATACACCAAATAAATACTTTAAGTAAAAATTTGATTTTCTCGTAATTATTGTTTTAGGGATCATATTAAGTAGGCTGATTTTTCGATTGATCATATGGTTATGGACATCTGCTTATGTGAGTTTTTTCAGGGTCAATCCGAAGAAGTCTGGTTTCGCAGTGAAGACTGTTTTGGTATGAGGGCGAGAAGTGAAGAAAATGAAGGGTCAATTCACATCGTGGTCAGAGCAAGTCTTTGTGTATGGGCATGGTCAGGAGGTTGGAAATGAATGTCTAAAAGTAATAAATGAAAATGATCTACTTCAGATTTATAACCCTTCGGGTGGTTGGTTGAAGGTCATGATACTCATCTTTTCCTATTCCTCTTTTTCGCAAATGGAACAATATTATGGGTGGAGCGCAAATGTAACAATATTATTTTTTTCTTACCACGTGTTTTCCTTTTCATCTGTTATTTCATAGGTTTGGTTGTGGTTCCTTAGATTTCCATCTAAAGGTGGAAACAGTACCACCTTTTACTCAATGTTTTCCATATCATTCTCCTCACTTCGATGGCGTCGGCTGGTGCCCTCACGGCGTCACGGCGTTCCTGTATAAAGTAGGGTTTGATACAGATTTGTAGAATGATTAAATAAAACATCAACATCTTCAAATGCTCCGAAACCAATCAACAAGAATATTGATGAACCAAGCAGAAGATGATGGAAAAATTTCTATAATCACATCTACTTACCCGTCCTCCCTCTGATTCTCCTTGTTCGCATCCTCCGGCGAAGCTGAAGGAGAGAGATTCTCTTCTTCCCAGTGCTGGCCATAGTATGCCTCAATCGATTCCTCCCGTATGCCATAAGAATAAGCATCATGCTGTAGGGCTGCAGTCAGGATTGTCTCTTCATCTTGGTCGTGTTGATGGGTGTTCTTTGTGTGCGCATCCTTGGTGTTTTTGGTGTCTGTGGCCGAAGCAGAAGTCGACGTGTCTTCCTGAATAGTCGTTGTTTTATCAATGTGAGCTGGATGTAGTTCGTTGTCATCATGATCTCCGTCTACTTGTTCCTCGCGAATGGTAGTGTCATGATCATGTGTATGCTCTTGTTCATCCTCTCCGCGAATAGCAGTGCAGTGCTGCAGCTTCGTCTTCTTGCCTGTAGCGCGTTCTACTGCAAGGGCGAAACTTGTCAGAGCATCAGCATGAGTCTTGACGAATGAATCACCAGAAGTACCATCAGTATCCGTGCCGACACTCGTACTAGTACCAGTAGCAGTAGTATCCGTATTTGTAGTGGTATCTGCATTAGTGCCACATGAGCTGTTGTAGATGTAGTCATGTGTAGATGAAGCAGAAGCTGAACTTTTACTGGAGGCACCACGACCTCCCACAGTAGGTGTTGATGTCGAGGAACTACTAGCATTACCACTAGAGGAGCTAGCACCAACACTACCAGAAGATGATGCAGAAGACCCTGTCGAAGATACTCCTTTTTTCGACCTTTTCCAGCTTAGCTTGAGGATATTCATCTTTGAGGATCCATCTCGACCTCCTTTTTCCAGTTCCGCACGCCACACAAGCAGTGCCTTCAAGGCACGCACGATGCTGGCACGCATCTCCACTTGGGCAGATAACTGATCAAGGAAGTTGTGAACACTATTTCTGTTTCTGATGAGTGAACGGTATTTCTGACGAAGGAACAGGAAGTTGTGAATGCGAATGGCAGTGGTTAATAAATTGATGAAGGAAGTTGTAAACGGCGTAGTGGTTTAATTGATGATTATGTCTCAAAAAGGGAAATTGTGCATACTCCCCCCCTGCAAATTGGGAGGTATTTTTTAACGCTGAAGCTCGCCCGAAAGAGTGGTTGAGCTTCTGAAGATAGCTCAAAAAAGCAAATGGTGGATACTCCCTACCTGCACTTGGGAACAACGGCATTTCGTACTCACAGTCACAAGCTGCTTTACGGACAATCATAGAAAAAAGTGGCAAATTTAGAAAAATACCTCTTCTGGTTCCAGCCCTTCGTCTTCTCCTTGGCCGTTTAAGATAGCCTCAACCGCCAAGGTACCCGACTGCAGATTCATCAGTACTCGCCTAGTGGACTGGATGTCACTAGTGGACTTCTCTCCATCGCATCTCGGCTTCAACAGCTTCCTCACATCTGACAATTCGACCTCGAGTATACGTGCAAGGTCGATTGTAGAAATATTGTCGTAGTTGCTCTGAAGATTTTGTAGTTCGGACAACGTCGATAGACTTCGTTTACTAGTAGTCGTCGTGGAGAAGGAGACACTGGATCCTTTCGTCTTTCCATCTTCTGAAGATGTCTGTTGATGTTTCATTTCCACTTCCTTGGTCATCTCATCTTGTTCCACTTCCATGTCATTCTTCTGAAGAGGACAATTATCTGCTCCAACAAGAATTTCTTGGTCTGCTATTTCATCTTGCATGTAGAAATCGATTTGACCACAGACCCGCTCCAATTGTCCGCTTTGACATGATCTTCCTGCTTCAGAACCATGTCCATGACCATCAGTAGCAGGGAGGTTAAACTGCTCACTGCAATTGTAAAGGTCTACTTCTCCAGGACGATGAACATTTGCTTCTTCTGAAGGTGACGCCGTAGTACTACTTCGTGGTTGATTCGTCCTTAAAAATGTTGCAGCCCCTATACTTTGACGAGGCTTGATCACTCCTCTTCTCTTCGTCACTTGCTGGCATTTCCGTAGGAGGTTTTTCAGCTTGTCCGCACTGTACTGAGCCACATTACGCTGACCGGCTGAGGGGGGAGAAGCTGAAGATGCTCCAGAGGTGGCAGTTGTAGCTGGAAGTGGCATTAGAAGCTGGTTGAAAAGGCACAACCAACGGTGAAATCAGCCGCGAGAAGTAGACAAGTGATACTGAATTGTTTTTCGCTGATTATCTTGACATATATTCATATTGTAGTTTTAGTTCTTACAGCAAATTATAAAAGCAACTACTTATTAATAGGCTAAGTACCCAATGGCCATGAATCTATCATGTCTTCACTTTAGGTGATAATCACAAATCAAGAGGGGCAGGGTGACGAGTAAGGGATAACGATCTGCATCAAGTATGCCTTAACGTAGTAGCATCAGAGTCCAGTTCCTTTGGGGTCGTATCGTTCGTGACAAAATAGTAAGGGCCAACTTCCGGTTCGGATCCCTCATCTTTCTCCTTTGATGTAGTCCCCATTCCTCCACCTGCGGCTTCGTTCTTCAAAAACGATAGCACCAAAGGCTGAGACACCAAGGCTGTCCTATTGTCCGACGACGACCCATGACTGTCAACTCGTTGCCAAGTAGTGTCATCAGCGTCATCAAAAACTTCTAGGTGAGAATCTTCAACACGGGTTTTGTTCTGTAATGTTGGAAAGACAAAGAATCGTGTGCAAAATTTGTTTTGGACGTGTTGCTACAATGTACAATACTGCAGTACTTTTTGTCCTCGATGGACATGGAGCACATAGCTGCAATACCCCACGAATGGGTACACTACTACTACTACTACTAGTACATCACGTTTGGATTTGGAACAAGAGCATCATCATCAACGGAGAAACCTAAAGCTAAGAAGCTAAAAAAAAACAGCAGTACTCCATCAGCCTCCACAACCGGTGCATCGACCATCTCAAAATCGTCAAAGGGTGTCCTTGCTCCCGAAGGCGCCGCTGCCTCAGTTTCACTGATTTCAACCGAGGAGACCGACGCAGCGCGTAGTTGGTCAAGAGGGAAATCATTCGAAAGGAGAGGAGCAGAGGCAGACGTGGTACCATTGCCAACAACATTATCACTGCCATGATGACGCGGCGATGGCGATGAAGAAGAAGAAGAAGAAGAGGACGGATCGCCACCTCTTCTTATGGAAAACATTGTAGCCATGGGAGACGGAGCTGTACTTGGATTGATCGCGGCTCTAACTGTGAAGCATGCCATGATGTTGGAACAGAAGAAAATGCCGCGCGCCATCTTGGCATTGCGACGTCGACTGTGCTGAATGCGTGAAGACCCACAAGTGGTAGCGCGAGTCGAAGAACTCGCAGTTTTCGGTGCCGTGTCGCATCCCCCTGTCTCCGCAGCAGCAAGCATTTTGTCAAACGTGGACGCGAGGACCATCGCAGCAACAAGGTTCTCTTTGTGTTTGTTGAGAAACTCCGAATATCAAAACTAAAGAGCAAGGAGAGAAAATGAAAATGTATGCGCGATCAAGAACAACAAAAAGAGAGTGTAAATGATTGATGAATTAAAGGGGATGAAACGGAGTAGGAGCGTCAGAATCACCACACCATGGAAGCGTGTTTTCAATGCGCGTCAACATCTACCGAACAGAGAAATCGGAGATGTCGTTCTCGTCCTCTTCGACGAGCCAGTGCGAGATCTTTCGATGAATATTGTACACATGATTTTTTCTGTACACAGTCACAGTCGTGGCTGTTTCCTCTACTAAAGATGATCTTAGGGTATGGGAATCTATCTTCAAAATCATGGCAGTGGAAGCCCTGATGCTGATTTTTGATGCTGATATAAAGCTACAAATGCGAAGATATCATGTTGCTGGCATCATCAACATCAAATCGCACACAGCACTACCGTGATGTCATCGATGTAGGACACAGGTCCACCCCCACCTGTCCTTGACCACAACGACGCCGCTTTGGACGCTACGCAATGCGCCGTTTCTTGAATCCCCTTGCCGCTGTTGAGACTCAGAATGACGATTTCAGCTACTTGGGAGTTATCAAGCATTTCGAATATGCCGTCAGTGGCGAGGAGAAGGAAGGCTTGCTTCACTTCTTTGTTCTTATCGTCCCCAACTGCTGTAGAGGCGCTAGCAGACGACGTAGTTCTTGTCGTAGTAGTTCTGCTTCTACTCCTGTAATCATCATCAACCACAGCATTTGATATCCCAGGCTCGGATGAGACTCCAGCATCATGTGCATACTTATCGCCTAGGCTGCGACTCATGTTCAGCCCAGACATCACAGCATTGGTACCGCCATTAGTTGCATGTATGATCGAGGAAACAACTGAGCTGGCACTCGGAAGGTAATTGAAAGCGGAGGTCATGAAATCGAGCACGCCAGGATTACTGTCGTTGGATGTGTCTGATATGGTTTCTGCATTTGCAGCTTGTCCTCCTGATGATGCTGCTGCTCCTGGTGGCGCTGTGCCTGCAATACTGTCATTAATTGTTCCTACTTCCTGGCTCGCCGCCCTCAACGAAGGTGGCAGCCTAGTTTTCTTCGGCGAAGACAAAGAGGGTACTCTCAGGCCATCAGTCAAATTCGTTCTGTCGCATGAGAACCAAACGCGTTGTTTTTTGATAAACCCAGTCTGCCTCGTTTCACCCAAAGACCAACTACGTCTTAGTCTCACTGCTTCTTCCGCTTCTGGCTTATGGTCTTTCGTCAGAGCGGTGATTTTGCTTAGTTTGAATGTGAAGGGGCCTTTGTTTTCGAGTTGTACTCCAGGCGCTGATCCGATCCTTGAGCCTGAAGATGTTGATGAAGATGATGAATCTTGCCGTTGCAATGTGGATTTGCCAGCTGCTTCTCTCGCCTGTTCTCTAGGATCATGAGTCTCTTCTTTACCTTCAGACCCAACCTTCTCCTCTTCGTTCTTGTTGACACCACTAGAGTCATCTGCACAACCCACCTGAGTCTCATGAGCATCGTGTACTATCGGACTTACCAAGCACTCAATCAAGAGTGCGCGTGAATCACCCAGCCAACCGCAAGAAATTTCGATCTCACTGGCGGTAGTATTCGCAATTGCATTTCTAATGTTGGTGTCACCATCGGCATCGGCAAGAGTAGAAGCACCGCTAGTGCTATCAGGAGAGCTACAACTTGTAGATGCATTCGATAGTACTCCACCTGTGGTGGTCCCCGATCCCCCTGTACGAGCAGTCGTGGTTCTTCTCCGTTTTCCATGGACAATCACACACGTTGTGCCTGACATTGCCAAGGTTAGAACTAAGAGAAATCCATCTTGAGACGCATCCGAGGACCTTTCTCCCCTTGAAAACGGTCTCAGGATGCCTGTGAAGATGGATTTCTTCTAGCCTTAACAAGGTAACAGCGTCAGCACCGCCTGTTAAGAACGCCGTTGAACTAGCGTTGGATGCTGCATCTTCTAACCGCTTGGTCGATATCCTTACCAGTTTCTCGAACAGAACTTTCATGGTATTGCCAAAATCTATTTTAACAGGTGTCTGCTTCGTAAGCCCACCATGAGTTCTTGAGTGTTGTGATGCCCTTGACCTTGACAGCCCCACGACCTTAGCAGTCGCCTTATCCACTTCGCGCAGCATCACTAATGGCGTCCACAAAGTTGCAATTTCGCTAAAGACTTCTCCTTGAGGGCCATGCCCATCAAAACAGCCCAGTAAAAATTCTTCCTGCTCATTGTAGGTTATGCCAAAGAAGTTGTCCTGGTTTCCATCGTTTTTGCGGCCTTTGAGACCTGGTGGTTTTGATATTGCGGTAGATGAGAATAAAAATGTTGTGCTTATCATCTGTTGAGACCCTGTTTATGTTCTAAACTACGTACACTTGAAAAAGTCTACACCTACGTTGGTGAAAAAGTAAAAGAAAAAGTCTACAACTACGTTGGTGAAAAAGTAAAAGGCCCAGACCAGGCACAATACACACATATCCCATTAGCATTTTTTCTGCAGCGGCGCGATCTCCGAATTCTTGTCCTTGTTCCCCTATGCTTATGGACGTACAAGCTTCACCCTCACGTTCACCAAGCGTGCTACTGCTACTGCTAGTACTGCTGCTGCTGCTCCCGTCGACATCCTTGACTGCACCAAGATGACCCGCAATTTCTGCCGATGAAGCGATATCTTTGTTTTTATCATCTCGCTTGAAGTTGCTGTTGCACATTTTCGCCTCTAACTTCCCCCTCAATACCTCCAGATCAGCCTTGAACTCTGCAGAACTCCCACGGTAGCGACTGGTCCTTGAACTTGAACTCGTTTTCCCTTGAAAGATGTTCACCGGTCTTTGCGATAGAGCAGTTCTAGCTGTCTGAGTGGCACCAAAGATACCAACGTCAGTGGAACCGCCAAACAGCACAGGCCATAGCTCTGTCCAATCAGGGAGCAAGGCGCCTTGAGCGAGAGAAGCAGCAGAGGAAGTCGTATGAGAAGAACCAGTAGACTGAGCGGCGCCCATTTTGTTGTTCTTTACGGCACGATGCCTACGAAAACACACGCAGGAGTTGTCAGCACAATGTCCGCTGTGTAGTTCTTGAGGTGATCTGCCTCAGACTCGGAGGGCGGGAGGGGGTGTCCAGGTACGTAACCATAAATCAGATTTCACTTTAAGTTGAAGAGGCGTAATTGCACCCATTGTGAGTGAGGGGGAGCGGGAATCAGATCGATCTTCGATTGCTGATATTTGTGGAACTTCTTCAGGCGTCCAGCATCCGCCATATCAACTACAAGGGAATCGAAGTCTAGTAGAGTAGAAGTAGACCTATGCCTTTTCTTTTCTCAATAAACCGAATCCGAAATTATCTCTCTCGAAGTCCAATCGCATGATCCACCGCCTCGGTTCACCGTGTTGACGTGGAACAGCTCCGCGTAGCTGTATTTGCTGGCAAGACGTCGATGAAGAGCTATTCTATTTAACAGACAGAGACGATGGAAATGGAAAAAAAGGTATCTTCGAATTAGAGTTTGCCCTTGCCTTGTGGTCTCCTGAATGCTAATCACTATTGGGAAAAAACAAATGGGTGGACCACTGCTTAGTCATCGTACTAGTACACTTCGCGTCAACAGCGATGTACTGTAAATGATCCAACCTCTTATCCTCGTCCAACAGCTCTACTTCATCCCCTTCATCCTCCTCTTCTCCACCATCATCTGCCGCAAACTCTTCCGCTCCTGCAGAAGCGCCACTGCAGAAATACCACTTGCCGGAGGCGGCACTGCCTTAGGACACGGCTTAGGTGGTGGAGGCGGTGCCGGCACGAAATTCTGCGCGGGCGAGCCTCGGCAAGCGCATTCGCATACGCAAGGAGGCCCTTGAGGACACTCAGGGTGCTTCTGGGACCACTTGGTGTCTTGTGAATTCGGATGTTCGGACCAGCTAAGCGGCTTCTTCTTCGGTGGTGGTGGTGGGGGCTGAGAGTTGTGTGGTGTAAGTGAAGTTTGGCTTTGGGGCGGAAGCTCCGTAGGCAAATCACAGGCAGGATCAAGAATTCTTTGTGTTTCGTTGATCGAGGTAGAAGATTTTCATTTTCAATCTAGCTGCGACAGCTACAGACCTTTGCTACAGAGAGGAAAAAAAAACCACAACAAAAAGTACCGCTGGTGGTTCCGGAAAGGGATGAACGTCCTCTGCGTCTTTCTGGATTTCTTCTGCTAAACGACGCACTACTTCCATCAACTTGACCCAAACTTTTTTGGTGTTCACGACCTCCTGCGAATAAGCTTGCTTGGAAGCGAGGAAGTGCTCTGGTAGAGAGTAGACGTTGAAGGAGAAGGAGATGAGCATGCTAAATGAGTCATCTTATTTCTGGCTTGCTATTTCGAGTGGTCGTCAGGAGTTTTCATCTCTACTTCTTGCGTACATCTATGTACTTACATTCCAAAAGCTTTCATCAAATCACACGTTAAGAGATACCCATCATCTCATCATCCGTGCCTTCGATTTTGCCAGTGCCCATCCAGTTGTCAAAATGGGTAGTGGCTCCTTTGGCGTCCGTGTCGGTGTCAACGAACTGCGTAGATAGAATGTCCTGGAGCCTGGCTACAGTGCTCAAATCCTTTGAGATATCAATCCCAAGTTCAGTTGTGACTCGCCCAGGCTCGTTTCTGAGATAGAAACCGGTGGCGGAGGCGTGGTTGTTAGACACGATGCCTTTTATTTTCTTTATTTTGTTCTAGCTGTAGCTTACAATACGAATTCGAATGCGACCCATCTGATGAAGAACTAGGATCAGAAAAAACAAGAAGGAGTCCTCAGCCATATCTTTCCCTGCTTTTGCACACGCTGACTCTGGATCATTCTCGGCATCGGAGCCAAACCAGATGCACACCTGGGAACTGCCCTCTCCCATCATCGAAAAACCAGTACACGCCGGTTGCTGTCGACACACGATACCGCAACTCGCCTTAGTCATTTCAAATCCCGTGAGGAGAGCCGGCCAGGACTCGCAATGGGCTTTCTTGCCCTCAGCAGCGTTGTCGCCGATGAATTCCGCAGGACCGGGAGCTGATGATCAAGGTGGAAGATTTGATTGATCTTCAAGTAGAATATATTTATAAGTTAATCAAAAAGCTACTTACTAGCTTAGAAGTAGATGATGATGAAGAGCTGTTCTTTCCTCACTTCGACGTCAAAGTGTTCCTCAAAACGGCAAAAAGAAAAACAAGACGTCAAACTTCTAACAAGTATACCAGCTTCCGCCACCCCCGCTTTTTTCTTCCGAAACGGAGCCATATCCCAGGCGCCGAGCAGCATGTCCAAACTGGTTTCATACGCATCGTGTGCTTTCAAGATTAGAGCTTCACCAATTCCATCTAACTGCTTGAGACGCATCTATCTTGGATCTTCCATTGTCCCCGTAACCGGATGAAAAAGGAGGTCCACGATCCTTCTATCTAAAGATGGTATAGTTTCATGTCATGTCTTAACAAAAGAATCTTTTTCCTCAATTCAGCTTCCTGAACAGCAGTTGGATTCTTCTTCGCGTCTTGGAAATCCTTCCTCGCCACATTCAAATCTGCCAAGGCTGCAGACACTACCCCCTGCAGCTCTTGGATCGCTTCAGGCGTAATCTCAGAGCATTCTCCTGTAGAGCGTTTCACCTGTCCGGTTGGGCACTTGACAGTCGCAGGATCGATGTCGTGGGTCGTTTTTTGGCCGGGGGAATGAAGAAAGGGGGATCGATATAAGGAGGGCTTGGGATCAGGTCGATACGGCATAATCGTAGACTGCAACAGCAAGATAGTGATAGATAGTTGCTGGTTCGTCATAAAAGACACAACTTCACCTCGTCCTCGATCTAGAAGAAGTAGGATTGAACATGAAGAAGTCGTTCAAGTCTACTAAGTCTAAGTTGAGTTCAACAACAGCTGATTACCAAAAGCAAAACCTCAGACGCCATAAGGAATAATCGGAACAAAAGGGCATGGTGGATCTGGCGGCGGCTGTTCTTTGACAACAGGTTCCGGACAATCACAGTGGCAGTTACAGTCAGCTGGAGGGGGACACGAATCGAGGACACGTTCTAGAAGTTGTACAGCTTCTACATCTACAGCGAAAAAAGCCCACGACCACGCCACTAGGTGCGCCGCCGACAAGGAGGACGGCTTTTTTGATCTCCACCCCTTCATATGTTCGTCCGGTGGCCAGCACCTCTGGGATTTTTATCGAGGCCGAGGACGAACGGCGCAAGTGGGACTCATCTTTTGCTTGGCGGGCTCACAAAGATGAGTCGGGACCTTGTGGATCTCACTGATCGCTGGGAGGGCATCTAGTAAGATTTCTCGACTCCTCAATTTAGCTCTCACACTCATAATTTCTGTCGCCGGGCTTGGTCTGTATTAACTTCAAAGCGTCCTCTCAAGTCAGATCCCTTACGTCCCAAGAACAATTTCGCGTGGGAGTGTCGACAACATGCCTAGCACGACTTGCATTTTTCATCTTCAAAGCCGGTGTATAATCTAATCACTGGAGGTAGAATAACGGGAATACTACATTACAAGGTACAAGAAAGTGTGTTCTCAATCTCAGGATCGGGATGGTAATGGATAAGAGCATGCGTATGGGGTCCAAAAAAGTCAAAAGGCCAAGGTTGTAAAAGCCCACAATGAAGAAGTGTAGTTGTAAGTAAGCCCTTAATGGTTATCGAAGACGGAGTCAATTCTACGCATAAGGAAGGCATGGAACTTCGATACCCAAAAATTCTTATCTTAGCAGGATGGCATGTCCATGTTATAGTCCTAGTCATAAAATCAGAATGGAATTGGAATTGCCTACACGCGGTTAGCTGCATCAAGCTACCCTACCAAAGGAATAGAGGGAAAACAAGAAGAGAATCCTTGTGATCGAATTCAGGTTACCAAATACCGGCTGCACCATTCAAAGGCAAACTAGATCTAGAACTACTTCTGTGTATAGATTTGGTTCAAGTCCAACCAAATAGATGATCCGCCCAAAATTCTTTCTTTTCAGAACAACAATAATGCACAATAAAAACAAATACTCTTCTTGCTCAACCAACAGCAACCGGCACGAACTGCGGCGTGTCCATCTCCCGACGCAGATCAGAGAATACCTTCTGCCCAACCTCCTTCCCAAAAAGCTGAATAAAACGTGTCAATGGATATCGCTGTAGCATGGCCCCTGTTGTTCCTCCTGGGAGCTTACCCACGGGGGCGGAGGAGGAGGAAGATGTCGTCATTTGTGATCCACCTTCGTTTGAAACTTGCATGCCATTTGCTGCAGCAAGAGACATCTCTTGTTGTTGTTGTTCTCCTCTCAGCATCATCATTGACGTGACTGTGCTGCTGCTAGTGTCCTCGCCATAAGTTGTTGTTCGAGGAGTAGGTTGAAAAACAGGACTTCCTCTCGGCGTCATAGGAGTTGGAGGCGGAGGACCCTCTGATATTGAGATTCGCTGCTTGAACCATTGCTCCACGTGTTGCGGTGACCACTTGTTCACAGGCACATATCGGACCTGAATATCTCCGATGAACCGTCGTAAATCCGCTTGCTTCACACAATGGGTGTGTTGCGTGTGAAGGGCTGACAGCTGCGCTGATGACGGAAGTTGGGTGGATTGGGTATTGATGTTTTCCATCATTTGAGTCTGATTCCCCTGTGGCCCTCCACCGAAGGCACCAGTACCGCCACTGGAACCAGCTAGGAGTGAAGCAAAAGGACCTCCTAACTCTCTTCCATGGTGTTCTATAGACGATCCGCCAGAACTTGCACCGCAAACATAGCAAGAAGGTGCACCACACGAGAAACTGTTGTTGTTCGTATTTGTCTGTGGAGGTACGAAGGGGACCATGCCATAGCCTGTTCTCAGCGTGGTCAAAGTGTGTTCTACATCGGTGCAGCTAGGAGAAACAGTACAAAAGACGCCAATCAAGTTCTCAGGCGGTCCCTCTGGTAGAGTTGCTCCATATGATGTTCTGGATGGAGCGGTGGTTAGATTTGGGGATGTGAAAGTAGGTTGCGGCGATTGCGGATTTGGAGACCCGTTAAAGTAGAGGACAGAAGAGGATGACTTGTTCACTTTTAGCTTGTTCTTGCTACTACCAGAGCAAGATGGTGAAGAGATATTACCGTTGTTGTGCCCTAGGGTCGCCAAGAATTGACTTAGGCGCTCTGCTGATGCACTCATAGAAGATGAGGATTTTGATTTCGCTAGAAAACTTGTACTTGAGGTACTACTAGATGACATTCTACTATGACCAGTGCCGTTGCTGTTAGCGTGCATATTATGAAGATCTTCTTTGCTAGCACCGCCCGTTCCTCCCAGAAAGGGCGCCGCTTGAAAACTTTCTGCTAGTATCTTCGTCAGTGTGGACTGTCGGAAAAGGTGGGTGGGAATGGGTTCGGTAGGTTTGGCGCTTCGATGCCGGATGATTTCTTTGAGGCTGTAGAGGGAAGCATTGATATCAGCAGTTTCGTCCTGGCGTTGTTTGCAATGACGAAAGGTGTCTTTGCTGCGTTCGGTCCCCGCGGCATCAACCAAGATAAGCTTGCAGTCGGACATGGTGATCTGTAGGAGGTTGGATTGAAGACTGTGCATCTTCGGACGATCAAAGTAGCTTCGATTTGAGTTTGATCTCGTCTATCAAGAAAATCGTAAGCAACCTGCTGCTGTGCAAAAACAAATAGTACACACGTAACAGGCTTGTAATTGTACTTAGCAGTAAGTAGTTCTAAAGTTCTAGCTTTTGTTTTACCGTGATAACCGCATGACTTCTTGATGAGCCTGCTTCGTTTGCGCGCGTTGCTTCCGTGTGTCTTCTATCGTGTCCCGTTTTCATCCAATTTTGCAGTTCCAAAGCCGTATTGCACTGCCGTGATTCCGCTCCCTGCAATTCATAAACTCCACTAGACACTTCACGCAACTGCACCTCGTTTCTCCGGCTGCTCTTATCTACAAACCCACGTCCTTTGTAGAGTAAGTCGTAGACTTTTCCAGCTCTCAGTTCCACAAAAGAAAGTTGACAGTTCGTTTTGGCCTTGAAGATGCAATCGGCAGCTCTTGCTTCTAAAGCGGTCATCGTGTAGGTTTTTCCGCTTCCGGTCTGGCCAAGCATAAACAGAGTTGCAATACTGCCGGGAGCAGGAGTTAGAAATACAAAGAGAAGGAGGCAAGGCACTCTATTATATCACACAATCATGCTTCTCATGGAGGCCGCAGCTTATTTCAGTAGTCCTACTACAGACCGTCAGATATTAAAGGATCACATTGACCTCACAATTCAGATATTCAGATTCAGCATGAGCGATAGAAGAGTCAGAATGTGAGATAAAGTACATCTACACACCTACAACAACTTGAACTTGATGCCATAAAAATCGAAGAAACCCATTTTCCTTGACACTGCGGAAGACGTCCTTGTTGCTACTCGTCTCGTCAAACGCGTGGTCAAAAACGTAACCATGGTGTTGTACAAATGGCGTTTTGAGATCAGCTTCAAAACTGCAAACGGACGCGCACACATACCCTTTCGTCACCGTCTTTGAGCTTGTCGTGGAACCGGTGGAAGGAGTAGCAGAGGGACGGATGGATTAGACGAGAACGCAAAAAATTGTGGAAGGGCCCATGAAAATTACACATGTTGTTGCTGCCTCGCTTGCGAGTGCGACGTAGAGTTACTTATACTTACACCTGTCACCGTCACTCCACCTTCACAAAATCACGTAGTAGAACATGTAAATGTATCAGCCATAACCTTTCACCATCTGGATGCAGTCATACTCCCCGTTCTCCAGCTCTTTGTTGAAGATCGGCCTTTTGCGACAAAAAGTGGTAAATCGGACATTTTGATAGGGCTTGGAACCACCCATACCAACGCCAGTTGAAGATTGACCAAGACCATTACCTCCGTTCCCATAGGATTCTGATGAATAAGCTCCCGTTGAGCTACCGGTTCCCGGTGTTGGAGTGCCATGATTAGAGGATCCACGGACAACACTGACACCAGAGGACCTGCTAGAGGTACCAGAAGCTCTGCTACTCCTGCTCACACGTGGAGGTGCACCACCACAGTTCTGTTGTACATCTGACTGTTCATGTTGTTCCATTAAGAAACAAGCAGTTTCTTTGTCTCCGCTTGCTCTTTGTATGACCTGCAAAATGCATTTTTGATGTTGTTCGCGCATGTAGTTTTCAAGGCCGATAGCACGAATCCTGTCCAAGACCGCACAAAAAAGCGGTGCCCACTGAGGCATCAGGCGCAACGTATTCTTGTCGAACATTTGCCTGGTTATATCATTAGCTTGACCTCCAGAAGAGACTGCCGTTACAACTCCTACTGCTCCTGGTGTCGCGTTACCTCGATTATAAATATTTGGCATGCCCATCGGACTTTGATGGATCATTCCACCGACACCATGTGGCTGATACACTCCGCCGCCGCCGCCTGTATAACTGATTACTATTGGTCCAGCTGAAGGCTCGACTCCATTCGAAGATGCTGGCGAAGCAGATGACGCATTTTGTCTCGACCTCCCAACTTTGCTTGGCGTTGAGGCACGTTTCGTAGGTGCAAGGGTAGTTGTACTTCGAGCAGGCTGAGTTGTAGTCTGGGATGAAGACGATGTTGGAGCTGGCGCAGTAGCTCTCCTGGTCGTAGAGGCTACTGAGGCACTCCTTCTCGTTCGTGTTTCATCTCTAGACTTACTGAGTTCGTCTGCAACTCGATCTGGTTCAGCGGTGTCGAAGACCAAGATGTTTTGATGATCACCGACAATGTGGGCCTGACCTTGATTTCCTTTCACACTCACAGCACCAGAAGATCTGTTCATATTCGCACTCGCCAAAGTACTTTTGCTTATCCTCAAAGCCCTCGTTGACTTTGATTGTTGCTGGGATTTATTTGTTGTACCATCAGGTGCTCTCCGCGGAGTCGTGGGCGGTGGATCCTTGTAAGCGCTCGTCCTATTTCTAGGAGTACTCAACAAAGACGGTCCACCGAATGCCTTAGCTCTTGCGGGTGCGCCTGCGCCACTCCGCGAGCTTATCTGGATGCTCTTTCCAGGATTGTTCGATGCCATCTTCGTTGCAGCCGCAGTAGAACCAGTGGTGTTACTAAAAAATTCTTCTTGTTCACTTTCGGTTTCATCCCGGATGAAGCCAGCATCTCCTATATCGCCCCCCAGAAAATCTACTTCTCGGTCCTTAGACAGCCCTAAATCCGCAAGCAATATCTGAGGCAACGGTTCCTCATCCGCAGCGTCGATATTGAAATTGAGGATCGTTTCACTAGCAATGCTCGATGTAGGTTCCAATATCACACGTTCCTCTACGTCCTTCTGCAAAAGCATTTCTTGCTCTGTATTTGTCGAAAGCTGGTTGCGGGGAGTACCAGACAGCGCTAGCTGTTCAAGTGGAGGAGCGCTCCTCAAGCGGGGAGCATTCCCAATGGGCTGATCTTTCAACGTACTACTAGTCCTTCGAGTAGCCTCCCTGAGCTGCAGATGATCTCGTAAAATGTCAGCTGGCGAACTAGGGCTAGCTGCCACAGTTCTATTTGCCGAGGCTTTTTGTTTCTGGACTGCTCGTTTTGCCGGTATAGATACTGAAGATTTCTTTTCCATCCTAGAACTACTTGTTGCTGTGCTCGTGGTCGTCCCTCGCGGAGTATGGCGTCCACTATCGACTAAATGTCGCCGGACCAGATACGACGGTGGGCCCCTACCGGAAGAGCTACTTGTACTAGCACTAGGGCGTGGTGAAGATGACAAATCTCTTGTGAGAGAAGCTGCTGTCAAAGGCGCTACATTTATCTGCTCCACCATGGGTGTAGCTCTCGTATCCACCTCTACCTTCGCGTTCGCCCTATTAGCCTCATCTGTATCCGGAATTCCATCACAGCGCTTACTTTCCTTTCCCATCGCTTCTTCTCCTCGCCGTGATGTGTTGACATTCATGGAGGGGCCACTGGAAGGCGTTTGTTCTTCCGCAGATACGCTCTCTCCCGAAGAGGCTGCCGAGCTAATCGATGTGCTTTGCATTGACGCAGAGACTGCAGGCTTGACACTGGCGTTTTTCTCTTTAGATTGCTGTGCCTGCTGGTGCTTTTGTTCGACGTCATCCTCTCTCCTGCTATTCCTCGTAGTTGTTGTTCGTTGTTGCGCCTGTTTCGCTTGCCTCGCCAGCATTTCTTTCTCGGCTTGTCTCGCAATAGCTAGAGAATTAGCCCTCCTCAAAGACGAAGCGCGTGTTTCTCTTGGCGTCGGGATAGGTCCGCCACGTCCTTTGCTTCGAGGTTTTTCATCATCCACTTCCCCCATAATATCTCCGTGTTGTAGACTGATACGCTGTAAACTAGCTCTCGACCTCGTCTTAGTGCTTTCTTGTCGACGTGGCGTCTCAAACACACCATGGGTGCTCGCATTGGATCGCCGGCTACTCGGAGCACCAAACGGTGGCGGTCGTCTAGGTTCCGCACGAGAACCTTGAGAACCTTCGGCAGAATCGGCAGAAATAGTCCTAGTTGGACTCAGCTCCTTATGCATCCTAGGCAAGGCGATGACATCCTCTTCGTCACCAGAGGTAGTCGCACCCAAAAAAGCCTCGCCTTCAGACATCATCTTGAGATGAGGACTACCTTGACTTGGAATTTGTAATTGTTCCGTTTCAGTATTAAGATTTTTCACACGTTCTTGGGATGTGAAGCCCTTACCGGCACAACCACCCATGATAGTTTGTTCACAATATTTTTCGCAGCGACAGCGAGCTATCACGTAAATAAATGTGTAACATTCTATAAGAAAGCAAGAGAAACTCCAAGTCGAACTTCTGAGTCTAACTGTACTAAAACATGTAGATATAAAGTGGTTCGGGTTCCCCGCATGTAAATGATCTTGGCCATCTAGAAGTAGATGTACTACAGAACTAAAACAAAAAAAATGATCCCCTTCCTCAAAAACGGGGCTCGGGAATCAAAATAATCTACACAAAATAGAAGTGATCTAAGGGAAGGTTCAAGCAAGGGTTTTTTTTTTGACTTAATATGGTTGCAACAGAGCGTGAAAGGCTATCAACAAGGATTTTCTTTTGACTTAATATGGTTGCAAAAGAGCGTGACAGGCTATGAATCTGAGTGCGCTGTGTGATCTGATAAAAAAAGTTGCCAAATGGCTGAGGGTCTCTCTCTCGTCTCCGCACTCTAAGGCTTATGCCATTAGACCTCGTTTTTCTCTCTATGAACTCAGCATTCTCATCTATGAAGATAGCATATGCTGAGCGGCGCTATGAACAGCTACCGAAGTCAAAAATATACACTCAACAGAGAGATGTATGCTGCATGTCTATGTGGAGAGTCTCTCTCTCTCTCTCTCTCTCTCCCTCTCCCTCGTTACCGTGGGTCACCGACTGTTATCTCTTCACTCTGAAAAGAACACTTGGGAGCACAAACATCTTTTTCTACTTCCATGAATCCTTGACAATTGTGGGCAGGTGTCCCTCGTATCTTCAACTTGATGAACTGCGAGTTTGAATTTGAAATTGAAAATATTTGCAGAAGATACTATCCGTATCCATGAAGATGAATATCAACACCTAGTATAATACCTCCTGGAATACCTTCATGCTCAGCCTCTACAACGTCTCAACACTTCTAAAAACAGCATGATCTGTCATGAATAGCTTTTTCTTGCACAGCAGGTGCTGTTTTATCTTCGCGATCACAACTTTGCGCTGCTGATGACCTCGGAGAAGCGCGAAGATGAGCACGCTCATTGTTAGAGCTCAACCCGCTAACATTCAGCAGGAGCCTGTGCCTACTTTCAAGGGCGTCGATAACTTCCTCAAGCATGGCTTTTGCCTCAAGCACACCTTTTGTGTTGTCTGCTCCTTTTCGTTTTCCAGCCTCACTCCTGCACCTTTTCATCGCAAAAATGACACGAGGGAAGTCAATCTTCAGGCTTTCTGTTGGTCGTGTTAATGAAGGTTGTGAGGATGCAGGAGCTTCAGGTGCAGTAGCAATTGTAGCCCCTAGAACTTCTGGTCGTGCATCATCATGATCATGTCCAGCTTGAAGGTCGTGAGTGACAGCTTCATGTCCAGCTTGAAGGTCGTTGTGAGTGACAGCTTCATGTCCAGCTTGAAGGTCGTGAGTGACAGCTTCATGTCCAGCTTGAAGGTCGTGAGTGACAGCTCCTTTTTTAGTACCTGTTGTTCCGCTTCCGGTATCTGCTACTGCTTCTAGGCTCTGGGTTTGCTCCTCCTGCCGCAAAAAGTAAAGCATTCTCTCTTTGATGGTATGCGCCACTAGCTGAAGTGTTAGACTCACCCTTAGCCCATCTTGGTCCCCTCATCTCCACCCCTTTCCCCTTGATGTATTTCATGAGAATACAAGGCAAAAGGGGACCAAGATGCCGAGAAAGATGGATAAAAACTAACCATAAAAATGGAGCCACTTTGAGGGCCAGAATGACAGCAGCCGTAATAGCCACTTGATGCTCATCGTTCACGATGCAAAGCTGCTCCAAGCTCATGCGGTTAGCTAAGAACGTAGCCAATCTGGTGACCATAGCCACCTGCTGCTCATCGTTCACGATGCAAAGCTTCTCCAAGCTCTTGCGGTTAGCTGAGATCAACGCAAGCAATCCGGGGTCCCCTGCATCATCTGAACCACAATTGTAGGCGCCTCCTGCTCCTGCCTCATACGAATCATAGTCGTAGTCCAAAAGGTAAAGCAACATAGTATCACCATGGGCACTGTTAGAAGAGCTGGTACTACTAAAGATATTCCTCCCGTCGCCATGGCCATCGCCTGTAACTGTAACATTGGTTAAGGTGCTGGATTAGTACTTCTGATTAGGAGTTGTATCATGAAGATTTCACTTGGATTAGAAGTCCTCTCCTTCCTTGTAGTTATAGATTAGTACTAGAGTTATTGCAATAAGGCCTTAACGTTGGTGAAGGAATAAATGTCGGGAGGCCACGCCACGTTCTCCAACAGGTACATCATGGCTCGAGGCATCCCACGTCTCACAGTCGGCCCCCCACGATACTGCGTTGCCGGCCGCCACCGCATCAGTAAAGTAGTTAGAAACGACCTGATCTTCTACAAATAATACCATAGATACCTCCAATCGATACCCAATTTTGTTGAAGCAACGGATTTCATCTGTTTCAAATCAAACGGGAGCATACAACATCAACATGACGTAGAACCAGCGAAGAAAATCACTACAAAAATTATCGATGCCACTAATTGAGAACGAGGGGAAGGGCAAGGGAATGATCTCCTTCGAAAGTACGAACGCTACAACAACGGAACGATACTTATTTTCTTCACAGCGTGCAGCTCCATCAGTGCAGCCAGTGCGTGTCATTGGTAATCAAAGAAACATCAAAATGAAAGTGAAAATCGAAGTCCTTAAATATGGTAGGGGCGCTTCCCATATAATCGCTTTTGCACCAAGACGTGTCCGCATACCGAGTTCCCCTTGCACATTGAGAGGTCCCCATTCTTCCTCTGCGACACACGGAACACGCATCAAGTATTTCAACACAGGCTCTACTTCATCTTCGACGTCGCTTCCGCTTCCCCCACAACGCTGCTCGTCTTCAAGCTCAGCTTCTTTTTTCAGAAAGTTCAAAAGCACCTCTATCATTAAAGCAGGTTGAACCTTCTACGTTTCAGACCAATGTTTGTCTTGCACTTTAATTTGACGCGTTTCTTCTTGAAATGTGCCAAATAGAGCTTTCAAATATGAGCAATGCTAAGGGGAACGCGTGTGTAGAGAAAGAAACGAAATTATTCAACCCTTAACATCAACTGGAGTTCCACGTTGTCAGGTACACCAGGGAGATATTCAGTAATATCCGGATGATCAGGATCTAGAAGGCCGCCTTTCTTGCTATTATATATGGATTCCTTAGAAAGGTTGGAAGTCATTGGTCGTGACTGTAATTTCCGAACGGACGTTGGTCACTGTAATTTCCAAAGGGTCGTGATTCTGAACAGACAAGGAGACCCGCTAATTACATCACGTCCCTGTAGTTTCCAAGTCGTGTCAGGATGCCTCAAGGGGCTGCTCTACAACATACAAGATGAAGGGAGGCCCGATCAGCCTTCTTGTGCAAGACCCTCGTAGTACATCACAGGCACACACCCATGCATTGTGCTGCTACTTATTTCAAAAGTGCTTACTATAACTATTTCACTTCTTTTTCAAGCCTAAGCCCTTCTTCCTTGTTCAGAACCAGGCGCTTCGTCTTCGCGACTGTTCAGAACAAGGCCTCTTCAGTGACAGTGACTAGCCCCCTCATTAACCAATGGCACTTCTGAAGTCTGAGTCTTAACGTCTACTCGGTTTATCCAGCCATGCTGTAGTGCATCCCTTTCAAAGTGCCGGCCTGGAGTCGTTAGAGGTAGTTTTTTGGTGTTTCTGTTTCCCTTTTGTTATGCTCTTCTCCCTTAGGAGGGACAAAACAAACGGTAACAGGAACACCTAAGACCTACCCTTAGATTCGATCGAATAGCGAGGTCTGTTTCGGCGGCCCTGGTCAAAATGCCATTCACGAACAATTGCGCAAGATTAGCGGCGCTTCTAATTCTACCTATCATATGTATTTACTTTACTGGGTGCCGCTTCTAACTATACCCCTTTATTCGGTACAAGTCACAGTCTAGCGGCACTTCTACCTATAACCTTTACTCCTGGGAAGTCTACCTGATGTTGCCAGATCATGAACAATCAGATTTATTAATCATGATCGAGTCGTGGTTAGACTGAGGTTAGACTGAGCCGCACTAGAAAAAACACAAGCAAAAATTGCACGGCAACACTGACATTCTGAAAAAATACCAGAAGGAGAATTACTGACCCTATTTATTTCACTACTTATAGTTCCTTAAAAAATGAGGAAAATGAAAATAGACGTTAAGGTTAACACTCAAAAATGGACGTAAAAAAGCGCGGCAGGTTCCTTGCGCGGTCAACGATATTGCCTTGGAGAACTCTGCAGTAGTTCCGTATCGCCTGCAATATGATTAGCGCTCTCCGTAGTTCATCTTTCGGCTGCATGATCCATTTTGAGGAGTAGCAGTCGAGCACGAGAATACTGAGGCATACTTTTCTCTTTTCGAGGATGCGGCTGCGCAAGAGGATGATTTATCTATAGCCTTAACATGAATTGGCAGTTGTCCTTCTGCTTGTAGTGATCGTAAGCGCGACTTCGGACATTTTTCTTGAACATCTCATACTGCCGCACCTCACACTTTCTTTCAATCGCCGCAATAAGATACAGTAAAAACAAATGCGCTCCCTCTTGCGCAACATCCAGCGGCTCCTCCCAGTACTCATCTTTGGAAGAGGTCTTCACCCTGCCTGGCTCCTCCCAGTGCCAGTACTCATCTTCGGAAGAGGTCTCCACCATGCGTGGCTCCTCCGAGTGCCAGTACTCATCATTGGAAGAGGATTTCACCATGCGGTGAATACCTTGAAGCAACTGGTCTTGCTCTATTACTATTTCTAGTGCGATCGCAAGGCGCTTCTCCTTCCGCTTATACTCTGATAGACACGTAGGATATCGATCTTCGTCGTAAAGGGTCTCTGCGTCGTGCATCTCTTCGTAACGTTCCAAAACCTCATCGTAAGGTGCTCTGATATACATATTGGCAGGCAAAAAGTAAAAACGCTCTGGAGGAACAACAGTGTATTAGAGCGCACCTACCTCGTCTACAATTCTTTGCTACTTTTCACTACTTCACTTCTAGCAACTGCTCTACCTTATACTTATATATTACTAGGTACTTTTCTATTCCTTTACATTGTAATTAATCAATTATTATTATAGTAGCTTACAATTATAATAGGTTTCCTGAATCCGTTTTCCCATTGTCGAGAAGGTCTTCAAAATCCTCTTCCTTCCGAAGGTGGATTAACATTAATAGAGGAAGCCATAAGTGTAAGTGCGAGTGTCGGAAGAGTCTAGCATGCTTTCATACTCGACCAGTTCGCATTCGAGATATGGATCTTTATTAGACGAGGGACTCTTCTTCGCGAAACACAGACACAAGTACACCGCTTAAGCGGTCTGAGCTGGTTGAGTCTAAAACCGACACTTTCCCCTTCGCTTGATGTTTCTTCTAAGCTGCTTTCTAATTTGTTTCTATGATCCACGTGATCGTTTCTAAACTTTCCAATTTGTTTCTTCTATGCTCCACATGGTCGTCGTGAGAGAAAGTCCACTTCTAAAATGTAAAAGTACATTTTAAATTTAATAAATATCGACATGGCTCTTAATTTGAGGCAACCAGCGCAGCTCCTTCTTAATGTAATCGCCCAAAAATTCCTTTAAGCCTTGTACTTCATATACTTCTCTAACAACATACCGCAACTCCACACAAGTGTCGTTTTTTCCTGCTCCTGCATCAAGAGAAGTCTCTGTAGTCTGCCACTTCACCAGAGGCCATCTAGTATTCGCCGCTAAAGGTAGTTGTACCAGATTTCGAGCGGCTGCTGCTGCTTCTAAAGCCAATGCGCGGCCTCGTCCTGCATATTTAGTAGTGTCTTCACCTTCGCGTTCGCCTCCATCGTCATCACCTTCATCTTCGTCTTCATCTGGTTTTTCATGGATCAATTCGAAGTCAGCCACGAGACCGTCTACTACGTCCCTAAACACGCTTCCTCCATACTCACGTGAGGAGAGCAAAAACTCTTTCAACTCTGCAATTGTTGTGACACTGCTTGGTACATCAACGATGGGCAGAGAGTCACCTCCGAGGTTGCATAATCGCAGCTTCGTGGTAGCAGGAACGGACGATGAAGAAGACATTTTTTCGATCAGATCAGTGGAAAGAAATATTGAATTGATTCCTCCTTCGCTTTCAAATCACCGTGGCAAATACAAGTGTGCCGATGGGTATGACACTAAGTTGTACTATCATTCCAGAAAAATAAGTCGTTCTTAAAAAATGGTAGTAAAAAGCATAGATATAATTCCAACGAATTTAATACCATACAAATAATAAACAAATACCACACAAAGATTTGTATTACTATTATTTATGATCATCATCATCATGGTGTCCCATTTAGTACTCCGAGCCTAATGAGGGGACAAGTCAATTCCAGCAGTGTGCTTCCAAGAATGAAAACGGCCGCGGAAGTGAGAAGCCTGGTAAGGGGATAATCAATCTATTCAATCCTGGACTCCAATTACGAAATTGGAGGAGAGAAGAGCCTGCAGGAAAGAATCATGCAAAGGAATATACGGTGATTGCCGTATAGTCGCTGAAAGCTAAGACCTAGAGGACATGGCGCCTCAAAACAGTGACAAAACTAATCGGCGTTTATTTCTTTTCTCTTTAAATCATCATCATGTTGTTCTCCATCGATCAAGAGGTTCATTCCGTCACTGTTTTCACATCGTATGCAAACCGCAATAACATGCTTTGCATTTTTCTTGAAAACATTGAATACTTTGTATCGAATGCGAAATGAGTGCCAAGTTTTCCATTTTTACTATGATTTTGATACTGTTACTGTCAATCAATACAACCTGATTGTTGAAAAACAGGTAGCTCAACATCACAAGGTGAGGGCGGTTGTGTACACCACATATTCATATCATATTGTTGAGCAAGGAAAGCCAGGTAGTTCGAAGGAATCAGCGATTCCTATGCATGAAAAATTAGAGATAACATTGAAGACCGATTGCAGGTTAGGTTAGGTGGGGGCCCGCCAGAAAAACTAGCAAGCTTCCTTGGCTACTGAAGAGCCAAAAGACAAGGCGAAGCCTAGAGCTGGTAGTGCTACACTAGAACCTACTTTGTATGCTACGCTAGACCGATCGCCGCCTCTGAAGGACCGCGTTGCAGACTTATTTTGCCAGAGTACCAAGGTTATTGGCTCGCTCGGAGTCGGTGTCGAAGGACAATAGATGAAAAGTGAGACGTCAGAAAAGGAAAAGCACAGATAAATGATCTGCTCTCCGCTTATGATCCTCGACAAAGCTCTCCTCTCATGTCGTGAATCTCTGAGTAACTTCTTCCTCGTTCTAGTCACCTCGAAGATCAAAGCTGGAAGTGGTTGTATCTATCATCTTCATGATCAAGATCATGACGGTCAAAAATGATTGAAGACTGCAGTCAGAAGTGAATCTGAATGTGTAGTTGTGTTGACTAAAAAGTCTTACAAGCGGTGGTGGAAGTGAAGTTTATCTTCTTAGTGTTGTTGACGTTGGTAAGAATGATCGAAAGAAAATATATGGGGCTTGATATACTCAATTAAGCATGATGTTGTGTGGGATTTCTCATGCATGCTTAGTATCATGGTATCTTGTCTGAGGACTTAGTGATTCTTGGTTTATGCATATGCAGTGGACGAGGTCATTGAATTGACAGTAGAAATAGAATTTCATACGTTCACTGCATTATGATTGAATCCTTTGCTCAGTATCGGCATCGGTTCAGAAATACTTGTACTACTAGAGGAACGACGATCATCTTATGATCTACTTCTGAATTATAAGATCATGATGCCTCAAGGTCAAGCTCAACAAGCTCATCGTACGTTCCTCATATGAACTTACTACTTGAATTGTACTTGATGATGTGGCTGTGATTGTGACATACGTCAAATCTAGATACTTTTACTTACTTCTACTACTTTTTAGTCTGAGAAATCATGCACGATGGAGATGAATACTAGAAGATTGTGATTTGGTATTGGCTACTTGTACTTATGAACTTATGATATGTGTGTCTGGTGTGTTCTTGGGTGTGTTTTAATGTAACTTTTTCATTCTCTTAACAAATAACGTCGAAGCCTATGATTAAAAACAGCAAAATTTCCTACCCGAATACAATTTGGGACTTGTTGCGTTCCCTCACTGGCGCAAATACCCTGACCCCAGAAGCGTCCTGGAGATGCGAGAAGTTATCCGCGACGCCTTGACTTCTCATCTTCAAGCGCGGAGCTGCGTCGTGGCTATACCTGGTGGTGGAAGGAGGTGATGCAGATGGAGCATGCGTGAGGTCGTGGATGATGAAGATGAAGGGTGCAAAGGAGCTGCAACTGCGAGGCAACACGAATAGGTACTAACTATCATTGAGATTGGCTATAAATGCAAAAGTACAAAATGCAAAAGTACAAAAAATAGTACACGAGGATCTCCGACGGACAAGAATGAAGCAGTATGAGTACCCGATAATGACGTTCTCCGGTTTCGAATTCAAGAAACCCTGCGAGACGAGTTGCGCATGGCGGTTGGCACTAGTATTTGGTGGGGGGTACTCAAAAAAGCGGTTCATCCCCTGCCTGAGTCTATTCCTCTGATCCTTGTCGTGCTCATCGTACACCGAGTAGTCGTGCATTGGATTCACGACTCTTTTCCCAATAGCTTTGAACTCTGCGTCGCGGCCTTTGCCTGTAGGTGAAGGGTATGAGTTAGTTGGAGGCGAAGTACAAGCAGCTCAAGTACAAGTTTAGGAACTCTCTAACGCATATGATCACTTTTTGACCTTGTCAATCATTCCGATGCCATGATACTTCACAATTACTTGATTTCACGACAATACTAAATTATCACACCATATTACTTGAACAGTCAACTACCTTCCCCACTCAGCAGATTAAACGTGTAATCCTTCGTGTAGTTGTCCCATCCTTCGACAGTCCTTTGGTCAGTGCTATCTTTGCCGTCCCTTATATCCCGTTCTCGCTGGATTCGTGGCGCATCTTGTCGGATGTCGCTCTGGTGTCGTCTATGGAACCCTCGATGAAATCGGGTTTGCCGGATGTCGGGTCTGAGGAATAAAGAGAGGGTGCGCGTGCGGGTGATAATTGGATTTATAACTTATTCCTGATCTACTACATCGGGTCATCATCAGACGACCCGTGGCGTGTCCGGCCACAACAGCGTCGGCGTGCGAGGATTGCTGAACCACGGCGACGAGAGCGCAGCATCTAGAACAACAACAACAACAACAACAACAACAAACAAATACAAGAATGGGTACTACCAACAAGTTGTCTGGAAGTATGAATGAGTATCCGAACCGAGTACTGTTTCATCTGAGTAGAAGCAAGTGTGTCATGTAGATTTAACAGCCTGCATCCAAAAATCAAGAATCTTGTGGATACGCAGGATGATAATTCGGTGGTGCTTCGCCATCGTTCAGTCCACTCGGCTGCAGGTAGTTGTACACTGTGTATTCTGGAGTTGCTGATGGGAGATGCCTTAGGATCATTTTGCTACTAGGTTTCCTCTGTGGCCTGGCTTCGAATCGCGAGAATATACCTTTATGACATCGGGATTGAAGGCAAAACAAGGTTAAGGTCACTGGTGGAGGTGGTAAAAATGATCTAACTTTGTAATAATGATCTGGACCTATGTAGTTGAAGAAGAAGATCTCTTAAACTTAATCTAATCATACTTAGAAAAGATGAAGAAAATGGGATTTTATCACTTCCTCAAATCCCAACAACTACCTGACGTTCCTGGTCCATCTAATGTCGGCTTGTTGTACATCAGATTGTGCGCCTCTATTGTATCCATCTGCTCCCCTAGTCTGCCTTTGTTTACGTGGTATGTTAGCGCTTAGTTTTTCACTATCCGTGGTTGAGTGCTGAAATGCCCCGCGTCTCGCTTCATTTACTCTTTAGATGATCAACGCAAAGGACGCCACTCGGCATATTCCACACGGGATAGTGAAGAACTAGCCTTAAGTATGGGCATTCGGCTTTTGTATGACTGCTGAATTGAGAGGCGGTGTAGGTTGGCATGCTTGAGGGCGTGGCACCACCACTAGAATGAAAGGGAGCCGTGCTAGACATGCTCCCTCCCGCATGCTCCATTGGCAACGGGTCGGATAAGGATGTCATCTTCTCTTAGTCTTATGTTGTTCTGGGTTGTAAGGTAGTTATGAAGTAGCAGTAGGTGATTACGAATATTATTTCTTGGTCTTGTTCATGTTCTTGATTGAATTTTTCGATGTTTAATTTGGGATAGTCTGTTTTCAGCTAGAAACATGGTCTGTATTGACTTGCACGTAGACGTATGTACCTCAGACGAGTTCGTGATATGCGCATCGGGTATGCTTTTGCTTACTTAAAAACATTCCTTGTTTACTTACTCAAAAATGTAAATGGGGGTCTGTTGGACTATTAAACAGCTCGTGTTTGTTTTGAAGTATGTATACACTAAAATCGTCTATGGTTTTGGAGATTGAGGAATTTGGTGCATCAGATCTTTAAAGAAATATCACGAGCAGAATGAGAATCCACAACAGTGGTACGCAGTGTTAATCGTGAATCTTCAGATGTGTCCAAGTGATCATGCGAGCACATTCGCGAAAAGAAAAGAGATGACGAAACCAAGTGTCAGCCTGCGACGACCGACGGCAAAGAGACGGGTAGCGGGAAGGTTTGCTCGGAAGGACAGGCCGCCTCAGGTCGTTGTGGGCTTCAGGTCTAGACAACATCGACAGAGCGAGATGGCGGACAACGCCATAGTGACCGAAACAATACCGAAACCGAAGCTCTTGTCTTATTAGCTTTACCGTAACACGACAGATAATTACACGACCGACTGCTCGTTCACCTACTTGATGATACACCTGCATATTTTCCACATATCATGACCGAAAGGCATGAGAATGATCCATACGACAATAAACCGACGCTCACATCATCAGGATCCAGACTTCTCAATTTCCAGCTCTACAAGTGAGTCTCGAGTGTTGTACTTTGATTTCATCTTCTATGATCCACTTTTACATGCCGATGCCCAGTCTTTGTGAGTTCATCAGTAACATCCAACAGTGACCGTCTCTGAATCGACCATGATGTGCCCTGCTCCTGAGGCACGACCCGACGAACTAAAAAAGCGACGAAACTTCCCAGACGCTGGAGCGTTTCTACTGTTCATGTGGTCGAGGACTGCTGCGGACCCATGGGTTAGCTCAGGTAAGTCCGCATCACCTGCTGAACTTCCAGCTGCTGTTTGGATTACATCACCTCCACTGCCGTTGCTACCTCCAACACGATTTCCTCCACTAGGAGTTCCGCCTCTCCTCGCCCCTCCACCTCCAGGACCACCTCCTGTCCTAGTGTCTCCAAACACAGGAGCCAGCTTTGTCATCTCTAGGTACTCCAACTGTTTCTGTGCAGTTCGATTGTAGGGGTCAACTCGAAGAGCTTTTTCCAGAAATTCTGCCGCTTTTGCTGGTGATTCGAGTCGCTCGTGGCAGTCTGCCATCATCGTTAGCAGGTTTACTACCTCCTCCACACTGTGATCGCTGCGACCGCTGCGTAGCTCACATTAGACAGAGTCAGAGACTAAGTCTACTCTGAGACTTCAAGAGCAAAAATAAAATCCTAATACACTTGATTTTGAACCGAAGAAGACCAAGTCGTCGCATCTCTTTAAACAAAAAAATATATCAATAGAGCCAGAGCACTCGTCTTTGCTTCAAGTAAAATCGTATAATCCATTTTGAAACACATCTTTGAACGGGATTTATTCGCTTTCAGGACCACCCCAAGATGCCATTGAGCACGAATGATTTTGATCCCTTTACTTAAGAGTCCTGTGCTGGGCCTCCCTTTCCTCTCCCCTTTTCCGCCCTCGCCGTTTCCTCTTCGTCGTGGAGTTGGGTGAATATTTCTAGTGCTGTGACAAACTCCGCGGTATTGAAATGCACCACTCCTAGGTTGAACCGCGCCGCTTTGTGTCTTGGATCTATGGCAAGCGCTTTGTTGAAGTTCTGCATCGCCAGTGAGTATCTTCCTTGCATTTGGAGGCAGACGCCGGTCGTTAGAAACTGCTGAGGCACGCTATGTACTTACTTGTAGTACTTCATAACGGCTCCACAACTGCAAATCACGTGGAATTTTTTGCGACTTCTCTCATTTTACAAGTAAGTAAGTAAGTAAGTAAGTAAGTAAGTAAGTAAGTAAGTAAGTAAGTAAGTAAGTAAGTAAGTAAGTAAGTAAGTAAGTAAGTAAGTAAGTAAGTAAGTAAGTAAGTAAGTAAGTAAGTAAGTAAGTAAGTAAGTAAGTAAGTAAGTAAGTAAGTAGCACATATTCCACATCACAGGAGGACCGATTCTGATCAACATCGACATGAACGTAGCCTTCTTCATAACTTCTTGTACCACCTATTCGGATTTCCTGGCTCGCAGTTGCATGCCTTATCGTACAACATCGTCGCAGGATCTGGATTTGCATGATTCTCAAACAGAAAATCTGCAACTTCATCATATAGCTCAGCTTTGAACTGCGCCAGACCACCGGACGATGACATAGCTCCTCCGGCTGTAGCGCTTCCCAACGCCTCGCCTAGTCGCAGAACTTGTTCCGATGATGACCCGTTTACGATTTTGGTCCGGGCATTGCTTGCGACCTGAAGAAGGGCGTTGTACGAGTGAAAATGTAAGTCAACAGTGATAAAAAAAGTAAAAAAGTTGTCGTCCAAAGAGGATGCTTAGCTACGTTTCTCTTCGAAATAGTAACGTCGTCGTCCAAAGAGGATACTTAGCTACATTTCTCTTCGCATGCTTCCCCGTACTATGAAGAATAATCGCTCTCTAAGTAGTACCTCCTCTCCACCCGCTCCCGCAGGCACTACCTCCACCTCCAACAGACCCAAGGCTTGATTGAAAGCGTCATATGCCGCGTCGACTCTTCTCTGTTTCCAGAGGCGTTTGGCGTCCCTTCTCGCTTCAACCGCACTGTGGTATATCCGGAAGGAACCTGGTGGATCTGCGAAAGCACCACATCTGAACGGTCCACATACCGATGAATGGACGCCGTAGGGGTTGTTTTCAGGATTGTTGGTGATCCCATCTGCTAGACTGCCAGTGGTAGTGCGGAGGTCGCGACTGTCTCGCTGCTTCGGTGCGCAGCATTGCTCAGCGGCAGAGCCCTCGTGTGGGACGCACGCGGGGAGGCAAGTCTTATCAATTGCGTTGCCCATGATGTTCCTCTTAATGCGAATGGATAGGAAAAACAAAAGGATAAACCGCCTTAGTTGAACGTAAAAGAGTACTCTTTAAGTACATGGTCTAGGAAGATAGGATAGGGGTTGGCTCACCCGCGACAAGATAAGCGTATAGGCATGACGCGCCATCAGAGAGAGCCTCGTCGCTATTTTCGTCGGTGGTCTTGGTACAGATCTTCCATCTTCACGTCTTGACAGTCTGGAACAACGCCCTCGGGAAATAAGGGCAAGGGGTGTACTGATTCTGATGTTGATTTCTTGACGTTTTCTTGACAAGTAGTTGATGCTTTTTGTTTCTCGGATCATCTAAGTACCTACAAACTCTTCACTGTTCACCTCACATTGGTACTACGGTTCAACGGATATGGGGTCGACACTGACACAAATATATTAGAGGAGCAACCTATGCAAATGACAAAATCATGAATGTAGATTTGAATAAATGGATTGAGCTTTGTTCTAGCACAAAACGCTGCTTTTAGTGTTAAGACAACTTGCACATACATCCACATCGTAATCGATCATCCTATCCTAGCAGTACGATACATTTTTCATATTTCTTCAGATAATTTCGTTGTGGCTTTAAACGAAAATGGAATACTTGGGTGATATTTTTTGTGGGGAATGTTGAGGATGAGGTCGTCGGTGTATTATAGTTCTAGCAGGTTCTTCTTCTTAATCTTAATGTGCATTGCTTCGTACGAATGGGGTTTCTACTGCGTTAAGTATTGTAAAAGAAGACGAACTTCTATGTCTTGGTTCTCTTGCGTTAAATGTTGTAAAAGGAAATGGCGTGTTTGTAGTCGTAGCTGCGTCGTCATGAAATTGAAATGAATTTGAAGGCTGTGGGTGTGGATTGTTGTAGAACTGAATAATGTGAATCAAATGAGGATTGATATTGAAAATCAAAAGTCTAAGTGATTAGTGATCATGATGATGAATCTATTTTTGACATTTATCTGTAACTCAATGTGACTGTGTTCTTCTTATCTATTTCTATGACCATGAAATGAACGGGAAAAATCGTGAATGCAATAGCAATGGAACCCGTTCTGGAGCCTCTCCCACGTCTCCTCAGTGTGTCATCTTGACTCCGCAGTGCTCGCACTTGGGCCCTTGCTTTAGCCTGCTGTTGGGATGCGACGCTCTGAAATGTGCGTCTCCCACGTTCGCGTTAGCTGTCATGTTCACCACTCCCGGCTGGGCTTGTCTTAGAGGTGGAAGGAAGAGATCTAAGGAAAACGAAAACGAAACAAGGGCTTCACTTTGATAAACAATCACATGAAGATGAAATATTTAAACAATGAATCACATGAAATTCATGTACATGTAGTTCATCCAATTTTCAGTACAATATCAACTCTTTTTAAGAAGTACTCACTCCTGCCATAAACTCGGATTACTCACTCCAGTGAAAAACCTCCGCGTTGGACTGGTTGGGCGATCTATCATCAATTGCGTTGGGCTCCTCTCAAAACCGCCAGTCACACGCGGACTCTTCAAGGTTGCGTGATCGCCACGCATCTGGTTCTGATGGGCACGAGGCGAGCCAACCTTCACTTTGCCTGCCTGACTCGTCGTTCCGATACTATCTGCTGCAACGGCACCTTGCGGCGTCGGTCGGCCTCTGTTGAAGTTCGTCACCTTGTTTGTTGGGCCTGCTCCAGCTTGGATGTACATTGACCTGCTAGCCGATGAGGAGCCGCCAGATGGGAGCATGTGGACGATACTGTCTCTGTGCTGCAAGGAAATCAACGACCCTGCGTGATGGGTTGCTGACATGATGTGGCCGCCTGCACCTAGACCTGGTCTACGATCTACTATCTTCAGAGGTGCTAGTTGCCCCGTCGCCCGCATGGTATGGTGTCCCGAACTAGAAGAAGACCCTCCTGCAGTTGAAAAAGCGCCTCCACTACTTGCTGGAGCGCCACCAGTTTTTGTCGAACCGGAGGTAACACTAAGCTGCATCTTCCTAGTGCTTGCCGCGTGGCCATGAGCAATATGCGCGTGAGGTCGTGGCTGCTGATAAGGCCCCACAGCTTCACTGCCACTGGTTGTCGCTGTTAGCGCTCCTCCTGCTATGCCAGATTTGTGCGTTACTGTGTCAAAATTCGGATCGCTATCATGACCATCTAGGGGAACAGCACCTGTAGCAGCTGCCGCACTCGCAAGTCTAGCGTCCTCATCAATCGTCGACATTGTTGTTGCAAAACCTGTTTGATGTGTGGTGCCTCTCGCAGTCCCAGCCATCGTCCCAGCTTGGAGCAAACTATGGTTTATGTAAGGTAGTTGACTAGCAGAAGTCGAATGCATCGCGTCGACAGCGACGTTCAACGGTGATCCTGGGATAAACACCTCAGCTGACGACCCCATATTACCCATATGCTGCTGTGCTGGCCCTCCAGCTAGGTGCTGTTGACCTATCATGTACGAAGTACTAGAGTTCTCCCCAGCCCCGCATTGAGTCATGTTGATAGACTGCGACTGCGCGCCACCAAACGAACTCTGCGTGGTTGCAAAGTTCATCTGTTCATGATCCGTTTCGCTTCTGGCGGTCGTTCCTAGGAAGTTGATATTCATCATTCCAGGAACTTGAGTTAGACCTCTCCCCTATTCATCCCTGTGGAACTCCCTCAAGCATATGCGTCAGTATCTCCCCTGTAGTTGTATTGGGGCGCATATGCTTGAGGGATGTCTAGAGAGATGGATTAGGGGCAGCCTTAATTGAGGGACCTGCACTGCCATAGCTGTACGAGCAGACAAGTGTTGATCTCCTGTGCTTCTTGCTGGGACCATGCCTTTCTGCTTGATATCCTTGTGCTGGGTCGAATAGCTTCCAAGAAAGGTTCTATTGGAATTCGGACTGTGGCGTGAAGCAGGTTGATGCAGTCCTCCAGGTCCTCCTGTGGAAGTTCGTGCACTGGGACTTCCCAAAAATCCCACTTGAGGAGCAGGTTCGGGCTGCTCGACCACCAAAAACTGCCTAGACGAGGGTCTACTTCCACCTCCCTGTCCACGAAGTCCACTGCCCCGTCCAGGCGGTCCACTACCCTTGATGTTAATCGTTGCCAAGCCCACTGCTCCAGGTGTAGAGGACGGATTCGCTGCTAACTTATCCAACATCGTCCTTTCCGGCGATCCAATCGGTGGATCTTGTGTTAGGACACCGCCATAATGGACGTTCGGTAGTTGCTTCCCCGCTCCTTGAGGAGCACCGAAACCAGCAAACCCGCCCACACCAGGAGGAACCACTCCAGACCCCGGCATGGACGCGAACTGCGTAGGCGACATTGCATTTGCAGCTCCCGGAGTACCGAAGAAAGCCGCTGTGGCACTGAAATTGCCACCCAGATGCATGTTAGGTGACACCGAGCGTGCACGCCGCTGTGGGATGACCAAGTTGCGCTTGGTCCTGTGCTGACGCAGTTGCGACGGACTTGCAGGATGCGTCGTTGGTTCCGCGAACAGATAAGTGTAGTCGTCTGGCGCCAAGGCCGCGACCAAAGATCGATCCGGCAACGACTGGAATGCGTCCAATAAGTGGTTACTTGCAGGTGGTCGCTCATTCGGCAAAAAATTGTCGCCGTACAGGTCTCTAGCTCCTAGAATCCTCTCCCAGCTATTGCGCTGTTCGTTCAGTTTCAGCTGATTCAAGCGCACATACCTCTCCATACGTTCGATCGCATCGTAGTACAATCGCTCGAAAACTTTCTTCATCAATCTAGTGCTGCCACCCTTGTTCACCCCTAACTTGCGCATCATGCCCTTGAACGCCTTGCCTGTGCCCTCTGCGTCCTTGATCTCGTTGATTTCGGCTAACTGATTGAGAAGTTCTTGCTCCACCAGTTCTAGTTGATGGATTTTCTTGGACAGTTTCGACGCTAATTCTTCAGCTTCCTTGAGCTTCTTGTTGGTGATCTCATTACTGTCCCTCTCCTCCTGGAGCTGCTTGCGCAAGTCGGCGATGAGCTTCTCTTGCTCGGCGTTTTTGCCGCGCTCTTCGTCAAGTAGACGCTGTGTGAGAGAAGTTGGGTTTTTTAGTGAGATTCATCTCGAGTTGGATATGGGCTATTTGTCACGACTGTCAGAGGAGCGAGCATACAAAAAAATCCAATTCATTCCTCAATGTGGAGCCAGTAGCCTTTCCCTGTATCAGTGAAATGCGACGAAAGAATAGTACCTGCAGTTCATCCACTTTTCCTCTCAAGTCCACTAAGTCGGACTTCATTTGCTCCACTTCTGCCTCTCCCATCTTCGACGATAACTGTTGATCCCGATAGGCCTTCGCCGCCGCCGCGTCCACCTCTGCTTTGATCTTGTCTTCCGCATCTCTGAGTTTCTGCTTCAACTCAGCCAACTCATCCTCATACTTGGCGCGCATTTGCTCTTCAGCACGTCTAAGTCTGGTTTCCGCATCGGTTTCGTCAGCCGAACGGTTGCCACCGGAGATAGAGGTACCGGCGTCGAGACCAGAGAGATTTCCGCCACCCATTCGGAGCTCCTCGAGTTCTTTTTTCAATAGATCAATCTCCATCTGCTTCTCCGAAACCTTGCCTTCTAACCTGAAGATGAGATTCAATTTTGGACGATCACGATGCAGGTTCAGATGGACCAATAAAGAGGATTTTTGTATTAGAAAAAGCAAGCCAAGAATAACAATATCTACAGTACTGGAATTTCTCTGCATCCGCTTGTATGCTCGCCTCATCCGATTTCATCTTCAGGTCAGCCACCTCTTCCTCCAATTGCTGGATTCGCAAATCCTTTTCCGCTAATTCTGATTCTAGTCTTTCGCATTTTCCACGCAACTCTTCTATTAAGTCTTGGAATCTGACTATCTTGCGCGAAAACTCCTCCTCCATCGTCTTCATCTTCAACTCTTTGGAGATTAGCTCGTTCTTGACGAAATTGAGTTCGTCCAGGGAGACTTTGTCTTCGTCATCGTCTGGAGAACCACCTTTTTTGCGTCTGGGATCGTACATCATCAGTTGATGGACGCGCTCATCGATGATCATGCGGACCAACTCCTGTTCGTCTTCGCTAAAAATCGTAATGGCATCATAGAGGATGACGCGCGAACCTATAGATAATTGAGATTGTGATAGTACTATAAGAGGAAAGTCAACAAAGGCAAGAAGATCGCAAAAGTCTCCATATTTTTAAGTACCTGAATTCACAACTGAATTTAAATGAAACGTGATAGTGTGGCTTTGCTCTCGGTGGACTGATTATCGTTATTCATGCACAAACTCTACTAGGGTAGCCTTACCATCTTCCATCGACAAATCTCCTGTCTTTCCATCTGTGAACATTTTGATGACTTCAGGCTTGGTCGCATCGGATTGGATTTTGCCGTCAACAGGTGGCATCTTTTGAAACGCCTCTGCAGTCTGCTGCTGCTGATTTCGATATCTGTGATACTGAAGCTCCTGCAAGTAACCCTGCTGTGCTTTCACCATCTGCGTCCTGGTGTGGAGAGTCAGAGTGAGAGGCTGAAAGAGAGTCGTGGTCATGTGAAGGCAGTAGAAGAAAATTTTCGACGCGGGTAATTGCAAGTTACAAGGTGAATAGCAACCTGGACTACATCAACAAAAAGAGCAAATCATCATCCCAAGAAAAGTCAGTACCTCATGTTCTGCTGATTCTTCACCGCTTTTTCCCCATCTACGACGTTCCACCTGTCGAAAGCCTGACGCATCGCGAAATCCATATAATCGTCAATCTTACGTTGTAGATCTCTGACATCACCCGCATCTGCGTAGATCGCGAATTGCATCAAATCGGTTCTTGCGCGGTTCATCTGTGGAGAAAGTGGAATAGAGAAATACTGGGATTATTTCCGCCGAAGGGGTTTTCCGCTTGCGATTTGCAACTTGTAGACCTAGACGACTTCTTTCGGAATGATATGCAAAAAGCTGCAAAACCGAGCAATGCAAAACGTGATAAACATAATAAACAAGACACAAGGATTACTATTAATTAAGATTTTAAAGGACAGAGAAAATATCAAGGACCCTCAATTCTGACCAACGAATAGCGAGGACGAGAACGACAACGAACTAAAGGAGAAGACACATCATTCATCAGAAGAAAAGGGAACACCAGGTGAACAAAGATCACGAGGGTCACAAAATTAAAATTCATGTACAAGAAGAGGAGTTGTGGGGGAAGGAAAAACCCGAAAAGAAAAAATAGCCTGTGAAACACATTCGACCCTCCCACAAAGAATCTACTACAATGAGTCAAACCACTACCGGCAGAGGAGAGGAGCCATAAATACCTCAGCATTATCCACTAATCCCTTCTTCTTATCCTTGAACGCTTGCTCGCTTTCCCATTTCTTCCGCTCTTCAGGATCTCGAGGCGGCAGCGAAGGCGGACTATTCGCTTGTTGTACCTGGCTAAACAACGATCCTCCTTTTTTTGCCGGTGAAACAGAAGCACCTCCTGGACCACCAGTTGCTCCACCCGAACTTCCATAGCTTGCTTTGGTATTGCCTGCTTTGGGTGAGCCACGAGCCATCGTGGTCGCTCCTTGTTGTTGACGTTGTGGGGAAGCTAACTGTTGAGCCGGGCCACCTCCGCGAGTCCCGCGATTCTGAGGACTCGGTGGCTGCGGTTGGCCGAACTCTTGCAGCATAGGACCTCCCATAGCTGCTGGCATCTGCATTTGAGGTTGTATACCCATTCCAGGTCCTCGTGTAGACATCTGCTTAGAGGCGTCGGGAATTCATCTCAGCAGGGATCATCTGCTGGGTCCCTTTATAGCCTCTTGTCTTTCTCTTCCAGATGACCACTTTGGAGATGAATTCCCTACAACAGGCATAATCCGACTAGGTGCTCCTGCAGCAGTGGAGTTGTTTTGTATTTGCGTCGCTGTCGCCACAGCTTGTTGCTGCACTGCTACCATCGCTTGTTGCTGTTGCACCCTAAATTGCTGTTGATGCTGAGCTTGCAGTTGCTGAACAGCTTGTTTTTGTTGCTCCGGCGGCATCTTCTGCAGTTGTTGACTCTGCTGAGGGGACAGCTGCAACGGTGGAGGTTGTGCGACCTGGATCATCTGCATCTGCTGCTGGAGCTGAGCCAATTGCTGTTGTTGGACTGCTACCTGCTGTTGCGCCTGTAATGCCATAGCATCCTTGGCAGCCATATTTTGCTGCTGCTGTTGAATTTGTGGCTGCTGCTGCTGCTGTCCTCCCGGGGACAAATGCCCAGGTGCTGACTGCTGGCCAGCACCAACCTGCTGTCCTCCACCCAACTGCTGTACTACCCCGCCGGCTCCTGCTGGTGATCCCTGGACACTTCCAGGTGCTGCTTGTGAAACGCCAGGAGCTGCCCCAGTTGTACTTTGCTGAGGAACTACTACTTGCTGTGTTTGCTGTTGCTGTCCTTGTCCTGGTCCCGGAGAGCCAGTTGTAGTTATTCTTTGTTGATGCCCAACTGCTTGCTGCTGTTGCTGAGGACTAGCACTAACTCCCATAGCTGCATTTTGTGCTCCTGGTCCTCCAACCGCAGTCGTACCTCCTGCAAGAACCTCTCCTGCAGGTGGCAACGCCGTAGAACTACTGCTCCCTCCAGCTTGGACCTGCTGTTGGCCTAAGATAACTCTCGAATTGCTAGATTGTGGCTCCTGCTGTTGAGGCATTTTTACCATTTGCTGCTGCATCTGTTGCTGCACAAGCCTATCGCTCTGCAATTGCTGAGCATATTCTGGTGAAAAGTCCGCGATGTTCTCTCCAGTTGTCGGATCGATTACGATACGATTTTCTGCAAAAATTTCGGAGAATTGCTCGTTACCAGGGATCATCATGCCTGGAGGACCGCTAGGAACAACGGTAGTCATTAATCCTGGCATCATACCCTGTAAAGCCATCATATCTCCACCTACCAAAGGCATCGGTGCTTGAGCTTGTACTCCTCCAAGTCCAACCCCTTGCATACTCTGCGCCATTCCTCCAACTCCGCCCATCGGCTGCCCCAGAATCTGAGCATGTTGCACACTCAACATTTGTTGTTGAACGTATTCCTGTTGGACCAAAGGTTCGTAGAATTCTTCGCTCTCTCCTGCTTCCTGGCCCATCAACTCGGCTTCTACGGAGGCCAGAGCAGCCTCGGTCTTGCTCTCAAACTGCTCGCTCCATGTGGCCCATTCTGGAACTGTGTCCTCGTACTCCCCAGGGACTTTGTAGGCGGCGCGGACCTGTTCTGAGCTTCCTTTGGGCAGCTAGTAGTGGTAGTATACCCAATCTTGGGGTAAGTTATTGTACTACGCAGCTAATCTGTTATTGTACTTCTACTTGTAGTACGGGGAGCTCTGCACTCTTCATATCGAAATTTTAGATTTGAATTCGAGGAAGAGGATGGCATCTTTGAATGCGCATCAACAGGGGAAGGACAAGCTATTAGAGTTAGAGGTATAATCCCAGGCACAACACACTAGAACTCACCTTTTTCCTCCTCGGCTTCCATGTTCGTTTTTTCTCCAGAGGGTCTGTGCCCGGTTGATCCGAAAGCTTGTAGAAGGTCGTCTCGGGATCCGTCTTCAGACGTATAGTGGCGCCAGCCACGTCCCTCGATCCGAAGTGGTCCATGTTTAGTTTCTGAAAGCAGAGGAGGGCTCTTCACGTTCAGGTAGTTCTTCTTTTATTTCAGCGTTGTAGTTCTGCCAACATGAACATCTTTTTGAGATACTTAAATGCATCTTACTGATGCTGGCGGAGGCCCGCTTTTGCCCCTACTTTGTCCTTGTGAAAGATGAAGTTTGATGTCCCATGATTGTTGAAGTGGAGAAGGAGGCTGTTCGGAGCAAGACTGAAATGTTCAGTCAAATGCCGATGATTTCGACCGACAATTAATTTCTATTTCTTCGCTCTCAACACTTGCTTCTCACTCAGTTCTAAATTCTACTCGACAAACTACACCCTTAATGGTGCCCTCTTCTCTCTTCCTCTGACGTACATGATCAGTCACTGTCAACACGGCGAGCGCGAGGGAAATTATCACATATTGGATACCTCAGCAGTGTCAACGACTAAATCAGTCAATCAATCATGTTGCCTCCGCAGGGCACCGACCCCCCCGCAGCTGCGATCGGGAGCGATAATATGAGGGAACGACTAAACACGATTGCAAACATCTTGCAACTTCGATCGCATGATATTCGCGATGGATCCCGATCGCAAGTCGTCGGAGTACTAACCCAACGAATTTCATAAAAATATGTGAGGCTGCTTAGCTCATCAACTTCAAAGCCTTGATGTTGTTTTCATACCTCATAAAAGGAGTACGATCATTCAGCATTTCTCATACCAGACAGAAATAATCTTTATCACACAAAATATTTCAACCAGGACGTCTTCGATAAAGTACCACACCCTTCTCGACTATGGTGGAGTGAAATGCTGTGGTAGACGACTCTAGATCGAAAAAAACAAACTACACACAAGCACACAGTAGCCGAATCACTTCGACGCCCTGGTTCTACCTCTTTGCTTTCTTTGATTTTATTTACACATGCACAGGAATGGCACTACATTGTCATTGAGTCAGAGAGACAACGAACAACATCTGTCGTGACACAGACACACTATGTTATCTCTAATTTGAAATATGCACCATCACCCCCGACGTGAACCTAAGATACACAGAGGAGCATGCCGCCGAGCAGCTCCATCTTCCTTTGTGCAATCTTGGTCTGTCATATGAACCCATATGGATCACAGAGTGGTCCTGGCTCTGCTTCCTAGTTGTGCTCGGCTGGTTGTTCTCAGTTGGTACTAAAAGTAAATTATCCATAAGCACGCACCAATAAAAAGAAAGGTCGGACGGAACTTTCATCGCTCAACGAATTGCTCCTTCTGCACACGACGCAGGCGATGTAGTAGAGCTACAGCTAGTACTTGTATCAGTCCAGTAAGCGTGTTGTCAATGTTGATGAATATGACCGAAAAAAAAAATGAAAAACATGCTTCGTATTGGTATTGACGCTATCAACATATCTACTTCAAAAACTCGATAGTCTAGTATGCTTGTTGTGTTTTCAATGCCGATGTGCGGACGAGATGGAGATGCCATGAAGATGAACAAAAAAATCCTTCAAGAAAGTAAAATGGACAATTTCGACTTTTAGCTTCGTTATATTTTGGTTCAGGACGACAGCGATCAGAACCAGATTACAGCTCTCATCGAGATCGAAGTAATGAGGAAATTATCGTTCGATTTTGAGGCAGCCTTCATTTAACCACTGCAACATCTAAAGCAGATGACAAAGAGATCCCGCTCCTTGCGAGACTTCGCACTCCCGAGAGCAGGAGCCTCTGCCTCCTTGTCATTGTCGTCGAAGCGATATACATAGGCCCCAATGCTGGTAATCTTCTAAAAAATGTATGTCAGACATGACAACTGGACCCACGCCCACCTGCCCAGCCTCCCGGTTCTCCTACGTTTCACTGATCATCCCGCAACCGTGACCCCCTAAGCTTATGCTTAACGGAAACGACAATAACAGTTATGACCACTGATATGAGGGCATCAAGCCAGCGATAAAAAAGCCAAAAAAATCGTATTTAATTTTTGGGATAGTTGCATTCAACTACGTGGGCTCCACGCAGCATAATGATCCTATTTGTATTTATCCTTTGTACTTCTTCTTCTTGTTGTTTTTGTTGTTCAATCTCCTTACTCCTCTGCTTGATCATGAATCGTAATGCTTCTGAGTCTACGTTTAGGTTTTCACGAAATGAGAAACATATATTACCGTCATCTTGCCCCTGGAGTCTGTTGGGTTCTTGTATTCATGTGATAGTAATCGTCTATGAGCACAGCGACCAGACACTTTTGGTGCTTTCTTTATTAAGCTTTATTGAAAATGATTTACGCGGTTGTAGTTGACATCTTTCTGTTTGTAAAATTTCATATTTATACGACACTGTTAGCTCATACACACCGTTATGGCGCGACACCAGTCATCGAGGAATCTATTCACATTTATGAACGAATATCAAAATGACTAAGAGAAACGTTGTTATTCTTATTGAATATTCTTTTATCTAGTAGCTGTAGTAGCACAAAAACAAAAAAATCTGAACGCGAGTACTTGCATCTTCCGTTTCATCCAACCAAGATCTCATGAAACTTAGTAGCTTCATCTTTGCCGTTTTCTTCGCCACCACTACCCGTTCCTCCTGTGGTCCCGTGGCTAGCTGTCCTGGTCTCGCTAGTATGATCCCCAGTGATCGCATCGAAAGGACCTACTTGCGGTCTACTACTACTGAGGTCGGGAGCGCCAGGTCCACCTAACGATGCACCAGTAGTAGAGATTCCTGTACTGCTAATACTCCCTGACACAACTGCTCCTGGACTAGGAATTAGCGCTCCAGTGCCACCAGGTGTCAGACTGATCAATGGACCAGGAGTACCTGCACTGCGATGACCATAGAAAGCTGGCGCTTTCTTGTCGAGTGGTGGCCTGCGTGGAAGAGCTGGCTGATCCGGAAATGGATTTTGATCGGCAGGGAAGCTATTACTGGGAACAGCCGGAACAGCTGATACTGGAATACCCGCAGTAGATGAAACGATCACCTCGTTGTGGTTCGTCGAAGTTAGACCACCGGCGGCTGCAGAACCACTTGCCCCGCCACTACGCCGAGCCAGCAATGGTGGAGCGCCAATTAGCTGGCCAGCGCCTGTGATATTCTGATTGTACATCGATCCTGTGGTAACACCTTGATGGTGCGACGTCGGTGGTGCGCCGATGACAATGGAGTGATGTTGCATGTGACCATGATACTGATGCGCCTGCATTGCTGCTACAGGTTGATGAGCTCCTTGATGCGGATGTTGAAGTTGATGATGAACGACCATATTCTGGGGATGACCTCCTGCAGCTGCACCAGTTGTGGTTACTAGATGATGATGTTGCTGGTGCATGTTCTGACTGGTTACAACATGATGTTGGTTCCCACCACCAAAAGTAGGTGGTAAGCCTGCCTGAGCTGCGTTAACGATGTAACTATTGTTCCCACCTGTAGTTGCCTGCACATGGGGTCCGCTAGCACCGAAAGGCCCCATTACAGATCCAGAAGTCGCCGAGATAGGTCCTGATCCACCAGCAACGGCATTGTTCATCATCTTGACTGAAGAAGAAGAAGAAGCGCCCCCCCCCATGCCGTTCATCATTTGAGCCCTGACCCCTGGTGGTGGCCCAATCAGCTGCTCGCGCTCCCCTCCAACGAGTTGTACCTGAGCAGTCGAACTCGAAGAGGAGGAAGAGAGCTGCATAGTATTTATTTGTTGGACAAAATTGTTGTTGGTAGACGAAATGGCGGACGAGGTGGCAGCTCCCATATTTTTAACTGAAGAGGATGATGATGCGCCTGCGGTAGTAGCACTACTAGTATGTTGTTGGTTGTTCTGTTGAAACACGGATTGGCTCATTTGTTGCGACGAAGACTGCTGGGTGGGGGCCATCATCGCCCCGGTCGAGTTTCCAGGCTGAGGGGACGGCGTAGAGGAATGTTGAACGATAGAAGTAGTTGTAGGAGCCTGGATCAGTGGTGACTCATTCTGTTCGCGATCTCTCGTCGCTGATGAAAGGATCACTGGTGAGCCTTTATTACTACGGCTAGTGCCGGTGATGTTGTTTTGCTTGTTATTATAGGTACTAGTTGGCTGCTGCTGCTGTTGTTCATTGCCTACGCCACCTTTACCGGTAGTCACGACAGTGGTCGCTGAAGATGAAGGGCCGTTGGTTCCCCCAGTCGTTGCCGTACCATTGGAGGCTACAGCATGTTGTTCTCCACCAGCGGACGTTGAACTCGTCCCAAGTAGATCTTCTGGTGACGTGCTGTACAACCCGGTAGGATTATTGAACGCTGAATATGACGGTGGTGCGCCGGCGCCGCGAGATGAAGCAGCCACGAACCCCCCAGGTGGTGATGCTGTGCTGGTGTGCTGCTGCTGTCCTCCTAAGACTAAACTTTGACCTTGAGGAAGGCTGAAACCAACACCAGCCTTACCCCCAATATGCTGCGGATGTGCTCCTGGTCCAATCAGATCACCTCCGCTCGTCCCTGGACCACCTCCAGATTGCTGTTGTTGCAGTAATATGTGGTGTTTACCTCCGCCTTTGACGGTTATCATGTTGGGAGTGCCATAGTTGGCGTAGGCTGTTGAAGTTCCTATTTGAGAAGTAGAACCTCCTAAACCTACAGGACCACTAGAAACGATTTTGTTGTTTGTCATGGGTGTTGGAGCTCCGGAGATTCCTCCATGTCCAGTCGTTGAGTTGGGACTTCTCACTCCTGTGTTAATATTATTTGTGGCCGCACCACTATTAGGGTTAGCGGCACTGCTGGTATTGTCACTGTGAGCAGCAGACTCAGTTGTACTACTCGCACCAGGCGGTGGCGCAATTAACGCTCCACCTGTAGGGACATAGATCGTTGTCGTTCCAACAGATTCAGATGATACTGAGTCAGATGATGTAGAATTGCTAGCTTGCATGTCAGAGCTGCTACCGGAAGTTGATATGGTGTTGCCCATCGAAGACGTGGTGCTCGTCGTCCGCTGTATTAAACTTATTCCACAAGAACTAGCATTAGCATTAGGTGGCGCAGCACCCTTGAAGATCCCTGGTGCAGCACCAGCATTCTTCCCCTTCCCTGCTTTCCCATGCAGATGCTTGGCTGTGGTAGTTCCACCAGCGGTTACATGGTGGAATTTTCCACCAGCGGCCGTGCTATTCCATGGTGGTCCGCCGATAACCATGCCATGCGGCAAAAACCCACGCTTTCCTCCAGCCAAGGGTGGCAATGCCGGCGCCGTCGTAAAACACGGCTTGCCTGGACCAAAGGGCGAGAGTCTGGCTGCTCCTGGGTGCTGAATCAACGCCCCTGGCTGGACAACAGTGGTGCCTGAAGTGGTGGCACCCGACGAAGGCCCGGGCTTTAGAGGTAGGTTTTTGGTGCTCGCTTACCCCGCTTGTTATGCCTTTCTCCGTCTCCCTTAGGAGAGGCATAAAAAGCGGTAAGAAAACGAAAAGCACCTTTAACCTACTCTTAAGGGTTGTACAATCGTCGTAGTGGGAATCGCAGCTCCTGTGACCGCACACACCTGCTGAGGCACTGCGCTACCAAGTAAAAATGCCTGTGGTCCTCCAATTGTTGATGAAGCTGCTGAAGCAACACTCGTCGCAGGTGAAGAAAGAGCCGACGAAGGAGATGCGGACATGGGAAAGCCCTTGCCTGAAGAACCTGTAGAATGTAACGATATTAAAATGCACATGATGCTTTTCTATATCACACGACTAAATTTGTTTTTGTTAGTTGTAGTTTCATCTTCAGCGGTCGTGTAGCCTGAGATGATAATCGATGCACTCGTGGAACTACTATCAACGACAAGTACCTGCTGCATTCACAGCCGCACCGGCGTCAGCAACCCAGGTCCACCAGGAGTCCCAGTCTTTAGCCGAATATTTCCCAGTCCCACTCTTGTAGGCTTCGTAATCTGTTTTAAGTGAAAAACAATTAGGTCTAGCTGGTCATTGGGGGATTTCCCTTATGCGTTCGGCTTTACTGCAAGATTTCCCTTATGATGTGCTGGAAGAACGCCAAAGATTGACGCGCCAAGATAAACGTGTAAAACTATAAGCGTAAATCTAAACACCTTCGTCACTCGTAAAATCAGCCCTTGACTTTAACGGTATGCCCTTGCTCTGCTGTTCCGACATCGACATACTACTACTAGCACCACTCGCCGAGGCACCCATCTCCTTCTCCGCCAGTTTGTCGGATCTGGCACGCACCTCAGCCAACAACTGATCTACAGCGCGAAGCTTTTCATCGGCTAGCCTCTCCTTCTCCTTCAATTCCTTCTGTGCTTGTTCCAACGGCGAAAGGGATAAGCCTTTGCCGAGTAAACCAGCAACGGCGCCAGCTCTTTGCTGTTTGTGAGGAAGTAAGAAAGGATGTTGGTGGTGCTAGAGTAGGCTCTTTGCTGTTTGTGAGGAGGTGGAGGAGGATGTTGCTTCCTTGGTGATAGATTAAGATTATGAAAAAGATGAGGATGTTGATCATCTTCGAAACTACACATAAATTTACCAGCAGTTCCCCGCCTCCTGCAGCTGCTCCGGGAACGGGAGCTGAAGACAACAGCATTCCTTTCTGAGCGGCTTTGCCCTTCAAATGCCGCACAAAATTCCAGAAATCCTGTTTCAATTGCGGCAAACCACCTTTGAGAAAGCCTGCTGCAGGCGCGCCCTTGCTCATCCCAGTTGCTATGCGACGAGTAACAAATATCTTGAACAAATTCTCAATGTCGACAGGTTTCAACTGTCGGACTTGTTGCTGTGGCCCGCCAACACCACCACCCAATAGACCTCCTGGTTGCCCGAACATCGGCAAGGCACTGGGGAAATGAAAGAGGTATCAAGCTGAAGCTTCTGAGTAGGAACAAGAAGGTAGAGAACGGAAGAGGTATTTGAAATTGAGGTTTGACGAAGAGGAAGACGAAATGTTGTCAGGTGTAATTGTAATTGCATGGGTATGAACCTTTAGAAATCTAAGTAAGTAATTCTCAAAAACAAAATCAAAATCTTATTCGCTTCATAACCATTTCCCTGCGCAGCCGCCTGCTGCTGTAGTTGTCGCTGTGTTTCTGACAGTGTCTGCAAGAAAGCGGCTACTGGGTCTTCGACCGCTGCTGACAAATTTGCGGCAGAGGTCGTGGTGGAGGTTGAAGTCGTCGTTGTCGTTGTAGATGTCATCGCTGATGTTGTCCCCAAAGAGGCCAGAAGCAAATCTAAATGTTGCTGTTGCTTTCCAGGGTCTAAATTATGGCCAGCTCCTTGGCTAGCGGATCCGGATCGGTTTGCGGAACCGGTTGGAGTCGGAACCTTGTGTTGGATAATTCAAATCATGTGTTACGAAACTATAGTGGCCACCTGCGTGAGATCCATCGCGTGCGCCATCTATGACGCCCTTAAGGCAGTCTGCACTGAACTTTGTGCGAGATTAGTTGTGTTGTATTGTGCCACTGCCAACAACAACATGAACTTGAACATCATCGTTGTCATTAATGCTCATCTTCTTCTGTAGTTAACCACAAGAAGTAGAACGAGAACTACTATTGTTTGTTTTTCTTTTCATCCAATTGTTCCAAAGAACCATCATTTTTACCCCAGCCCAATCATCAAATGGTTTTCCGATGTGTGGTCTCTTGGCGTCTAAGGAGAGGGCTGTGTCGCTCAAACGTCGCTTTCCTGATATCGCGGATGCCGCGGAGGTGCTCACTACACCATTGGCGCCCTGGGGAGGTTAGTTGAGGAGTAGAGCAGTACACGAGCCGCGAGGGGCGTTGATGAGAAAAGCAATTTGATCCTTTTTTACAAACAGTTATTGATGTCGTCGTGAGTTGGAGTTACCTTTTTTCAAGAAAATCTAGCTGACCATGAGCATGATGACGAATCAATTCATCATCTGTAGTTGTAAATGTTGCATCTAGGTATGAATACTCCTTCACGCGGCGCGGCTTCCACAAACGACAAGATGCTCTCCAGTGATGGTTCTGCCTCCATTTTTTCCTTACTGTCCCAGATGGACCTTCTCATCTAATATCTTCAAAAACACAACAAGAACAAGAAGATAGTACTGCAGATGGCTCTTCCTTCCTCGCTAATTGTTGTTATTTTTGTCGTGATGATGATGATGATGATGTTAATGCTTGGCGGTAATCCGGTTTTTACTCGACGTTCCTTCTTCTAAAGATCCAGATGGATTATGCTAGCAGATTATAAGACAAGAATGAATGACAAAGGCATAACATACGTCATACACTCACATCACCAGGTTGGAAAGAATATTACTTTCTTTTTACCAGAGGTAGAGATTCTTGCAAAATTGTTGTCCTCGTCACATCGTTGATATTGAATTGCTACTGGTACAGGTACAGGTATCATGAAGCCAAGTCCTACCGAAAAGTTTAGATCGTTGAAATTGTCTACTTCAAAGGCTCCTGATGCTTGCACACAATACGTTTGCTTGAAAAATGTCAATTGATCACCCTCAATATGTCCTCTCAGCGGCCGTATGGAAGAGCCTCCTAAAAACAGCTAGAGCTTAGGTGCGATCTTCGTATCTTATGCTTTATTTCTACTTTCTGTTTATCTTTATGAGTAAGCGTATGCAAGGCTGGTAAAAACGATTGTTACTTTAGCTCGAATTTCGGTCGTAACACTAACGTATGTCTTCTATGTGTGGGAATTAATGAATGAAAAAATGTTAAACAGTATTTTAGCTAAACAGAGTCAGAGTGGCTGTATCTTTAAATAAATTCATTCATTCATTCATTGGCGACGTCGGCGGCCCGATAATCAGGCTTTTTGGCCGTGTCACGCTATTCATTAAATATTTAAATTCAAATTCATTAAATATTTAAATGTACGCTGACATAATATGTGGAGCTGGAGAAACGCGATACTTTAATTAGTGAGAATGGATGCACCTAGTTCTTGTCCAGGAAATGGATTTCTATCGACTTAGCCTAGCATGCAACTGCAGCATCTAAAAGACCTAGATATTGGCGTATAGAAAGAATGCTGCAAGAAACGAAAATTATCTACAAATGTTGTGTACCTCGATGAGGTTTTGAATCCTGTAATCAAAATCCTGAATTGCATGTAATTTTGCTTCCTGCAACGTTTTTTTTCGATGTTTCATCCGTTTGTGTTCTTCCTGCAGACGGCTTTTGTATTCTTGCTTTTGTAGTAACAATGCATTCATTCGCAACCACCACAATGAATGAGCATCGTCAAGAAGATGGTTCCTTTTCTCACCTCCTTTCACATGCGACGAATGAAGCTGCAGCAGCACTAGCACAACACAGAACATGTATCATCATGAAGCATGCTTGTTTGTTGTCTTGATAGTATCTTTCTGCTGATACAGATAAATACTGACACTGAAAGTCACGATCCTAATAGGATGATCATGAATCTAAATGACATCGACAGGATAGTAAGCACCTGCCGGGCGATCCATGCAGAAACAGGGATGCATTGGCTTGTGCTTACTGGTTCTTCATGAGCACATACACGCATCAACAAGACGGAGGAACGGAGTGCTTACTGGTTCTTCAAGATCTCAACAACGACAGCATCAGGAGCAATCAGAATCTTAGACAAAAGGGATCTTAGACAAAAGCTGATGACACGACATGCACTTTCGGACACTATACAAGAACAACCTTCTCTGGGACCACTGGGAGAACCTTCAATGAAGTAGATGAAGGAATGTTCATCTTCATGAGTACTTAATTGAAGTCGAATGGGAATGCGGCAACAAGTCCGAATGGCGCATCAGGTCTAGCACGAGCCGTGTACTTCTTTTCATGTGTGAATGAGTGAGGGGAAAGGGTTAGGAAAGTATGTCGGTTTTTCGCTGGGTGAAGGGATGAGTGCGGGGTTAATGAAATCGTCAATTGTAGAAGTATCCAGTGCAGCACTACCCTAGTGGAAGTACTTTCATCTGTCGAAGGCATTAACGAAGTGCTCCTTGGCATGGAAAGCCGTTGGCTTGGCATAACAAAGATATCAAATTTATCTTCGTTATGTTTTAATTCCTCTCTGTGTTTTTACAAACCAGCTTGAATGAGTATGATGTCTTCTATCCCTAGTATGAGCAAAATAGTCATCATGTTTCGAAGTATCCTTTTTACACTTCTTTCTGCGCATCTTCGTCAAGATCTTGAGATGTAGGTGTTGGCTGAACCTTCGTGCCTTTCACCTCTACAGAAGGTGCGCTTTTATCAGCGAGTTCCTTTCCACCTCCGTCTTCATCCCCAACTAATTCGTTCGTTTCCTCCAATTCTCGATAGATTTTCGCCACTGGCCTTATGATTCCGCAGAGCCAGGCAAGACAAATACACAGCGTCAAAGAGAAGTTCACAAAGGGCAGAAAGTTCGGTGCATTCACGAAGTTGTTGAACAACGTGCCAAATATCTTCAAGGCGTCGACCCCAAAATTCTTACTCCAGCTTTGGGCTTGGACTTTCACCTCGCGAGTTGTTCGTAGGTAGAGAAGATTGATCATCGGTGCGTTGTAGGACCACATGGCGACGTTGAGATAGATGTAGAAAAAGGAACAGAGAAGATAACGAGCCAGGAATGACATTTTCGGAAGGTTCTCGAAAACGTTGTCAGTAGTTCCCCACCACTGATAGGACAGATGCAGCGGAGCGCGCCGTTCTAACTTTTTCACACGTAAGCGGAACTTTGTTGTACTTGACGTTGTTCCGCTATGATCATTTGTTTCAGCGACGACGTGTCCTACTTGATCTTGACTACTCCCTGTTGGGGCCTGGACTTGCCTGCTCTTCGTCTTTTTTACCCTCGATCCTGCTTGTCTCAGTAAATCCGCCAGCATGTTGTTTGGCAGCACAGCTGCAAGGATGTGCGGAGGCTCGTCTGGACTTGCTTGGTTAGCTATCTGAAGTGGCGTCGTGGATGTACCTATCCTACCACCCCCTCCTCCAGCACCGGTACTGCTACTTCTGTTTTGACCACTACCACTACTATTACCGCCGCCATTTGAAGGCGATGCTGAGAGAAGAAAAGGTGACTCTCCTACACCACTTGCATTCGATGACCTGCTTAACAAAGCAGGAGATGCAGCAGCAGCTGAAGCTTCCTGTGCCTGCTGTTGGGTCGTACTGCTCCTCCCAGTCTCCTCGCCACCATGCGAACCCAGGTCCTCAACAGCAGGTACTACGAAAACGTCCCGTCTAACGTCAAAGACTACAGCTGCAGCACCTGCTTGCTCGGCTAAACGAGCTACTTCATGGAACGAGTATCGCGGCTGTAGCTGATAGAGCCGAGCCTCATGTTCAAAATCGAACTTGCTCGCTAACTTGAAGACATTCAATGAGTGCTGTTCTTGCTGGGAATGTTGCGCTGATGCTGCTGTCGCTGTGTTGACTATCTGCTGTGAGTGCGACGAGGCGGCGGCTGATGCCGCAGCACGAGCAGTACATGATGATGAACCACCAGTGTCGCCACTTGTTGACACGACCTCGGATCTACGAGGACCTCCATCTCCTGTTCTAGAGAGAACTACGGTACTATTAGTAGTGGACCGCGTCGCAGACGTCCGCCTCGTACCACTCGCCTTCGCTCTACTTTTTCTATTGGCAGCTTCGCGTTCCCCAGCTTTCGTAGCTGCGTAGAGGATGCAGGCATGCTTTTGATGCTCAGGTCTAGAACCATCCCTGGGAAGGCCAAGACATCTCGTTCCACTTTCCTCATCTAGGAGGTGAGTTCCTCTTGCGCAAGCAAACGCAAAGTGGTTACAAACGACGAGAGTTGCAGTCTTGCTGTTGGCGCCACGTGGTCTAGAGTAATCGCGACACAAGTCATGACATTCATCTCGATCCTTGACCAAAGCGTGCTGTATGACCTCACTTCCAGACGGGAGGAGACGTTTGTGCGCTCCGACAGCTCGTGGATTCGGCAAGGGGACAGGGACCGCGTCGAGGTGATGGCTCCATCGGAAGATAGCGACTTTCTTGCCACAAGGGACACTGCTAGTAGCACCAGAACCGCTGTTGACACCACCTCCAAACCTATCGTTACCTTGTTCTTCGATAGAAGTCATAGATGACGTTGTTGTACTGGTATAATCCATCTGAAGTTGAGTGTTTCTACATATCCCTCTTGAGGATTGCTGACTATTTCTCTGCATCGCTATCAGCTCCACTTGCCGCGTCAACGGCCGACTACTGCCGTAGTTCTCGGAAGGTGTAGTAACACTCCTCGCGAATTGGTTTTGCGGCAGGTTCGCGATGTCAATCTCATCTTCAGAGGAAGTAGTGGGCAACTGCGTGCCGCCATCTCCTTGCTCGATAGTCGTGCTCGTGGTTTGTTCAAATTGAACTCCTACTTGTTGTTCACCACGTTCAGGCCTCGGACTTGATGCCTCACGTTGTCGTCGGTCCTCAGGAGCATTGAGCAAGTTTGTTGATGAAATGGAAATGCCTGAGACTAGAACTTCCAATGGGTAGCATCGCGGCTCATTCCCTACAGTTTTGTCGTGTCTATGAGCATTTTCTGGCATCTCGAGGAACAAAACTGCTTCTGCGTCAACGACCTCATTCGGATAATTCCATCGTCTGCCCTGCGTCTCAAAACTCTTATCGTTCCAGACTACTGCGCTTCTGAGAAGGGTGTCATCGCCTTTGCCAACCACTGTACTAGTTGTAGTTCCACCTGCACCTCCGAAGGTCGGTGTTGTTGCAGCTGCAGATCCACCAGGTGTCCCACTAGTAGAACTTATCCTTCTATTACTGCTCAGAGTACAACTGCTCGCCTGTTGTTGCTCCAGAAAATTGCTTGGATGAAGTATACTCTCACGAGAAGCAGCTCTCTTTATCGTTCTAACTGACGCCGGTGAAGAGGGGGACGCGCTGCCTCCAGCTACAGCTGTTCCACCTAAGCATTTAGAATTACCTTCTTCCTTACTTGATGTCGGAGAAGCCACTGAAATTTCAGTATTCTGTTCTTCAGCCACTATCTCCAACTGCACAGACACCGTTCCCCTCTGTTCTGAAAACAAAGTCGTGATACACAACACCGACATCAGCAACAGCACAGCCACTGGCGTGTGTGCTAGTGTCCTTGCAACACCATTAGCCGCACCTTTCTTCGCGTCCTTTCGGAACCCAAAGTAGACCGCAGTGATGCAGACCATGGCCGCAGGGATACCAATCCAACTTTGCAACGCTGTCTTGACGTCTGTCGCTGTGCATCCCAGAAAGGTACTCTCGAACGGTGGCGCGCCCAACGACCTTCCATCGTCTGGCGGCATCTCCACTGCCTGGTGTAGAAGCAACGCTAGTTGGATATCCAGAATCGCTCGCAGTGGGTAAACTAGAGAGTTTAGCAGGAACAGGTACAGGACGTACCGATACCGCCCAATCAGATACAACCCGTAAAAGGTGTACTTGCCAGCCTCGATGAACTTTGCTATGGAGCGAGACAAGCATGTCGATTTCTTGCTCGAACATGTTGGTGTACGTGTGTCTACGCCAGCCTCTCCTGAGTGGCCCTCGTTAACCTGGGACACAAGAACTGTGGAGGAGCCTCTTCGTCTTGGACGTGCGTCAACATTTTCTTCGTCCACACCAGATTCTTCTGACGATGAAGAGAACTGCTGCTGTCCTTGATCTTTCGCTGGCAAGAGTTCTAGACTCTTTGTGGTCCCATCTGCTTCAGCAAGTTGCAGCTTTTCTGGCAAGGGTTCTAGACTCTTTGTCCCATTTGCTTCAGCAAGTTGCAGCTTCTCCTGTTCTAGCTCCTCTACCCGTTCTTCTTCGTCCTCCTCTCTCTGGTTGCTATCCAACGCGACAAAGGCGCTTTGGAAGAGGTACACGAGGAATAGGGTCGAGACTCCAACGAGACCCAAGAAGGTGACTGCGCCACGTATGATCACACTTTCGGTCTCAATGTTGAAAAACTTTGTCCCCGCACCAATGACACTGAAGATCAGGACGCCGAGCTGTGATAAGTTGTATTTGTAAGTACATTTGTCTAGTAGAGAAAAAGTCGGAAACCAAAAAATCACAACTGAACTGATGAATGAATTCAAACAAAATACGATGACAACATAGACTCATTCTCATAAGTCATAACTACCATGATCTATAATTATAATACCTGTTCACACAGCGTCAGAAACGCAAAAAGGTGCACGCTGTTGGCGATCTTTCCTTTCGAGTACACCTGCACAAACGAGAAGGCCATGGCGACCACCAGGTTATTGCGCACTCCGATGAAGTAGTAGTTGATGTAAATGATCCGTTCTCTGGCAGCTTCGTCTAGGAATAAGCGCAAAGCCCAAGTTGGATACGAAGAGCCATGGCGTTCATCCGGAACTGGCAAGTGGTGGTTGGGATAACCTCCTGTTGTCGTAGCAGAACTCAAATTGCCGAACCCTGAGGTGTGGGAGCCACCACCTGCACCTAGGTATTGTTCTCCTATCGTCCTTCCTACACCTCCAGCTACACCATCGTGTTGGTGATGCTGGCTTCCTGCTGATCCAGATGCAGATGGCGGAGTATCGAACAAGATCTTCCACTCTTGCTTTCCTCCCACCGACTCCAAGAATATCAGGTAGGCACATGTCGCAAGCATCTGTATGCCAAACAGGATGCTGACCACTGCGGCAACACCACTAGGCTTGCAGAAGTGGGCCGTCACGCCATATAAGATGTTGAACAGCATCGACACCCAAATCGTGTGGAGTTTCGCATTCTTTTCTTGGGCAGCGTCGACGAACTGCTGAAAGAGAGGCGACCTGACAGTGGCTGTGAGGAACTGTGTGCCGCCAATGAGGAAAAAGGCAACGCCAAGTCGACGCCAGGCGAGCATGCGACGGGTGTCGCGGATAAGGGAAGCTGCGGAAGGCTCCACGTCAACAGAAGCTTGATGAGCTTCTGCTTGAACATTAGGAGATCTATTGTTCTTCTCAACATCCTCATCCAACAACAGGAAGCCTTGCTCCTCTGAGTCCTCTGCGTTTCCTGTCCCAGATTCTCCAGAAACAGGAGCTGCCGTCTCATTTCCCTCTACGTCAACAACTGCTTCCTTCTCTTCTCTTGTGCGAAACCACCACTCAGTGAATGGTCTCCACACCGCAAAGCAGACGGCATGTAGGATGCCGTAGGCTGCGACGACGCTGACGAAGACAAAGAGCGAATTTCTACCATCTTCTTGTTCACAGGGAGCAACGGAAGACGAAGCCCCACTTTGGGGGACAGAAGTTGTGCTCATTATACCTTCTGCGCTTTCAGCTTGACAACTACACACGGAGACGAAGAGCCAGCGGCTACGGCTACATAAAGAAGTCTCCGCTACTCTTTGCAGGAGCGCGCGACATTAGCACGCATTTTCATCCGCGAAAAGGTAATATATATCATTTTTGAATTGTCCTAGTTGTCATATTGAATTTTTGAAATGAAACTGCTCATGCCACCTTGTAGTACCCAACAACAAGTACGGAGCAATCTTCGAAAAACTAAAACACAGTTAGTACTCGTTTCTCAGGAGACCAAAGAAAAAATTACACACGACACATCAGAAAATTCTATTCCACGACAAAGACACCAAAATTATAATAACAAATTCGCAAAAACGAAAACAAAACTAAAAGCGGACTCCACAAAAAAATTGGAATTGTCAGTCAATGGAATGGGGCGCATCAGAATGTCTAGTCGTTAATTAAGCTCGCAGCTCAAGCACCTGGTATGGCTCCTGTTCAAGGTGGTGGTGGATTTGAGAGAGATGTGTGTCGGAGGCAAGAAGATGTAAGTAGTTTCTGTTTATGCGCGGAAAAAGCGCAAGTCGAGAGAAAGAGTATCGACTGACGTAGATCATCCAGCCTGTGCTTGAGATCGTCAAGATCGGTGATTCCGGTCAGACGAGCGTCATTCCAAATTTCCATTTAGAGCAGTGGAGGCCCCCTAGAATTCGAAGCAAGAACGGTTATCAGCGGGATCATACAGACTTTAATTCCGTTGCGCGCTTATGAGTGAGTGTGTGTGTGAGGGATATTCTATGTATTGTCAAATCAACTAGGCATCTCAACTGCTGCTATGTTGTTCTGATCTGTGATTCTAGAACCAATTGGCCCAGGGGAACAAAACGAAAAAGGAACGCATGACGGCTACGGTAGAATCATTCCCATAATCTTCCTTCCTTAGGAACTTCCTAGCATTTGCATTTTCTATTTTGGTTCCAGAAAGGTGGTCTTGAAATGAATCTTTAATGCAACAGTGGGAAAGATGATTTCTCATGGTAGTATAAGAGAAGAAGTTCTTCATCGCCTGACCTTTCTTGTTGAGCTATGTACGTGTTGTTTAAGGTTAAGGTTGAGGGTCCACCACACCGGGACCAGGTCGCTCCGGCTGGGACGAATCGGGTTCGAGTAGATATTCAAAAGGTTGGAGGACATCCAAGGCAACTAGCAACCCGACTTCATCTGAACCGATGGACATAACAGCCGTCTTGCTGTTGCGCTCATCTAGAGGCTGATCAGGCTTGAAAAAGCCAAATGTGATTTCATCAAGGTATTTTATCTCAACAACAGGTTTTCGTTGATCAGACGTGTTTGCGGCATCACCCAAGAGCGCCTTCTTGGCGCCTTTTAATTTCGAATGGATGTCCTTGTATTTGTGTCCGACGCTCTGGTTCTCAATACCCAAGTCGCTCTCAAAGATGTCCTTTGCTTTTGTGTTAAAGAAGGCCGGAAAACTGACGATGGTGGTGATAATGAAGACGATGAAAAGAGTGCGGATGACATCAATGTTATATAATGATAAAGACCTAGAGCTAGAACAAAGGGTAAACATAACCTAAGACGAATTGTTTTTCTAACTAAACGGAAAGCCCGAAAAACGTAGAAGAATCTACCATTACTACTTCAACTTCACGTAGAGGCAAGGAAAAATTATAAAAGCCCAATTTACTTGACGGTGTATCTCGCGTCATCGGTGAACATTGGTGATTTTTTGAGTGGTGCAAACTTAGCAATATCCTCTTTTCCAAAACTTCCTGCATGCCGCGCATCCAAAACATTGATGAGACCGCGCACCTGTGAGAGTGAGTGAGTAAACGAAGCTGTAGGCCTATGATTTTCCAAAGAATATACTCGGTATTCATGCACGCATCACATGTCAATGCTTATGCCAAATATCATAGATAGGCACACTTACACTACAGATTGATACACAAAAAAATCTGACAGTGCTGTAAAATGCAAGATTTGTTGTACCTTCTGCCAGTATGCTTCCCTCGAGGTTGCCTTCTTGATCGTTCTGAGAGTTTTTGCGAGTTTCTCCACATATTCCGTTCTCATGGGTCCGGTCTTCGATACAAATGGCCGACCATTCTCAGCGGTCCAAGGAAGATTAAATCTAATGGAATAAAAAGCGCCCATCAGATCGTCTGGAGACGCATTATTCGAATCGACATTCGTTAAGATATTTCTCGCCAACTCGTTTAGCTCTGGACTTTCGATACTCAGCAGCTCCTCTAGCGTTTTCGTGGTCCCGTATCTTGCGACGTCATCAGCGTGTTCCTGCAAAACCTTTCTTGTTTCGGCGTCTAGAATTTAGGGGGATCATCTTACAGAGAATATGAATAACACATTGCTGAACAACTTGAGTGCAGGGGGGATAAAGAAGATGAAGTAAGGTTCCGTAGTTTTGAGAAGGTAAAATTGGCCCGCTTGCAAGATTGTGGTGCGTTTACGTACAAGTCGATAAGTAAACAATTCTTATAGATACTTACATATCATGGGTATGGGTAAAGACAATCTCGTCGAACACAAGTAGATGATCTAGTGTTCCTCTGCAATTGAAGAAAACATCAACATGCTAGTAGACAAATTATCCGCCATATTTCGGCGAACCTCGTCCTTGCCTATGATCGTCTTTTCGGGCGGCAAGTGCTTCTTTTTTAGGTTCTTTGCTGCTCGAAGTCTCTACTCGCGGACCTGATCGGGATGGATAATCATATAATCAAAATCAATGTTAAGGAGAACATGAATAAGGATACGGAATAGACAGTGGTAAATTACTTGACTGCAAACGGGATGACCACTTTTTTGTATCTCTATTTCCTGAAGAGGTAAAGTATTGATTTTTTCGATTGTCAGCGTGGTACTGCTAGTTCTGCTTCTGGTATTACTTAGTTGATGCTCTCGCATTTCTTTTCGCGCTCAGTGTTTCGAGCATACTTGCTGCGCGCACCCCAGAATCGCCATTCGCATCCATGGCCACTTCCTCGCTATAATATGGCTCATCTTCTACTTCTAGGAACTCCGCATCTCGTGCGATCTCCATCGTCGTGGTGTGCTGTTTCTTCTCAATTCCACCAACCAGGGCAGTGCCTACGCATCCGGCAAGGGCGGCCGGGCGAGCACACTTGGACCTGCAGCCAGACATTTTGCCTAATTCACTTCTTCACCCTGAAGACACTCCACCACGTACCAGGTGGCCAACCTGGAGGTGGCTACCTGTCGCTGGCGGTTTCTGTGTCTCTCTTTTTTTCTCTCAAGAAATTCCAGAGAAGGAACAGAACGCCGAATTGTATGTTCTTGTACTCCCTCCATAACAGCAACAAATTTGCTTACATCAGGTAGAAGATGCCATTGCTCCCAGGCAAATGGACACACTCCCTCATGCTCATCTCATCATCTGAAGGAAAATAATTCCTGCAACGGACGACCGTGCGAGGCACCGTGAAAGCATGTGCTCGCATCCTACTTCGAACTTTTATATTTTCAGACAGAGACTGAGACAGTAATTTGTAATTTATTCTTGTTAGCAATGAAGGTAAGACTAACTGCTACGGATGGCACGCCGATATCCCAAAAGCAAGAAGACAGTGTTTCGTCCAGGTTTCTTTGTTTAGGAAAGACAGAAAGAACAAGAATTTTGAGTGATACTAACTTGCACTGCTGCTCGGGTAGGTCTCTATTACAGACACAAGGTCGAGGTCGAGCTCTTTCCGCGAGAGCAACTGCATGTGGAGAACAAGTAGTTGATGTTGTAGTTTTTTCATCTTCATTTTCCTCTACAAAATAAACTCCACATCTTCCCCATGTGGTTTAAACATCACTACATCGCTGTCCACCAATTGCGCCATCTCGCCTCCCAGAGAGTCGTCACTATCCTCCGATGGCGACTCCACACCTGAGTCTCTCCTTAGGTCACTGCTACTCAAGTACAGATATCGGTAAATCCCGATCTTCTGGTGCTGTAGTGCGACTGAGGCATAGGTCGATGTGGACGTCGTGCCTAACGGCTGGTATTTGAGATTCTCGGTTCTTGAGGATGCTGTCGCGGAAGAGAGGAGGCTGGAGGCGGGGATTAGAGGAGAAGGAAATAAGTACTCTTGAATGCAGTCCTTTCACTAGGATTAGTTCTTTCACTCTTTGAAGGATATATTCGGTCCATAACAGCGACTGAATGCTCAATGAAGAGAGCAACACTTCCGGATGCAGCAAAGCCGTTGCCAAGTAGACCCCATAGGTAAAAGTGACGCAATGAACTGTCGTTGCCACGCGCTTTCTCACCCACGGATCCACAACATGCGCCACAGCTGCCAAAACCGGCACAGCGCAAAACCACAGCAAAATCAGTGGGGCGTAGTGCATGAAGAACAACCTGGATCGATAGCGCGGGTCACCTCTACAATAGAGGTTTTTCGCTACGAAGAAGAAGGCTAAAGCCAGCATCCCAGCGTCCAGCATGACTATCACGCGTCCAGGGGCAGTGTCGTACTTGAACACGGTCTATAACAGGAAAAAGTGTACTCATAGTACTCGAGGAAAGTAGAGGCTTTTTCCTACTAGGCACTTTCTAAGTAGGAAAAGGGGTGCCTACTTTCTTGAGGATGAGAAAGCCTACTTAGAAGGTGCCTACTTTCTTGAGGATGAGTACACTTTTTCGCTTCATACGGTCGTCAAAGTGTTCAAATGTCGCCATTCGGCCCACTCCTCTAAAGCGACGGAGAGAACGGTGAAGGCCAAAGACAAATCTCGCATCAAAAAATGCTCTCGCCCCTGGAAGGCGACTTGGGATGCTATTGTATGCTTTCTCGAAGTAGACGACGAGGCAGTAGTTCCACCGCCTCCATTCATGAGATCTGTATCCACTCTTGAAGAACTTGTTGAGACTCCAACATGATCTACTCCATACAGTTATGAAGCGAAAAAGTGCACTCATCCTCAAGAAAGTAGGCACTTTCTAAGTAGGAAGAAGCCTCTTTTCTTGAGTATGAGTACACTTTTTCGTGTCATAACAGTGCTGGGCTTGCCTGGTCCAAGGACGCGTTTCCGTGTGTTGCTGCGTGCCTTGCTTTGATGTCATGTTGGATTGGTGTCGATGGATTGTTGTATGCACCTCTATCGGAGTCCTCGTAAAGATGGTGCGCGCCTCCTCGTCCACTACCATGGCCATTGTCCCTTACGCCTCCACTCAGTGCCCTTTCTTGTCTTACAAATCTTTGTGCCACTCGTCGCATATCTGAGGGACTTTCACTAGCGAAGTAGAGGAAAACTAGACTCAAGCATCCTGCTGTGCATACTTCTATGACTCTGGCGCAAGTAAGGGCTACTATGCGCTTCTCACCGGTCGAAGCGAATGACATGTGGTCGAATATCCGTAGAAAAACTGCTAGTAAGCCGAAGTTAGCTGCTAGTCGAGGCGCGTCCGTGAGTGCAGTTTCTCCGAGCAAGACACCGCCAAAGCGAGCTCGGAAAGCGGTGTCTAGGGAAATTTTCATTGCATGGTAAGTTGAGGCTCCAGAGGATTGATTCTTTCCACCACCACCAACTACTCCTAATCGCGAGTAGTTCCACACCAGCAACGCTAACGCAAATGCCTGTATCACCAGCGTGGGGAGGATGCCGTTGACGTCTGCTCCAAGCTCGTTTTCCCATCCATTCAATACGTTGCGTGCTCGGATGTTGTAGTCAAACTGATAGAAAGCAGCTGGGGTTGTTGTTCCGTCTGAACACGCGAGAAACAGGAAGTGCCATACACGTCGACGACACTTCTGGAGAATCTGCTGGCTTGGGTTAGAGAAGTTCGCTTCTAAGGGGGGCGTGGGGGTAGATAGTCCTAATTCATCTACATCTTCATCTACGAACAAGTTATATATTTAAAAAACAGTTCCCTTCTACAACTTGTTTCATAAGATGCATCCCATTCGCTACTACTGGCAGGTCTTTTTGACTATCTAACTGGGTCTCCATCCATGTGGCGTCCTCATCTGTTTCGGCACCTAAGAGGGCCCGCCTTGGTGCACTTCCTGGCAGATCTGAGTCTGCTATTACGGCTCCTGATGTAGAAGCTGCCTCTGTCATGGAAATCATGCTAGTGTCAACTACACCGACTCCATCTCCTTGGCCTTGAGGAACGTTTGCTTCTGTTTCGACCGCACTGACTTGGAGCAGAGACGAGGGTGGAGGACCTGATGTTAGTTGGGTAGAGTACTGCTCTGAGTCTTGTGACATCCATCGGGACATTTGAATGGTTGGATCATCAGTAACGAACCGTAGCAGGAGCTGAAGCTATTGATGCATTATCAAACAAAGACTACAAAGAGGATATTTTTGATAATATATTACGTCTACAAGAATAAAGTATACAAAGTATAATGACTACAAGGTCAAAGTATAATACAAAGTAAACAAAGACTACAAAGTACCAGCAGCACTATCATAACAATCTGGACTCATGATTTTCAAGTAGCTGAGTTCCTGAGTCCATCCTTTCGGCTCATGGCCAGCTCGTATCTCCCAATGGTGGATGGTTTCGGGGTGTGCTACTGCAGTGCTCGCACCCAGTGATGCTTTCCGAACTTGCTCGTCCGCACAAGACTCGGTGGAACCGGGACTGGGTTTAGACAAGTAGGACATCCCTACTATAATTGGCCGTTGCCATTTACATTTTCACACGAAGCACTTCTGCTTCATCTTCTTGTTGTCGTAGTACCTCATTCATTTTTCATATATTTACCTGTTCTGGAGGTACCTTTTGACGCTTACCTGATTGCAGCTGATAATTTATTTTAGACGTTGGCTTCATAAATGGTCTTGACACTACGCCGCCACAAGCGCCTCCAGCGTTGACGCACGCCCGTCTAGCTTCCTCGTAGCTGGGGTATTTGCGACAGTCATCACCCGACACGCACCCAGGCAAAAACGAGCATCCGAGCCCAACGGAGAAGGTTACGGCACCTGGTAGAGACGATGTGATGCGCTGATGACCATGACATCGAGTACTACTGTAGTTTCGAAAGTTCATGAGGTTCTTGTTCGTCAAATTCAAATTTGATTTCATTGGTCTGCTGAAATAACTAATCAGAGCTCTGTAGCATACATGCAATAAATTCCACACGGCGTACCATTAGATTCCGTCTGCTTCACGTAGCTCGCTTCCAATGTTGGCAATGCTTCTTTGTCGTGTTCCTCAGGCTTCGTTGGTTTCCATCCTGACCGGATTTCCCAGTGGTTGACCGGTACGTTGAACGAGTTACATCCGTTTACAAGTTGAAATGGGGAAAGAGGTGGAGGTCGTGATTACATCTAGAAGTTGAAATGAGGAAGGTCATCGTCAGGATTCAACAGATTCTTCGAGGAAGTTACCATGATGGAGACTAATGATAATGTTCATCGTGGAAGGAGCAGCGAGAGAAAACTAATGCCATACATTGTTAGGTGTCCCCGTCCCACTTGAAGATCCACACCTTTGTCCTGCGTCTTCGCACGGCCTTCCTACGACACCGCCACATGACGGGCCTTTCGCTGTACATGCTCGCTTGGCTTCTTCCAACGTAGCGTAGTTTTCGCAGTTGTTTCCGCTCACACAGCCACTCAAATACTGGTTCACAAACGCAGGCGACCACGTTGCAGTGCACTGACCGCTTGAAGAGGACTGCTTGTTCTGATTTTGAATTTGAGCAACATTGCTGGAGGAACCACTGTTTCCACCAAAGAGGTTAGCGGAATATCTACCGGTTGAGGCAGGTACGTTGGTGCCAGCGAACTTCGTACTTGCAAAAGCGAACTTCGTACTTGCTGTCTGCTTAGGTCGTCCCACATTATTTGGCATATAAGGACTCAAATCTTCCGTCATTTTCACCAACTCACTCGTGCCCTGCTCCAGCCGAACCCAGTTTCCCGCTGCGCGATTGAAAATGTCATCACACGTCTTGAACTCGCTCTCTCTTGGTTGACCCAAGAAGTAGGTCAATGCGTCGTCTGGGTACAGGCGTGGGAACTGGGCGATTTCATCGTCAAGAAGCCCAAAATAGAATTGAACGGGCTCGCTTTTCTGCAAGTGCCCAGCATAATTGTGCAAAGCAGTGGCGGAGGAAGATGAAGATGCTTGTTTTAGAGCTATCGTGGTCATATCGATCCCTGAGAGTGAGTGAATGAATGCACGACCCACTCCAGAGGTTAAGAAGAACCACTACACTACACTACTTCTTTTTACATCTTGCCTCGTGTGATCTCATGAATTCTATCCTTTTTGCTCGTGCCAGTAAGGACATGCCCTCACTGTATTCTATGCTCCACTTGGCTTCTTGTTCCTTTCCCCTTGAAAATAGAAGAGGCCAAGGATGTATGATGCTGATGATGCTTGAGCAGTAGCCTTAATTGTTGCGTCTCTCCAGTACTAGAAGTTATTCCTGCAGAAGATGAAGATGCGTCCACTTGTTGCGTGCTTTTCCTGACAGTATATTCCAAAAACAAATCTCCGGGAAATTGCTCATAGGTGCAGGTTTTAGGCGGAAAGCAATCGGGGTTGTAATCGTAGACGAATTTCGAAACTACGACTGGCTCTTCTGTTTTGACTTGGACAGAACCTTGGAAACGTTCTGCGGAGACGAGAAGGACAACTGTTGATATCAGCGTGTGTATTGTTCTTGAGGTGGTTGTTCTGCGGGCAAGAGGACAACGAGATCCAGGGTGCGGCGACATTTTTTTTCTCTCTCTATATCTACTTAAGGAGTAGTAGTAGAATGCCGGTGTCTGTGCGTGTGACAGAGACGCTTGTGTTAGTGGTAGCTTAGTTGTTGCATACTGCTTCTCAAAAGCTCGTACTGCTCGTGCCCCTGCTCGTACCTTCTCTCAGTCTCGCCCATCCACATCGCCCATGCGAGAAGCGGACAATGAGTTTGAGAACACCGTGTGAAATTTTCAACCGACGTTCTTCAGAAGAGCCCCGCTACCGACGGTAAGGCTGCGTGCCGCCGTGAGTGATCACTTTCACCATAAGTGCAGCGCTGAGAGGCTGCAAGGCTAAAGAGTAGAGAATGCGTCGCATCTTGATGTAGCCCGGCAGCGCCTGCGCTCGATTCGATTCAGTCGGGGCCTCCCTGTTTTTTTTTGTAGTGCTGAGACTATCTGAAAGGGAAAGGCTTGCATTTTTATCCGAGAAGCCCCCGGCGACAGACGGAGTTAGTCTCCTATAGAATACGCCAAAAATGTGGATCCGTCGATTTTTAAAGGTCCAGCCTTAGGAGCTAAGGGTAAGGCAGGACACTGCCATGCGGAAAGCCGTCCGCCTCACTACATACGCGCCATCACGTTATGGGCTGCGGAAAGCCATCCGCCTAGGCTAGTGAAGCATTTACTTAAACTTAATCCAACCTTTTGCGCCCTACTACGCGCGATACTCGTTGGTGAAGCTGCATAAGTAGATGCTTGGACTAAGGAAGAACATGCGTGCTGTTTACATTGGTGAAGCTACGCTACGAGCTAAAACTGCCTTGAGTTGCATCTACAATCCTCAGCGTTACATCATCAGCTTGCCTCCATGTTCTGCGTTTCAACGCGCAGTCGCATTCGCCAAAAACAAAGAGGGAGAAGAGAAACAAAAAGCAAAAAATTGGAGGGCTAACTCCTACCAAACGGGGCCCCTCATGCCTGAAAGCCACAACCAGGCGGGAGATACAAGGATCGGCGAGGGAGAGCGATGGGACGCTCTCACCGTTTTAATTACTTATGCCACTGCACTTGCGTGAAACTATACACTTACAAAGCGAACTAGAAAAGCACTCAGAAAACGCACAGGACAGAGATAAGACCACTCTACTCGCCTGGAGAATGTAGTTTAGCCCTTGCGTTTCAAAGAATTGCGCTTATCCAGGGCCACTTACTTTGAGTACTAAAGTTAACATTAACTCCTTTTATGTAATGTAGACGCCGCCTCCGGCACTCAAGATCGCGCTGAGCAGACTCATGGGCCTTCATGAGCTTCAAATGCTACGGGATCGCCGAGAACATTGGGTCATCCTGCTTGCTCCAAACGATCCATCGGAAAGCATTGGCCTGTTTTCGTAATGCTACTCGTGCCTTGCAAAAGTCGAGTATGGTCATGATCATCAACTTCAACAAGCTCGATCATTATTATTCAGCTCGACCTTCGTCTTCGAAGAAATAGCGCGCACAGTCTTTTCGCGCCAGATCTTCATCTTGTCCGTTCTTCTTGGCTTCCTGGAGGAGGAGGGGCTGTTGTCTACCTCTAATATTACACTTCGTGGTGACCTTTACGTTTCTCAAACTTCGAGCTGTCTACCTGTATTGCATTTCGTGACCTTTACGTTTCTCAAACTTTATAAGCTAGTCTTCCAAAGACAAAACTCGGTGTACCATGTTGCTGAATAAATATGAATGCCTTTTTTTATTACTGGTGGTTATATGTTCATCAAGACAAAAGACACGGGTTACGCAACGGCAACATTCACAAAATAGCACAAGAATACTCACCTTGATTCAATTGTTCGTTACCAAAGGTTATCTACAACAACAGAGTAGAGGCAAGAAGCTCACATGATTGAGCTAAGTACCTCAAAATAATGATGCCGCGAACTCAATTTCGAATGACCATGAAACTACACAATGTATCTGGTGCATATTCTTGTGCGTGCTCTGAAAATAAGAAAGCAAAGAGCTTGCTACCTAGCCGCGTTACGCGTAAAGTAGTAGAGGAAGCATGGCTATCGTAGTACGTCGAGCATGTACTTCATTTTTTGCACTTCTAAGAATCTCTGAATCAATATGTATCACGTTGTCCGATAAAGATATGGAAATTCTGAATGCAACTTAGTGGGTGTAGGTAATACACTGGGGGTTCTCTGATGACTTTCAAATGCTAATGCTAATGCTGAATAAGACTTCATATATTGCCATAAATGTATGATTAATATGTATCTAGATCTACATCTACATTTCTTCATGGCACAGAAGAACCTGCATTCGTCGACGGGCACAACATATGAAGTCTAGTAAGTGAATGTGAAACTTAGAAGAAACATGCCTCATAAGATTTCCCTGACGATTTCTTCAACGAACATAATTAAAAACCAGCAACAGAAACAGCGAGCGGCTACATCGGCGGCCTCTGTGAGGCCGTCTCACAGCTGATGTGGTCGCGCCTCCGAACAGGTGGCACGCTCGCACTGCATTCTGAATTTGTATGTTCCTGTTGAGAGTAAAAAATCACCTTTATCATTTATCAAAACAGGAAAACCTAAACCAAAACTGTGACTAAATCTAAAACGAGGACTGCAGGTTACGGTGATGTTTGTACTCATGTGATTGTCCAACAGAGACTTACCACCCCATGGGATTTATGTTTCATCGTTTTTTGTATTTTCAAAAAAGAAGTCGAAATTCAAAAATTACGTACAACTTGAACAATTTACCAGTAGTAGATCTCGATGCAGATAAAAGGCACAGAAAGCTTGTCAAACTACTAAGATGTGTAATGAAAAAGGTGTCACGTGGAGTTAAACAACGAGGACGAGAATGAAGGTACGAGCGAATGAGATAAAAGCTATTATTCTTAGACTAGTGACATAAAAGACATGTGCAAGAAATTCAATTATCAGAATTAGTAGCTTAAACTTTCAGAAACGTGCCGGCAAAATCAAGATGATGTTAAGCAAGTTCTTGTGTATCTCCCCAAACGTACGGAGAGATTGAGATATCTCCCGGCGAAGGGAAAAAATAACTCAAATGATACAAGTACCACCGTGGGGTTTATGATTTTTCCACCCACCTCTCAATCTTCTACCCATTTTATCGATTTGTAGCCGAAAAATATGGACCCTGGAGTTTGTATTTCAGTCGAGGGATGCAGTAAAATGAAGAAATTGACTTTGACAGATGGGTGCAATACGGTGCGCGTACGTTTTAATTCTTGTCCTGAACTTCATTCGAATCCCACGACTACCCGCCTTTCAAAATTGTGCCCTATGTTGTTCGATATAATCCGCTTCATTGATGTCACTCAGAAGCAACAATAATGCTTGACTGAGCATGAACGGTGAAATTTAAGATAGAAAATAGCCGCCCCCGATGCATAATCTATTTGGACAGACTAGTACAATTGTAGGTGGAGAAACGACCTTGACCCTGTTTATTCTAGTCGCATTCTTGTACTTGTGCCATATGCAGATATATATTAATTTAATATTTTTAAGACGATGACGTCGTCGTCACGACTGCTGAAGGAGCCTAATTCTTTGTTCTGATAAAAAAACGATGTATAATTTTAGGTAGATTGTATTGACAATTCAAACGGACACACTTGATCTTGGACTTGAAAAAAGAAAGCCATCATAAAACCGAACATGTTCATCAAGACTGTTGACTGAGCAGCTGCCACTTCACTCGCCAATTCTACTTCAAAAATTGTTCTAGTAGTTCTAGTGCAAGTGCAACCTATAAATATTTATGGTTTTAGTTAATGCTACCCCTCTTGAATTTCATCATTTGATTAAATGATCATAATATTTTCATTGGATAATGTCATCCACTCGACGTTCTAATCACATATTTCTTGTGGTATCTGTTCATAAAAATAAGAACGAACCGACCTTCAAAGTCATTCACGACCCATACCTCTCCTGATCATCTCACGAACCAGCACCGCTGCCTTCGACGCTGCATGCCTCCATAGCATCATCTTCCTCCTGCCAGGGTCCATGGGGTCGCGGTGGTGGACAGCTTTTATGGCGGTTCCTGTCTTTTCTCTGCGCCGCAACCCTGACACTCGCGAAGAAGTCGTCATCGGTTTCCATTTCGTCGTCTTCGAGTGGTAGTCTAAACAGAAACGTGTTTTTCAGTCCCATTCCCTGAGGTACGGTTTGCGATTGCTGAGATTGCTCGCTGGGGAGGTTAGAGGTACAAGTAGTGGTGGTAGTAGTAGTAGGGTCCTGTACAGTGCCATTTGGCTTTGCAAGGAGCACTGCTGGCTTAGAGGAAATAAAAGGGCATGAGGCGACGACGAGGATGATGATGATGATGGATGATGATCAGTGACTCTAGCATCAGTATCTATCTGCATCAGTATGTTTGTGTTTCAAGTATGGCGTCGACCTCGTGGTCCTCGTCCATAATCATGCTAGGCAAAGCGCCTGCAGGCGAAGTGCCTGAGCACACTCCAGGGGAGTACGCAGTTCCTTGAGGTTGAGCCGCGCCTGCAGTCGAAGTGCCTGAGCACACTGCTGTTGGAGGACTCGAAGCTGTTGGACTCGAAGCTGTTGGACTCGAAGCTGTTGGAACCGCAACATCAGGTGCACCATGTGCATCATGTTAGAGTGGGAGGGACGACTGTCCTTCTAGTTATGCAGAGACCACGAGGACAAAAATTTCAGTCATTGTCTTTAAAATAGAATTGGTCGATTGTCTTTAACAAGCGAGGCTATTTTGTTTTCAGGAATCAGGACATGATAATCGAGAAATAATAATGCAGAGAGGACGAGATCCATCAGTGGTGAAAATTGCTCAACGACGTCAACTATCTTTCTGGTTAGCCTTAATCATAGGACCCGTAGAACACGCCTCCTCGTCGACCTTGTTGTTCTAGCACCGCGTGAGGAGTTCTCTGATCTTCCAGCACGCCTTTCAGATCTAGCACTTGTGCGAGATTCGCTTCGGCCTCAGCCTGCGCCCGACCTCCTCTTGAATTTCGGGACGACTTGGCTGCACGACTCGCGATAGGACGCAGTTGCAGAGGGTCGACAGCACCAGCTGGATCTTCTCGATGGTATCCTCTCCTGAAAGAGATTGATTGATTGATTGATTGACTGATTGATTGATTG